CTGAAAATAGAAAAGAAAAAAACCATATACTCCGTACATGGTCTCAGTATCAAGACAAAGTACAATGTCTAGGAGTGGTTCTGTGAAGATGACTGGATAAGAGGGGATTGGACTAGGGGTATGTAAGCATGGACGCGCGATGGTGGGAAATCTCCACCCCTCGGCGTGACGCCGCCGAGAAGGCAGCAGCATGCGTGGGGAGAGATTTCAGATTGGACTTTGTGTGAACATGCTAGGCTGAATAGAGGGCAAGTGGTCTGCCTGAATCGACTATTAGAGGTTAATGACTGGGTTGCAGGCGCAGGTGTGGACCTTCCAGGGAGAGGGTTGTTGTCCGTTGCCACTTGGAGAAAAGCGAAAACTAAAATGCAACGGGCCTGTGCTGCACGGGGCCTTAGCGAACCATATGCCCTGACCAGAAAGTCCTGAATTGCGTGGACCAGAACTGGATGCCAGGCGACCTGCCCTTGGCGCGCCCGTGTTCGGCACAGTGTGTAGGTCTGATCTCTGCTTGCAAATGGTCAAATTTATAAGGAATGAGGTATGGTGTATGGTATACTTGATAGTTACATAGCCACAGTTTCAAAGTCAAAAGCAAGATAGCATCGTCGGCCATGATAGATGAAGCACAACGGGAGATGTACCCATAATAACCCTAGACAGATCTTCAGGTACAAGTTTCATCAATGAATAAAGTCATATAGCAATTTACAAACAGTTAATCTAGATCAAAAAAAAAAGAAAAGAAAAGAAAAATCACAGAATAGAATAAAACACAACACAAAACTACTCTTCCCCCGTTCTCGTCTCCGGACGGGAAAGAATATACTTTTCACGGCCGATCATGACCTTGGAGCGCGTGGGCGCATGGGCGGAGATAATGATCTCCTTTTTAGGCCGGCTGCAGATGCACCGGGCTCCGCTAAGGCTGGCCCGGTAGTCCTTCCTCAGCACGAGCTTCTTTGCTCAATTAGACGCCAAAGCGACACTGGCGCGCCTGCGAGTCAGTGGCCAGTAGGTCGGGGCTGGCACGCCAGAATGGAAGGGAAATTGATCGAGTTCGGCCGTTGCGATGCCAATCAGATCCCTGGTTGGTAAGCTGGCCTCCGAGGGTTGGATCGATCACTGGTGGTAACTTTAGATGGTGCTGGTCGAGTACAAGTATAATCATTACAGATACTGGTATGTATACTTCATGGTCGAATGGTCACAGCCTCATTCTACCTTTGAAAATGTACATTCTATAACCATCCATCATCCACCATCCATAGTTTGGTTCACAGATATACAGCCTGAACAAGAAGGAGGGGCGCTTTTGAGCGTCAGCATGAGAAAGTTACCCACGAGCCGAGCTGGAGACCCTCTTATCGGCTTACTAGTACTAGATGAGCAATACTAGCAGCAGGGCTGCTAGTGTAGTATCATAGTAGTATGGAGTAGTCGCAGCAGTCGTCGTCGTCGGAGAACTACCGTAGAAAGTTGTAGACATTTTTATCTTGACAGTCGCTTTGTGTCTTCGTTGCCTACTACAGTACATAAACCCTTCTTGTTAACCAAGTACAGCAGTAACTTCATTGCTGCTTCATACGAGCCGCCTAGCTGGGCCGCCTACACCCTGTTTGGGGGCCGTTGTGGCATCGACCGCAATTGGTGATTTGAGTTGCCTTCTGATAGCATTTTCCACTGTTCGATTTCGCAATCTCGCATTAGCATCTGAATATGTACAGTACTTTGTGCCATTTGTGTCGACATTTGGTTTCCTCCGTACGATACAGATAAGTATCTATCTATCTACATACTGTATGTCTTTTGTTATTGGCATATCTATCGGACTCGAGGTGTTGATTATCGGAACTCCTCACTATCCTATACATATTTCCAGGTATAAAATTCATCTTCAAATTGTCTTGCATCTTGATTCATAGTTTCCCGTTCGTACCGATCGGGTTTCAATCGTTTTGACTCGCGCACACACTTTTCGCCCTGCCCCACCCAAGCTTTTGCCCACTGCGCGCCCGAGCGGAACAACCCCGGCCATGAATTTCGCTGGCCTCTTGAATGGATTAGCTGGCAAGAATCTCCGGAAAGACAAGAGTCTGTAGTGAGTTAGTGGTTAGCTAGATGGTTACACACGGATACAAGACGATCGCCGCTAGGATTCCCTCTTCTCCTTCCAAGCGTTTCGAGTTTGACACGGGCGCATCATTGAAGCATTCCTGACTCGTGGTTGCGAGCCCCGGTTTTTTCTGTATCTTGTTATGTGCGTAAGTGGATATCCTTCCGACGCTCTTTCCTTTTTCTCTATTGTTCTTCTCTCTTCCTGTGCTGTCCTGTAACTGCACGCTTAAATTAAGGAATCCCATCTTGTGCCACAATGTGCTGCGAATCACGGTCGATCATCCTATGCAGCTCTAGTTAGAGGGGCGAAAAGGTGGGACCCCCACCCCTTGTCACTCTTGGCTGTTCTCATTTGCGACGAGAGCGAGCCTAGGAACAGAAAAGGTACGGGAAGGGAGGGGGATCATGAACGCGCTAGTTCACTGGCCTTAGCCAAACGAGTTCCACCACGGCGCTAGTCGGCTGGCTTCTTTGGTCGAATAGGTGAGCGAGAGACCGAGATGGCGAGCCTGGATACTTGAGCCGATTCTTCCACAAATCAGTTCGGGTGGCCGGTTGGATCACTAAGTTGCTAGTCAACTATCTTAGGTAACTTCTACTGGAAGTAAGTAAACTTGACGGGGAGTGGTTCGCCCGTGATAACGCGATCCTCGTCTTGATGTGACTGGATTTATTATTAGTTATTATTAGTTACGGAACACTCTTTTTGCTCGGGTATATTTGCTGGTGGTTGCTTGATTAAATGTTACTCGGTAAGTCTTGTTTGGTATACCCATCATATTCATGCCGTTCAATATTAATGTACATGGCTATACTTGGTAGGAGTTTCTTCTAGCATTACTCGCGACGTTGTAGAGGGCTAGTCGGATCATAATATGACGGTCCAGTGATAGCCCAGCGAAATCGGTGCAGCTGCAGCCCGGATGCTCCAATGTCGATCTGAGCCCGGCTAAACCGTGCAGCAGAGCAGAAAGGTTTCCTGGCCGTGGGCTGGGCACCAATGGGGGTGCCCCATGGTCAATACTCCATCGGAACATGCAACGCCTCTTTCCCTGGAAAGGATATCTCGCGTGCATGATCGAAGACGTTCTCCGTGGATTTTGGTTTCCATTTCTGCATCCACGATGGGATGTGATGATGATGACATGATGATGATGTTGATTACTATTATAAAAAAAGTTATGTATGTCTTGTGTACTTTGTACAATAGACCATAGAACGACAAACACAAACCATGTATGATTACTATGATTATCCATGTAATATCATGAAGATTCTCATGAAGATTCTCAAAATCCATCATGTGTCTTGCCATGTCAGTATTTTAAACTAGTTATTCTTGTTATCTAACTCACTCTTCATTTTTTATTTCCTTTCCCTTTTCCCTTGAGACCCTATCTCTCTCTGCCGCCTCTGCTGCATGCCACAGGAGAGACTAAAGCGACTCTCGTCGATCGCAACTGTGTACCTGCGACGGAGGAACGCCCAAGAGCCAATGAGTCGCTAGAGGCTCGGCTTTCTGAGCCGAGGGGTTTTGACCAGGCGATAGGGGAGGCTTGGAATTAACCAGATAACAAATCAACGTCGTATCATAATAGATCATTAGTCGAATTAAACCTGATAATAATAGATTTGACTGCATAGCATAGCGCAAGAAAGATGCGCGTGGACATTGAACCAAACTTGAGCGAAGGCGACCAGAGGCAAAAATGTGAATCAGAAGCTCTCAGCAGGATCAAATCATAGCAAGGCGAACCCCAAAAATGTAGGCAGCTGGGGCTCGTGTTGACTCCCGTTGCGCGGCCGAGGGGGAGTGGAAGAATGGGGCGGGGCCCAGCTGACGCCTGGTCGCACACCCACCACGCAACTCACGCACCCCACGCATCCATGGATATGGGATCAGTAGGAGAAACTCTGTTGGTGAGGAGGTGTTGTTATTGTAGCAATATGGGGGTTATCGTATCTTTTATATCAGTACAAAGATTGTCAAGTATTATATAATTCTACAATCATGATCGTATAACAAGCGACCGTAAGCCCTGTAGGATTTTTATGATTTTATGACTCTAGGAAGATCTGGAAACAAGATTCGAATGAACCATAATTCATGCTGATCACCCATACTTATCCTATCAGGGTATCATCGGGGTTGGAATTGGCCGTTTGTGCAGAATGACTTGGGGGTGGCTAGACTTTCGGCAACGAGAATGGGCGCATGATGCGCAGAGAGACCAGGAAACTAGAATTGTAGTCTACGGAAGAAGAGGCTCAGTTGGTATGAAACTGATGCTTTCATAATCATTTATCTAGAGAAAGAAAAAAAAAAAGAAAAGAAACCTGAGGCTTTGAGCCTCAGTCTGTGTTGATAGTCATGCTATATATGCTGATAGTGCTAAGTGCTAATAATACAGAGTACAAATAATTGTAATACTGTAGAATCCAAATAACTAATAATCATCCCATCTTCATCTCTCTATGGAATCGTGATAAATCTGACAGGCGTAAATCATCCGAAATTATTATAATAATATAATCAGAGAAAAAATAATACACGACAGAATAATCAATAATACGTGCTTCCCGTTAGCCTCTCCACTCCCATGTCACTGCGCTGCATGGGCCGCCGCCAGTCGAGTGCCAGTGCCAGTCTCCCAGTCTCCACCCTCGAAATGCCTCCATCTAGATCCAGGGTCTCTCTGTCTCTCTGACGCACGAGGCAAAACTACACCTGCAGCTCCCTCAAAACGACTATGGGGACTGGGGCCATTGTTCTTTTGATATTTTAATTTTATTATAATCTTACTCTTTTTTAGCTTAGGAACGTCGGCCCTTTTGATCATTATTTCTTTTCTTTTTTAGAATTTGATTTTTATATTTCTGCGGCTTTTGGTTTTCAATTGTTCGCGAGCAACTAGTATCAAGATTGTCTCTGGGCATGTGCCTACAAATTACTCGTCTTCGACGCCCGTTGAACCATCCTGGCCTCTTTCTTTATTCTTCTCCTCCTTCTCTTTCGTCTTTCCTCCCCCCTACCTCCTCCCTTTTTTCCTCCCCTTTCATTCATCTGGGCTGGTTGAGGAAGCTGTGTCTTCCCCGACATTCGTTTTGGCTTCCTCGCTCTTTGGAATTCCTACCAGCCCATTACTCCTCATCACCTCCACCTCCTCCCCTCCCCTGCTCTCCCCGCTTATAAAAAGTATCCTCACAAGATTCGGTTCGCAATTGACACTTACAGTGCCAGGTAAGCCAATGATGGCAAAATAGCAAAATTGGAGATTGGTTTTGGCTAATCAGGTGATTTTTTGGCGAAGTACAGTTGAATCGAACTCTGCGGAAAATCTCCCCCCCAAAGAAAAGACGACATCAAAAAAAAAAAAAAAAACCAATTACAAAGAAGGAACTAAGAACAAAGAATAATTGCGGCGTGGCTATTGGACGCTATGGCATTTCCATTCCTGCGCGCCTTCGTCGCACTGTTGTCAGTCAAATCGCTATCAACCTCGGAACCAAACATCGTCTCCCGAGACAGGGTAAACTGACTTCCACATTTAGCTGCTACCGCTACTTCCGTCTCGTGGTTAACCTGGTCTCATTTTGGACCTTTAAGCCAATTCCACCCCCGAGAACCCCAAACTCACCTCCCAAGATGTGACAGTAATCATTCCCACGCTGGAAGGCTGCGGCGACGAACTGGTCGAGACGATTCGATCATGTCTGGAAAACCAACCCTACGAAATCCTCCTGGTCACTATCGAGGCCAATCGCAAGCGCGCCGAGAAGATGCTGAGTGCAATGCCCGCCTCTCAGTCGCGAATTCGCTTATTCACCGTCACCCACCCGAACAAGCGCCGCCAGATGACCCGGGCCATTCCCGAGGTTCGTACCTCCATTACCCTCCTGGTCGACGACGACGTGAGCTGGCCCTCAACCGTGTTGCCATGGATTCTGGCCCCCTTTGAAAAGGATGAGCGGTACGGTGGTGTGGTGACCTGCCAGCGATTGCGCCGAGCCGTCTCGCCCACCCTCTCTCAGCGTGTCTGGGGATTCTTGGGCGCTTTGTATTTAGAGCGACGCAACTTTGACTGTGGAGCCACTACGAACATTGACGGGGGACTGCCGTGCATGTCCGGCCGTACTGTGGCATATCGCACCAAGATTCTCCAGAATGAGGGCTTCACCTACGCGTTTACCAACGAGGAGTGGTGGTGGGGCAAGTATCAGCTCAATGCTGATGACGACAACTTCATCACCCGCTGGATGGTCTCGCATGGCTGGGAGACTTATATGCAGTACCACCCCGAGGCCGAGGTGCTCACCACGTTAGAGGATAACCCCCGATTCCTGAAGCAATGTGCGCGCTGGTCCCGCAGCAACTGGCGCAGCAATCTCACCAGCATGTTCCACGAGAAGCATATCTGGTAGTAAGTGATACCCTTCTCTTTGATTTTTTTTCTTCCATCACCCAATGCGCGACGCTCTGTCTTTTTCCCTTCTGCATTTCATTCTGGTTGCTATCTTTTCACTGGTGTCTTGGCCCAATTGAGAGCTTGCTATCTACAACCCACTATTCGACTTTTTGGTCACCTACGCGCGGTTTCTGGATGATTCCCTCCGAGGATCGATTATCTCCTAGGGAGCGAGAGGTTCCTTGGCGGCCGAAGATGCCAACAGGATCCTCCTGTGTGCTGCTGCAATCACCAGCCCGATAGGTGGGCAAAGATGAACAAAAGTACCGTCGGTGGCGCCGGAGAACTTCCTGGGAACCTCGTCGGAAATCGCATTGGCCCTCGCTCTTTCTACCCCATTCAAAATACTTTTTAGTGTGTTTTTTTGGCCTTGTGATTCTGTTATTTTGATAACATCGCAAGGTTGATACCACTGGTTCTTGCCACTGATGTTATTTTGCCATCATTTTCTATCTATATTTTTTTCAGCCGCAGCTAACCCTTCAATCGTCTTACAGTCGCCAGCCATGGAGTGCCTATGCAGTACACTTGACCACCTTGTCACCTCCAGCGCTACTCGGCGACTTGCTCCTTGTTTGGCTGTGCCACAAGGCTAGTGTGGGTTGGGGCGAGGTCTCGCACGATCGCGCCATGACCTCGCTGTATCTGTGGATGTTTACGAGCAAGTGGATTAAATTGCTGGGTCACTATATCCGCTATCCGGTTGATGTGTTCCTACTACCCGTGTCGGTTTTGTTCGGGTATTTCCACGGAGCCATTAAGATGTACGCCGTGATGACTCTGAATGTGGTAAGTGTTTATTATTTTCGCCTTTCATTATTACATGCATCCTTTTCAACCTTTGGAGGGTCTATCTTGGATATCGTCAATTCTGTTTTTTGTTGCCTTGCGGGTCGATGGGGGGTAGAAAGTTAGTGTTGCGCTCGCCGAGCCCTCTCACTTTTCCCCCCTCTTAACACGCCAGCATCACAAAACGCTTTGATCACGACTCCTCCTTCTTGCAGATGGCCTTATCCACCTTTTCCCGTGCGAGCCATTTTCCCTAACCTTGATTGTATCTTCTCATTGGCTGGATTCTGTACCCTGTCTTTTGCAACCATCTACCTTTTTCTCCGTGTTTCCCGGAAATCCCCAGCTAATCCAGTCCCGTTCTTCTTAGACGACATGGGGTAGCCGTGACGGCGCCGATGATTATGACGCCGAGCGTATGAAGAAACTCACAGATGCCGATCGCATGAAACAGCCCTACTACCCCAGCTACCTCACCAAATAAGCAACCGTCTCGCTTGCGCAACGCCTGCCGGAGACCATTTCGGTCTCTCTCCGTCTAGACCAGATCGGATTGGACCATGCTTGCGACTTTCCTCTCTACCTCTACTCTCTCCTGCACGGGCGAAGATGGCTAACATGTGCTGCTGCATTTCCGGATGCCAGAGCACCATGCACGCTATATTTCCCCCGCTGAAATCGAGGGACTCGGATCATGATTGAGGTCTGGGTCCTTCCTCTTGTCGAGTCGCATGCATGACGGACTCCGGCTGGTAGTGGCTCAGCGCATCTCTTTTATCTCCTTCTAACCCGGAGAAGAAGATCCTGGTATATATGTACTGGCACGTCCTGCACAGTACTTTCAGGCTATACTTACTCGGGTTTCCCTCTCTGTGTCTTTTGTCTCTTACGATGAAATGCCGTGACGACCATTGTTTCGACCATGTCCGACTTGATGTTTTGTGTCTCGGTCCGCGATTCTAGATGCGTCCTGCGCTTTGCCTTGAATTTCGTTTTCTCATTTGCTCTATTTTTTTCGATCTTCATTTTCATTTTCTCTTTTCATTTGTCCACTGACCTGGTGTTGCAAATTTTTTGCAGCCCTGCATGGATCGAGGGAGAGCGATAGTCTCCGTGGACCCTGGTTTTTGCAGCTCTCTCCCCAAGTCCCCATAAATGGGCATTGGTGGGCTCCAAGAACCTGGCGACTGGCAACTCTGCCAATCCGACGAGACGCTGTCTTTCCTCCTCTCCGCTCGAATCCAGCTTTGTGAGATCCGACAGAACGTGATGCGTGGTAGTACGACCTTATTTCACGTCCCACTGCTGTTTTGACTTTTTCTTTCTTCTCTGCCCTCTTCTTTGCGCATGATTGGTTTCCAAAACAAGAAAGGGTGGCCAGCCTCAAGATTTGAAGGCTTCTTTTTTATTTTGTGTTCCTCTTTCTTCGTCATCTTCTCTTCCTCTTTTTTCTTTCTTCGCTTCTTGTGTAAATTACAAAAGCATGGGCGGATTTCGTCGTTTTGCACTTGTTCTCGCGTGCTCTGCATCTCGATGTACTGTTCAGCTGGTTTGATTCCCCTCAGCCGTTTTTTTTTTTTTTTCTCTTCGCTTCTTCTTCTGCTTCTTCTTCTGCTTCTTTATTTGTTTTCTGGGATGCGAATTGCGAATTGCAATACTTTGATTTCGAGTTTCTCTTCCTTACTTTTCTTGGGAAAATGAAGGGCTCTAGATGCAGGGTGGGAGGTTAATATGATTCTCGCTTTTTTTCATTCACCGTCTTTGCTCTCGGTTTTCTGAGTCCTTACATCTTGTCTTATTTTGAAACATCTGGAATACCGGTGGAACGGATCTCCGCTTGACTGTACTTCCTAGGTATCCAGTAGAGAGGTACCCAGTAGTATGCGGCGTGGGGACTTCAGTCTTTGACTGGGCTGTCTAGAGCTGCTGTCATCGTACATTCGGACCTATCAATTGTCCAGACAGGACGTAATTATGCAGTTCGTCTCCGCGGAAGCGTTTAGTGTAGAAGTCTATATGGAGTCGATGTGGCCAGTTTGTATGTAGACCCCGGGAGCCGGACTATGGATGTTTTCAACGGCTAAATTGTGGGCAAAATGGAAATTTCTTTTCATTGATTTGCGATTACCTGTAGCTTTCCTAAATGCTGGAGAATTAATGAGGAATCTGACCTCCTACACTATATACTAGTATCTATTGGATGCAGAGGTCTCTACGGAGGTCCATTTCAAAAGAAATGAGCAGCGCATTGACCACTATTATTTTACCACTAGTCTTTTACCAGGCGAATACACACACACACACACACATACACACACATCTCCCCTACCCTTCTATTTCTGCTTCTTCTACTACTCCTACTACATGAGCACGGTAACATGGCAAAGCAGTCTACAATTGCTAGGCGCGCAACGGTAGTTGCTTTGAAGGCCTATACGCCTAAATCTGCTGCCGAGATCGCTGCTCTTACCAATCTATCTGTTCCTTCTGTGAATCGAATCTATGCAGAAGCAATTAAGCGAGGATTCGATCCGCATCGTACGATGGTTGATAACCAGTATGTCGAAGATAAGCCTCGTTCTGGTAGGCCTACCAAGCAAGATCCTTCTACAGTCGATATTATCCTATCAAAGGTGCGCCTAGATCGATACGGCCGGGAAAAGACCTGCGCTGATATCGCTGGTGATCTTAGCAAGCTAGGAATCAATATCTCCGGTACAACGATCTATCGTGTGCTAAAGAACGCTGGCTTTCGGAAGACGAAGCCAACGAGGAAGCCTGGATTGACGAAGAAGATGCGTGCTGAGCGTCTTGCTTGGTGTCTTGCGCACGAATCCTGGACTTTAGAAGATTGGAAAAACGTTATTTTCTCTGACGAAACGTCAGTGATTCTTCTACACCGACGTGGAGGTTATCGAATCTGGCGAACTAAAGATGAGCGTTTCTTACGATCTTGTATTCGCGAACGATGGAAAGGCGCTTCTGAATTTATGTTTTGGGGATGCTTTTCTTATGATAAGAAAGGGCCCTATCACTGTTGGCTTCCAGAGACTGCGCAAGAAAAACGTGATGCTGAGAAGGAAATTGAACGTTTAAACAACGAGATTGAACCTACTCTACGTACTGCGTGGGAGATTGAGACTGGCGTACGCCGTCTAAATCTTCGTCAAAACCCTAGTGGCAGGAAGCCTACATGGAAGTTTACTGCAAAGAATGGTAAATTAGGCCGTGGAAAAAGAGGTGGAATCGATTGGTATCGATATCAACGACTTATCTTACTACCAAAATTGCTTCTATTCGCGCAAGAATGTGCTATTGAAAGACCGGGAACGCTTGTTCAAGAAGATAAAGCACCAGCGCATAATCATCATATCCAACAGCGTGTTTTTGATGCAGCACAGGTACAAAGATTACTCTGGTGCCCTAATTCGCCTGATCTTAATGCAATTGAGCCTGCGTGGCCTTGGATGAAGCGAAGAACAACACGTAAGGGAGCACCGAAGACCCGGCAGGAAGCGTTTAGTGCATGGAAGGCAGCTTGGCAAGAACTACCGCAGGAGAGGATTCAGCAGTGGATTGAGCGTATTCCTTGGCATATAAAGCAGATTATAGAGCTAGAAGGAGGAAACGAATATAAAGAGGGCAGGGAGAAGAAGCAGCAGGGTGATTGGGAAGATGTTTAGGGTATAGTAGGAAACGATGTTCATACAGTATTTTAAACAAGTGGTGGTCAATGCGCTGCTCATTTCTTTTGAAATGGACCTCCGTATACTTGCAAGCTATGCGGTAGGGCCAAATCAAAGCGCGGACCAATTCTTGGCGGGCCGAGACTCGCAAAAAGTTCCGACTTGCCATCTCCGCCCGAGCAACGTTTCTACCACCTGTGACGATTGACGATTGTCCAGCCTCGACTTTACACCAATGGCCGGTCTCCCTCGTGCTGCCTTCACGGCGCGCCTTCTCGCTATCCCTAGACAAAATGTCCCGCTGTGTCGCCGCATTCACTCATCGCCCTTGAGGGCCGCCGTTGCGCATCCCATTACGGCCCACGGTCCGCCACCCAAGGCTCCTGCGCCCGCACCTGGGTTCGCAGAGACTGCAGAGACACAAGCAGGTGTGGAGTCGACAACGGAGGGTCGAGATCTATCACAATTGAAGAAGCCTACTGTGTTGAAGAAGCGCTTCTGGAAGGATGTTCATGTTAACGGAAAGCCCGGTATGTTGCAGAATCGAGAATCGGAGATGTTATTCGCATCGCGGCATGTCTCTGCTTTTGTAATGACTATGAAAACTAACGTTTAATCTGCATCATTAGGTGAATACCAAGTGTTGTTGGACAAGCGCCCTGTACGAACACCCAACAAGGATATCCTCTCCATCCCCCCAACCAAGCCTCACCTCGCCCATGCCATCGCCCTCGAATGGGATGTCATGACCTCCGCCCAACAGGCCCTCAAGAGCCACTTGATTCCCCTAACCTCCCTCGCCGCGCGCGCCTCAGACATTGTCCGCGAAGATGCCCAGGGCGAACGCACCACTCGCGACCAGATCATCAACACCGCCATGCGGTACCTGGACACCGACACACTGCTGTGCTGGGAGCCCGAGCGTACGAACAGCGCACTGGACCGGGTGGGCGAGGAGGAGAAGGTCGAGAGTCTACGTGAGATCCAGATGCGGGTTGCAAAGGACATCATGAGCTTCCTGTCTACAAAAGTCTGGCCAGGCCTGGAAATTGTGCCCATTCTCGACGGGGAGAGTATCCTCCCCGTGTCCCAGCCGCAAGCGACCAAGGATAGCATCCGCACTTGGGTGTCTGAGTTGGACGCACATGATCTGGCGGGCTTGGAGCGAGGTATCCTAGCGACGAAGAGTCTACTGGTCGCTGTGCGGCTGCTGGTCGAGTGGAGTGAAAATTTCCGCCATGTCCAGCGACACGAAGCGAAGAAGTTTGGTCTTGAGGAGGCTACCGAGGCAGCTAACTTGGAGGTTAAGTGGCAGACGGATATGTGGGGTGAGGTTGAGGATACCCACGATGTAAACAAGGAGGATTTGCGGCGGCAGTTGGGAAGTGTGGTGGTGTTGGTGAGTGGTGAGACGAGATAAATGAGCAGAGGGCAGATGCTGCTTTTGTATAATATTCATGGCTTCTACGGAGTGAGTACTCGATACTCGGCACTCGAGCAATATTCGTGACTCGAGAGTCGAGACTCCACCTGGGGATAGAAGGTGAAAATCGCTATCTCCTCTGTACAATTATTATAGAAATGACGAGATCAAGTACCGATCATCAAGATCGGCTATCCAAACCTGCAAGTACTACGTAGGAGCGAAGGGTTCAGGAAAAATCAACAGGTCCTCGCAGCCAGTAGGAGGTCGAGTCCCCCGTGGATGTTTTAGTATACAGCGCTGCGCCGCCGTGCCAAGGCGGAGCGATCTGCGTTGCTTTGGCTTTCGCTTCTTCCCCCTCCTTGAAAACAACCCCAGGCTAAGAGACGTTGTTTCTTCCAGGCTTCAGGGCTCACTGCAATTTGTGCTCCTGCAAGAGTTCGTCCATCATGTCCGACAGACCTGAAGGGTGAGTACCATCTCTATACATCCCCGGACTCACCCCCTTAAACAACTACACAACACAGCTGTTGTCTCCGGGCTCCTCTACGCAGGGACCCATGGTTCGCTGTCCCGCGGTCGGTCATGACAGCATCTCACTCTTTGAACTGCTGCATCAAAGTCTAGTCAGACAATGCTGGCCAAAGAATAGATTGGGCTATAGAGAACTCCCAACTTCAAGCTCGAGCCTAATTTGAGTCGTGACCAGCGAACCAGCGAACCAAATCGCGAGCCTATCACATGTGAAGCAGCTGACTGACATGTCCCCGTTTCGCAGGCACAAGCGCTCCCGCAGTGCGCTGGCGCTTGCACTCCTGCATCGTGACAAGTCCAAGGGCGAAGACAAGGAAGCAGACGATACTACCGACAACGCTTCTGTCGGCACTGCCTCTTCGAATGGCTCGCCGCCCGCCCACCACCGCAGCAACAGCCGAAGCCGCCTGAGCCGAAAGAAGACCGTCTCTCCCCCCGAGCCCCTCCTTGAACATATCCCTACCAACACGAGCTACCAAAGCGCCGACGGCGACGTCAACGCCAACCCCAACGCCATGGACGTGCCCTCCGTCACGCTGACCGAGAGCGGTGGCAGCTTGTCCCTCGACCAGTCCGTGCGGACCTTCCGTCTGTTTGAGATCCTACGGAGCGGTGATACTACTGCCATCTCCAAGGCTATCAAGGAGTCTAGCGATCCCCAAGTGGAGAACAACTTGTACGGAACCACTATCCTCCACCTGGCCCTACAGTGTGCCGAGCCCCAGGTTGTCGAGTTCGTGCTGTCCTCGAGTGAGAACCTGGATATCAATGCGCGGGATCGCGAGGGGAACACCCCACTGCACTTGGCCGCACAGCTTGGCCGTGTCGCTCTTGTCAAGGATCTACTGAGTCGACCATCCGTCAATGACGCGATCGTCAACTACCGCGGCCAGACGGCGCTGGATGTTGCTCGTACACCGGAGATCTTCCAGCAGCTCCAGCTCGCTCGCTCCCTCTTCATCGACAGCAAGACGCAGGAGATCCAGGCCCTGGTCACCAAGGGCGATTACGATAGCCTGGAAACGTTGCTCGAGGAACCCCGCGTCGAGGGCATCATCGATGTCAACAGCCTGGACCTGGTCACGGATCGGACTACTGCGCAAACTGGTGGTACTTTGCTTCATGAGGGAGCTCGTAACAAGAATTTCCAGCTCATCGAGCTTCTCTTGACGCATGGAGCGGATCCGTTCCGCCGTGATAAGAAGGGCAAGCTACCCCAAGATGTTACCAAGGATGACAAGACGCGCGCTATGCTGAAGAAGTCCCCGGCTGCGGCGATTGCCCAGCGCGGTATACAGGAGAAGGCTATTTTGGGGAATAGCAATGCTCAGGGATTGTCCGGCCGTGTTTCGATTGGTGAAGCACCACTGGCTGGGAAGGATGCCCGTGAGATGAAGGGTTATCTTAAGAAGTGGACCAATTACACGAGTGGTTATAAGTTGCGGTGGTTTGTTCTGGAGGATGGCGTGTTGAGCTATTATAAGCACCAAGGTAAGTGGATGGTCTTATTTGGAGACAATTTGTATACTGTCATTCGTCTGAACAGTGGCTGATCCTCTATCTTTCTGACAGATGATATCGGCTCTGCCTGCCGTGGAGCTATTAACATGAAGATTGCTCGGTTGAGCATGGACGCTCAAGACAAGACTCGCTTTGACATTCACGGCAAATCCTCGGTCAAGTATCATCTGAAGGCGAACCATGTTGTCGAGGCGAAGCGCTGGTTCTGGTCATTGAACAATGCCATCCAATGGGCCAAGGATGAAGCCAAGGAAGAGGAGAGGCAGCGCTCACAGAATGCGGAGGCTCTTCGCCAGGCAAAGATCGACCAGACTGAGGGTCGTTCAACGGGAACTCCCTCTGAGTCCGGTCTGAGCCACAAGCCTAGCACAAAGGGCCTGGCACCTCCGTCTTTAAGCGTTCCCAGCGGTAGTATGACAAGGCTTAGCACCCATGCTTCGCGGACTACTCTTGAGACTACTGGTGGGGATGAAGATAGCTCTGTCTATGATTCAGTTGACCAAAGTACTTCTCCGAACGAAGTGAACCGTGTGACTAGCCATGTTCCAAGTGGTCCCGACGGGGAAGCCGAGGATGATGACTATGGGGACTATGCTTCCAGCCATGAGGATGCGCCAAATGAGGACAAGGATGCGCTCAACATCACCGCGCAGTCAGCGAAGCTCCAATTGGATCTCCTGGCCAACGTCGCCGCATCTCTGCAGGCTGAACGGGCCAAGAACCCCGAAACGTCGATTTCAGACCCGGCCGTCGAGCAGGCACTGGGTGCGTATGAGGCTGCTGTCAGCAGCCTGAATGGCCTAGTGCAGAATCTCCTCAAGATCTCGCGAGATCGCGATTCCTACTGGCAGTATCGACTGAACCGGGAGGAGTACCTCCGCCAAATGTGGGAAGAAAGCATGGCCCGTGTCGCTCAAGAGCACGAGGAACTGCAGTCCAGGATGGGCGAGTCTGAAGAGAAGCGTAAGCGAACCAAGAAGGCTCTGAAGGAGGCTCTGGAAAACGCGACGGCGAGCAGTCGCTCGATGACTGGTCCGCCATCTCGCATGCCGATGGATGGTTCTGCAACTCTGGAATCCAGCCAGCCTCAGATTCGGGAGTTGGAGAGTACCACTGGAGATGAGGAGCCCAGCCAGGCGCCCATCATGCCTACTCTCAACCGCAAGCCGTCGGTTCTGTCACAGATTAGTAGCCTGTACGACTCCGAATCGGATGGTGATGAGTTCTTTGACGCTATTGATGCGGGTGAGATTGAGGTCGAGGAATTCAAAGAGAGCGAGAAAGTGGAGGAGCCTCAAGATGAAAGTGCTCAGGCTCGCGCGAACAAGCTTGCAGTGGTCAAGGCTTCTTTCAAGGGTTATGAAGAGCCTGTGCGTGAGCGTCTGAAGATGGATAACGATGACCGGCCTAAGATTTCTCTCTGGGTAAGTAATGTCGAACGATGTATGCGGAGCCTAGAACATACGCTAATTAGCATTTCTTCAGGGTATTCTGAAATCCATGATTGGAAAGGATATGACCAAGATGACCCTGCCTGTGTCTTTCAACGAGCCTACTTCCTTGCTGCAGCGTGTCGCTGAGGATTTGGAGTACACCGATCTTCTTGATATCGCTGCAGACCGGTCTGATTCTATGGAACGTCTCGTTTATGTTGCCTCGTATGCTGCTAGTGAGTATGCTTCGACTATCGGGCGTGTGGCGAAGCCGTTCAATCCGCTGCTTGGTGAAACTTTTGAGTATGTGCGGCCCGACAAGGGCTACCGGTTCTTCGTGGAACAGGTTAGCCATCACCCACCGATTGGTGCGGCGTGGGCTGAGTCGCCCAAGTGGGATTACTGGGGCGAGTCATCTCTCAAGTCCAAGTTCTACGGAAAGTCCTTCGATATCAACCTCCTCGGTACCTGGTTCCTCAAGTTGCGCCCGATTACCGGCGGCGAGGAGCTGTACACCTGGAAGAAGGTCACGTCTTCTGTGATTGGCATCATCACCGGAAACCCCACTGTTGATAACTACGGTTTGATGGAGATCAAGAACTGGACCACTGGCGAGGTCTGCTACCTGGACTTCAAACCTCGCGGTTGGAAGGCCTCGTCTGCCTACCAGGTCTCTGGCAAGGTCGTTGACCGTAATGGCTCACCTCAGTGGACCATTGGCGGTCGCTGGAACGACAAGATCTACGCTCGTCACACTCCCGGCTTCGAGGCTCCCGTCTCCGGCCAAGATCCCGAGTCAGCTAAGACCCTCCTGGTCTGGCAGGCACACCCCCGCCCGACAGGCATTCCTTTCAACCTGACTCCCTTCGTCATCACTCTGAATGCCCTGCCCAAGGGATTGAGGGAGCACCTACCTCCTACCGATACTCGTCTGCGTCCTGATCAGCGTGCTATGGAAGACGGCGAGTATGACCTCGCTGCCACCGAGAAGCACCGCGTCGAAGAGAAACAACGCGCCAAGAGGAAAGAACGCGAGGCCAACGGCGAACTTTATAAGCCGCAGTGGTTCGTCCGGGATAGATGTCCCATCACCGGGGAGGAGTTCTGGGCCCATAATGGCAACTACTGGGCTAGCAGAGATGCCCATGATTGGAGCAGGTCGGAGGATATTTTCTAATCGAATAGTGGATTTGGCCATTGCATCGCATCACCCTGGAGATTCCCGCCTTGTGACTTATACCTTCCCCGTGTATCTTGTTGTAATTCTTTTTTGGGTTCTTCTTTCACGAAGTCGAAGTTCGACTTCGCTCTGTACAAGACTTTTATTCTTTGGCAGCGTTCATGAATAGATACACGACGCAATAACTTAGCTCTTGTTGATATCACTGTATGTTCGGTAAATCTAAAACAATTTAAGCATCTGTATATGAGAAGTCGGTAGTTATTGCTCAATACCTAGTTAGAAATAATCCGAATTGGAGTTCTCGAGGAAATGTACTCCACTCCGTACATCATGCAACTCTCCACATATCAGTCACGTGCCCGAGACAACTCGGCTGGAAAAAGCGCCAGACCAGCCCGCTGGACTTCACCTTCACCACCCAAAATTCACAATGGCAGGAGGATACACCTGTGCTCAATGCCTTCGGGGGCTCCGGCAGGGCATCCGTGCCTCCGGTTCCCCAGCTCGTCTACAGGGTCTGACCCATTCCCGCCGGCAATGCGCCATCTCCCCATCGTGGACTCGCAGCTTCGGTTCCGAACGCAGCAACAACCGCCCTCTGGGTGTCAAAGCTGCAGACCAGAGTAGTGGCGCATCTGCCAAATCAACTCAGCCTGCAAAGCCCACCGCATCGGCATCCAAGCCCTTCTCCCAGCGCGCAGCCTCCACCTCCGTCGACCCGCATGCCCTCCTGAAACCAAACAACCTCTTCCACTCCTTCTCGAACTCGCCCTCGCCCGCCATTCGCCAGCGCGCCGCCTTCATCAAGCAAAATGCCTTCTGCCCACACCCAAGCCACCAACAGACCCGTGCCCCATCCTCCCCGCACGATCCGGAAGCTCGCAAAACCGCTGCCACCGACGAGACTAGCCAGCCGCCGGCTCACTCGCACTTTGAATGCCCTGACTGCGGTGTCCCGATTTACTGCTCCGAGGGTCACTGGATGGATGATTTCGAGGCTCATCTTGAAGTCTGTGAGACGATTCGCCAGATTAACGAGGATGATCATGACTTGAACTCTGGCCGGTTCTTCCCCGAGTTCTCGTACCCTGGTGTGCAGGATGATAATTTTGTGATTAACATGACCAATTGGGATACTTATATGTATACCCGCGAGTTTGAGGCTATTAATTCGGATCGGTCTATGCGTCAGGTTACTCGGATGCTCACGTATCCGCAGACGATTGCGAGCGTCTTGCATGAGCTGAGCCCGTACAGTGTTCGGGGCAAGAACCGTTTGACGGCTGAGGGATTGAAGAGTTTGAGCGGTATGTCTAATGGACTCAAAGGGATCACCTATTTGGAAAGCCACAGCTTGCTGACATCAATTGATCGATTCTTCTAGCTCTCCGCTATTCTCTGCACCCACCCAAGACGGGTGAAGACATAGACATCAAGGGTCTGCGCCTCAAAGCGCCTCCAGTCCGCATCTTCATCCTCGGTGCCCGCGCCGAGTCGTCCCTACCTCGGGATGTCTGGCTCCAGCTCTCCTACATGTTCCCCGGCGCCCTGCTTCACCTAGTCTTCATCGGACCCGAAGCCATGGCCAACCGCGATGCAGAGTTCCCTCTCCCCGAGCGCACACCCTCCAACCCCTTCGGCGGCATCGTCGAGGACCGCCTCGGTGGCCAGATGAAGATCACCACTTACGTCGACTACTTCCACACCATGTACGAGGCGCAGTACTTCCAGCCCTTCGACCCGTATCTCGACTGCTTCATGCTGTTCCACCCCGGCTTGGGTCACCCGGCCTCGTCGCACGAGTGGGCCAAGACCCTTCCCCAGCTGCTGGAGACCAAGGTGCCAATTCTGTGCACGGGTTATACGCAGTGGGACATGGAGCGTGATATCAACTGGGTGCACGAGAAGTGTGCCGGTGAATTTGATATCCTCCTGGAGCCTGGTGAGAACGTTTTCCGCAGTCTGCGTTGGGACTTGAATGATATGGACCCGCATGATGTGTCGTGCGGAAACTGGGGAGTGTGGGGTTTCCGTGGCAAGAGGTATGTTATCTTAACCCTGGCTTAGCCTGACGCCTGCTTGGAAAATTTCTTCGATGCTAATATGATCCTTTTCTTTTGCAGATACGAGGCCACTTTCAAGGAGTAAACTGTGAACTCCTTCTTGTTCTACCGAGATCGAGGATACGGTAGGATGTAAGTGATGGGTGCTCTTTTGTATGATATTGGATCTACTCCGTTGGAGTTCATCCATTGTGTTATTAAGTAGATAGATAGATCTATGAGTATTCTCCTCTTATGTGGGTGTAAAATTGTTATGTGATATCAAATCAAGTGCCAGGCTCAATGTCCTATTGGAGTATCTCCGTCGTACCAAATGTCATCTCCTATCTTAGCTTAAAATGTACAACTTGCGAATCCACTTTTTGTGATTGAAATTATGCTTACTGTGGTGAAACAAGAAATGCTGCCGTTCTCGGGCAGTTGGGGAGACTAAGTGTTCGATCCGAAAATCTCTCAAGTCTAATAAATCTTGTGATATACGTCTATAGATAAGTCTAAAATAGAAAAAACCCTTAGGCACGATACATTTAAGAGCGCTGTTATTCTCTGCTACTGCCCTCTATGGCCCGACGCTACTTTTTTCGCTAGTGTATAACGTTAAAGAATATTTGAATGGAATATCAGACCAAAGATAAAATGAATTAGAGGGAGATTAGGAAGATAATGAGAGAGAATTAGAAAGAGGTTTGGAAAGAGGTTTGGAAAGAGGTTTGGAAAGAGGTTTGGAAAGAGGTTTGGAAAGAGGTTTGGAAAGAGGTTTGGAAAGAGGCTTGGAAAGAGGCTTGGAAAGAGGCTTGGAAAGAGGCTTGGAAAGAGGCTTGGAAAGAGGTTTGGAAAGAGGTTTGGAAAGAGGTTTGGAAAGAGGTTTGGAAAGAGGTTTGGAAAGAGGTTTGGAAAGAGGTTTGGAAAGAGGTTTGGAAAGAGGTTTGGAAAGAGGTTTGGAAAGAGGTTTGGAAAGAGGTTTGGAAAGAGGTTTGGAAAGAGGTTTGGAAAGAGGTTTGGAAAGAGGTTTGGAAAGAGGTTTGGAAAGAGGTTTGGAAAGAGGTTTGGAAAGAGGTTTGGAAAGAGGTTTGGAAAGAGGTTTGGAAAGAGGCTTGGAAAGAGGCTTGGAAAGAGGCTTGGAAAGAGGCTTGGAAAGAGGCTTGGAAAGAGGCTTGGAAAGAGGCTTGGAAAGAGGTTTGGAAAGAGGTTTGGAAAGAGGTTTGGAAAGAGGTTTGGAAAGAGGTTTGGAAAGAGGTTTGGAAAGAGGTTTGGAAAGAGGTTTGGAAAGAGGTTTGGAAAGAGGTTTGGAAAGAGGTTTGGAAAGGAGGTTGAAAAGGAGGTTGAAAAGAAGTCCTCCGAGTGAAGAAACTTTAAGACCCGATCTTGGTATAAAAGGAGACCACTTATACACCAAACCATAGTCGAACAACTCGCAACCATCGTGCATACCTATTCACGTCCAGGTAAAATCTCCACGGACTCAAAGCAACATGAACAACATTGCACTCAACATCATATGCAACCAATGCATCAGCCTTCCTCCGATTCCATGACCTCCCAAGTTCTATCGGGTACCATAATCCGATCAGCAGGATAGTGGCTATAGCCAAGAATGACAGACAGAGCAGTGGTGACCACTTTCTGTAGTACCTTTTGAAAGATATTTCACTGTTGATAGATATTTTCGCCATTATAATGACGGCTGGTGCAACGATAGCGATGACTAAACCCGTCACGCAAAGCCCAAATGGGAGTCCTTTGCCCATATCTCCGGGGAGGTTGAAGTATGGTGCACTGAATAGCCACTCCTTGGAGCAGATTTGCTCCGCGGAACAGGTCGATGTTCCCGGTGCGGTTGTAATCTGCGCTGCTAGGCATGTATAACTGTCGTAGATATTTTTCGTGCCTCCGGTCATGCTTTCGTCTGTTACTGCAAGGTAGAATGTGGCGGCACACTGCAGGATTGCTAATAAGCCAAATATCCACGGCAGAGCACGGGCGATCCTTGGTACTCTTGCAAAGATGCATGAGTATGGGTGGTATTGGAGCAGACTCGAGTATCCCCAAGTAGTCAACCAGGAAATCAAAGACAGCGTAGGCCATGGGACTGGACTGATGATAGAGTCGGCGAAAGAGACCCACCAGACCACAAGAGGTCCGCAGAGATGATACACAATAGCTAGCCAGTCGATGATCCCGAGTTCTCTCCATCCGCGGCAAGACTTTGTTCTGGTCTTTTTATGGAACCAGGGAGACGTTTTTCTCAAACTCCAGATAGTAGTCCACGCGCTGAGAATGACAAACCACCAGCCGTGCAAGGCAGTAATTCCCATAGCGGAGTCATTCGCAGATGATGGAATGACCTTGTAGTCGTTGAAGCAGCTGACAGTCTGACACCAGTCATATGAAACTTTGTTCTCTGTTGTAACTTGGGTGCCAAGGATATAAAACCGTCCCAGGTTTGCATAGTAGGCACCGTGACCGGAACCACTCTCCTTCATCCACGTCGTCAATATTGCGCTGCAGTTGGATGCGTCAGGAACCACTGCGGCGCAATCCTTGAAGCGAGTATTCTTGTAGAGGGCAAACTCCGAGTCGGTTGAGGTGTTCGAGTTGACCAATAGGTAGATAAGAATCCCGACGATGGCGATGATATTCAGGGTCGCAAGCACAAGGACATTATACGAAGCGATGACTATGGGTCGTCTCGCCCAGATTTGATCATCGCTAGTCAAGGGCCACTCGAGTTGACTGCATTCATTGTGTCTTTCATCTGAAGACGATTAGCAAATGTTGAACATATTGTCTTCTTGGCGGTAGATAGAAATTGTTTCACTTACTATCACGTACTGTGTCCAGTTCAAGTGTATCGTAATAGTAGCGGGAGCTCGAGTGCACCATTGCTATTTCTGGATGCCACTTGCGGCTGCAAAAGTTAAGGTTCGTAAGTGATAAGAGTATAGAAAGGAAGATTCTTGATATTGCTAGGGGATATAAATCATAGAGCCCGGGATATCACCCCTCTTTTATGGGTATCATATTTCATGTTGGATGATTTCGCGGCTCTTCATGAACGCTACCATAAGCGGCCCCCAAGACAGCCGATATTCATAGGACAGTAAAGGCTGCGTATCATGCATGTTACGGACAAAACAACACTCTGTGGCACCAGCCTTCTATTTAGAATTCTACCTATACTGCATATGAGCAGCCAACCAGTGCTAGAGTTTTTAGCCTCTAGATCCCCAAATAGCAAACCAGGGCCACGGGGATCTGACTATAGCTATAGATTGCCCCGATATGAAAGCCGTATGCACCGTGCCCCCAGACAAAGCAAACAAACACGAGTCATGCAGCCTGATAGGGAATAGTTGATTGGATATCCTAATCCTTGTCGAGAAATAGGCTGCGGACGACATTGGTGCCCCGTGGGGTCCTCTCGTACCCAAACGGGGATTGTACAGAGGGAGTCTTGGCAGCTGAACACATACATCTGCTGGTATATGCCGGAGTTCACACGCCTCCTGCTACTGTAACCGGGCTCGGGATATTAAAAACCCGGGACTTTCCACGTTATCTTCACTTCCTTCGGGTTTGTTGAATAAGCATTTATTTCTGAAGGTGTGTATACTTCCCGGTTTAATACGGAGGGCTGGGCTGTTTCTCATTGGTTGGTTCCTGAAGAGTGCTGACTAAGTCATAAGCGAACGTCCCGCCATCTCCAAACTCCAACTGGATTTTCCAACTTCTCTTCTGCTTCAATACTTTCCACATCTCAACCGAGACATGCCAGAATCCAATGCTGATTCAAGCAATAGGTCTTCTCAAACCAAGCTACCATGAACTGCCATAGCTACTAACTCCCAGACTTCATCATCCCCGCCAAGCTTTCATCCAAGCTCCGACATGTTGCCTCCCATCCCAACCCATCTCCAGCTCGAAACAAAACAAACATACTGAATATTCTTGATGATAATGGAGATTTATCACCCCGCAACCCCTCAATTCAGCTGTCCCAGTCCCTATGGACACCCATCACGGACCCTTCTTTGAAGGACAGTCACCACAGCGTCGCGTTTTGTGGCCGTGACCGACTGGAGCTGAATTGGGAGCCGGAGGGACCCCCTCGGGGGTCTCTCTCTGCTATTCGTCATTTGGGTTGCTAGAACAAGCAAAAGGGCCTTCATAGTTCATGTTATACTTGCTCGAGTCTCTCTTCTTCTGCTTCGGTGGAGGGGGGTTAACTTTGTCTACGAGAGCATGACTCCTTGCGCACCTACATCCTTGTTTATAGCCGTTGAAATTTTCACAGATATAATAGAGGCTTCATGCTCAAATCTTACTACTCACTCTCTCTACTGAGCTAGCGTTTTAGCATAAGTCGAAATCTGGATGGTCGCAATAAATTAAAAGCCTAGTACATACTCATCTCGCCTCGTCTTGCTTCTGGACTATTAGTATTGCAGATGCATTACACACCGCCTATCCTCCACGATCATGGCTTCACCTACACTAAGTCATCCGAAGCACCGTCATGGTGAACCAGTTGCACATTATAGACTCGGTGGCTCAAGCATACCTGACTTATGGTGTATGATCCGATACTCAAGTTGACTCTCCTCATAGTAAACAACGACTCGATGATTTCATTATCTGATATTTGATAAGTGATATAGCCTTGGTATATCTTCTAAAATCCACATGGTCCCCAGACTAGAGCTTGCTCTTGGCCTTCTCATTGCTAATCACATTAACCACGACCTTACCCCAGGTCTCCCGGCCTCCCAGCGCTTTCAACGCCTTGGGAACAGTCTCAAGGCCATTGAAACTCTCATCACTAAAGGCCGTACCCTTGAACTTGCCCTGCGCAACAAGATCAAAGATCCCCTTCCACACTGCATCAACCGCCTCCGTCTCATGCTTAGCATACATTCCCCAATGCAATCCCACCAAGCTAACATTCTTCAACAACACACGATTCAGCGCAACCTTCTCAATCTTACCAGCGGCAAATCCAATAACCAACAGCCTAGCGTTCCAAGCAACACACTTTAAACTCGCCTCAATCATCCCAACAGGATCATAAACGATATCCACACCAGCCTTGCCATTCCCCTGTCGATGCGTAGCACACAACTTCTTCACCTGCTCCGGCCACGCCTTATCCGTATAATCAACGACATAATCCGCGCCAAACTGAGACGCAATCTCACGCTTACGCTGTGTGCCAGCCGTAGCAATGACAGTTGCACCCTTGGCCTTGGCAATTTGCACAGCTGCCAGACCAACGCCACCAGCTGCCGCATGCACGAGCACCCAGTCGCCAGCCTTTACGCCGGCACGGTGCACCAGGGCACCGTAGGAGGTAGGCGCGGTAACGAACAGACCAGCCGCATCCTCGAAGCTCCAACCCTCGGGCACGGGGAGAAGGCTGGCTTCTGGGGCGAGAACGTGGGTAGCATAAGCGCCCTGTGTAGCGCCGAAGACGCGATCACCGACGCGGAAGCGAGGGGATGAGGCGGCAGTTGGGACTGCGGCGATGATGCCGGCGAATTCGGAACCGCCGACCCAGGGGAGGGGAGGTTGGTGCTGGTATTTGCCTTGGATTTGGAGGATGTCGAAGAAGTTTGTGCCGGCGGAGTGGATTTCGATGAGGTATTTGTCGGCGGATGGGGTGGGGGTTGGGACTTCGGTGACTGTGAGGTCTAGTGGGCCCTGTTTGAGGTTTCAGTATTATGGTTGTGGGTGACATTTTGTTTTTCAGATCTTGGTCAGATCGTGGTGGAGATAAGGTTGGGGGAGATGGGTAATTGGTACTAGAGCTTACCTTGACATATTCTTTGACTTGAACGGCGCGCATTGTGGCGGTTGGGTATATGAATTGGAAATATACAGTAGGGAGCTTATGTGAGAAGAGAAAAGAGGCAATCGCAGGTGTAAGAAGTGAGAATAATAGTATCTCAAGTGAAAATGTGGAGAGCTGAACCCAAGTCAGATGACTTGAGTTTGGGGGAAGCTTTTTCCCCACGTGGAAAAAATGCCGAGGGCCCGAGGTATCTTGTCGGATAAACCCCAGCCAATAGTTAACTATCAACTACGCCGGTAAAGTGATAACATTTTAGTGGGCAAGTGAATTATATGATTTAAGTGAGAGACCATAGCTAACACATTCGAGATAATATTACTCTTGACAATCTAAATTTACTGTGCAGTACCTACTTAGCTAAATAATTGGTAGCTTAGTCAAGCTTCAAGTAGTCAAAATGTGGATACAATCAACTCAAGACCAGGTGAGACTAATATGAAACCCAATAATTGAACTCCAAGAACTTGTTTCATAGCCGTTTCACAAACTAATTCCTACCAAACCTAAGTCGAAGGACCATTCCCTGCAGGAATCGTTTCATGCCAAATTTAGGCAATACCAGGAGAGAACATCTATCTCCGAGAATCACAAACCGCCACCAAGTCGATCATTACGACCCGAGTGAACGGTCAAACGGAGGAATGAGCCACGGTTTGCCCTTCGCAAGAAGTAGGCAATATCATTGAATGATCGTGTATCTCGGCTGGACTTCATTGGTAGGATCAATATCCTACCGATCTAGATCCGTGGTCCTTGAACGGGAGTACCAAACATTTCCGGTAAAGTCGCCGAACAAGTAGTACTACCTAAGTATCTATCTTGTTTTGAGAAAGTGCAAGTTTCTTGCTGGGTCTATATTCCGAACGTATAGCTTGTTGTTGAAGAGGTAATTGAGGACCCTGGAGTTCGGACGTCTTGCTGTATCTATCAAAAGTGGAGTCACAGTAGTAGTTAGTGGGCTTTTATGGCGATCTTTTCGGCATCATGTGATTAGCCATGATCTGATATTCGGATGCATGGGCCGTGTAGCTCCCAGATAGGGTAGAGGGCCGTTAACTGTTGATACGGTCCAAGTGTATGATCTGCACTGATCATGGTCCCACGGTTAACTTTCAATCTCTAATTCTTGGGTTTCCTTGTTTTCGCTATTACTCCAATAGCGAAGCCTTATTCCGACGGAGGGAGTGAATCAGAGTTTCTACAAGTGATGTTCTTTGAGATAGAGAGATTTAGATAATTAATTGGTTAGATGTGAATTCCGTGAGACACAATTGTACCTCTCAGGGTACTTTAGCACATCAGTACATCATTAAAACATTGGATCAATTCACCAGAGGTATCAATATAACAAAAGCCGCCTATGCCAACGCCGAAAAACACAACAACCCAATAACAGAGAAAATTGAGAAAGATTCCAAATTGAATCGACCGCCCACTTCGTAGGGTCCAACACCGCGAGTATGTCGTACATGAGATCTATAAGATACGGATCGACTGCCCATTTTCATATAAGATTAGAGAAAAAGGAACAAGATAGTGCAAATGGAAAAAAAAAAGGAAACCAGAGGAAGGAATTCGGGGAAAATATAGGTATCACAGGAGAACAACATCAAAAAATGCCGTTAAAAAGCAGTCCACATGGCAGATGTGTCTGCTTCTGTGCCACTGGCTGATCTTTAACCCATGTATGGGACCATGGGCGCACACATCACTGCGTGCGGACCAGCCTGGGACGCAGGGATGGGCACCATTCCATGAGGGGCGATACCATGGTAGTTGATATGTTTCCTCTCGTGCTCAGGTCGGCCATGGTGCCCAGCATAATCATATTGAAGGGACATGGTCCGCTTCCACTGCTTCGCATCATAACCATGGTAGTCAGGCATCTCGTAGGGAGCAAACTCTGTCGAGAAAACGCCTGGGCCGGGAGAAACAACGTATCCGGCAGGATGAGGAGGTGGTGCTAGCGGTGCAGATTGTGGAACACCTGAGGGGGGTGGACTGAATGGTTCGAATGACATGCCGTACCATTGCGCGGAATGTAAAGCCGGATTGAAGCTCATATCAACAGACACCGAACGTGGAGGCCATTGTGCCACGGCGGGAGTGGTAGTTGAATCTGGACTGGGCATGCACGACCCCGGTGAGAGCGGGTATGCGGCGTACGTGGGCGTGACGGCGGAGGTAGTGTTGAGCATGAGACCCTCAGTCACTGGGGACGTCTGAGCGGGTTGCTCAAAGGACGTGGTGGTGGAACTGGCTTCGGAGAATGAGTAGCTTGCTGGATGCCTGTCGCAGACGAGGGTATGGTCACCCGATGGGCTGGGAGTCAATTGTTGGGCGATGTGAGTATTCCACTTGCCCGGCTGTGGGATCTCTGCCGGGGTGTAGATAGATTGTGCCGCCCAGTCTGAGCGGGTGGTCGAAGATGATGATGAGGGGTTCCGAGTCACCGGAGATGTTCTGCTGTTACGAGGCGATGTTGAGCCTCTGCTGTCCTTTTCGGACTCGGGATCCTCAGAGCCTTGAGGTTTCTTCCGAGTCTGACGTGATGGTTTAGTGACACGCCATTTCTTAAGGCGACTTCGCAATTGGGTTTCACTGGCGGAGACTCGTTAATTTTCCAGGTCGAATTTGATTATATGCAGCTATAGATAGCAAGACAAAGAGAGCATACCTAGGATTGAAATCGTCTGAACGAATTTGTTTGATGACTTGTTTGAGCGGCCATTCCTCCTCCATATACAACTTGGCAATCACCGCTTTCTTCTTCTCCCAGACATCTGAGGATATGGAGGTCTTCATTCTTCCAATTGAAAGATGTGAGGTGTGAGACAGTAGATAGTAGACAATAAAAGTCTATTAAATTGCGTAAGGAAGAATTGTTTGAAGTAGAAGAGTGTGAAGGAAAGAAGCCTTGAGGGAGGAAGACGATAGGAGGCCAATGGTAGTATAAGTAGGAAAATAGAGTTGTCGAGGCCAAAATTGAATGAGTGATAGAAGACCCAAAAAGAGGCGAACCAACGAAGGGAAATTGCTATGATGATAGAGTAGAGTAGTGTAGAGGGAGAGAGGGGAGAAAAGAGGAAGAAGATGGAGGAGAAGATGAGAGAAAAGAGGATCCGGGGAGGCGCGATATAGACTGGATTACTGGATCACTGGATCCCGAATCAGGACGACTCCAAGTCACGACACTCCTCAACTCCCAAGTTCCAACTTGGACCACTACAACAGATACTCCGATTTCCTCACTACACACACACACACACTATTATTCCCACTTCACAATCTCAACGCCCCGAGTCAGAGTCTAATCCGTTCGGGTCTGGATCATCTCCACTTCTCGGGGGGGTTCTTCTCTAATCTCCCATGGCTTCGGGTCTGTCACTAACGTCCTTCCTGTAGGATCTGTTACCAACTTACCCCCCTCTTCTCCTCCTTTCCCCTCTTAGGCTCTTCCATGGCTCCGTGGCGTCAGAACCAACACGCATGGTCGATCATCTCGGGATTAGCATGACGATGCTTGACGTGGTGCTCGATGTGCCCGACCTCGGTGGATGTGGATCGACAAAGATCCTCGGTAGGTGGATCATTGACATCTCGCGCCATCGCCAGCCATCAGGCAACTCTGGTTATCCTCGCTATCCCTAATGGAGCGCTTGGCGCATGGGGGTTCGTTGCAGAACAAAGGGCTCCTCCAGGATCATAGTTGGCACTACAGAAACTATACAGCAACTACAGGGCCACAACCCTCGTTTCTATCCCGTCCCCACTGGCACCTGGCACTACAAGTCCAGATCGCAGATTCAGAGTTGACTGATCATCCGGCGGGATAAGCAACTCCATTATATCCATGACAGCTGACAGCCTCGTTCCTGTTTTGTCCCTGGAATTCGCAATCGCTGCATTGCAAGACTAGAGTTGATCTATCGACGATAACAGACCAGGATTTTCCCAGATCCAATCTTCCAAAACACGCCACGAGAAACTCGCCCTTGCCCAAAATTCCATAATTTCCTCCATAATTCGAACATTTTATTCCGAATAGTCAGGAGGACAGCCAGAACTACTACTGGAAACTCTCTCCTCCCCGTCAAAGGTCCATCTGCAGGGTGGTCTCTGTGTGACCGGCTACTATGGCCTGGAAATCCGGCCCACCGTACCAAGATGGGAATAACACTCCGGTCATCCTTAGCAAGTCATGCGGAAGCGGAAACGCAAAACGCGCTCCTGGGTCTGATTTACATTGGCCCTGGTCCCCAGGCTAAGCTGGCTAGCCTTGTGGAGTTGGATTGTCATGGCCAGGGAAAGCTCCGGGAGGTCCCAGATAAGCCTGATTTCCCACATTTTTTTCATTACTGTTATTATTATTATTTGCTGCCTCATGGCTAATTCTCACGCTAGGCCTGGTTTGGGGTTTATGTCTCCTCATCCTATGATCCTGGGTTCTTCCCCCAGTCCAGGACTCCACCCTAAATGGTGATGCTAGTCAGCCTGGATCTCCAAAGCCAAGGTCGCCGATCCTCACCGGTCCGGGCTTCTCTCACGCGTTGTATGGCTGGAGTGAACTCGACACAACGGAGCTGTTCCCAAATGAAGACGATCAGAGCCGTTGGGCGTTTCAAACCTTCTCGGAATTTAGAATTAGTTGCAATTCTGCCAAATCCACATGCACCCAAGTTTTGATTTGCCGACTCATGGTTAACTATTGGAGGCAAAGGTAAGGGGGCTCGGGGAGGGGAAATCGAAGGACGCAAGAAGAGAAAGAGAGGGGCACAATCCAGAGATCCTCAGAGCCGCTCCGATTATCGTTCCCGTCTCCAGACGCTATCGAATGAACGGTGCGCCAAACGGCCGGTAAGCTCTCAACCTAATGGACAAGCTGCATCTCCATCCCGCTGTACAGGATTCTCACGACCATCTCCCCTCTCTTTCTCGATTTGGGTTGTCGCAGAGGTCTCACCCTCTTAAGCGTTCTGCCGTCTATGTCCCGCGTTATCCCCCTTCTGGTCAATAAGGCTTCGCCTTGGGCCGAAACCACTAGACACTGCCACGCGAAAGCGGTATGGTGTCAAGGTCTAGTGGGAAGCCCCTCTCGGACGAAACCAATGATGACGCGATTTGTGGAGCAGTAGTTCGTGAGGGCGCCAATCGATCCGGCTGTGGATCGCCCACGATCTTCCCGGGTCCTCAATAGTGGATGGAGTGGAGTCCACTGTGGCCCAGTGAGCATAGAGCCGCCCTGAGCCTGAGAACTCCGAGTCGCCCTCACCAATGCCTCTATCGTTTCGTGGTCTGTGAAGGGTTCACCGGAAACTATTCGCTGGGTGAATAACTGGATGGTGAGCAATAAAACATCAATTAAAAAAATGCCTGAAAAGGAAGTTAAAGTGAAAACAGCCAGACGAGGGACCATCAGGATGAGAAAAAGCAACAAGTATCCGTACAGGCTACAGACATCTGGCCGAAGTCGCCACCCTGCACATCCTCGCTACTAGCTAGTATGGCGTTCATGCTGCTTATTTTCTTACGAGCTTCCTGCCAATCAATTCGAGTGTGCGATGTGCTCTCGCAGCTGCATCTGTCACACTTGTAGGTTGCCTGGCGCGCGATGCGATGCACAAGCCGTCAACATTCCGGGGGATTTTCCATGCGGGCCAAAGTACCAACGTTCGTTCGACTCAGCATGCCAGACGACTCCTGAGTGGTTGACAGCCGCATGCTGCATGCTCGAGACTCCATACTCCATGCACTCCGTATTCCATGTTATCTCCGTAGCTCACCAATGGATTTAACATCATCCAAACAGCGTTGCTCCTTCTTCCAAGGTTCGACAATGATTCTCGGGATACGGAGTCTACTCCAAGTACCGAGACTATTGGAGGTCTTGGAGATGGGCTACGTCAATCTCCAAATATCCGGAAGCCCAACCCCGGAACCCTAACACGTTTTCTTTGTCGGAAGATCCAAAAGTCAAATCCGTCCAGAACTCCAGGGACCGAGGTCGTTGCCTACAAGTCTATCTATCTCAAACCCCCTTGGAACGGATCTGGAACTGAGTCGCATCCTTGTATTGCCAGGCGCAAACAAAAAGAACCGACCAATCCCCAGAAGAGAGAAAGAAATCAAATCGCGCCAGGATCGGAAACGTGTCGATCGATAGCTTTGTTCTACACCGACTCGTCCTGACTCGACCCCTGGTCAACATAAGTCAAGTTATGAACTGCAGACTACGGAAGAGATGCTAAGCAAAGAGAGAAGCGCCACCAACACAAGAGCGGCAGATACCGCAAGCATTGCCAATCAGAGAGCTTTCCGAAGGCAGTTCGAGGGCGCATCCAGACTCGGAGTAGTTCAAAGTCTTCCACTATTTTGTTATGCTGCAGCTTGCTACACAAGAGGACCAAGTCGAGTCCATTCCTTGACGCCAGGCGAGAGACACGTTCAATTTCGTTCGTTCTCCTCTCCTATTCGCGGCATTTCCTTGATCCAATTAGAAGCCCAGACGATATACTTTTTAGAACCTTTCCTCCGCTTACGAAACCTGGGCAATCACAAGCAGCACTCGAGATTAAACAGCCGAGAAGCGAGGCGAATCGATTTTCGCCAGCCAAGCGATCTGGCTAGCAGACTAGCAGACTATTGTTCTGTATTTGGCTAGATGCTTAGGGCGAAAATCGATTTAGAGGGATCCTCCGGATCTCCGTGGATCCACTGCCACTCATGGTTGAGGTTCTTCTTCAACCTCCACTCCGTCCAATACAGTGCTACTGTACTATTGAGCTCCGTTAACTACTGTCTACAGTTCCATCCACTACGTTCAATACATACCTTCACCACATCGGAGCAGTTACTCTACCTAGATCACTCTCCGTTGGGACATTTTGTCAGCGCGCCCAGGTCCTTCCAGTCAAGTTACTTACTCCGTTCTCCACTCCTGCGACACCTTCCCCAAAGTCTCAACCCCAAAGACCCAACCAGGTCTTAGAGCTGCACAGTCCAGCTCAGCCAGGGCCTAGCAATGCCAGTGTAAGGACCAAGCTGACCAAAATGGGGCGAATGAGCACGCAGAGCACGAAGAACTACTACATATGACCGTTGAAGCCTCGGCGAATCTTCGGAGGCACTATCCTGAACGGATCGTCTGAAACCCCGTTTGCGTTCGGCTGTCTGACTGCAGAAACTTCAACCATGGAAAGTTTAAATTGCCTTACCCCAACTGTCTCCGTCGTAACCGATGCGTATTTCTGGCGATTACTCCAAACAACAACCCGAACTACTGGACTACTACACTACTTTGTCCTGCTCCAGACCGAGCGAATATGCAAGAACCACATGCGTTCTTTAATTTCCGGCCCCACCAACTTTAACGAACCAAGCGCGCTGAAGAAAAGACCAGATTCCCAGGGCCCTGGAATTTAAGCACTTTGTCAGAGAAATGGGCTCTTTCTTCCGAAAATTACAGTATGGGTCCCCATTAATGGTTAATGGCTTGGTCGGAGCAAGCTGGCCGAGGCGCGCGGGTGGCACTGGGCAACTGGGGGAGATCGACGGGGTCCCGAGGAGGATCGACCGGGTTCCCAACTCCTGATTCTCAGGACCTACGTTCCATATGTCTCCGTATTTTCTTCGGGCCCGAGGGCTCGATGGGGAAGTGGAGGGAGGAGGAACGTGTGTGGATAGTGGATACTGTGATACACCTACGATGTGGACTCGGGTATGGACGCCGGCACCGGCATGTTCGGTCTAGTAGTTTTGCTGGGACCAGGAACCAGTAACGATGGAGTACGGAGTGCAGTAGTGTAACCCAGTGACTTCTCACTAACTAACTGTGTATGACTAGTCCAGGCTACGGAGTCCAACTCCATGCTGCGATCCAGCGTGCTGGGAAGGGCTTATACAGAGTATGGGGAGTTACCAAACTAGGAAGAGGTCATATCGTCATCGCATCATACGGCCAAGCATGATTTCCTCCAACAATCATCATTTCACATGTGGCATTGATAGTACATCTCCTCATCAGCCTTCCATAGAAGAAGGATGGAAATCAACTCCAAGGACTACTATCCCTACCGTGAACAAAGAATACTGTCACCGACCAACCATATCCCTCTCATTCCCCTCGAGACAAGGACTAAACACAACTCTAACCTTACTCCTAACTCCCAATAAGGAGAATGGAATAGCCATGTCCTATCTATATCCGGTTATCGCAGTTGTGGCACTAAAAGCACTATCCATACGAACATCCCTCCCGCCGGGACTTGCAAAAATTCTAAAACAATAACCCCAAGACGGAGGCAAAGATGCCTCCGTGCATCTAGTTCACGCCCCGTCAAATCGTCAGAGGCGCACAAACTTCACATAGCCCTCACACAGATCGCCCTCAAGCCTGCAAGGGAATAGTGACCCAGCGCCGTGGATGCATACACTGCATACTGTAAATAGTGCATCTATCTGCTGTTTAGTTCTGTAGATGGTTGAGACCCTGCGTTCGAACTTCTTTGGCCCCGTCCCTCGAAGAGTAGCCTTTTTAGGCCAGTTTGGTGGATCTTATCTAGAAAGCCAAAGTGCCGTGCAGCCGTACATACGGAGTAGTCTAGCACGTACGGAGTACAGTATTCACGGAGTAAAGAGGTGCAGTAGTCTGCATCGCCGAGCGTGGCAATGTGGGCACCAAAGCGATATAATCAGCATACTCAGATGGAACATTTAATCTACTTTCTACATGATTTGTCAAACTGCAAACATTTCTGTCCTATTATAGAGTATGGAGTAGGGGGAGTCAAAGTCGTCGTTGACTCGTTGCAAACATCCGATCGGAAGGTTGTCTCGGAGCTCGGTTTCCCTCAACTAGAACTAGGGATAGCCCAGAAGCCCACTAAACTAGGTAGCCAGTGACCAATAGCCAGCAATCAGGGTTTGGCAAAGATTATTGTTAGAACTGGGCTGGGCAGGGCTATCGTCGTAGAAAACTCACCATCACGGATGTAGTTAGTCTGGCTAGATTCACAATCCCCCTTATAATAACTGCAGGATCCACCGGGCTAAAGCTCACTAAGGGATGGGGAGTGATTAGGGCCAGGAGTGGGACTGCAGTTGCAGTAGTTTTTGTTTTGTTTTCAGGGGAGATCTCCAGCGCTAGAGGGCGAGGAGGAGATTGGGGGATCAAGATTGGAGAATTGATATTGAGAGGGAAATGAGTTTGGGGGGAAGATGATCTTCGGGGTATGAATTAACTAGATTAATTAGATTGTGATGGACGGTTTTTCTTGTACAGTATTTTGGAAAGGGCCTGTGCTAGTTTTGAGGGGGATAGAGAAAGATTAGTAGTTGTACTTGGTCTAGATCGAGGAGATTATGGCAAGGGACAAAGGTGACAGATGAAGAAGGAGAGTAAGTAATAGGTGAAAGAGCTTGGAGATTATTCAAAAAAAACTAAAAAAAAGGTAAGACATAAGAAGAAAAAGATACAACGCTATTCCCATCCAGATAAAGTATACACAAATACTCAGACACAGACACAGACACACAAGTACAGGAGAGAACAAACATCAGACATTCTCTGTGTTATCATGAAGAGCAAGTCCAGAAAGCGAGTCTCATTGTTTGATCCTTCGATCATGATCTCCCGAGATTGACCACATTGTCCGACCAAGTTCTCGCACAGTCCTCTTCTTCACTATTGCAAGTCTCCACTTGGTCGAGACTCACAAACAATTGCATATCCACACCCCACGAGGTTGAAAGGGCCAGGGCGCGACGATCCGGAAAAAGAGCGAAGGGGGCCCGGCGCGCAGAGCGGATCACTGAGCATGATCAGATCCATGCCCAAAATAGGTAGTCACCTCCGGCGGGCAGACCACAGCATGCAAGAAAAGGACAATATTGGAAGATGAAACTCGGTGAAACGTTTGGAAGCGGAGACCACCGAAAAAACGCCCTCTTTGAAGAAAGAGCAAATATCCCCGTGACTCCTCCAAAAAAAGACCGCCACTGACTGCAATGCAAGCCAGTCAGGAGTACAGGAGTAAGGGGACTCAACGGCGTCGTTTGAGCCGGTGCTCCTTGCCCTTCTTGGACCTCCTTTTGCTTTTGTCCACGGGTAACACCAGGGGCTCATCACGCATGTTCCATTCCATAAAGCGGAGAAGATAATCGTCGATGTGGCACGGTTCTTGTTCCGCATCTCCGGCAACCTCGGTCACGGCACTTACACCACCGGCACTTGCATTTGCACCATCGGGATGCAACGTGCCCTCGTCGCCGACCGCGAGTGGCGTACCAGCCTGAGCGGGCGTGCCATGGGACGGAGTGCGATCCTCAAAGTCGCCATCGTCCGCATGTTCAAGCTCCTTCTGCGCGTTTTTCGCCGCATCGATATCTTCCTTATCTTCGGCCTGCTCGAAGGCCTTCGTGCCGGTAGAAACTCGGTTGCCTAGGACCCTATCCATGGCAGCACTGGCTTCGTCGTTGCCATCACGGGTGTCTTCGGTTTCTGTGGCAGCTTCTGTTTCCCGAAGTTTGGTGAAGTAATCCGTGGTGAACTCGCCCTCTTGGATGATCACGTCATCGAGCATGCGCTTCTGGTTGGCCTTGCGCAAAATGTTAGACTCGATGGTGTACTCGGAGACGAATCGGTAGATGTGCACGTCGCGAGTTTGTCCGATACGATGGCAACGGTCTTGACATTGCTTGTCCATCGCTGGGTTCCAGTCCAGGTCGTAGAAGATGACGGTGTCGGCACCTGTAAGGTTGATACCCAGGCCACCCGATCGACTAGACAGGATGAAAGCTAGGATTCGAGGGTCACTGTTAAACCGTTCGGTGAGCATCTGACGCGACTCAACTTTCGTAGTTCCGTCGAGTCGGAGATATAGGTGCCCGTGAATATTGAGGAACTGCTCCAGGATATCAAGCATCTTGGTCATCTGCGTGAAGATGAGGGCGCGATGGCCACCAGCCTTGAGGTCGCGCAGCAGCTTGTCAAGCCGTTGAAGCTTACCACAGTCGTACTGTAGCAATCTCTTGTCTGGGAACGCGATGGAAAGGCGCATGCGTGCTTCGTGGAAGGGGTCGTAAGGCTGCTCCTTGGAAGTATTGGTGAGAAGACGAGTCTCGACAGGCGTCAAGGCAGCCTCAGTGGTCCCTGCAGCGACGGCCGCAGGAGTAACGCAGGCGAACCTCTGAACGTAGCTATCCATCTCAAGAGAGCGCTCCTCAATCGTCAGAATCATCGACGCAAGAACGGACGACCGGCTGGACAGCCACTCGGCCATATTGCTCTTTCGTAGAGGGGCATTGGATAGCGCGTGCTCCTTGTTGGTACCGGCTCGCAAGAACTCGATCAGGCTGCTGCCATATACTGGTCGGCGACCGTGGCGCTTGGATTCAAAGTACAGGCACCGCTCGAGCTCAGCCATTCTCCGCTTCCGAGTAGCGTTCTCCAGAGACTGTAGGGTCGTCTCCATGGTGGATCCGTCAAAGGTCATCTGCCAGTTGGTTCGGTTGTACTGACGTTCACGCAGGGCCTTGAACGGAGCAAATGCCATCAGCCGGATGCTATCATCCGCGAGTCTTCGTGAGATATCCTCTCTTGACACCGGGGCGAGATTGAGGAAGTCCAGATCAACCTTGGTGAGAGGATGGTCAAAGAGCAGACGCCGTCTAACCAAGGACTCTTTGACAGTGTAGTCCGTAGCAACGGATCGTGGCATGGCAAAGGACGTGGAAATCGGTCTTGTCTCGAAGAGATCGGGATGGTTGCAAACCTTGCGGAGCTGCATGAGACAGTGGATGATGGAAAGGAAGTTGCCTGATGCAAGAGTCTCCTTCGTCTGGGCCATGGACATGAATCCATCGTAGAGGAATCGCTGACGCTTTGAGAGTCGGCAGTAGATCACATGTTCATACTTGCCAGGCATCTGCTTCTCGACATCGGCCTTGAGACGACGTAGAATGTAAGGGCGCAGAACGGTATGAAGCTTGGTGACCACTTGCTTAGCCTCGTCATCCATAGTCTCCCTTCCATGCTCCAGGATCTGTTCGACTGGTCGTCGGAACCACTCGGAGAAGTCTCTGAGGTCTGCGAAGCCCTCGATACCATTGCCATCACCATCTGAAGGCATCAAGAAGAAGAGAAGAGACCACAGCTCCGTCAAGTTATTCTGAAGCGGTGTACCAGTCAGGAGAAGGCGGGCCCGTGTACGGAAAGTCAGAAGAGCCTGCCATCTCTGCGACCGGAAGTTCTTGATGTTGTGCGCCTCGTCAAGGACCATGTAATGCCAGTTTCTCCTCTTAAGAGTCTGCTGGTCCTGCAAGACTAGTTGATATGAGGTGATCAACACATTCCAAGCATTGTCGTCAGTCCAGCCTCGGCGTTTCGCTTTGCGCTCCTCTTGATTACCATAGTAAGTCATGATCTTGAAGCCAGGGCACCATTTCTTGAACTCCATCTCCCAGTTGAGCATGACACTGGTTGGGACAACAACAAGATGGGGGCCCCAGACGCCATGATCAACAGCGAGATGAGCGAGCAGGGCAATGGTTTGAATGGTTTTACCAAGACCCATCTCATCGGCCAAGATACCGTTGATATGATTGTTATAGAGACCGGCAAGCCAGTCCAAACCGTAATGCTGGTACTCACGTAGCGTACCGCGCAAGAGATGCGGAATGGGTGTCTTCAAGCCGGGAGCAGGCGAGTGACTTGTTTGCAGCGCCTTCTCTAGCGCAGGCTCATATGAAGATACAGATTCTGGCTCGGATGGCTTGGTTGCGAAAGTGCCGGGCGATGCCTCACTAGAAAGTTCCCCACTTGGTCGCGTGCCATTAACAATCGGCTCCAGGTCCATTGACTGGGATTCGGCGAGTTCTTCCGCTGGAGCTGGAGTTTCGGAAGCGGTGGTAAGTTCGAAATGTGCTGGTGATTCGGTCGATTGGCCTTGATCCTCCATTGGAGTGTCAACCATTGAGGCATCTTCAGTGTCAATTGGGGTTGCTTCAGTGTCAATCGGGGTGGCTTCAGCAGAAGCCTCAACAACCTCCATGGGAGTTCCCTCGCGCGAGGAGTCATGGCCATTAGGAATTAGAGAGACTTCGTCTGGGTCCTCGAAGTTGACATCTTCATCATCCGCTGCTTCGCCATCTCCCTCCTCGTCCTCTTTGGATGCAGGAAGATCCTTGGAAGAGAAGAAGCCAAGAAGTCCGGGGGCGCCATCATCATCGCTGCCCTCTTCGGATTCTTCATCATCTGATTCCGCTTCCTCGTCGCTGTCACCCATATCATCATCCATGTCCGTTGACTCATCACTATCGTCCATTAAAACAGAATCAACGTCATCCAGTTGAGCCGGAGTAGCCTCACTGTCGATGGCTGACGCTGGTATGCCAGAGGTCACAGAGACTTCGTCTAGAGTGTCTTCTGCTGGCAAATTCGCGTACTTTAGTCGGAGTTCCTCGGCAGTCAATGCAGCATCATCATCAATATTAGCTTCCTCGTCAGTTTCAGATTCCGAAGTTGACATGTTGCTCTCATGGTCAGAATCGGAAGAGTCCAACTCGGAATCCGAGTCAGCCTCTCCGTCATCGTCACTTGTAGCGGGGGCATCGCTGTTGACTTCACCCAGAATCTCAGATCGACGCTTCTCAAAGAGCATCGTGGATTTCTTGATTGCACGGTCAAGGGCCTGCTGGTCTTGCACCTTCCGTTCCTCTTCCCAGCGGGCAAGACGTGCTCGGTCAATCTCGGCGCGCGCTAGATCAAACATCTTCTGAAGATCCTTGGCCACCTGCTTCCGCTTCCCGCGCATTTCCTCCTGCTGCTCTCGAAGGATGTCTTCCGGGTTCTTGTGACGCTTCCGATACGCGTCGGCGCACCATTGAGCGACCAGCTTGGCCATCTGTCGGTGCCGCTTGTGTTCCTTATCCAAGAGCTTCTGGAAGTATAGCGCATGCGCCACGAGATGATCGTGATGCGAGTATTGTGGAGGGGGTTCCTCCTGCTGGTCTGTAATGTATGCCGAGCAGACCTCTGAGCTTAATGGGCCTCCAGGCTGTGCTGCATCAACCACTTCACATCGTCTCCTCGCCTCTTCGAGAGCCTCCTCGGATGACAACAGGCTAGGGGCATCTTCATTTTCCACCCATTGTCGGAATGACTCGTATTTTTTGTTGGAAACGTGGCCAGGGTGTCGGATCGGCAGAACCGGCTTCTTCACCTTGATTCGCAGTCGCGGGACCTTGATGGTACCTTCATCACTTCCCTCCTTATTGTTATAAGTATAGTCTAACCCATCACCGGCGCCGGGCGATGTCGCCGAAAGCGAGGGGCGATCGCGAAGTTGACGAGGGCTGGCGCCGTGGGTACTAGGACGAGGGGCGCGTGGGGGGTTCGCGGAGCTTCGGGATCGCGCGCGGGAGTGGTTCGAGGGTTTCGGCGCTGGAGATTGTGAGATTGGCTGTTTATTCCCTGTGGCAACGCTTCTTGTAGATCCCGTCTTGGGGGATCCATTAGTCGTGACCTTGCCACCAACCTTCCCATTGACCCCAGCAGCACGCGACTGCGTCACCGCCAATGGGGACGATGTGGCAGGTTTTGTACCATCACGAGCATTCTTCTGGACATATTGATTTTGTGCTGCGCGCGTCTGCCGTTTGCCAGATTGAGGCTGCATCTCCAGTGGGATCGCGTTCGTCCGCGAAGACCTGCGTCGGCCCTCCACGGTAAACGATGTCGGTCCATCGACCCCGACCTTCTTCCATGGTGGTGAAGGTGGCCTGGGTGTAGTCCGACGCGATGGAGTAGTATCTGTAAGTCGTCGCTTCTTGGATGGCGGACCTTCTAGTTGATGGGTAGGTTCATCGTCTTTGGGTGCCGAAGGGACCTCCTCGGAAGGGGTCGAATCATCCCGGTTTTCCAAAATGGCTTCTTCGAGGCGTGGAGAATCCGGAACGGGTGTTAGAACTTCATCTTCAGGTGATGGGCCGTTCGGGCTGCCGTTTTGCATGACTTGAAGCCGCAGACGACAGGGGCCTTCTGGAGAGTTGACCCCAGGTATCCTAACAATGACGTGGTCGGAGTAGGCGATTTTGTCATCAACGAGTAGAGCTGATCGAGTCAAGGTGCCACCCGAAGTTTGGCATGCTTATCGGCACGGTAGCGTGGATGGGGACGGAAAAATGAGCAGGATGGTGGGAATGCGTGAGGAAGTGGTTTTTTCGTCGGGGCGAGACTACAACTTGTAAGCGCGCCGCGCGTGGATGCCTGTTTCTGCCTCAGGCCACAAGTACCGCAAACCTCCATCCGTTCCATCATCGACCCTACAACCTTCCCCCCAAGTCCCCTGCCTTCTCACCCTCCACGTTCAACGATCTTTTGGCAGAGCAGTGAGTGTCCTCTTCGATTTGGAATTGATTCTGGGTCTTTTGTACGGTGTTACTGATTCTCAATTCCCCCCACAGATGCTGTCCCAACGGATCCTGGCCCGGCGCCTGCCCCAGGTTGCTGCCCGCAGTGCCATTGCCCCCCGCGCATCCTTCTCCCAGATCCCAGCCCTCCGTGCTGCCGAGATTGAGGACCCCCACCAGGTACGACACTGCTCATATAGCGATGGCTGCGCCGTTGCGCCGAGCGGATCAATTGGCGGATGCTAACGGACATATCCAGAATGGCAACTACCAGAACCCTCCCCGCGTGAAGCGTCAGTTCAGAGATCCCTACGGCGGATGGTGGGACAAGCAAGAGAAGCGTAACTTCGGCGAGCCGGTCCACGAGGACAACGAGATTCTCGGTGTCTTCAGTCCCGAGCAGTACACCCACGTTAGCTCCGGCAAGGGCTTCCTCCACCTCGGAGTGTTCGTTGCAGCCTTCCTGAGCCTGTGCGGTGTTGTCAGCCTTTACTATCCCGACAAGCCCAGTGTGCCCAAGGCCTATGTTGATGGTCTGGAGAAGGAACTGGGTGGTCCCAATGCTGTGCCGGTACGCACATAGCCCTATACATTACAAGGTCCCACCAAGGACTCTGTGTGGATATCGGATACAAGCTAACTCACTCTCTACCTTATAGGCTTGCAAGGCTGGTGAGGACAAGTGGTAATTCCAATCCTCTCGTTCTCTCTTTTCCTTTTTTGTGTTGTGTGTGTGTAAATACCAATCCGATTTTGTTTCCTATATTCGGCGTCACTTGCGGGTCTGATAGTCCATGGCCAAGAAAGTGTTTCTGGCTGTTTGACACAGGCTGGATCAGTCCAAGAGAAAAATAAAGAAGTCCGATCATATTCATCCACTGTTTACAGAGTACTCTCTAGTTTCCAGACTCATTCCTTCTATTTCGTGTGCTATGAACAACTGGTGAGTCCCAGTGGGGCCGCACCGAGGCTAAAGCCACAGTGGCTCCCTTGGGATCTTTCGACCGTCGATTGAGACCGAGACAGCTGTCGCAACTATTATGGATGGCACAATCCAAATGGTGTGAGAGTGAGGAGATTGGGCATCAACGGATGATCCATTGACAATAATGCGCTGTATACATCTACATAGACCCATGTACACTGGTATAGGACCAGCGTACCCTTGCGTAGATCGGGCTCTAAAGGGAGGGCCTGCAAGGCCAGAGCCCTGCATGAAATACCAACAAACCCAGTAAGCCGGTAAACGGTATTCAGGCAGCGCATATTTAGCAAGTTAGTGTTTAGGTAGCTTTTTTCTTTCACCTTGCATAGTTCTGCGCTCTAAATTCAGGGCCATTGTTTTTGGTCCGGGCGCCTACGTCAGTTAGTTCGGCAGCTTTGATTGTTTCATCTGCCTCCCCCTCCTTTCTTCTCCTTCAGTAAACATTCGAAACGTTTTGAAGCCCCCCTAGCCCCCTCCAGCTCGGCCAAGTGTGTTTACACTTTTCAGACTCTAAAAAACAGCTGCTTTCTCAAATCTGCAAAAAGGGCCCACCCAAGTCGTTCCTCTAACGCGCACCGGCTGGTGGTCTGCGTCCATCTCCATCCATGGTCCCGCATTCCACTTGCTCTTCTCTCCGAACCTCACACAAATTCAGACAAGCGCCTCATGTCGACGGCATCTAGTCAGTCCCGAGGAGTCAACCGACGGATAAACAGTCTTCAGAATGACGGTCGCCATTCGCGCAACTCGTCTCTCTCGCGCCGTCGGCCTCTTACGCCTGCTATCGCAAGCAGCCATGCGCTGCGCGTAGCCTACCTGACCTACCTACTACACCCTCGAACCCGTCGCATCCAAACTGCACCAGCCGCGCCGGCGCGGCCGAAGCGGTCCTCAACCTCGATCCATGATTTGATGAGTGACTTTTCGCTGGTCAGGGACTCGAAGAGCACCAGGATTCCACATGGCTTTGTGTCGGAGCTGGAGAAACGGTTGACGGGAGTGTTGATGGGAAGGGAGAAGAAGAAGGAATACCAGGATCACCTGGTGGTGCGCACGTTTGCTGTCTTTCTCAATGTGCTCAAGGAGGACTCCTTTCGCAAGCGCATGGAGAAAGACCGCCGTGCCGAGGATCTGCTCCTTATCTTCTACTCCAACGCCGTCAAAGAGCTGAGCAAGGGTAAGGAACAGGAAGATGATAGCTGGAAGCTCATGGTGGATCGCCACGTTGCGCTCTTTGTCCGCCTCCTGGCGCTGATACTCAAGAGTAATGACTGGGCCAAGGACCGTCCCGAGCTTGCAAACCGCTTGACGGTGCTAGAGAACAAGCTTCTTCTGCAGGATCAGGACTTGATGGATTCAAATGGCCCGACATCGACGACAGAGGTCCTCGCTCCACTGAGTTACGATGTGAAAGACATGCCTTTGGTGCAACATGTGGCCAAGATCTTTGGGATGACGACTCTCCAAGCCCAGTCCGAGATTGACAAACACAAGTCAGTCTGGACTGAAAAGGCAGCTCTTCGCGATCTGAAGACCTATCAAACACAGTTAAGCCTTCACACCCGAAAGACGCTATGCAGAGAGGACTTTGAGACGGACGAGGCCTTTGAAAGCTGGAAGAAGAGCGAAGGTCCCGATTTGTCGCAAATGATGCTTGCAATCGTGCAGTCCAATCCAGAACTTGCCAAGAGCACTCCTGGAGCTCTGCCGCAATTCAATGCCTCTGTCAGCGACGACTTGTCCTCACCTCGAGACCGAACGTCCTATGCAATTGATCAATCCGTTGATTTCAGCTCGCTCTCGCTGGGCGGGGCCGATGGCGACTCTGAGGAGTCCGACACATATACGTTCATTCCGTCAGACCCGCGGGGGGTGTACAGGTTCATCTTGAACCAGACGCTGACCCACGACCTGCGCGATCGGGAAATCGAAGCAAGTCAGGCTACATCGGACACGCCATCCATGAAATTACTCTCAAAGCAGTCTACGGAAATGCTTAACGAAATATGTCTCCGCTGGCGGATTCCCAATTTCTCGCGTATCGTGCTGTTCCTCGACGTCATTCAGTCCAAATATGTGGACTCTGAAATTGACCTCAACACCCTGGATTCGGCATTTACATTTGTGAAAGAATCGCCCAGTAGCGAGCCGCGGGCCAAGCGCAGTAGCTACGTGGCCTCCTCTGTCTTTGATAGACGGAAATGGAGCGTGCATGATTTGCAGACCATGCAGCAGCTCCTATCCAAAATCCACGAGGCCTTGCTGCGTGAACTTTACGACGTGATGATGGACTGTTTCGAGGCGAAGCCCCGCCCAATTGGTCCTGTAATGTACATTCTCGAGCATCACATTCAAATGGATCCGAATTATACAGAGGATCCCGCGGATATTGACCGTTTCTCCTCGTATGTGCAGGATGGTCTTGCGCAGAAGGCTACGGAGAAATATCAGAGCCTCATCGGCCAGTTGATTCCTGTCGACCAGGAGTCGTGGCGATTTGATAATGTAATCCAGCTAGGTGATGCAATTTCGAAGCTGGCACAGAAGATTCAGAAGCGATACCGGAATAATCCTGAGATTATGGGGTACGTCATTCGTATCTTACTTTTGGAGGACGAGGTCTAACAGTCAATAGGGTCAACCCTCATCTCACTCTATGCGTCAATATTCTCCCCATGTTTGCGGAGGACGCGCACGAAATGGTCGCTCGAATCATTGAGCACGCCAAGTCCGAGGGCGAGGAGATTGATATTGAAGACGGTTTTGATCTGTACAAGCAACTTGCTACGATCAGACGTCTTTTCACAAACACTATTCCCGAGTAAGGACAACCGGGCCCTTGTTTTCAAGTTATGACCATACTGATCAGTTGTGTAGGACCCCGTTCCCATTCCATGTTGAGAGTCTTTTGGAAGAGTTTGTCTGGCGATGGCTCCGTCTGACAGATGAAAGTGTCATGGAGTGGGTCAATCAAGCTATTCGGCAAGACAAGTTCACTGTTCATGGAGGCGAGTTGGCCGAAGTCGTTCCAGAGGACAACCGACACAGTGTATCGGTCATTGATATCTTCCGGTCTTTCAATCAGGTGGTGGAGAACCTGATTGGGCTGGAATGGGATGACGATCTTCAGTACGCCAAGTTCATGACCGCTCTGTCAAACTCTATGGGCAAAGGTGTTGCAAAGTACTGTGAATCCTTGGAGCAGATGTTTGCCCGTGAGATGGATCGTCTCACCCCAGAGCAAGAAGCGGCCTTGAATCAGACCACTCAAGAGAAACTGATGCAATTCGCCAAGGACACATGGACGAACAAGGATAAGATCGAGCCATTCCAGTTCTCATCTGAGGTATGTTTTCAACTTTCTGGCAACAGCATGGAAGGTCAATTTTATCTAACCACTGGCGCTGTAGTCCCTGGTGAAGCTGAACAACATCGAGTATGCTCTCACGCAACTAGACCGACTCGAGCGCGAAATCAACGTCGACGGATGTGCCGATGTTATCGCGAAGCACACCCCACCACAGCTGAAGAAAGTCCGCAAGTCCACTACATACGTCTTCACGATTAAGGTTGTGGAGGCAGAAGACCTTAAGGCCTGCGACATGAACGGTGGCAGCGATCCATACGTAGTCTTGGCCGACGAGTACCAAAAGCGGATTTCCAAGACGCGCATTATCTACAACAACCTCAACCCGCGATGGGAAGATGCCGTCGATATTACGACACAGGGTCCCCTGAATATCATCGCGACGATCTGGGATTGGGATGCAGTAGGTGACCACGATTACGTTGGTCGGACATCGATCAAGCTGGATCCTGTCCACTTCAGCGATTTCCTACCGCGGGAGTACTGGCTCGATCTGGATACCCAGGGACGGCTTCTACTTCGTGTGAGTATGGAGGGAGAGCGTGATGACATTCAGTTCTATTTCGGCAAGGCTTTCCGTACCCTTAAGCGCACGGAGAGGGACATGACTCGGAGGATTACTGAGAAGGTATGTTTGTTGCTTTCCATGTTTCACGCTCGAACAATTAGAACTAACTCATCTTCTACAGCTCTCTGCCTATATCAGTCACTGTCTGTCTCGAAGGACGTTGAAATCTCTTCTCTCACGCGGTATCAGCATGTCCACCGTATCCAACTTCCTGAACCGCAATCGCGGACAACCAACCTCTACTGGCCCAACTCCCGCCGACGTTGAGAACGCCCTCGACCCACTCTTCAACTACTTTAACGACAACTTTGCCATCATGAACAAAACCCTCACCGGAGAAGCCATGCGCATGGTCATGGCCCGCCTCTGGAAAGAAGTCCTCGCCACGATCGAAAGCCTCCTCGTCCCACCCCTCTCCGACAAACCCTCGCACCAAAAGCCACTCACCATGCAAGAAGTCGACATAGTCTCACGCTGGCTCGTGCTACTCTTAAACTTCTTCCACGCCGTCGACGAAGAAACCGGCGAGGCAGGCGGTGTCCCCATCGACATCCTCAAATCTCCAAAGTACCACGAGATCCAAAGTCTGAACTTCTTCTACTTCGAGCCAACGGAGAATCTAATCCGTACATCAGAGCGCATGGCCTCGGCCAACGTGAACCGTCAACAGGCTAATCGTAACCGCGCCTCTGCGCCGCCTCATCTAGGTGCGGCGGGTGTCTATGGTGGGTTAGGCGTGCCGGCTGCCCGTCGCGCAAAGAGTATCATGCTGTCGCGGAACTTGGGGACTATGAAGAAGGTGAAGGAGGAGAAGCGGCGCGAGGCACAGGCTGATCCTAATGATGATATGATCTTGCGGATCTTGCGTATGAGGCCCGAGGCGGCGGGATATCTGCGGGATCGTAGTCGTCAGAAGGAAAGACTTGCGGCTGCGGCAGCTGCGGATGCTATCGTCAAGCAGAGTTTGATGGCTGGCGTGGGGAGTCGAATGAGTGGGACTATTCCACGGCGTTGAGAACCGACTGAAGTGAAGACAGTCAAGTGTGGTCGTGGTGGAGTGGAAGAAAGGGTGTTTGTTGGTCATGTATCATTCTAGGGAGCTGGCCTTTTTCCTCTTGGTCTTTCCATTCCATATTTTCTTTTTTTTCCCCTTTCTTTTCCTATTGTGTTGTGTTTCTAGCGATTGATCGATGGTTCTAAGGATACCGGGCATGAACACGTAATATCATCATCTCATTCTGTTTGGTACATGATTGGATTGGATTAGCAATGAATGACATGATACTTATGTTTGATTTTTCTTGTATGTCAATATAAGCTTATCGCATACTGAGTATACCATTCTACTATTAGAACTAACTGTCTTCAGGGCAAGATTGCTTCAATGAGTCAATGTCAATTATGAACCCGTTGGATTATACTTCGGATCTCTGACAACTAAACAAGGTACCACGGTGCATGGGGATGTTAACTTTTATCTCTACTCTTTTAGTAAGGTTATTACAGGTACCTAAATCTCTCTTTCCAGACTCGGGGTCATAGTAGTATAGGTGATACTACCCTAACTAACTAACTTAGTTTCCTCTCGTGCAGGGCTGACTCACTCAAGCACGTTATTCCTCCCCGCAGTTGGGCATTTGCCCGAGTTCCTTCCTGCAACAATTCTCTTCGACTACAACTATACAGGATTTGAGTAGACTAGGCTTCAAACATAACAGCTCGGTGTATGTAAAAACCCTCCCCACCCTCAATCATCTGTCTCGGTATACTCAGCCCGAATTCCAGGTCTATCCCACCACAGCCAGTCCTTCCCCGCACCAAACCACTGCCTCAAACAACCACAATATCAACATCTCCTCTCTATAACCACCAAAAACATACCTTTACCATCACCATGCAAATTAACATGCACATAACCACCAACAACCCCCCTCAACCAACGGAAACTCTCCTCCTCCTCTCCGCCACGAAATGCCATCCCCCACCACCCACAGTATCCCAATTACCCCAAAAAAGGCCACACCTCTACTTCGCCTACGGCTCCAACCTCTCCCCAACCCAAATGGCACACCGCTGCACCATAAACCCCACCCACTCCGCAAAACCCCTCGCAATCGCCTCCCTCCGCCATTGGCGCTGGCACATCAATGAAGCAGGTTACGCGAACGTGCTCCCGCCGCCAGGTCTGCGTATCTCCTCGCAGACCAGTCCGGCCGCGGACAAGATTCCTGTCTCGGGAGAAGAGGATAGCGTGTTCGGGGTTCTTTATGAGATGGATGTTGGTGATGAGAGGATCTTGGATGGGTATGAGGGGGTTGATCGGGAGGCGGAGGATTCACCTGGTCGTGGTGAGGGGGGGAAGGGGATTGATGTTGATATTCGGCCGAGGGAGCAGGGAGAGGGGGATTATAATAAGTGGTATGTTGATGCCGGGGCTGTGGAGTGGCTTGATGAGGATGCGAGGAAGGTCTGGGAGAAGGATGGAGAACAAGGGGAAGGAAAAGGAAAAGTGAGGGTTTTGGTTTATGTGGATGAAGAACGGGTGGTGGTATCGAAGCCTAATGCTGAGTATATTCCGAGGATGAATCGGGCGATGCGGGAGGCGGAGGAGTTGGGGGTTAGTGGGCGGTGGTTGGAGGATGTGTTAAGGAGGTTTATTCCTAAGGAGTGAGGGGGAAGAAATGATCAGGGAATAATTTTGAGAGTCGTGATAGACATACTACAAACTATACAGACTGGAGGATAAGTTTGGAAAGTGGTATAGCATAGCGCAGCAAGTTGCATTGGAGTTAGCCAAATATCCACCTTCCATCGATCCCATATCAACAGTTTTCAACATGCAAGGAAGATTAATATGTACCTTCACCACACAAAAGTATCTCTCTATCAGAGAAGGAAGCAAGAATTAAACACAACCACCACCACCACAACCAGAATCATATGGGGGAAAGAACACATATTAGATTCTCCAAAAGAGGCGGGATCTGAGCCCGCTCTACTCCCGCCCAGAATGATAAAAAAAAGATGAAGATGGAAAATAAACACAGAGGCAAAGAGGAGAGAAATATTATGTCCTCCGTATGGTAAGAAACAAGCCCACGAACAATCCTCGATCTCACGAGTAATCAGTCAAAACTCCCCAATCCTGTGGAAACCGAAGACATGATCCAATCCACCCTCCAAAATTAGAAAAGACTCGGATAGCCCGGGGAGTCCAAATTCAATATTCAATATGAGTCCGGGAGTGGCGGGTGCGGGATATGCCTCGGTGGGGTTTTGTACACCGCCAGATGCAAAACCCAAAGTTTCGAAAAGGGCTCGGATCGAATGCTGGTCACAGGAGAAGGAAGATCGGTGTGATAGAGAGAGAGAAAGGATTTGAAACACGGAGACAGACACAATGACACTTTTATTTCAAGAGTTGGGTTGGAGGGGAAGTGGCATGCATCGAATCAAGCCGTTTGAAACGTTATGAAGACTGCGAGATGCAGGAAACATGCCGGATGGAGAAAAAGGTCGTAGGATCAACATTGACGAAGATGCACAGTGGATGAATAAACAAAAACTGCTTAGGCCTGGCCAGAAAGCAGAGTGTGGACCGGAGCGGGGAGCTTGTCGCGGCCCTTGAGGAACTCCAACTCGAGGAGGAAGATAAAGCCCAGCAGGTCACCGCCCATCTTGCGGATCATTTCGCCACCAGCCCAAGCGGAGCCACCTAGAAAGAGGGTATTAGAATGGGTTGGAAGAGGAGTTTTGCGGGAGTAGTTTAGGTATCGTATATAGCCTCATACCATACCCATTTTACTATACCATATACGAGGTATAAGGTATAGATCAAGGTATAGCAGAGGCATATAGTATACGATCCACACGTCTCAACTTACCAGTAGCAATAATATCATCCACAACAATAACCTTCTGACCAGGCTTAATAGCACCCTCCTGCATCTGGAAGAAATCCTGACCATACTCCTTCTCGTAAGCCTGCGTCACACAAGCACCAGGCAACTTTCCCTGCTTGCGAACCGGCACAAAGCTCGCACCCAGACGCAGCGCCAAGCTAGGACCCATCAGGAAACCCCGCGCCTCCAAGCCAACAATAACATCAGGCTTCTGGCCACCATAGGCCTCGAGGATTTGCAGCTCGAGCGAGCGGATGAGAGCTTCATGCAGCTTGGGGTCGGCGAAGATGGGCAGGATATCCTCGAAGAGGATGCCGGGGGAGGGGAAGTCCGGGAATTGGCGCAGGGCGGCGCGCAGGCCTACTTTAAGACTGGCGAGTTCGGCGGCGCTGGAGGAATGGGCGGCGGAGTGTCCGGGGACTTGGGCGGAGGCATCGGGGAGGGTGGAGGGTTGGGTGGACATGGTGAGAGAAAGGGAAGAAAAGAAGGAGGGGGAAGAAGAGGAGAAGAAGGATAAGGAGGAGGATAAGGGAGGGGGTGGGATGAATGGGATTAGGGTGGAAAAAACGAGGAGGGGTGTAGCAAAGGTCGGAGTTCGTGTAAAGATAGTAAAAGTAAAGTAAAAAAAAAATTTAAAGTGGTAAAGAAAAAAAAAAGTTCGGTAGGTTGAAAAATTACGGGGCCCGTTGATAAGCACAAGTTGCCCCTCGGCGGGGCAGTGAAGTTCTAGATTGGGATTGTATGTTTGGACGGTGTAATTTGTATTTCTTTCTTTCAATTTTATTATATTCCATGAGTATCATATAATCGTAGAAGTAGATCTCAAGTCTACAAAATAGAATATCAACCATAATTACTACTAGTAAGATGTACAGAATAATCTTGCAAGAAGACTCCCGATCAACCAGCGGTCAGATTGCGGTCTGTGCAGCGATCATCTATTTAGTGCCAGTACCTAATCACCTTTCGGACAGATCTCCTTAAGTGACGGAACAAAATTATTTCTAAAAGGTACGATCCTTGGATTATTACACCCGCTGCCTAGAAGAGAGGCAGGCACATTATAGTATAGTATAAGAACTAAGTATGAAGTACGAATAACAATGAAAAGACCACTCATAGCTATAGGAAATGATACAATTTAATTATCTTTTACAAAGTGTAAGACAATACCAACTACTCTATCCAGATCCAGCGGTGACCCCTCCGTCGTAACACACCCGTCACGCCATCCTTCACACTGTTCTCGCCGCTTTCTAGAATCCGCACATGCAGCAGCTCCTTGTAGAACCCAGTCCTAGTCTCTTACCCAACCTCTCCAGTCTGGCTTGCTGGGGGCCCGTCCCGCTGCGGGCCTCGGCGGGCTCATTCTTTTTGTACTGATCTGCGCAAATCAGCCACTTTTGCTATGTAAAAACTTTTTTTTATTTGTTTTTTTACAGGCGTGGAGGCTGGGGAGTGTAAGTCCTAGGTAAGAGAAGGATTTAATTTGCATTTACTAGCTGGACTAGGATCTTCGTGTTTCTGATCCTCGCTCCTTCTTTCATGGACTTCCGTCGTCCGTACGGTGTTCAACTTAGGGCTGGAAGCTAGTCTCCTAACTAACGGAACGCCATCTTGTTCGGCCCGGGCGAATCAGCGGATGCCCTGGGAACAGGTTCTGCCCATCACACCATACGGGGAGTCCGATCGGCTACTAGCTGGGGGTTTTTTTGACAAAAGAGGGAAATGTTAGAGACTTGGTGGACACTTAGTATTACATACAGTACTCAGTTCTAGTAACTAGATATCTAACTACAAAGGTCCTTTTCTTTGAACAGAAGGTACAGCGGTACATACTAAACCCTGTATGCAACACTTTACTTTATCGATATCTATGATGCATCTAGACCTCTATCTAGACTTTTTACCGATCCAGACAAGTCAGCAGCTAGACTCGAGTAGGCATATTCGAGATATGACTCATGAAAGAAAACCATGAAATAATACCGATAATCCGCCGACTGCTTTGTCTAGAACCCTGATCTTTAGTTCGTCTGTCTTGGTTCCGATAGTCCAGACCGGGCGGCCCGCTTGCCCGTGGGTGGGAGGGTGTCTGATCGTGGACGCTAGATGGTGGGATGGTGGGCAAGGGTGGAGAGGCTCCATTGATTCATCAGGCCACGGTTGTTTAGTGTTTACACTCTTCGTGCGATATTCTTTTTGGGTTCCGTTGCTGCGTCGAGTGTAGGAACACGCATAGTATTTACAGCATCGAGGTTTGATCGCTTCGTAGTCAACCGTAACTGAAAAATTCATACAACAATCCGACTCATACAGATACCAGCTGCAGTAATAACAAGTGTCACTATGCTTATGGTGGCGACGCACTACGATCGATAATCTGAAACTCGCAGCAACGGCCGTTGCTAGCACTACGGTATGACAGACTGCAGAGCTAGCGAGTGAAACAACATTGGACTAGATGGACATATTTCTGTTCTGCAGCCGTAGACCGTACACGATTACTGCAGTGATACTACTCCGTAGTGGGGAGCTGATTTGGTGGCGCCGGGATGAGGGGCAGATAGTACATAGTGATCTGCACTACACTGTCGCTGTGTGTCTGTTGTACGAGTACAGTACTTCCGACCATCAATCCGATGTGCTTTAGACTTGGGTATTCGGATGTTGTGTGTATAGGACTGGTTATTATGTTGGAGGGGTCAAAACGGTGAGAGTACATTCTCAATCGTGCGGGCGTGCATGGAGTATGCAAGACAGAGCATTCGAGACCGAGGGGTCAATGCTTTTGTTTGACAAAGAAATGGAAAGATAACAGATAAAGCTAAGGAGCTTAGACACTATCTCGATATGTTTTCATCTGATCTCGACTCTATATACATCTGATTCATCCCATCTACGAATCCACCACGTCAACCATCTTCCACCAACCCTACCACATTCATGAAGCTTCCCCCACTCATACCGATGCTTTGTTTGCTAACCACGTCCATTCCAGGTCACAGTTGATTCAATTTCATCCAGGTTGTTCGTCATCTTCTATTTCTTCGAGGCCAAAAAAACGCATCTCCACTTCCCCTGCACCAATTTCGATGCAACAAAAAAAATGATCTCAGGTTTTCTGTAGGAATAGCCGAACGCGGGGGTCGAACCCGCAACCTTGAGATTAAGAGTCTCACGCTCTACCGATTGAGCTAGCCCGGCAGGGCTGGTTGGAGAGAGTTGGGATTTATGGACACATGAGGGGAAAGCAGAAGGAAGGTGTTAAGTCGAGGGGGAAGTTGTTGGGATCATGGATGGAGAGGTGAGAGTTAAGTGAGAGTAACACAACCTCGCAATTCCGTTTTGTTAGATTAGTTTGGTTTTTTATGCAAGAATTTTGGTTGTCGGAAAGACTATTTGTCTCCATAGGCGATTTAAGAAGTCTGTGTTTACTATCCGAAATTTGTTGTTGGTTAATTCGAGTTCTTTGTTACTGAAACTGCCGAGATGGAGATATATATTCAATTTGTCTGACGAAGCTTATCGGGTAGAAAGGAGAATCAATCATTGGTTTCTACTACTGAACAGGTCATTTTGCAAATATTTCAAAACACGAGTATAACCACTGAAGATAGTCTTACCCAATGCCTCCTCTAATATTACTATCCTTGTATTTGCCATCCTCATTGATTAATACAGAAGGTGATGGATCTGAAATGTCAGTTGAGCCCCGGAACGATCCATGGCCGACCACCACGTGACAACCACACGGACCATCTCGCTTAACGTTTTTCCGGCGTCGGCCCATCCAGCTATAAAATGTCTGCCTTCCCAGTTTCTCCCCTTCTCCATCATCCTCATTCGGGTGTCTGTATCATCCCCCGTGGCCCTGGTCATCTCCCATTCCAATGAAGCTCTTTATCACTTTGTAATCAATAGGTGCTATCCTGCAATCATGTCTCCTGCAGCGATTCCCGAGGAGCTGCAGCCGCAGCCGGATCTGCACCAGGATCAGCTCCAGGCTGTGGGCAAAGCATTCGATGCCCTGCTACTAACCCTCTACCGACTTACTCACAGACACAATGATCTCAAGAAGTATACCGATGAGGCGTTCAAACAGGTACTTACCCCTTTCCTATCTGTTGTTTTCGTTCAATTTCCCTTTGCCCATCTTCCCAGGCCTGGCACTTCCCAGCCTACCATGTCTCAAATGACGAGAGAATTTGATTAGCTCTAGATCAGGAGTCACTCTTTTGTGGCGATGACGGATTAACATGTATTATCCGATGAGACATTACCTTCACTTCTTGTTTTCACTTGTTCCTCACATCTGACATTGACAAGACTTGAATGCTAATGAGAAACCTCTTCTTCCAGTATACAAATGTGACAAGGTTACTGCCACCTCAAGATAGACCTCATGCGATGGAGGTACAGCAAAGGTTATTGGATCAACAGAAACAATTGTGTGAGGGGCTTGTCCACAGCAAGCCGCCCGTCGAAGAACAGTCGTTGAATTCAATGGAAATAATGAAGACGCTCGTTTCGCACCAAAACGTAGACGAAAATTCAATGCGGGCCATCGTGGACGGGGTCAAAGGGTACAAGGCTCTGCTCCGTTCGGATGGCCTGTCTCAGATATCCTCCGAGAACTCCTGCCTCTTCGCTCGCGGTCCGGACCCCTCGGTTTCCTTGGAGCAAGACTTTACTACCAACGGAACCCAGGGCAGTCTGCACTGTCCTTTTTCCAAACCTAAGTCTCCACGTCCGGGCAGCGACATGGCGTCATCCAAGAGAAGTGACGGAGGACCTAAAATCCAGATCGATACCTGTGGACACGATCACTTGGATCCGATCCATGCCGATCAGGAAGAGCGTCGCTCCAGTACTACTCCCTCCGTTGGTCGATCTTCCCAAGGACGATGCCCCGTATCGCGATGCCCCATTCGATACCTGGACAAGCACTCACCCGAAGAGATTGCCGAATACGTCGAGCGACATAAACATGAGATCCCACGGAGCCATGCCATCTGCGTGAAGCGATACCAGAGAGATCCACAGAACATGCGGCAGCTGGATGCCAAGTACGGCGGCCTGATCAACATGATCAGTGGCCTCAGTGCAAAACACCAGGCTTTCCTGCCGGAGCGCGAGACCAACGGTGATGGCGATGGCCAGGTTGAAGGCGAGGGTGAGGGCCGATCTGCCCACTCCGCATCTCCAGAACGAGTCGAGAAATGGGCCGAGGAAGTCGACCCGGTGACTCCAGTACCACCCACACATGAAGTCGAGGATCGCGAGAGTCGCTTCGACCGTCCCCTTCGTGAAGTTCGAGTTGGCGAATCCCCAAGCCGGCCTTGGGGAATCCCCGTTCCAATCACCGAACAGCCCCCGGCTTCTTCCATCCCATTCCCCGGATCGGCATCTGGACCGATCTCTCCAGACGCTGTCCCCGTCGATCCCTTGAACCAGTCACCCGGCGATGCACCGGCGAAACCAGCAGGTCGATGTCCTTTCGGTCACGATGCCCCCAAGGCCAAGCCTGCTGCTAGTCCTTCCGTCCCCGCCCCGGCTCCCGCACCAGCTCCCGCTGTTCATCTCGAGTCCCCTTGGTCTAACTGGGGTAACTTTGACAATGTGGGCAAGGGCGAGACTGCCGAGCATGATGCGGCGAAGGTGGAAGATGGCCCTCCCAAGACCGATACCAAACCTCAAGTCCCTACGCACGTCACCTTCAACGGACCGGTATTCTTTGGCTATTCCGCTGAGGAGACGGCCAGCTTGATGCAGCAACTGGCGCATCTCAACCAGGGCAAATCCTAATCAACCCTTCCGCCCTATTTGATATCCAACCACCCTATTGCTACCCCCTGGATATCTGTGTTTGATTATTCCCTTCCACTATTATTCCTGGCGCACAGCGAGCACTGAACAGCAACACTTTACGATGAAACGACCCATCCTTAGCCATACCTATTTTTACCTTGTATCCTTTTCAATTCAACTGTATTTCTACAAGTGCATGACCCAGTTACTCCAATCCTAATACCCTTTTAATTACTAAATCCAAATCTCCATCTAATAATAATAATAACCCCTCACTCCGCACCTCCAAAAAGAGCCGATGTTTTCCGAATCTTGTATTCTCCTCGGGAAACTCTCCCATAATCAACTTCTCCCCCCCCAAAAGAGCGGGGCCCGACGGCAGTACTCCGTCCCTCCCCCTCCACTCCACCTTTATTACTTCCCACCATGCTGCGATCTATTTCTCGTCTTTCAGCTCTTACTCGCACTTTCAACCCTTCTACCATTACCAGTCCCTTGCGACCTCAATTCCTACCAGCTATGTCTGCCCATATGTCTTCCATCACTGCTAAGGATGCCTGCCCTCGTACGTGCTTTGCTTTGCTTTGCTACTCCGGTCTAGCTCCGAGCTCGGCTTGTCTTGCCTCACGGGTGTCACACACGCTCTTCAGCATGAATTGACTGCTTTGATGAACTGAATTGCTAACTTGATCTCTTTCTACAGCTGCCGGCCCCTACGTACGTCTCTCCTCCTAAACACGCACAAACCAACCTCCCTCATACTCAATCCCTCCCTTCCATATCCCACCCCACCTCTCCCACAGACCAACCCAACTAACACCTCTTTTCCCTCTCTTCCAGTCCCAAGCAATCCGCGCCAACGGCACAATCTTCGTCTCTGGCCAAATCCCCGCCGACTCCACCGGCACCCTGGTGACCGGCACCATCGGCGAGCAAACCCAAGCCTGCTGCAACAACATCCAGGCCATTCTGACCGCCGCCGGTTCCGAGGTGTCCAAGATTGTCAAGGTCAATGTCTTCTTGACTGATATGGCCAACTTTGCTGAGATGAACGCTACCTATGAAAAGTTCTTTGTGCACAAGCCGGCTCGTAGCTGTGTTGCTGTGCACCAGTTGCCGAAGGGTGTGCCTGTTGAGATTGAGTGTATTGCTTTGGAGTAGAGAGTTGGATACACTTGAACTAGGAGGCCGAGGTTTGATTTGACTCCAGAATTGGGGGGTCAAATTGGTCTTGGACTCTGGATTGGATGTTCTTATAGAAAAAATGAAATGAATTGAACGTCACTGCATAAGATATTTTGATTCAGTAGATCTGAGCATCTAGAGAATGTATACGTACTAGCTTGGGTCTGCTTGCGATATATGATACATGAACACCAGACACTATACAATTTACCGCAAGAAGCTGTTCATGATATCCTCAGATCCCAAGATCGGCTCACCTCAGGGGTACCCGCTAGACCAGAACACAGAGGACACCATCGGTACACAGACAGCTACACAACCAACCATCCGTCTCCTCTAAAGAAAGACCAAAACCACATAACCCATCTCATCACCGGGTATATACCTCCTACATGCATTTTAAAGTATGTACAGATTCGTAATAGGCACGCCTCGCGAACGCATGGTAAACCGCCTCTTAATACCCACCCCCGATGCGACCTGCAACAATGCATACGTTTCATCGCCGCCGCCTACCATCACCATGCTGAGGGGGTTATTGCGCGGGATGCCGCTGGCTGTCATTTGGGCTTCGTCGAGGTGCGGGCGGATCAGAGAGCCTTCGGCGCGGAGGGCGGCGAGGGGTGCTACCGGCATAGAGTCTGATTCTCCATCGGGACCCTGATCTGATCCGGGATTGGCGGTGGACGGTTCTTCGTCGTAGGAGACGACGATGACGAGCTTTAGAGATGACCGACCTGGCCGGAACGCGGCAATGTTGCGCATTTTCTGGGAAAAGGTGCAGCCACCGCGCTTGACGACGAGGACTTCGTGGGTTTGGGCGATGTCGCGGAGGATACGCTCCGTGCAGAGCTCGCCGGCGAAGTAGATACTAGACCAGGATAGACGGCTGGTGGACGGGCTACCGAAGACCGACATTGTCGATGCGTCCTCGACATCTGGAAGCGGCGCAGCGCCGACGCCCGTAGGTATAGTCGCGGGCAGACTCAGCCTCAGCGGAGCCTCTTCGTCAGGATCATCCCTGATCAGCGCGGAGACAGAGCCAAGCAGGTTCGACAGCATACTCTTCATAGTGGAGTCGGGGGCGTGGACGGCTCCGCTCTCGTTGGGTGAGGCCGGGACAGCTCGGCGGTTGTCCTGTGCTGAATATTCTGCTGCAGGCTGGCTAGCTCGCGGAGCAGTTGAGCCATTGCGGCGGCGAGAGGGGTCTGCGAGAACGTCAATGACGAGGTCTAGCACCGTGGAATCGCGAACCCGGGTGAAGTTCGGGTCGTATGGATCAACGACGTCAAAGGTGATCTGGCGCGAGAGATATACCTTCTCATCCTTGCCCAGCGGCACGTTGTTGATCACTTGCACGCGATATCCGTCTTCGTCTTCGGAGGTGCCTGTGCCGGAGGTCTGTCCGACGAGCGGGACGTCCTGGATCATGCTGAGTCGGAGGCCGCCAATGGTCTTTACGAAGATGCCGTCGCGCACGCGCTCGAGAGCGCCCGAGCCGAGGTTGACGCCGCCGGGGAGAGAGGGGAAGGAGATATCAAGGGTTGGGCGGATGGCCATGGGCGCGCTGGTGCCGTCGAAGGGGACGAGTTGGGGTGGTAATGTCCACGGGTAGAAAGTATAGTTGGTCGGCGAGGTCAAGTCAGATACCGATACGCTGGGGTGATCCGGTGAGTCTGCCACGATGGCACCCTCGCCAATGCCACGATGAGGCCGAAGATGTAACCGTGCCAAGCTGGCCGCATGGAAGATATCAGACCGGGATGCGGTGGATGATACGCCGAGCATTGATGATATCGGAAGCGCTTGGCAGGTGTTGGTCAGAGAATCTTGAGGAGAAGCCAATTGCTGCTCGTGGGTAAGCCGATGACTGGGCCGGCGATTCGACTTGGGAGATGATGTCTTCTTCGGGATGATCAAAGGATGGCCTTCGGTAGTGAAAACCCATGGAGCATCAATCTTGTTCAGCGGATGATCCGGGGAGAAGAGCAAGAACATGTACTTGGCAGTCTCTCCAAGGAAAAAGCTTTCCATACGGTCAATCATCTCGCCGGTCTTGACATCCCGCAGACCAGCCCAGCCACACTTGGTCCAGCATCGCCGTTTGAGGTCACGGAGTACCATCTCGCCAACATGGAGATACCACGGATCTTGGGTAGCTCGGTAAATGTAGTAAGTGGACTCGATGAACTCTGGCCTGCCTCCGTACCAGGAAAGACCACCATCGATGTCTCCCGTGGCCACATTCCATCGTTCTGGGAGACCCGAGAAGCGCGTCCAAACGGCGGTGGTCAACAGGTGAATTTGAATTGCTTCATCAATCTTGCCATCCAAAGCTAGAAGACCTGGATAGTACGCACTCAGGCTGTCGATCCAAAAGGCTCGCGTAGCACCGGTGATAACATCGCCAACGATGAGATGGGGATGTTGATACCCCTGGCCACGGTAAAGATGGCGGTTGATAGAGGTGTGGGAATCCTCCCAGACTTGAAGAAAAGCATCAGGAGAGTGCTGATCTTGAGTTAAAGGTATGTAATAATCGTCCAAGATGCTCCAAGGATTGTTTGGGTCGAAAGGCGGTCGCTCTCCCTCGGAAAGGAGAACATGCGACTTGAAAGCATACTCGTAGAAGCTGTCAATTCCAGCACCAATCTGGATACAAAGTTAGCTCTCTCTGATCTGGATGGCTTCGATGATATTTACTCACCCCCGAATACGGTCCCACCCACTTTCCTGACTCCGCGTCAATTCCAAACCCAATCAGTCCAATCTCGCTACGGTAGGACCAAACAGCCCAGAAAGCCCTTTTCGCCAACTCCTCATACCGGCCATCACCAGTGAGTCTACTCAAGACGGTGAACTCAAGCACCAAGCTACCAGCACCTGCACTGCAAGTCTCGGTAATCTCTTCCTCCGCCTTCATATAGGCGAACTTTGACTTCTGCTCGTTGCCTTTGCTAGATTTGGTATTCAACGGTGAGTTCCCATAGAATGGAATGCCATGCCGCAGGTTGACTCGTGGGTAAGGAAGACCCGTTTCCGTGTAGAATGCAGGCAGAAGACGGTGTGTAAGATCGACTGCTAATCGAAGGAATTGGCCGTCATAGACAAAGTCATTATCCCATACAATGCCATGATCACTTTCTGCGAATTCGCTCTTGTCCCATGCGCTCGCATAGGCGATTTCTGGTTCTGGTGGATTGTATCCGGTTATGGGCAATTCGCCGACGGCGAAAAGATGGGAGCTGAGCAAACCACCTGGAAGGTGTTAGCAACCAGTATATTTCGACAAAATTTGTGCAGCCTTGGTTCCCCGAGGTCAAGAAGACGTACCCAGCCCTCGAATCACAGTCTCAAACACCTGCACCTTACTATCAATATCGAATCCCCTTGCCCGCTCGCCCTGACCAGCAGGACCACTTGAGCCATCTCCATATAGTCTAACAAAATCCTTCACACCATCCTGAAACTCCTCAATGCCCGATCGCCACTCTCCGGACTGGAAGACAAAATAGCCAGGGTCGACAGACTATCGATCAATGTCAAAGAGTAATTGCCAAGGACATCGTTATGCTCCGAGTTCTTATTATCACGCGTCAAGGGGCCACAGGTCAACGGACGAAGCTCATCATCGGGAAAAGCATGCTCGAGGTAATTTTCATAGCCATGGTAGAACATGCGCTCGGTTTCTTGTCTGTGGGCCGTACGGAAGAAGGATGAATTAGCACAGGGTCCAGTTCCGGGGGAATGCCGGCAAGTGTTGTGCAGCAGCGACACAACACAACACGACACGGACACGACACGGCAGAGACTCACCTAAGCTCTTTGACCTGGTAGTCTCGCATCCCATGCGCCAGCGTCAGCCATAGCGACAAAAGGATGGCGTAGACCAGCATGATCCACGCGCGACGGGGGTGGAACATTTGCAAGCTCCAACATCGCGTGCGCATCACCAGTGCCCAGGGCCGCCGCGGGGCATGGAAGCGCGGCAGACGAGACGGGCCTGTCGGATTGAGAGGATCGATATCTGACCAGAGTCAGGTAAATCGAGGAGACCTTTTGGCGATGGTGGGCTTGTCGGAGAGGTGAAAAGTGATCGGGGTGGATACTGCCAGATAAGCCAATTCGGGGAACATTTTGGCGTATCGCGCGCATTGCATCATTGGTGGGCCCGCTTCGAGGGAGTATGTACTTCTCGTTACGACTCACCGATTATTGCTGCCGTTGTATTGTGGTATTTTCTGCTTTCTTAAATCTAGATCTAGTGAAAGAATATACCATCACTTTTCCAACCTTACATAGTCGTGCTCACCCACTATATGTTTCCGGATGCCTGGTCGGTCTTGGCTATCTAGAACCATGATCAAAATTCAAACCTGATCAACACAATAAACGGCATATAAGCTGATGAAACGACTTCAAGCATATCTACCAACACGTGCCTGGAAGGTTTTAGGGCTACGGATATAGCTACAGAGGTTTCTATGGAAAAGGCCATGAAGGGTTTAAAGGTGGAGGTCTAAGAAGACACCAAAGTGTTCATGGTTGCAACAAGCATCATTATTAAACGAAGGGATGCTCATGCCTAAGGTATGCCTAGTCCCTCAAACAAAAGACAGACCCTAGCAATTAGTTCAAAAAGCCATTCGAACCTTGCTAGCTCCGCTCACCTTCATGATATCTTGAAAGAAATCATCAATCGGTGTGATATAAGAGTGGCCTTGGGGTTTCGATGCTGCAAAGAAAGGACCCACAACATTTCCACATAGGCCATTGTACACCAGAGACCCGGAGTCCCCCTGTGCCATAAAAGGATACGCAGATTTGAAAATTGCATATTCCAATGTCGGAAATGTCTCGTACAATCTAGTGTGCGGGTTAAGCACTCGGTGGATGATCGCTTCCTTGAGCCCAGAATAAACCCCAGTGGTATAACCTGAAGAGCTCCCAATCTTGTGATATGTCTGACCCTCTTGAAGGTCGACCCCATCACCGAAGTGCACAGGCAGTCCGCTATGGGCCCCAGGGCGGTACACCTATCAATCAGGTTTGTTAGTTTGGCTATCATAGCGCTGGGATGATGCATGGTCTTACACTGTTGGTACCGAGTCGCTTTTGTGGAATTTCGATCAATGCCCAGTCAAAAAGCAGCTTTTGAGTATGACTGTCCTGCTGTGTCTCTGTGTGGAAAAAGCCACTGCCAGCAAATACCGAACCGAGGACGTAAGACTGGTTCTGGATAAAGCTTTGAAGGTGCTTAAGCTCTTTTGTCAGCTTATCAACAGCATCGCACTGGGTTTTGCACCGGGATTCCAGTCTTCGCTGATATTTCCAAGAGGAAGATGGAAAAAGTTAAGAGAAAGGCCGAGATTGGTAAGAGGAAGCTGTGGAAGAGAAAGAAGGTGAGCAAGTAGTGTCTCTGAGGTCATTCTCTCCCTGGTCCGTTTAGAACTATGAAGAGGCACTAAGCCCTGGCTGTCCCAAAGTGGAATAGTACCAGCCCAATAAAGCGTTCCTGTCGAAACATACCACAGACCAGAGCGAAAGACGTCATCTCTAAGAGAAATATCGCATGACTAATTATTCGACCTACAGAAATTCACCTTCGAAGTAAATGACGTACCGCATTATCAATATAAGCGCGAAATACGTTCAGTTGGGTAGGAGAGGAAGATCGGCAAGGATGAACAGTGATCTACTCTAATGACAAATCTGTACCTGATTCTTTTCGAAACGGGACAAAAAGATCAGACAGATGATCCCGACTCTTCAAATGTGCTGATTAGTTGTCTCTTTCTTCCATGCTGACATATCCTTGAAGCCGAAATCCTCGACTTGGACGTAGTCCGTTGCTTGAGGTCCCAAATGAAGAATCCTTCCAAAGAATTTGACGATAATAAGAGTATAACTAAGTATAGCGATACTTCTCTATTGCTTTATATCTGTCGGGCTAAAATAGTGGATCGAAGGACGGAACGGTCCCTCGTCTTGTAAGGGAGGAGTTGCCCGCGCTCTTGCTTCCTGTCACATCATCATATATGGCAGCGAGCAAAGCGAAGCTGCTTTTGGAATGGTCTAACGAGAGAAATGATTAGACAGCGCTCCATCCGCCGGAGAGGACTGTGCTAAGCTGTTGTTCCCTGGATGATTTCCTGCTGTATCGTGGAGAAGCACCGTCTCAGCGTTGCACAATTGTCACTCGATCGTGCGAAAGATGTGGGTATGTGGCCTCGTTGGTTATTGTGAGGTTGGAGGCTCATGAAGGCAGTGTATTCACGATCGTGGCCCTACGATTAGATCTCACGGCCTTCTTTTCCTGTGTAGTATTTTCTACGTGCATACAAGGGTTTTTGCAGTAGGAGTAAATCTGATAGATTTTATTAGGGACCATCGTATGTCTTGGGCATTCGTAAAGCATAGAGCAAAATTATCATTATAATCTACGAAGTTGCTTAAGTTATTACGGAAAGCCACGAAACATCTGAAGAAAACAGTCAATGCTTTCATAACCAAAAAAGGACATTAATCGACTAAGTGGCAGAACGAAGGGGGGAGGAGCTGTCGGGTGTCTCGTGTGGTAGCAGCAACTCCTGCAGACACCCGAACAAATCTTCCAGCGGCAGATCCAACGGCTGAGTTTTGACTGCAGACAGTGAGGATGAAGAGCAAAGGCTTGGACCCGTAATCGAAAATGAATCGCCCCCCAGTAAGCCGGATAGCAACTCCAATCTATTTGGCAGTCTCAGCAGCATTAACATAAGGCGCCACCGCTTACGCAGACCATGTATTTCACTAGTAAGGGCCTCCTTTTCCTTAATGATCTTACATACCTCTTCAGACTTTTGGTTGAATCTCTCTGAGAGCTCTTGGCACTTTGCTTCGAGTTCACTCGACCGTTGCTGGAGTGTTTGATAGCGCTCTTCTTTGCGTCCGCGGAATCGGCGCTGCGCGTCGCGATTTTGCATTCGTCGCCTCATCTGCAATCAAATTATTAGATCTAACTCCCGCAGGAAGATTATACGAAGTAATACGAAGCTTACAGTCTGTAATTCATGGCTTTGGCTTTCCCTGTCTCTTGCACATGTGCTTAAGGTCTGACCTTCTTGTGAATCCGAGGTGGATGGCGAAGGCGAAATAGGAGCAGTATTAATGGAGACTGTCGAGTCGAGGTTGTGTGTTTGATAAACATCAGGTGACTGTATGCTGCAGTCCACTTCAGCTGGCGTCACTGGGTGTGGAGTAAAGGTGTCGAAGGCGGACGGGATCTCGAAACCCTGGAATCCTGCTTTATGATTCTTCGAAATGAGCGATTGTTTCCATTGTGAGATTTGATGAAGCCGGACTCACTGTTCTAGGACCAAACACTGGCATCTCCCCGCTCTTGAATTGCATGCCAAAAAAGCTAGCGCTTTGTGAGCCCCAATAGTCCTCCATTGCATGTGTGTATCTGTGCATGTAGCTGCGTAACTTTGCTGAGCAGTGCGATTCGAGTTTTTGTGGTGGAATTAATCTAATGGCCAACGAAGGGAGCATGTACTTTATATAGAAGGCTGAACTTATCTACGATCTTGCCAGTTACTTAAAGGAAAATTGAGCTGCAAATTAACTACTTCTCTGTCAATCAGAGCTACTGAAGATGACACCGCATGAGGAATAGCGCACCCGTTGTCTACTGTCCAAGCTCGAGAACATCCTAGAGCTCTTTGAATCTTGGAGTCTAATTTTGGCCGAATGAGGACAATGGTTTCTGTCACCTCAGCTATCTGGGCAAACAAAGGAAAGAGTGACATCCCCCGATGTGGCCTAGATTGATTTACAATTGGGGGCTGTGGAGACTATCTCTGGTCGGCAGCCAGCAGAACCTACTGGGGCACTTCTGATTGTGCCGGAGCAGCGGTTGGTTGAGATTTCGATTAATAGTGAGTTTAAGCTTAGTTACATAAGTTAATTAATTAACTAATTAGCTAACCTAACTAAGTTAACTAAGCAGTTAACTACAGTGTTAACCTAGTCAACTTGCCACCTCTTTGTCAACCCTTTCCGTGGCCTGTCAACTTATTAAAGATTTAATGTTAGCCAATCAGATGAAGCTTAAGCCCATCCCCATAAGGAATAGTTGCCAAGTCACTCTTCCTGTTAGTCGGAGGCTAGGAAATTCGAACGAAAAATAGACTTGCTATCTCCCCTGGAATCGTGGTCCTCTGAAACATTATGGTTGCAGCTTGTATTAGCTCTACTGCGCTGACTGAAAACTTTGCGACATGATTATGTGTTCCTAGGGCGTTGTCGGAAACAAAAATCCCCTATAAGACAGACGCTCTCCTATCCTAACTAAGCTAGACTATGCACAAGGCAGCTTAGCTTTACCGTATCCGGCTGAGAACAATCGGAGTGGGGCACTAAGCCTGCTGGAGGGAAAACTTTTAATGGAGCAGTAGACAGGTGGATAGCCGAAGGAAGGAAGTTACACCATCTCAACGTGACAAAGCAGTCAGTAATCTCCGAATGTTCGATCTAAACCAAATCTGGGTTCCTTGTGTCCTTTCACGATTGGTCAGGAGTAATTCCTGACCTAGCTGTATGGCAACGGAACCCCTCATGCAATTTTTTGTTCCTAAAACTGCATTTGCAACAGCTATGTGTTCCTAAAACTGCATTTGCAAGAGCTATGAACCTAAGACCATTAGACTATTCATAAGTTCAGCAATTCGTCGTTATGAGGCAAGTAGGAAAACGTTTTATTTTCGTCAAACTTGACTGCTGTCGCTACGGATCACCTGTCGCTACCGGTAGTACGGCTCTTATTATCCCCTTTCATCTGCAAGACCCTCAATCTCAATGTCTATCTCACCCTCTCTCCGCCAAGCTGTCTCCGCCAAGCTCTCTCCGCCAAATCAAAAACTCACACACTTTGCTCATTGCCTTGCAACGGGACGGAAATGCTGAAGTTGCGGAGTTGATTTTCCCTCTCTAACTTTTCCAGGCCTTAAGGCAGACATAACCTTCTCTCCTTGCTTTGGCTCGGATAAACTCGCGATGCGACTGGACTATGGTACCATGAAAAATGAGGCACACCTCGCCTGACGGAACAACAAGAAGCCCGTATGACTAAGAATGTTGCCCATGGTGCATTTTTGGTCTAGCGGTATTTGTGTTCGACATCGCCTCCGACGATAAAACGGTACAATTGAACAAATGGAACCCAATGTTTGGCCAGGGCGTATCCATGAATGGCAGATGGACCATCCACAGCGATGGCGATCTATCGCCACTACGCAAGGAAGCAGGAGAGAGGAACAATCTAGTTCGAATACTTGGAGAACTATCTCCGCAGAAGAAAGGAAACAAAGGAAGGGAAGGCCTAAATAGGCCGAAGCAGAACAATCAACCTGGCCCTGGAATCATCCTCTAGGAGAATCCCGACCGGGGATTCCCTCGAGGGAGATCCCTATCGGATCTCCATCACACAGCTTCGTGCGCGAAAGCGTATGGCTGGTCAATGCCATAGGCGTCCCGCTATCCCTCGGCTCTTGCTGAGCTCATTTCTTGCCTGGAGTGTCAAACCACGCTTCGTGTTAGTTCACAGCAAAGTGGAAATTGTTCTACTCGAAAAGAGTCTTGAAGAGTTTCGCAGTCAGCACGGAGCGCCTCTAACATTCTTCATTCGTCTCTCTGTAAGCTTCCTCAAAAGACCCCACTGTTCGGCTGTTCCAGTAGCACGTCCTCACCATAGGCGGGCCGCTTGAGAATAGTCTCACCATTTAACCGAGGGTTTGGATGAGTGGTTTCCAAACGCACCATTCCGCTTTCAGATAATGGTCTCCTCTTCATGGCCACCCACTTGGTCGCCCCCAAGAGAGTGAGACGGTTCGTTTTCCGCGATTACTAGTGGCCAATCTGCCAGCGATAGCATTGGCCTATAGCATTGGCCTTTTCGCACTTGCTGATAAACTCGCAACGATCGCACCTTCAACGACTCTCAACGACCAGAAAGTTTTTTTGCCGTCGAGAATGTCAGATATTTCGAATTCGTCGACTCCCGAATTGAGGTACTCTTCAACCTCTACCACTTCACCGCCGTCAACTGTTTCGTCGCGTTCCCCCCTCTCGAGGCTTCACAGCCGGCCTGGGAACTGCCCTACAGAACCACTGGGTCTGTGAAACCACAGTCATCATTCCTCTTTATAGACTACCAGGCAGACACGTCAAAGAACAAGAAGTTACGCAACGAGAAACAAGGCTTCCTACTCAAAAATTACCACAGGAGGAAAAAGCAAGCGTCCATCCTGCGCTTGAAAACCCCCAGAACGGCCCCCACCCAACGTTTTCTAGCCGATCACTCAACGAGCGAACAACCTACCTCAGATAATGCTGACTCAACCGAAGAGCAGGATGGATGGGTTGATAAAGGCGACTCAGGACAGGCTGCACTACGGTCTGAGATGTGGTCCCTCAAAGCCTATCTCAGTCAAGGTTTCGTCGATCCGTTCGGGGCGTCAGCGGTTAAGATGACGGGCTCCATGAATATATACTTTCATCATTGTATGCACTATGGAAATTTGTGTATAGAATACAAACCCAAGCTAACTTGAAATAGTCAGAATTCATACAATAGCAGCATGCTATCCAGTTGACGCTACACGGATGAGTATATGGTGGTGGCAGAAGGCAATAACACAGCCAGCTCTCCTTCAGGCTCTCCTATTTTTAACAGCGGGCCATCAGGCGACCTTGGAGTCGAGCAACGGTGTCGCATCTCCCGTCACTAAGAAATCAATGCAGGACTCGCTCCATCTTCGCGGTGATACACTGAAGACGTTAAATAATATTATGCAAGACCCTCTTAGGGCAGTAGCTGAGTCTACGATACTGGTTGTTGCTTCGCTTGTCGCGATCGAGGTATGGTTTATAGCAAATTAACGCTCGATTTTTTAGTTTCGCAGGTTGCTAATCTCGTCAATTATAGGCCGTCGATGCAAATATCGAGGCTCATAATGCGCATATGAAAGGACTGAAGAGGCTCATCCAGTTAATGGGTGGACTGGATACTCTAGACCACATGACTCTGTCGAAAATTTACCAGTATGTTCTTCACGCTCCTTTTAACACCTCGTATATAGTCGCTAACAACCCTTAGGAGCGATGTTAAAAGCGCTGCCCTCTATAATTCCCGGCCAGTCTTCCCTATTTCCTCCCGCTGGCGAAGTGAAATTATCCAAGATTTCCGACTTTTCCTCGCCCGTGACGAGCTCGATACGCCTAAGGATCTTGCCTCCCTCGGAATTACTATCTTCTCTTCCCTCTGGTATACAACGCTGGACCGTACCATGAAAACCTTCCTTCAGGTGATCCGACGCTTGATTCTTTACTATGAATATGTGCAGCGCAATCCGGCTTCTGTAATGCCTACAGATAACGATCTTTTCCTTGTTGCTGAACACCAGATTCTCTCCGCGGGCTACACAGTGACAGATCCAACCGATATTAACGAACCACTCCGTCTCACCTTGGTTGTCTACCTAAATCTACGAGTGTGGCACTTCCAGTCTTTCCCGTTTATGGAATATGTCGTTGAATCGCTCCGACAGAGCCTTAACCTTCCATATTCATATCTCCAAACCGAAACACCCGAGCTCCTATTCTGGATTCTTGTCCTCGGTAGCCTTGGGTCGCAGGGTTATAAGTGCCATCGTTGGTACCTCAACAGGCTGATTTTGATGACGGACCGGCTGGGGCTGCGCAAGTGGGAGGAGGCGAGGGCGCTTCTGGGGGGTTACTTCTACACTGACCAGATAAGTGAGAAGAAGGCCGAGGAAGATCTTTGGAATGAGGTACTTTTGAGGGAAACTTGTAAGTTACTGTTTAATGGCGGTGGTCGGGCGTTTTGATTGACTAACAATATCCATGGTAGTTCCGTATATTGCGCCAAAGCTTGCCAGATAGAGTAGAGCCTTTGATTGCCCTGTCGGTTTGTGAGGGCTCTTTACGGCCCTATGGCTAGTTGAGGAGTGTTCGAGATTGTCCAGAGGTTTCAGTATTGTCGCCGATAGCGCAACATGGGAGATAAGCGAAGCCTTGTCCATGGTTAACATTGGTGTATTCTGACTAAAGCGAAATGTGGCCGTTGGTGGCTCAGCAAACTTTGTCTTCTCAATAAACTGCTTCAATAAGGCCGCCTTGGCCACGGTCTGCTATGGAGAGACGTTATCTTTTATGGCGTAATTTATGATGTAATAGATTAGTGACGAAGTTTTTGAAACTGTTGAAATCTAAGAGATGCCGTGATGCCGTGATTAGAATAGGCACGACTAGCAAAAGCGGAGATTCAATGGTTGTATCCGAATATAGGTTCGAGCAAGGTGAATTAGTCTATAGCCATCGATCTTGGAGACAAAACGCAGATCTCGAGGCATGCTAAAGCGACAATTATTCTCTATGGTTTTCGTTTGGCAGTATCTAAAGCATGTGGCGAGATGATGCATCATATGGACCCACCTGAATTCTACGAGCGACCAAATTTTGATTACATAGTGAATAGCAGAAGGTGAAAGTCATCGATTTCAAAATCCTTCACCAACGGGTAGCGTCCCACTAGGAATTTTCACTTTAGATCTATATAGAATATTCTTACTAATGCCTTGAATAATGATCGACTCTAGGTAGCGAACTACACGAGATGTAAAGGTAGTACTGTACCTTGAAAGAGCTGATCACGCAAGTAAAAGCTAAGTGTTAGTTACCTCTCGCCTAGGGTAATCCGTAGATCTGTAGCATACCTCGGCTATTTGTCTTGATGCGCCAAAGTGATTCAAGAGGTTACTAGGAATGTTGATTTAGTCGGTATTAGCAGCAAAAAGTCGTTCTCGGTGTCACAAGCAACGACACATGTCTAGATCAACTGGTCATACACTTTGGCCAAAATGACCACTATGTCAGCCATCAAAGCTATTGTATAGCAACTGTGCATTGTTAATCCTCCCACCTGCATCATCACACGCTTATAGCCGGAAGTGATCTGGACCGTTGCTAATACCGAGACGTAGATTTGGCTTTATCGATGGTGACATGAATCACAAGGCGGAAGTTGGAGAGTCTAGGTAATCTGGCCAGCCACAAAGTGTGTATGGTCAATGGCTAACGACAAGATATAGATTATGTAAGTCACGTGCTGAATGCGAAGAGGAAAGGGGACAGAGGGGAGCCTTGTAAAAGTCTGGTAGAAGCACGTCCTTCGACTGGTAGTCGTAAAAGCCGATAGTCGCCTGGCGTCCGCTCATAAAGCCCGCGATCCACCTCCCGGCTACCAGAGGAATGCCTTTTGCTTAGATGCGAGCGTCGAGGCTCATGTTGATGACTCCATCTAAGGTTCTCTTCAGGTCAAAGGCCACTAGTGTGACAATCTTCTGCCTGAACCAGGGCCGATCAATCGTGTTACCAAGCAGCAGCAGGGCTTGCTCAGTTGTACGTCCTAGGCGTCCTCAAACTGAGTATAGGGAAGAAATCCGTAGTGCTCCGCGAAATAGGACAGCCGCCGTGCCATCGCTGCCTCAAGCAGATTGCCAAGCGTGTTGATTGATTAGATCGGTTTGTACGCACCGGGGAGCAGTCTGTCTTTCCGGGTTTCCGCAGTACTACGATCCGGGCAGTCCTCCACCGTTTAGGGCGGAAGCCTAGGTCGATCGACGAGGCGATTAACCGAGTGATTATTGTTCAAGTAGTCGCAAATTCTTGGTTCATCTCATAGAATGAGCAAAATCAATAGACCATCGTCATGTGCTTGTATCTATTACACTTTCATCAGTTGCTTCAGGGTAAAGATTATAGATCGCAGTCTTAACTACTGGGATGGTTCTCTACCTTCCCACGTGTCATGTAGCTGACGTGTTCTGCCTGCCAGAAAGACTAGCGAATATGCTATTTACATTATCGGACTTTGGGCAGGCCTCTACAATACAATAAGACACTCTCTAGCCTGCATGGCTCGAACTTGGCATAAGTTAAACAAGGCTCACGAAAGAATTGATTACACACACGCAAATGTAGAATTGATATGTCATCCACCTATCTTTCCACCCCTGTAGTAAAATAACAACTTAAACCCTGGCAATAGAGAGGAATCTTCTGTTCTACCGCTATAATCCACTGTCTTTCAAGAATCCAAGAATAACTTCGTACGCCGCAGTTGAATTATGATGAAGATTCAACGCGTGCCCTGCATTAGGGTGGATGTACCTAGTAAGGGGCCTGGCCTTCGGGAAGACAGCTGTAGAAGGAGAGTCCACCGCGTCGAGCACACCATAACAATTGCCACCGCAAAATGAAAGATCTTGTGCGCCATTTATGATCTAACACAGTCAGTCCGGATATTTTTGTCGAGGTGGATACCACCAAGGAATTATTATAGGTGCCACGTACCAGGACAGGACTAGCATACTCTGGTGCCGCAAGGGGGGTCACACCAAATGAAAGCAACTCGGCAATCGTAAATGGTGCTTTATTGAGCTCGGCTTTGCGGAGAACATCCCAATCAAAATTAGGGTAGTTAAAAGTGGCACATTGGTTATCAAACTCATTGCCCCAGGTCAGATAGCCAGAGTCGTACTTGCGGAAGCGAAGGGGTTTGTTCACCCGTGCTACTTCGAACCCATAACATAATTGGAAATAGCTCGCCCAGGAAAAGTCGTGACCAAACCCGGTGAGAATCATACCATCTGACAAACTTGGGAAGGTTGCTGCGAGGCTATTCGTGATTAATGAGCCAAAGCTGTGGCCGATATGAACGAGTTTTTTGGGGATCGGTATTTTTGAATAGAGCCTCCCCTCTTGCAGGAGTTCTGAGACTTTTGCTAGAATTGCGACCTGGGTTGCCGCTTGCACGTCAAGGTAAGGGTCTGCAAGCTCCGATTGACCGACACCCAGCCTATCGTAGGACAAGGTGGAGTACCCAGCCGCAGTGGCAGATGCAATGTAGCTGTATCCTTCAAAGTCCCAGTAGCTACGTACAGTGTTAGGATATGTCTACTATAATTAGGCAGTAACTCACGATTTATCGAACCCAAGACCGTGGGTCAAAATTTGCACGATGCCGTTTCGCGATACGCCCTGATTGGGCTCGCAATAACGGAAATTTATGTCGTAAGCTCGGGTTATGTTCACTTCTCCCGCTACAAGATTTTGCACATTTGCTGTGCGGGCCACGGAGTTCACGAGCAAAGACGTGGACTCGGAATTATTATGGAAAGGGGAAACAGTGAACTTCGTGATAGCGGTAGAGACTTGGACCGGGAGGCTGAAATCAAGGCACACCGGCCGGGCGGCCAGGGCTAGTGGCACCAATATGGCGATTATGATCGGTTGGAGAGCAATCATGATTCAAAGCCGCTTTGGTCTTTTCTGTTTCTCTTTCTTGTTTGAAATGACAGAAGCAGATCTCTACGACGTAAATGCATTTATATAGCCGCATGTCTGGCTAATAATTAGTTAAAGCTTTAGTAAGCATTGATTCACCACTTATGCCTGCTTAACGCATGTGCTTGGTTTAATGTTAGTTTCACCATTGGCCAGCTACCGTGACCACCACTTATGTAGAAGCAGTGTGAAGTTTAGTCATGATTACTTCTAGAAAGGTTAGTCAGACAATAACTACCTGCCATGGTTAACGTAATCCACGGCTTTGTCTTTTAACCATGTCGGAGCGATGGAGGGAAAGTTTACCTGACACTGTATTGGGGCGCTGGGCCGGGAACGGCAAAACTAACCAGATTAGTAAATTACAGGTCCCAATATTACATATAAAATTATTAAATTTTAATAAATTTCTATATAAATAGTATTAGAGAACAGGAAGTGAAAAAGGATGGTTCAATTTTTTGTGAGCCCTCTAGAATGGCATGACCACATTGCAGCCCATCCCCACCAAGTAAAAGGCAACTTCGAGCGTGAGCACCCCGCTTGCCTGCTGGGTTTTGGAGGTGCGGCGGAAGTAATATATCATCTTATCGATACCCACTGCTGGTGGCCTCAACATGAATCGCCTAGGAAGAGGAAGTTTGAAATTGAAGATAGGTTTTAGTAGGAAATTTTCAGTCGTGTACGGGGCAAGGATAACTTCTTTGTCTTGGTTTGCTCTGCCTGTCTTTTCATGAAGGACTTTGAGGTATTATGGGACAAGGCTAGTTAATACTGGGGGCTCTGGCGGGTGCAGCTTCGCTGTTATAGACAGAGGCAAATTCAAATGAATAGGGCAATAACATTATCACATTACGTCTTAAACTGCAGCTCTGCCACTATACCTACTTTCTATCCTAGACCGTGATATTTTGTTTATTACAAGCCCGCGAATCAACTACTGCCTATGTTTACTCTCATTCATCAATATATCATCGTTTTGACTCTGTTCAGGTTCGTAAGGATAGACAACATATTTCCATCTAGGTAGCCGCCTGGTTCTCCTGCCCACCATAAAATGGGGTCCATAGCCTACCCGAGAAGAAATTGCTTGGTGGATTTTGAAAGCATAGAGGTTTTGACATATCACCTTATTGATATCCACTGTTGGCGGCCTCGACGTGAATCGCCTAAAAAGAGGAAGTATGAAGTTGAAGAGACTCCTTGACTGGGTTTAAATGGGGAAATTTCGATCATGTACGGGGCTAGGATTGCCTCTTTGTCTTGGTTTGCTGTACCTATATTTTCCATGGATGTCTTTTCGGTATTGTGACACGGTGCTAGTTACAGTGACGCCCGACTTCGCCTTCCATGTCAGAGAAACATATATGCTCTTTTGAACCTTATCACGTGACATGCGAAAAATAACATGTAATGGTCCGTAATCATGACCGGATACTTCTTAAGATTGTAAGACAGATAAAGGAGGACTAGCAAATTGTCAACTTCTTCCTTCTGCATCTCGCAGTTGCTTTACTACAGGGATCTTGGTGCTTCCTGGGGGTCTATCTTGGGTCAAGGTGATGGGCAAGGCTCAATAGTACGTTTTTGTTTCGGAATCTCCACTAGAGCTTATGATCATGTGGTAAGCCATTTTGGTAGATCCGGTCTTCCAAGTGACATCTAGAGGTAAAGTGGATTGGTTGGTGATGGTGAGATGGACGATAGTAACGTGTGAATAGAGATGGGAAAGACAAATGTTGTGTGGTATCACCTATGGAGGGGGAGAACAGTGAACGGTCGCGGAAAGAGGATATGGGTCAGGTGACATGCAATCAATCGAAGTAGACATGCAGTTATAACTATTCGAAATCAGATCTATTATTGCTCTTCGACATTGATCCAGGCTGCTTTGAATGGAAATATATCTAGGAACAACATCTTCAAAGATTTTCTACCCGATTTGTGGTCGGTCCCTTTTAGCACACGCCAGCTCTTCCACGTGATAGGCCTAAATCTCGTATTCCGCCAATATTAGGGCCCCTGGCCACCGAGACTCAACTTATACCGACTCTCAATGGAAAAGGCACTCAACATACGCCGCTGGTGGGGACTTCCGCTTCCCCCAGAGATCGTTCTGGAACTATTTGAGTATTTGGAACCCTCAGATGTCGTGGCTCTCGCACAAGCAGCGGAGGGGTTCGCCCAGCTCGCTGTCTCAGCGTTTTCATCTAGTCTCCGCGAACATGGACGAACGATATTATTTTCTGCTGTTGTATGTGGACATACAAGCATTGTCAAGCATTATCTGGAAGCAGGAGCCGATCCCTGCGCCGCTGATGATAAGGGAAACACGCCACTGCACTGGGCCGCTGCTTTCGGTCATTGTAACGTGGCGACTTTACTCGTTGATGTGGGGGCCGATATAAATGCACGTCATAAGAATGGACTTAGTCCACTGGATTATGCCATTATAGCGGGATATGACCGCGTTGTGGAGGTTCTTTTGGATAAAGGAGCCACCTTTACGGATGTAAGGATCGGCCAGGCTCAAAGGACGACTCTACATGCGGTTGCCATCAAGGGATATAGCCGGATTGCAGATATGCTGCTAAGCCACCGAGCTCCTATTGATGTCAAGGATGCCCATGGTCATACGCCTCTTCATTTGGCTGTTTCGGAAGGGCATCTTGGGATAGTTCGGGCACTGCTTTGTGCTGGAGCAACCGTCGACATTCAAGATGAGATAGGCGACTCGTCACTGCACCTCGCTGCCGGCAACGGTTATATTGCTATCGTACAGGAGCTTCTGAGTAGAGGAGCAGACCCTTCTCTGCAAGGTCACGAAAATGCTACGCCATTGCACCGGGCATCTTTACTGGGTTTCGTTGATGTTGTCCAGTGTCTCCTAAAAGCTGGGGCGAATGTGTCTGCTCAAAGCTTAGATGGACAGACCCCTCTTCATCAAGCTAGTGGCGCCGGTGAGGTCGCAACCGTGCGGCTGCTTCTAGATGCCGGAAGCGGTCCTTCAATTCCAGATAAGAGTGGGGCCACACCACTACATTTCGCCGTCCTTTCTGGGAAAGCAACAATCGCCGATATGCTAATAAACGCTGGAGCGCATGTCGATAGCATAAATGACAAGGAACAGACCCCCTTACACTGGGCAGCAAAAGGACATGAAGAGATAGTTCCTACTTTGCTGAATCACAAGGCTGATATACATGCTCTTAGCCATACAGAGTGGACTCCGCTACATTGGGCAGCGAATGAGGGCCATGTTGGTATAACGATAGCTTTACTGGAAGCCGGGGCCCTCGACCAGATTCAAAATCAACATGGGGAATCAGCGCTGCACTTGGCCGCTCAAAATGGTCATGAAGCTGTCGTTCAATTGCTTATCCAACGGGGCAGCAATCCGCACCTTACCGACAATAAACTTCGCACAGCGCTGCATCATACAGCTGCGGAAGGACATGAGGCTACGGTAAAAATGTTGCTCAGTATCAAAGTCAGATCAAACGTCAGAGATATCGATGGTCGCACTCCGTTGTACTATGCAGTACTCCATGGGCATGCGACGATCGCGAATATGCTTCTTGACCGCGGTACCACCCTTGATGAGACCGTCAAGGAAGCCTTTTAGAGGCCGCGGAAGCTGGGCACGAACTGATAGTTCGACTTCTCATCGTACATGGAATTGACCTGTCGTTCAACGATTCAAGCGGATATACCGCGTTGCACCGAGCCGTTCTGGGGAGTCAAATTAAAGTTCTTGAGCTGCTTCTCAGTAAAGAGGCTGATAGGTCTGCCCGGGACAACAAGGGAAAGACGGCATTACATCTTGCTGCCCAGGAGGGCGAGGACGAAATTGCCAAGGTTCTTTTGGGAGATAGTAGAATAAGGGATCTTCAGGATTATAATGGCTGGACGGCTCTGCATTGGGCGGTTGACAACGAACATGAAAACACCGTCCGGATTCTCCTAGATGCTGGTGTTGATCCTGGTATTCATTCCTTCGACGCATGCACGCCGCTTGATCTAGCGGTTGGGGCTCTACAAACAATAGAGCAGACGCTGCGGGAGGCATTAGCAGCGAGAAATAGACCAACTGTCGGTGGTGCGCCTCCATGAGAATTTCAGTGCATTCAATCGTGTTGAGGACCCGGAACGTTACCACTAGAAGCGTTATGACTACAAAGCTGCAGACTAAGATGTTTCGTTAAGGTTACCGTATGTTAGTTACCACTTGTTACTGCCTAACTAATAACCGCATATTCTTGCGTATGTTAGCGATAGAACGCTCACTATAGTTTACCAGCTTAGCCATTTATGAGGCATGGAGCTTGTTACTGCTGCTTATCCTGTGGACAAACATCTTACGCTGCCAGGGACTCAAATTTCGCGCCGTTTTACAAGGATTGAGAGAGAAGAGGGAGGAGAGAGGGCGAAAAAGGGTTTCTTGCATTTAAATACTTGTATTAGGACGACGATATAGCGAGGGGGCTTTATTCTTAGATCGGCAATGATACATTGTATTACAATAATCACAGTGGAAAATTTACCCCAAGCTTATCTGTATCAGATAGTCATAGATTAGGGCTTGAAAGAGTATCTCGCTACTACTAAGCATGGAAGGCGAAGTCGACTGCCACTATAGTACTTGAAACTCTAGTGGATGTAGTTTCGCTGTTATAGACAGAGACAAATTCAAACAAATAGGGCAATAGTATTATTATTTTACGTCTTAAACTGTAGCTCTGCCACTATATGTACCTTCCATCCTAAACCATATTTTTTGTTTCTTACAAACCAACTAATCAACTACTTATTCCTTTGTTAGCTGTCTAGAGAATATCCCTGGCAGACCTGATAGCTAAAGAGCGTCTTTTTTTCTCTTCTCGAGCACCCGTGCGATGCAGACGATATTACTCTGGTCGTCTTGTAGCTTATTCTCAGTCTATTCCCATTAACCAACAGCTGTATCGTTTTCTCTATTCGGGCTGAGTCGCCCTCTATATCAGGGCAACACCTGCTCAGGTCGGCCAATCTATAGCCCATATTAGAAGGACCGTCACATTCGTTGGAAGATCCGAGCCATAATCTATATCCTAAGAGTAAAAGTACACAGATAAGGACAGAAATACTCTAAGATTAGCATACAGGAGTAGGTTACTTCTATAACCTCAGATTATGTGCTTTATTTTAGGGACTCCCTGCCTTTACCAGATTAATTCACAAGAGAGCAGATCTTAGGTGAAAGCGACAGTCGATCTGAACAATTGTTTTGAGCATAATAGAAGAGTGTGTGTCGGCCAGAAAAGCGGGTCATATTTCCATTAGGCCAAAAAGGCGTACTTAAGCACAGTCTTCAGGCTTTATTTGGAGATATAAGAGATCAGGTCGTTCAGGGGCCGATATACCCCCTACTATATTGCTGACAGTGTGACTACGAGTGAAAGTTGTCAGCTACGTATGTCCATACTTGTGAATGGGGAATGAGAATCAAATTCAGCAGTTTGGAGTCGTCGGTATTTTATCTTCGATTAGCTTTCATAAATCAGAGTCACTAACAAGTCTTAAGGAGAGGGAAGGATAACGGTGAGGTTAACTCTCTTTGCTCGCAGTCTTCCTTAACATGTAATTTCACTTGCTTGAATGAAGCCTTTTTCTGCATGACTATGTATACACTGTGACGGCACTAGCGTGTAGTAGTTTCCTGGGCAGACAATATCCCTGTTGAATTTAGGGTATATAAAGGGTCTCCTCTCCCCCCGCTGTTGTCGTTGCTCAGATTTCCTTTCCTCTTCTTAGGTACTTCGCCTCTTCCCTCTCCCAAACCATCGACGACTAGAGAAACCTTTCCTTTATAGTTATACGCTAAACAACAGATTCAACCTAGTCCGCGGTCTCTAACGTTTTGTAAAATTTTAAACTGAACTCTACCAGTCTAGGAAGGTTTTCGAGAATAAGCGAAAGTAGGGCGAAATCCCTTCCTATCTATACAATCTGCCTTTGCTCAACGCAAATCTCTCGTATTTTTACGTAAAGAAATGAATACAAGGGGTAGCTGCCCTCTAGGCCTCCTAAATCACTCTAACTATCCTAGTATTCGTAATCTTTAAGATAGTCTCTAGAAGTAAGGACTCGTACTTTGAATATCTTATAGTCTAGTATTTCTAACTAAGTGTTAGCTATCTGTTATTAACTACTTGTATAGCTAGATTTACTAGGGTGTAGTAGCTCCGGAACGATATATTATATAGAAACAATATAATAATATAGATTTGACCTTAGAAATCGTCGGAAGGTGATAAGTGAAACACAAAAAGTTGATGGGCCCTGGAGAAGCTATACAAGTTTTACAGACAATGTTTACTGAAGGTCGATTGTAAATTTGTCAAGATTCGTAATAATGGAGAGAGGTGGAATTTGATTGGAGTCAAAAGTGTGGCAGCTGTCTTGTCAGAACCTCAGAATTGGTAGTTCTCCATGGCTGTTCTGCTATCATTTTGATCGTCACCGGATGAAGAAAAGGCATGTTCAAATGGTGCGTCGTATGCGCGGGATTGTTTCTAGAAAAGCAGGAAGAGCAAGAAAGAGACTAATACATGAAGGTGTTAGCTTGCATGTTTGGCTCACGTGGTCTATTGTTCTGGACGGACCAATTAGGATGCGCCAATCGGTCTATTTTCCAACTCCGTCCGTAGTTTAGGTCCATCACATTTCTGCAACATGCAGGGCGGCGCCATGCGGAGCACATGCGGAGGGCGCTCCGACTACGCAAGCCACTAAGTAGACTTTCTGCTACGTTTACTTTCCGAATATTGCCAGTGCCACATCTTGGCATGACACTAATTTCAAAGGTGGAAATTGTGTTTGCGGGGTTGCAGAATGATACTTTCGGTATCGTCAGGCCGAATCTGAAATGCCAGCACCAAGAACTAGTAACACTCAACAGCCAAAATATTTTACTACAGGAACCTACTAGAAAGGCCCTATTATCCCTGCCAGTCCGAGTAGTCTCTCCCGATCAACATGCAGATCGCTCCTGTTTTTGACTCGTTCTCGCTCATGAATACGGGGAAAGGAGCCCCGCTAATATTGCAACCTGCAGCAGGCCACCGAACACCTGATTGTCTTGATGAGTTCGACGATAAGCTTTCCACTAGAGCTAGATTGCCTGTTTTGGTCCGGGACTCCCTCCATATTATCACTTCTCCACATTTGGGCTCAAGTACTTTCTCATGCGCTAGCAACTGCGGATGTGCCTTTCTACTCATCTCCGATGTCGAACCGTACACCGGATTTCCCTATACCGTACCCAATGCCGTGTCCAATTCAGCCATTGCTAATTTGCAGGACTATTTCGGTGATTTATGTCCGGAGGACCATTTCACAAAGAGTCAGTTACACTCGGTAAACGGTCCGAGGAACCTATTTCCGAATCTGATAACTGCAGTGCTAGAGATGTTGCAGAACCTTCTCCAAAGGAAATGGGCGGTTACGGCTGCATCACCGCGGAGGAAAGAGGCATTCCCGAGAGTCCGCTAGGCTCGTGTCTTCATATAAAGAGCTTTGGAACCGTCCGATTCAAGAAAAACTCCCAAAGTGTCAGGCATTGAAATTCAAGATCCAAAACCATGAGATACGATCTGCTGCTCGCAGCCAGCGCTGCCCTGGCTCTTGCAAGCCCTCAAGGCCACTCCAAGCGGGCCTCATCCTTTACTTGTATGTGTAAAGCCCTCCAGAAACGAGCTGAAACTGACAATCCTCCCAAGGGTTTGGCGTAAGTGAGTCCGGAGCCGAGTTTGGCCAGGCGCATATTCCAGGTGTTCTGGGAACGGACTACACCTGGCCAACCACTTCGACCATTCAAACGCTACGCAATGCGGGCATGAACATCTTTCGGGTGCCGTTCATGATGGAGCGATTGGTTCCCAATACATTGACCTCGAGCCCAAATGCGGCCTACCTACAAGGCCTGAAGAGTGTAAGTTGTCCATGCCCCGGATGAAACCTGTACTAATCGATTTCCAGACGGTGGATTTCATCACCTCTACCGGTGCGTACGCAATTGTTGACCCGCACAACTTCGGGCGATAGTCAGTTGATATCCTCCGCTTCTCAACTGGAAACTCTACTAACTTGTGAATTAGCTATGGCAACATCATCAACTCCACCAGTGACTTTGCTGCTTTTTGGACAACCGTGGCAACACAGTTTGCCTCGAATGACAAGGTCATTTTCGACACGAGTAAGATTCAATATTTTACTGGCTCTTTTCTTCCCTCACTGACTTCTGCAGACAATGAGTTCAACTCGGAGGACCAAACACTGGTGCTCAACCTCAACCAGGCGGCCATTAACGCTATTCGGGCTGCTGGAGCCACATCGCAGTACATTTTCGTGGAGGGAAATTCGTGGAGTGGTGCCTGGACGTGGGTATCAGTCAATAGCAACCTGGTCAGCTTAACGGACCCCAACAACAAAATTGTTTACGAGATGCACCAGTATCTTGACTCTGATGGATCTGGTACATCCGAAACCTGTGTCAGCACGACCATCGGCCAGGAGCGCGTACAGTCGGCAACACAATGGCTGAAAGACAATAAGAAACTTGGTTTCTTGGGCGAGTTCGCCGGTGGTGCAAATTCGGTCTGTCAGAGCGCTCTGACTGGAATGCTGAGCTACATGCAGCAGAACAGTGACGTCTGGCTCGGAGCGTCCTGGTGGGCTGCAGGGCCATGGTGGAGTACTTATATCTATTCGATGGAGCCACCCTCAGGCCCTGCCTATACTTACTACATGAGCATATTGTCTGCCTACTTCCCTTCCAGCTCGGGCGGTTCTACAACCACTTCTACAACCACTTCCACTACCGCAAAGTCTACTTCGACAACCACCACTAAGGCCACCACCACCACAGTGTCTACTGCTACTGCCACTGCCACTGCAACGGCAGCCCACTGGGGGCAGTGCGGCGGGAGCGGCTGGACGGGGCCGACGGCGTGTGCCAGCCCGTATACCTGCCAGGCGCAGAATGCGTGGTATTCGCAGTGTCTGTGAGCTAGAAGTGTCAGAAATTGAACATTCGACGTTCTTCGTCTATCAAGAAATATTCGTCAAGAAATACATAAGTCTACGTCGTCTGCACAATGTTGGGTAGTTTCACTGTGAAAATAGATGTTTGGCATACGTCAGTGCAGCGGCCCACTAGATGTCAAGAAGCATCTATATAGTCTGTGCTTCTACCTGTCTTTCTACCTGTCTTTCTAGATTCTTCCAGAAACAGTAGAGTAACATGTTCTTCATGCTATCACAATTTTTTGTCAAAGTGGAATCAATGGGATCGCCCGCCTTTGATTATCATATGTGAGTGTCTAGAAGTTCTGCCCTTTTCTGCAAACAATTCTTAACGGCATCGTTCTGCACCAGACGGATTGTTCTCTCTTAAGTACTTCCTTGCAAGCCCAATTCGGTGTATTTAAATACAATTTGCCCTGGTAACTTCCTGAACAAGCTAATATTCTTGTACGGTGGGTACTGAGACTTGACTCGCTCTCATAAACACTGTCCTGAGCTTTGACCAAGCGTTGAGTCGCTGTCTCCGTCTTCGAGAAATTTATAGGCTTAATCTTGCGTTCAAAAAGCTCATCAAGCTCGGCAGCTGAATGTCTGCATATTAATCAGCAGCTTGTAACGTCAAAGTCACCCTTCAAAGTACTCGTACAGTTGGGAATGATACATACCCCTTGGTCTCGGGAAGAAGGAGCCATGTGCCAATCAGGAAAGGAAGGCCAACGCCAGCATAGAACCAGCCAGTCTTGAACCCCCAGTTCCACTTGTTGGCATTCACCATATATGGAGTAAGAACATTCATCACCACTCCGGCAACGGAAGTCATAGCGGCGCCAAAACCTGCCGTATAGGGACGGAGACGTAGTGATGATGTTTCGGCGATATAGCCCAGCCGGCTGCTCCGTTTGAGACTTGACCGACATGTAAATGTCGTGTAATTAGTGAAAGTCCTCATAAACTCATAGAATAAGTATATTGCGAAGATGCCAGACACTTACTCCAGAAACAAACAAACAGCACGAACAGATTCTTAGTTGGCGTGGTTTTGGGAACAAGGCCAAGGATTCCAATAACTAAGCAACATGTCCAAGTGGTGCCTGTGGCATAGCACGCAATCCTCCGTCGGCCGATGCGGTCAGACACGAGGACGACCGTAGCCAAGGTCGTAATGTTGATAGCAGATGTGATGCACTTAATAGTGAAAGGATCTGAGAGACCGGTTTGCTGGAAAAAGTATGTTCCAAAGGTCGCAAGAGAGTAAGTCCGATAAATTGCTGTGTCAGGTTCGGTCGGAGAGATATAGCAGTCCGAAGGCCATCGGTTCCTCGGAAGATAGCATACCACTGCTGTCTCTTCTATTCTACGGCCCCTTGCTTTTCATGCTCGACTGTCAGGATGAGCAACTCGTATTGTTGTTCCAGGTTGTAGTCCTTCACACCCCGATTCAATTTCAGCAATTCTTTCTTTACCCGTTCGCCGTCACCGCGCGTGGCACACCAGGCAGGGGACTCTGGGAGAAACACATAGATAATGATCATGATGCCAATCTGAACCCACTGAGTATAGACTGGTGCCAGCCGAGTCAGGGGCCTTTCTTTGGCCATTATGTTGAGGACAATATAGGCGAAGAAAGACCCGATACTCCACCATGGACTGTAGCACATCAAAAGACCACCACGAATACGAGTTGGGGCGCATTACGATATGTAGACAGGCAAGGTTGACTGAAGACAGCCAACACCGGTTCCGGCCAAAAGTTTAGCGATGAGCCAGACTGGCCTTGATCTCGCCAGGCTTTCTGCCAGAACACTGGACGTCGAAATAAGCCAGTAGGTAAACATGGCGATTTTTCGACCAAACCTGCTGGAGATGAAAGGAATCGTGACCATGCCTATAATTTGGCCGACTGACATGATGGAGCTCCAACCTGCCAAGACCGGGGCCCCAAGGTAAGGGGTGCTTTTGGCATTGACGTCCGTCGCGAATTGCTTCACAAAGCCTTGGTTGGCGATGATGTTCCCATTCATACTGGCAACCTCTATTAGTAACAGATTCGACCAAGGACTAGAGCTACGGAGATCTAAGCGTAGACATACCCAATCTGATACCCATCAGTAGCAGCACTAAAAGCGGCCGCAAAGCAGGTGATAATGGCGACCTCGCACAGCTTAACTGTCTGCCATAGAGACGTGTTCTCATAAACCGAGGCTGCTTGATCCTTGGCGGCGGCATCAGCAGCTGTGTCGCTCGGCTTGATTGCTTGCTCGACATGGTCTTCATCGAATGTGTTCGGAGAGTCAAGGTGCTCAGACTGAATTTTCGACTGGACAGAAGCCACCCTGATATTGAGATATTGTGATTTGGATTCTGTCTTGCGCTGAAAGAATATCGTGTATATCTGGAGTCGAGGACAAGGCTTTAAATATCTGTTGCGGAGGAAGTATGATAGCGGTTAGGAACTTAACCTGGATTCCCCACGGGGTTGGTTCAGATCAACTAACATTTAGTGGCGGCCTGATACGGAGGTATAAACCGGCTTTAGTTGGGGTATAGGGTGCTATGGGGCCATCTAATGCGAGTCCCTATCCTTGTATGCCTTGGTTTCGTGCGTGAATGTTACGACGAAGCTCGACATTCGCGATCCTCTGGCAAGATACCCTCCACGAGTCAAACCACCGATCTGAGGCTCTGACCTCACTGTTCAGCGTCGTTCATTCACGAGTCAACGTCTATTCCTTGTTGAAATTGTTGTTCGATTTCATGTAGTTGGATAACGAAGCGAAAATTTGAAAGCTACACGATTCCCATAGACCTTGTCACAACCTAATCGTAGACTAGCGGCCTAGCCCACAGCCTGTGGGAACCAGGCCCGGCCAATCAATGTAACCAGGTCCAGCCAATCAATGTGTGATTTAAGGTTTTTATAGACTAATTTTGATCGAGGAAAAACCCGATGCCGGTTCCCTGAGCCATTGACGATATTAAACCTGTACGGGATACTCTAAGCCCGAGAGAGTCCCAGTGTAGACACGATTGAGCCATAATAAATCATAGTCAGACATCTAGCCTCTGCCAGTACTAGGGCAGAGACGGAAAAAACGAAGAAGGTTGAGGATAGTGATGTTGTAATAGTGTTTACCTTCGGTCAATTACAATGCATTCTCGGGGAGGTCCCCCGATCAGATATAATGGAGCACAGTACGTTCCCCGAAACATTGTGGGGAAATCGAACCCCACTCAATACCTACCGAGAATTCAAAGTCTAAATTCATTCAGTTGTGATTGCTGAACTTGTTCTCTTTGGAACTAGGTCTTCTGTTGATCAATCCAATCGGTGTAGCAACGGCCGAGCTGTGTCTTTGTGCCGGGCCACCTGAGCTCATTGAAACCCAAAGTGTCCCATTCCGTCGCAGTCTCAATTCTTGGTTCTGCTAGAGATATTCAAGTTGGTCAAATTCCTAGTTTAAAGCTTAGCTTTGAGCGACGAACGAAATTAGAGGGTTCGTTGTGGTTAAGAGCTTCACATCACACTTGTTTCGGCACGACAAACTGCAAGATAGCCGATCAACATCCCGATCAAAATAACCCCACGGCCTGAAATCGATCCTTCGAAACCATCCTCAACAACCTCCTTCCAGCCCTTCATCGCTTGCCTCGAACTCCTCAGCAGATCATCTCATTCACACCTACTCAAGGCTCCTCATTCTTCGGCCTCCAGCCTTCCGCAACTGGCCATGCCATTTCCCACCTCCCTTCACTCAGCTGGGGTAAAGATGCGGACTTCATTCTCGATTTTGGCATCCACATGGTTGGTTATCTCAGATTCCGGCTCTCGTCAGTGGGTGCACACATGGATGCCCCGTGTCGGCTGCGACTTACATTCGGAGAATCGCCGTTTGACGTCACAATGGGTATGGAGAATGTGCAAGCGTGGATCAGCATTTCCTGGCTTCCTGATGAGACTATCAGTATCGATGAATGTCCTCAGACTGTAACGCTCCCGCGACGGTACTATTTCCGCTATCTTCGTGTTGAAGTAATAGACACGTCTCCAAAATATAAAGTCTCGTTCTCCGATATCAGTTGCGAATGCGTCAGTGCTATCGGCCAAGATCATGCCCTTGAGATGGTTGATTTCGGAGACCGACTCCTCGAGGATATCCATCATGTCAGCATCTCTACACTCAGCGATTGCATGCAAACTGTTTTTGAAGATGGACCTCGCCGAGATCGAAGACTTTGGATCGGCGATCTTCGTCGTCAAGCCTTAGCCAACTACAGCACACTACGAGATTTTAATCTCGTCAAGAGGTGCGTTTTCCAGTTCGCGGCAGTCGTGCACGAAGATGGCTCGTTGCCCACTTGTATTTTTGAAAAACCCTCATTATCTCAACATTTTGTTGCAAATGACCAAGAACATGAGCGAGTCGGCATCAGTGCCAATATCTCCGAGCGAGCACTGCGGGAGATACATCTACTGCCATTCCAAATTTCGATAGCTGACGCCAATCCTGGAGCCATCATGACTTACTACAACAAGGTCAACGGGCAGCACGTGTCGGAAAGCAAGGAGATGCTAGATGGTCTTCTCCGCAGGAATGGGGCTGGAAGGGCTTGATCATGAGTGACTGGTAAGTTTAAATGAATCAATGATTATAGAACCTCGATTATTGACCAGATCTTGCAGGTTGGGTACATACTCCACTGCAGAGTCTCTCAACGCTGGTCTCGATCTGGAAATGCCTGGGCCTTCGAGGCTGAGAGGGATTCTGGCCGACCTTGCGATTTCTAGCCGCCATGTTTCCCGCTCTACCATTGATGAGCGAGTACGTAATGTTCTTGAGTTCGTTCAGAGGGCTATTAAAATCGCGGTGTCGCCGGAGGAGAGCACTCGAGATCTCCCAGAAGACCGCAAATTGAACCGCAAACTTGCCGCAGATAGCGTGGTTCTTCTCAAGAATGATTCAGGACTGTTGCCTTTGGGCAAAAAGCCCTTCAAGAGTATTGCATTGATTGGGCCCAATATGAAGACCGCGGCCTTTTGTGGTGGAGGCTCTGCGTCTCTCCACCCATACTACACCGTTTCACCCTACCAAGGAATCGTCGATCAGCTGCCGGAGGAAGTCGAAGTGCTATATCAACCTGGCGCTAACGCTTATGCTTTCATGCCAGAGATATCAGCCGCAGATGTACGAACTCCGACTGGGGAGCCTGGTCTTCGAATGCGCTTTTATCGGGACCCTTTCTCTTTGCCAAATCGTCCGGTTATTGATGGAAGCTGTTCTCTCGGAGTCCTCGTGGCACCTTATAGGCTTCTCTCACCCCCTGTTAGAGAGGACCTTCTATGCTGATATTGAGAGTGATTTAGTTGCCCCTGCTACCGGCTCTTTCGAATTTGGGTTGGCTGTCTACGGCTCAGCTAATCATTATATCGACGACCAGCTTGTCATAGAGAATACCACCGTACAGCGTGGAGGTAACTTCTTCTTTGGCAAAGGGACTCTGGAGGAAAAAGTCACAATCGATCTGGTCAAGAATCAGGTTTACAAACTCAAAGTCGAGTTTATTAGTGGTGCCTCGTCCAAGCTTGTGAAGCCTGGTGTTGTGAACTTTGGGGGTGGAGCTGGTCGTCTGGGGATGATTCAAGTTATCGACACAGAACTGGCCATTGAACGCGCTGTTGAAGCCGCTCAGCGTGCTGATGTTACAATTCTTTGCGTCGGATTGACCCGCGATTTTGAATCAGAGGGGTTCGATCGGCCCAATATGGACCTTCCATCATCCTTGCCTCCTCTCATCACAGCTGTCGTTGAGGCGGCGCCCGAAGTTATTCTCGTCACCCAGAGCGGTTCTCCGTTCAATATGATTCCTTGGGCCGAGACTGTGAACACACATGTACACACCTGGTATGTCGGAAACGAGCTGGGCAACGGTCTTGCGGATGTTCTCTTCGGTGCCGTCAATCCCAGCGGGAAACTACCACTCTCGTTCCAGCGCTGCATTGAAGATACGCCAACGTACCTCAACTTTGGCAGTGACAGAGGGCAAGTGACTTATGGTGAGGGCATATACGTCGGTTATTGATACTATGAAAAGATTCGAAAAGACGTGCTTTATCCGTTCGGGTAAGTCTTCCCTTTTTCTCCACATGCTAGTTACAACAAGCAACTAATTTTTCTTCTGTAGCTACGGATTGTCGTACACAACCTTCGACTATTCCAACCTCAGCGTCAGCGCCACTTCAGTTACTCTGAATATGTCCAACTCGGGGAAGTTGCCTGGAGCCGAGACCGTGCAGCTCTACATCAGCCCCGACAAGATGGCGACCATCGCACGACCGGTGAAGGAGCTCAAAGGCTTTTTCAAGGTTTTTTTTGCAGCCAGGAGAGACCCGTCGCGTCGAGATTTCACTTGACCGATTCAGCACTGCCGATTGGGACGAAGAACTGCACATGTGGGTGTGTGAGAAGGGGCAGCACAGGATCTTGATTGGATCAAGCAGCCACAAGATTCTATTGGAGGGTGTTCTTGATGTTGAGGAGACAAAAACATGGTCCGGTCTTTGATTGTGATAAATTTGCTTGAATGCTTCGAATGGTGGTCCACAGGTATTCAACGGGTTAGAAGAGAGATAATGTAGCCACGAAGGAAATGTTACCTCTATAGCCATAATGCATAGGAAGAAGAGAGTCATTTTAAATGCTTCTGGTTCCTCTATGTTTTATTTTCAACCAACAAGGGGTCCAAAGACAGGGATCATGGAGATCGTGGGATGGCCCCCATACCCCATTTAGGTAGTGTTTTTCTCCGCCCCCAACACTGTCAGCCCCTCCAATTTCTGCCCCATCACCGACACTCCCAGGCCTACGCATTGGCGATAGTACAGAATTACAAATATCTCATGGCATCTCAAATCTCTCTTCTTACCTAGCTGGTCCAATCCGATCCTGCATCATGTCGCTTCCCCTGGACTTTCTCTCGGCGGCTGGACATGAGATTACAGCACACCCCACGCCGGATTCGCGTGCCTTGGGATCCCGACCTGTGTACAAAAATGAAGTCCCAACACCACCTGTGCCTTCTCGTGATGATCTTATACCCGTATCACCCTCATCACCACCGCTAGAACCATCACCAATGTCACCGTCACCCCATCCGCCGATTCCCCAGTTGCAAAGAGAATATACACGCCGCCGCCTGTTACCACCGGCCATGACGGATTCTCAACTGTGCATAGATTGGAACTCATCACCACTTACTCCATTTAGTTTTTTTGTGGCCCCTGAACCGTGCACATCTCCCAAGCGATTCTCTCGGTTCATGGACTTGCCACTGGAAATTCATCGGATAATCTTTCAATCTTGCGACACGCCAACGCTTTTTCATCTCATGCATACATCACTTTACACTAGATCCGAATGCTCAAAATTGTTCTGGCAGTCTGGGGATAATGTATGGTATCAGCCTGATAATGCCTACCAAATTTTTGACTACAAAGCCTCCCCGACCTACCACTGCCATGATTTCGCATCGCGGATCACGCATTTGGAACTTCCTCTTCACCTCGTCGACTATCACGTGATGGCGATTACAGGACGTGAATTCTGGGATAGGGTACAAGAGCTATTCCCCTCGGCGCGTAATGTGGTCCTGAGCAGCAGCAGTGAGCTGAGAGGACGGCAGCACTTTATAATTCGCGACCCGTCCTTGTTCACTTCCGAACTGGTGGAGCTTGCACCACCAAATATCACCCCCTTCGTGGCCATGAGGCCCCCACGTGAGGACAACGAGGACGAGGAGGGTTTACGGTACAGACTTTGGCAGGTGAAAGCGCACAGCTGGAACCTCATCCAAGACACCTGGACACCCATGCGAGTCATGCTTCCGCCAAAGAAAGTCCCATGCGGTTTACTGAACGACTTTCTCAGAAGTGATTGGCTTATCGGTATCGCGTTGTGCGAAATGAGAGCCATAAGCTGGCTAAAACTGGAAACATATGCGCGTTATTCGGACAGAAGAGGATTCGAATGCCCAGACCCCGAGTGCAAATCATTGAAATTTTACAATTTGAAAGAATTCAAGAAACATATTTTGAAAGAGTGCCGAGGAAGCCCCTTGTTTACTCGTGACCTGGACTCGGTGCTGGGCAGGACCACCCCAGAAGACTTCAAGGGCGTTCTTGACCGGGATTTGGTGGTGTGCCATCGAAACACCCCAGTCGAGCGCAAGGCTATTATTGACACGAAACAACGTCGTGTAGACAAGTTGGTGTCTATTAGAAATGCATTGAAGGATGGATTGCGTGACCAGTACCGCAGACCAGGAGAAGCAAAACTTCAGTTCGAAGAAGCTCTCACTGCCCAAATGAAGGAGCATGGATATCTCACACCGGATGAGCAAATTTGGGATGCTTACTTATGGACTGATTGCGATGAAGATCTTTTTGAATTTGATGATTCGCAGTATCCTGATGCAAAAGACATCGATCCGGAGTGCCCCGAGGAAGAATGCTTGGATCGTGATTATGCTGGGGAAGAATATTTCGAATACCCAAATTAGATTAGTAAAAATGGCCTCAATCACCCGGGGGTGCCATGATAAAGCTATCCTGTTTACTTGAAGAAACTCTTTCTTTCTATCCATGTCATGGGAAGTGCCCTCCATAAGTCTATTGTCTTCTGCGAAGGAAATTTGAGATCATCTTGGATTCCAAGGCGGTTGAAGGGTTTGATATTGTTCAGAGTCAACACGAAATAGCGAATATAGAGATAGATAGGAGCTCTAGGGAAATACAAGGTCAATAGTGAGTAAAAATTATTGTTTAAGCGTCATCATGTACATATATATAATCGCTACAGAGCATCCGTATTATGAGCGTGAGATCGACCCAAACGTTCTGCATGTATTAACAGACTTCGCAAACCTGCGGCTTTTAAGGCCCAGCATGCATGGTAAACAAAGACAAACATGGCGCCTCAGCACATAGAGATATTAATAATAGCCCGTAGGAATGCCCCGAATCTTTCCTATGACTTGGCTTGAATTGGGTAATAGGGATGATACCGAGCGTCTTAATTACTTCCGCACAGGTCGGAATTCTGTCAAATTTTTCCTTGCCCCTCTGCTTCTCAGGTCTGTCGCATGGACTGCAGAGGATCATAGTATTATGGCATAAACTTGTCGCCGTTATAAAGTTGGATGGGGCAGTGATATTGACAAGCATATCGCTAAGTTGCTTAAACAGGTACAAGCATCAAAAAATCTCTGCCCCCACTTGCACGAGGCTAAACATGAAACATGAAGGGCCACGGCAACATGTCTGAGTCGATATGAAGCAGAAATTAGAGATCAGATGTTTGTTTATTACTGTCGTTAAATTGTCATCGAGAGTTAAAGATAGTATGAGGGTCTAGGACAATAATTGGAAGAAAAGGTCCAAGGTCGTTAGACCCCAAAACGAATGAAAACCTGGCCCGGCCCGACGCGAAGACGCTTAGCCCCCCAAACCAACTTAAAAAAATGAGACTACTGCCCCCGGGGCCGGGGGTTAGTTCCATGCAGGGACTTCATGATACTGGCATCTAGCTTATAGCTTCGTGGAATGCATTGTTTGGTCTGACAGCAGAAGCAGGCCCTGTATCAGATAATCCCCACAGCTACTTATCCACAAGTCATAACGGAAATCAAATGTCATGGTTTCTCATAATTCCTAAGATGCTATTAAACTATCGAAGTCTAGCATCGGTGTCTTTATGTTTTTATGTTCTTTTTATTCTGATTACTCGGGGATTATCACAGACCCACGCACTCTGAACAAGGGGGTCCATGTGTATAACGAGATATACACACGGAACCAAGTGTATGAGGTGCTGGAGAGGCCGAGGGGTGAGAGGATCCCGCGTAAATATCTAAAAGTTACTTGTCTCCTATTGATCGCGCTTGACAAGGACGACTGAGTGTTCTAACCTCTTCTGATGTGATAAACCACCGACGAGGAAGTCAATACACGAATTGAAAATGCTCGCGCAACCCTCAACAAGAACTCAAATGAAACTGGTGCACTGTCTACTTTCGCAGTGTCTTAGGTGTTCCGTCACTGAGGAATCCGTGGGAAGAATATCCCAGAAATTGCTGAATACCTTGGCTTTTTGAGTGGCAAAGACCTGTATCCCGAAATTGAGTTTACCAAATTCGAATACTATGTCAAGGATGCTGTGGGATGGAATGCACAGGGGTTTATAACAAGAAACACAACCTGTATTTCCAGGACTATTCTTTGCACTGTATTCTGGAATTCTTCTCTGATACAATGAATCCGGCATCTTTTCGACAATATCCTGTCATTAAGCCATATTTGGGTGTTTGTATAATCCGTCCAGTGCTTGCGCTATAGAATATTGTGAAACAGTCGAGAGGCTCAAGAACTTCTCAACCCTTATCACAATGTGGAACCTGATGTGTAGACAGAAGCGCTGTTCATCCCTGTATTGTTTGCTCTGAAGCTTTGAACATCCTGAATTGGTTTCCTGAACGGGGCGCGGATATGGAAGCGCAGGAGATGCAGGGTGGTCGACAACGGACACCGAAGGAATGCGAAGTTCATACAAGTTTTGGTTACTTCCGTATGTATTTGTCGGCGTTGGGTGAAGACATGAACAGATTCAAGGAGGTAATTCCACAAGCCAGCGGCACAGAAGTACCCCCAGTTTACTCGTACAAGCTAAGCAACAGACTGCCACTAACGGATACAACACGATGAAGAATTTGGTCAACTAACTATACGTCGTAATGCAAACAACGAAGTTTCTCGCCTCGCAACAATGTGGGTCAAGCCATGTCCCGACTCTTTGATAACTATAAGCACCCTGCACCCTCAGCCCAATCTCATTGTCAACGCCGCCACTCAAGCTCCCTCGGGCTTCGAAGCCTCCCCCTCCTCGGCCTGTACAGGCCTGGTCATGATCAACGCCGCGCTAGAGTCGACGCGTGAATGAACAAGGTACCAGAATGGTACCAGTCAAAAAGTCAGTCAAGTGCACATTCGAAAGGGTATATCCTGGTCAGTTGGATGACGCGGCTCACCGTTTTGGCCATCAGGTTTGCAAGAGCGGCTTGACTTGCGCCTCCTTCAAGGGTGGATGGACTCAAGGTCCTCCGGAACCAGGAAGATCGGCTTGTCCAGTTTGTCCATCAAGTTGAATGTATGCTGATCGTTGGACTTGATGTAAAGCCGGGGCATCAAGAGCAGCGCGTCCTTTCGCAGCGGAAAATGATCCTGTACAAGCGGAACGAGTTCGCCAGGGACCAAAAAAACGACCCAAAGAAAACGAGGAAGATGCAAAACAACAGAGCATGCACCAAGTTCGGCGTCAGTGGGTGTCTCTGGCTCAGCATTTCCCCTGCGTTGTGAATTAGCTCTCATGTAGCTAGTGCTTCGGAAAGGGGACTACCTCACCGGTTGTAGCGATCCCAAGGTTGAAGACGCCAAAGATGAAGGAAAGTATGACGTAAAACCGAGCCTCTGTTTTCAGTTGCGTGATCGCCTGGTCGAGAGCCCGGGATTCTGCGGGGAAACAGGTGTTCTGAGGTCGTGACAATATCGGAAGAATGAATACGCGTGACGCTCGGTGGAGAAGAAAATTGAAATAGTAACTGTAGGCAAAGTAAAGATGGAGAGAAGAAAGAAAATGGGACAGGAATGGGGAGAACTGCACGCCCTTGTCCGAGGCAGTTGGCACGACTGTCCAAAAGGAGAAGATACCCTGACCAAACACAAAATCATGGAAAGAAGGAAGTAACAAAGGCCGAAAAGCCATTCCGAGTTATTTGAGACTAGTATTGTAGTGTACAGCTCATGAAAGAAAATCTCATTCGAGGACTTGCCTTCCCAGGTGTGGTTATGCGCTCTTGCGAGCCAAAGCCGAAGCCGAAGCCGTAGCTGTAGCGCCATGATGGCCCAGGCATTTCGCAACGGACAATTGGGCGTCCTTGCTGCTATGCAAGCTGTCGATCCTGGGAAGAGTAGTGGCAGCCTCGAGAGAGAGTATGTGGTTATGTAGATCAAATGAACGCCCGCTTATCCGTCATTACAAGTGTTTTACGTATCGCGCTTCACTTGCCCAGCTCTCCTAGCATCAAGTTCCGATCCGACGAGCAAGAAACAACTGCAGACTAGGTTAGCATCGAGGTCCAACTAGACAATACTCAGGCGAGAGAGGGAGCTTACTGATTGGCTCGTCGTTGGGCGAAAAGCGGACGTCGTTGACTGTACCCTTGTGGCCAGGGAGTTTGTACAGCAGCTTGCCCGAGTTGGCGTCCCAGACGACCACACTTCGGTCACCACTGCCCGCAGCAATCTTTCCACCCTTAGGATCCCAGCTGGCGCGGATGAGATTCTTCTCCAGACCGACGGGAGCACCATCGAAAGTCCTGACTAGTCGGTTGGTGGGTGCAAACGGCCGGATGTCCCACGTCCGGACCGTAGAGTCATGAGAATTAGACAGAAGAGTTTGAGAGTCGGGCGAGATTTCGAGCGAGGTAATGGTATCGGTGTGCCCAGCCATGGAGTAAACCACAGCCTTCTTGCGCAGATCCCAGACATGAATCGTGTTATCAATGCCGCCGCTGTAGATCTCGTTTCCGGCCTCGGAGAGTGCGACAGCCGTGATGGGGAGCTCGGTCTCGAGATATTCCAGTGCATCCCTTTGCCGCGGGTCCCAAATGCCTATGCAGCCATCGTCACTACCACTGACGAGCAATTCTTGCCCGCGCTTGCTGATGTCGAGGCAATTGATAATCTCTTCGTGGCCGATGTGGCGGCGCACACGTGTTCCCGTTTCCACATCCCAGCTCCCCAGTGTCATGTCGGCAGAGGCAGAGAAGAGTGCTCGTGAATCGCGTGCCCATTGAAGGTCGAGGATCGCTCCCTTGTGGCTGGTCAATTGGCCGTAATTTTCACATTGTCCGTATGTATTCCACAGCACTGCGTTCGGAAAGAGTTAGATTTCTGGATATTTGGAGGGTTCCTGGGGAGAAGGATCACGACGTACAGATGGATCGGTCCATTGAACCAGATGCAATGTGTTGAGCTGTCGGGTCAAATCGAACTGTGAAGACTTCACCAGAGTGGCCTAATGACTTCGAGTTAGCGATGGACAGCATCAACGGTCCAAAGAGCGCATCGTACCTGTAAGCTCCATGATCGGCGCATCGAGTCCACTGGTGCGAGGAATCTACGTGCATAAGTTAGCCATTGGTCCCGACCTTCAAGATGGACTGGTGATATATTCTTCCAAGCCCAGATTTTGCATAAATCAGTTGCTTCAGAGAATCACATACCGATTGAATGAGGGCGCCATTTTGCGACGAGCTTTTCACGACCGCAGTACCAGGGTTGAGGTCGGCATCGGACTTCTTTCGCTTGACCACGAGCTGGCTGGAGTGGCCAAAGGCCTCCGGAGCAGGGCGTTTTTCTCCAGACATAATTGCGACGGGGGATGACGTCAAAGTCACCAGCCAGTCGAGGAGAGAAAGGGAAGAGGGTCGAATATTTCAATGTCGTCGCGCGTTAGCTGTCGTGGAGAGCGAAAGATTCCTTGGGGGAGCGCCTGGAGCTGCGGGAAGAACGATAATCCCACCTTTGGTGGGCGGTGAGTCCCGACTCTGCACGGCGACAGCTACATCATCTTGAACTCCCCGCAATCACCTCAGGAATCCACGTCCGACTGTCGCATTTGCCTGGTATTGTGCGGACATTGATATTGAGAGCTTTTACTGTCCTGTCCAAGCCTTCAAGTGCCTAGCGCACCGAGCAGGTAGTCATGTCATCCTCAAAAGCCTCCAGAATAGGAGAAGAGTAAGTGAAGCTATGGTCTTGCGCGGATGCATGTGCTGATTTATGGCAACATTACAGGATATGGAAGTCAGTAAGCCCCGAAACCCACTTGAAACTTGTCGATATGATCGGTTTATCCACTATGCGATGATACACCTATCCCCGTTCCAATCGAACTAACCCGGCTTCATGTTTCCCCAGAACGAGAATCGATAAAGTCAATGCGGAGCTGGTCACGTTAACATACGGCACAATTGTTGCGCAATTATGCCAGGATTATGACAGTGATTACCAAGAAGTCAACAAGCAACTGGATAAGATGGGCTACAATATTGGCATGCGTTTGATTGAAGACTTCCTCGCCAAGTCCGGAGTGGGACGATGCGCCAATTTCCGGGAGACAGCCGATATGATTGCCAAGGTGCGTGAGAATTTTGGAAGAATGGCTTGAGAATGGGGAGAGAAATGGAATGACTGGTTCAGGCTTGATTGCTGACCTTTCTGATCAGGTGGGCTTCAAGATTTTCTTGAATGTTGCGCCAACGGTCACCAATTGGACCAGCGACAACAACCAGTTCTCCCTTATCTTCGACGACAATCCCCTGGCCGACTTTGTCGAGCTGCCGGACGACGGGCGAGCGCAGGACGAGCTCTGGTTCTCGAATATCCTATGCGGTGTGCTTCGAGGCGCGCTAGAGATGGTAAGTAGACTTTTGGCCGGGAGGCTAGCTAGGCTCGATTGCGATCCTCCGGCGCCTTCCCCTCTTCCCCGGTCAACACTTTCCTTTGCGGCGGGTCCGATCTCTAACCCGGTTTCCAGGTTCAAATGCAGATTGAAGCGCACTTTGTGAGCGATGTGCTCCGTGGCGACGACACTACCGAGATGCGGGTCTCACTGGTACGATACATCGAGGATGAGATGCCGCCAGAGGAGGACTAGATGGTGATGAGCATCCATGGCGTTTCTCTTTTTTATGTTATGGCAGGCTTTCATTGGTTATGTTTTTGCGAGAACTATGATGGATTAAAGTTTTTTGGGCCTTGATTCCCACTTCTACTTTTCATGGTGTTCTGGTTGATCCCAAATGTCTACTATCTTATTTTCTCTGTTGGGCTGGCTGGCTGCGTGGTTAGCTCGGTTTGGATGCAAGAATAGGCTTTCTGATGTATCGATCTGTAGGAACCAGGAACCTTGCCCCCGCCACGCGATTTATCACCGGCATCGCCTGAACAGTTGTTTCATATTAGGATTTGGCGTATGTCGATTTGCGCAGGGGGGCTGATGTTGCTGATGTTTTTCCTGAAGAAGAGTTTACGATGGCGGGCCAGCCCTGCCAATTACTGGACCGATCTCGATGTATTCGGGACTCGGTGTGGTGTATAGTTCGCTCTTGATGTCTTTAGTTTCGGTTAGTAAGAACTGAACTGTCTAAATTTGATACCTGTAGAATAATTGTGTCATAGTCTATCCTTGTAGAATTGTACATCTACCACGTATCAACTCTACGTATACTTGTCCTGTATACATCCGCCATCACGGCGAATTGGACATACTGTCGGTATCGGGCATTCGGCGTCCGCCTACCATTAGCATCCCCGTAGAGTGCGGCGTGGTGTCACGGTACGGTAATTGCAATACGACCGATACCATCTCCGCCCCTCCGTTTTCCTACACATCGAATTTCTTCTTCCTTCTGCTTCAACTTTTTTTTTCTTCTCTTTCCCCATCCATCCCTCATCGTTTCCCCCCCTTGGCTGTAGCCATATTTGGTTGATTCTTGTCCGATTGGCTCGATCGCCGATCTTTCTACTGGATCTTCTTGGGCCCTTTTGGTTGCGCGGAAGACCCGACTTTTTTAGACTCCCGCTGGGATCCATCGCAGGGCCCATCGCGCAGCATATCACCATACCTAATCATTCTCGCCTGATCGAACCCGACCAGCCCACTTTGTTCGTTCTTTCTTCTTTTTTTTACTCTAGACCTTTACCTCTATCTTTTCGTCGTCTGCAGAAGTTTTCTTCGACTTCAAATATCCCAGATTGTCCTTTTCTGCACCTGATTTTTTTCTTTTTTGCCCTCTCATGTCCATTGCGACCGTGCATGCCCAGAAATACGCCTGACAGCGCCATCCCCAGCCCTGGGTTCCGATCAAGTTGATCCGCTCCGAACAAGCGATTCTCCCGCAGTGAAGTGAGCAGCAGCGCTTGTCGCCGTACCCCCCGGCTCGCTCCTCTCCCCTTCCACCGTGAGATCCACCCAGTTCGCCCCTTGGTATATTCTCTTCTTCCTTCGAATTCCCTTCTTTTTCGTGTCGTTGCATGTCAAGTTTTGCTCTTTTCGTGAATCCCGCCCGATCGGGCTTGTCTGGCATCGCCGCCCCCCCAAGTCCCCAACCTCCTCACTTGTGGGCTTTTTCCGCCTCCTTGTACCTCCGTCATCGCCCAAACCCTATCGCACCGCGAACCGCTCTTGCCTCTGGCCCGTCCGTAAGCCAAGCACTATTCTGACCATCGCTTGATCTTCTAGCAATCGGGTTTCTTCAAGTTCTTCGCTTGCGCCTCCCGATTCCTCGGCTCTAGTGCCTCCTGTCGCGTGGCTCGCCCCCCGAGAAGACGTTCCCGGCCGCCGCAGATCCTCTATCGCAACATCACACCTTGAACGATATCGGACTCGGTGAACTCGCGCAGTTGCTTCGCACGCGTGTATTATATCCATATTGAAAAGCCACGGCTCCAGTTGTCACACTTGAAGGGCTGACCGCCTCTCCTCCCTGACAACCCCCCTCCACGCGTTGTAACCTCCCGCCTCCCCCACCCGCGTTAGGCCTTATCGCCGGAGTTGGTGGATGCGCGTTGGTATTTACGAATTGCTTCGACTTGAATTGTTCTACAGTAAATAGGCAAGGGTGGCTGCAGACCCACCGTTCGCCACCATGAACCAGATGAACGTTGGCATGAACCCCGGGGTTGGAGGCCCTGTGGGCGGTGTCCCCATGATGAACAACGGCTCTACGGCTCCCCGTAACGACGGCGGCATGAACATGAATAATCCCGAGATGATGATCACCAGCCTCAACACCTATATCTACGATTATTTCTTGAAACGCGGCTACCACGACTGCGCGCGTGCACTCATACAAGACGAGTCCATTAAGATCAACACCGACAATGGCACGAAGACTAGCCCGGGTAGCCGGCGCGATGGCGACGTGAATGGTGTCGATGGCGATCCTATGATGACTGATGGAAAGGATGGCGAGAAGATCAAGATTCCCGATGATCTTCCTCGACCGAGCCTCCCCAATGAGAGTCTTCAATCCTCGTTCTTGTTGGACTGGTTCAGTCTCTTCTGGGACTTTTTCTGGGCCCAGCGGAAGCGTGGTAACAGCAATGATGTGAGGCAGTATCTTCAGCACACTCAGGTACGTTGCGATATCATGGGATGCTTTTTGCGCATGGCTCTGTCCCGACTCTGTCCCAACTCCTCCTTTGCCTCATTCTAACTCAATCGGCTTTTCAGAACTTGATGCGCATCCGAGAGCAGCAGCACAATCAGCTCATGCGACAACAGCCTATGATGCCCGGTCAAGTGCCCCTTGGTGTCCGCCGCGGTGGCAACGGCATGGTTCCTCCTAACTTGCAGAAGGCTGCTCTGAACAACGGCCTGTATGCTCCACCCTTGGCATATCTCCATGCCACCGTTTTTTAGTGATGCTAACCAGGTCGTTCTTTCTTCCCTCTTATAGATCCCAACAGCAATTGGCCGCCCAGTTCCAGAAGAACCAGCAGATGCAGATGATGCAGCAGATGCAACGTGAACAGTCTGAAATGGACATGAACGGGAATCGGCCACAGTCACCTGCATCTGCTGACAACGCCCCCTCGCCCTCGAAACGCCCTCGCCTCGAAGGTGGTGCTGTGAATGGTCAGCAATTAGCTCCCAATGGACGTGGACAGGGACAGATGCAAGGCCAGCAAAACCCCCAGCAGCTGATGATGCCGAACGGTATGCAAAGGGCTATGAATCCGGCGCAGTTCCAGCAGTTCCAGCAGGGGCAAGCTGCGCAACAGAAATCCATGCAGGTATATGCTCAAAACTTGGCCCTTCATCACTCTCGCTCAGCATTGAATTCCCAGGGCCTTCCGAATGGTGGTATGATGAATCCCGGTGTTATGCCGAATCAGGCGGACCTGGTGCCGATGCCGGATGGGCAAGGAGGCATGTACCCCATGGGTCCAGAGTACTACAGCTCAAACGGTCAGCTCCAACAGGTTCGGCCTGGTATGCAGACACCTGGCGGTCAGCATGGCAACCATGCTCTCCAGGACTATCAGATGCAACTTATGCTGCTTGAACAGCAGAATAAGCGTCGCCTGATGATGGCTCGTCAAGAGCAGGATAGCATGTCCCGTGCTGACGGCCAGCCCCAGATGCCCGGACAGGGATTGCCGCCAGGCACTTCTCCACAGGGTAGCAGGGCGGGTGCGTCCCCGAACCCCAGCGATCAAATGAAACGAGGCACGCCCAAGATGCCTCAGACCGGTCTCCCCGGATCTCCCAGCGCCGGCGACATGGGTCAGAACCGTGGATCTCCGGCATCCATGGGCATGAACGGCGGACAGATGCCTCCCGACATGGCGGCTGCCGGATTCTTCCCCGGACCTGGTGGACCCATGCGTCCCCCAAGCTCCAATCCAGCCTTTACTGGAGCTCAAATGGGCCAGCCCATCCCCGCCAACGCCGGCCGTATGCCTAGTGGACAATGGCAGCCCGGCCAGCCTATGCCTCAACACTCGCCGGCCACCCAACCCCAGGCAGGTACCCCGCAGGATCGCAGCACCATGCCTCCACCTCAGGCGCCACCGGCTGGCGCCAATGCGGGCCGCCCCCAGCCGCCATCACCCCAAACCACAGGCAATGCGCCACCAACGCCTCAGCAGTCTACCAAGGCCGCACCCAAGGGCAAGAAGGAAGGTGCAAAGGAGAATACCCGCAAGGTACGTGATGACTTACATATGCTGAAGTTCCATGGGCCCCACATTGACATTTATTCGAATAGCGACCCAACAAGAAGAACGCCGCTGCCGCTGCCGCCGCCGCTACTCCCTCTACCGAGGCTAATGAACCTACTCCGACTCCGTCTACCCCCGTCACGCCTCATCCCCCTCCCAACTCCTTTACTAAGGGTGGACCTAATGCCGCTGCAAACGCACCCCAGCAGACCGCGGCCCCTGCACCCCCCCCATGGTTCAGCCCACTCCAGACCCCAGCCAGCAAACCTTCAATGATCTCGCTATCCCTGACGTAAGCCATGATCTTTATTCGGATCTCTCGCTGTATCACAGTGCTCAGACTGCTGACGCCCAACCTCAACAGGCCTCTGCTTTCAGCTTGGACTTCAGCACTCTGGATAACCCTGATATCCTGGAGAGCTTCGACTTTGATACGTTCCTCAACACCGACGGAGATGGTACTGGCTTCGGATTCGATCCGAACATGGGCTACTCTGCCGACGGTGTTGAGACCGGGGCTGGTGACGGCCTGTGAATGATTTGAAAAGTCTTAACGGTTCTCTTCAGGTGTTTAAACCTCCGATATACCCTTGTTTTTGTACATTTGATATTCCTCGTCGTTCTAGTGCGTTTTCCTTGACCATTCCCTGCGGATAACTCTCGCGCTTGATTGATTGTTCTTTTTTTGGATCTCTTTTTTGGAAACTTTTACTGCCTCGCTGGGTTGTGTGTTGCGTGCGCATGTGCTGTGAGATTGGCGTTGGTGTACCCCTCTCCTTTTTTGAGTCTCGTGTGTTGGTTTGCATTATTACCTCACCCTTCATCCCTCTCCTTTTCAACCAAATATGATTCCTTCCTGTGCCCGTCAAACATCTCATGTCCCGCTCAAATAATGATCATAAGGGCGGTGTTGATGATATTGCGACGGGCTAGGAATGGATTGACCCTGTTATCACCCGGAGGCGCCATTCTGTATTCGAGATTAGTTGCACTGTGACCTACGAGTTTCTTCGCTTCTCTTCATTTCCCTCTATTACTACTAACTTATTCCTCGTCTGGTCACTTAATCCCTTGCTTGCCCGTGCTCGATATGGGACGAGAATCTGGCCTTTTGTCCGATATCCCCTGGGTCCGGTCCGCAGTATTCCAGCCGCATCATCATCATCTGCTGCTGTTGCCATACACACCGGATTTCCCTTTTTTCTTTCCCTTTCTTCATTTGATCTATTCTTGTTTCTTGGGCTCAAGATCTGGATTGTTTTTATACTTTGCCTTTCTCTTTCTCCTTTCTTGTGACAGTCTTGTCTTTCTTTTTTTCAATTTCTTTTTTCTTTTCTACTTCTGATCTGGTCTTTCTATTTCCTCTATCTGAACAGGCGTTATGAACTGGAAATTCACTATTACGTTACCCATTCTACATTTTTTCTTATATTGAGGTATATCAATGATCACTGTTGCTTTCTCGGACGAGGCTCGATACGATATGGGTATGCAAAGTATGATGTATCGAATCACGATTAGCGTTTATAAACTTGCGTACGCCATGATTGAGGACATTATGAGGCGGATGATGATATTAGGGGAGAGCGGGCCAGCTGTATTTCTTGCTGCTGTTCTGGTCCCTGGGTTTGCCGGCATCGATTAAAATTGGATTGGGATTAAGATACCTGATCCCCGAATCTCGGATTTATGTTGTGTTGCTTTCCTGAACGATCGTATTTGATTGTGCCTGTACTTGAGTTCGTTGCTGGTCAAACGCAGGAAATAAACATAGCCTAGTATTTGTGATCCAGCAGCATCAACTCAACAGGGTTCATGAAGGTGTCTAGCGATTGATTGGCTGGCTTGTCTGTTTGACATTGCTCTAAGCGCCCAGGCGATGTGGCGGTGTCTGTCAGCCTCATATGAATACAGCGCTAACTCTTGCACTGCCCCTCATATTCAAGCCTTGACTTAATTGAAGTTATCCCTTGAGAAGCGATCACATCTGGTTTCCTCTGCACCGAAAGTTCTTGATCGCTGGGTACGCTCACAGCCATCCCAATGGACGACACGGATTCCTTGAAGGACGCATTCGTGAGCGCAGCCCGCTCAGCTTGTGACATAACAGAGTCACTCATGAAAGCATCTGCTCCCTACAAAGACCAGGATGCCGAGATAGCCAGGTTTCATTTGCATTTCGAGGCCTATCTACAAAGTTTCCGAAGATTCAAGACCGGGTTCGAGCGTTTCATTCTACAGACACCTGATAAGAATAATACCATTACACGGGATCGAATTCTGGTCGCTTTGAGTAGAATCAGGGCGAACATCGAAACACTTCAAAAGAATGAAGGTCTATTTTCCACCTTTTTAGTGTCCCACGTGGAACTGGTGGAAGATCTTTTATGTGCCCCGGAAATGTTTGGGGTTATAGCAGTAAACCTGATCAATTTAAAGGGGAAATTCAAATGGGCTGCGCAGGCCATTGGTTCTGACGAGGCGACTTTAAAATTGGCGAAGAGTAAAGAAGCGACGGATTTTCTCGATATCATCTCGCACGAAGCTCAGCAGGGATATTCACCCCCGCTTAAGCTCCAAGGTCTCGGAGACATGGAGCTATGGAGCAATGACGCCGAGTCTAGTGGAGGCAAGGCTACAGTTCACGAAGCTGCCGAGTTAGATTTGCCCTTTGACTCTGAGTACACGGTTCCCGAGGAGGCAAATACGGAGCCGATAATCAGTGGACATGGCAGGGAGTTGGGATCCAAGGACAACCAGTACCACTTATCTTCAACAGACTATCTATTTTCTGATATCGAGATGTGGAAGACCTCTCGCCCAAAAAGAAATCACGCCGACGAATTAGGCACCGATCAAAGCAGGGACCTCACGATGGACCTTGCTCGCATTGGTTCTGGTGAAGAGGAGGCAGGACGGGTTGCGGCCTTGGAGTTGGGCATTACATGGCCTTCGAGCTGGGACACGAAGTCTATCGAGGAAGACTCTGAAGGCTATGAGTCTTTCGACCCAGACGATGTTTCAAATCGCGTGGTCGAGACCTGCAAACTCTGTAACAAGATGAAGCTGGTTGAGTGGCATTGTCCGAAGTGTGCGGGCTTCGAACCCCGGGAGGTTCCTATGCTGCTGCCGCCAACCTGGATGCTTAGAGAGTCTAGCAGTGAAGATTATCAGCGGTCTACTGCTAAAGGAAACAAAGAAGCATGGCAAAATCCTTCAGAGACCCAAGGCCATGCTAGCGAGGCGGCGGGCAGCCTGGATGACTCTGATAAGGATAGTACAAAAGCAGAGGACTCCGAGAGCGACACATCCAATCCACCCTCCGTTTTCTCTTTGGCAACTCTGCCCTCAACTATTATGACAACAGACACGCGACTGACGGTAGATGAGATGCAGACAGCAATTGAAGAGCTTGTCGGCATATTCTTTGACGATACAGAAATGACAGGTCTCTACGAGAAGGCCATCGTTGAAAGAGAGGTTTCACTAGAACGCTTCGTCCGCAATTTCCGACGACTGTTAAAGCAATTCGCATTGAATCTGAAAGAGGAGGCGCGAGAAGCGATTGAACTCGATCTTTCAAAACTGATCTTAATGCGTGCCCGCCTTATTGCCGATAAAATTGGAAACAAGCTTGAGCTGAAATACTTGAATGAACCTCCCACCCATCTACCCCTGTCACCCTTCATCCCACTCCGAACTCCTTCAGTCACTGAAAGCTTCAAACTCCATATAATGGCCCAGCCATCTCTGCCAGAAGGAATAATTGAGTCAAGCAGTGACGAGGATGAAGAACCTGCAGAGACGTTTACCGCACTGGTGTCTCATGGTCGAGACTTTATCCTGGAGAGCGCTGCAATTAAGAATCTGCAAAAGGATCTGGCAAACTTTATCTTTCCAGATGGACCGATGGTAGGGGCGGACATCAAACTTGAATTTGGAATATCTAAGATGAGGGGAGGCATTGTATTCCGCAGGTCTACGCGTCTTTGGGGATTTCCGTTGATAGACATGGCCGCAACGAGAGCAAGATTCCGGGCGAGGGGTATGGAAAGATACTGGTATTGGAATAAGTTTTTCCAACTATGCCAGGTAGAGGAGGATTTACCAGAAAAACATACGCGGTTTAGATGGACGAATGTGAGTCTCTTTTCCTGGGCCATTCTTAGTTTCAAAGATGCTAATATGTCACAGCGACATGGCAAGAATCTCTACGATGACTATGTCGAGCATGAACCTGGTGCACTCCAAGCTCTTCAAGAATTTTTGAAGGCAACGACCGTGCCGACATATATCGTGGCTAAAGGTACTGAAATTCAAGGCTCTTCATCTGCAGCCGCTCGGTACACACCAAATTCCGGCGGTCTTCAAGCAACACCTTGTGCAAGTACGCCTCAAGGCGGCGGCAATGTCACCCAGTCAGCCATCACCACTCCTGGCGGCCAACCTGCTATAGCCTCACAACACATAGGAACTGGCATCCAAGAGTCACGCCCACTTCTATTACTGTGTTGTATTGAGCGTCGTGGCCGGCCAATAAAGCTGCATCAAGAATACGTCACGCAAATTACCGATGATCGACAACTCTTCCATGCACTGCGTAAAATCTACTTCAGTCACCGAAGAAAGTTTGAATCATTTTGGTCCTTGAGGAAATTGCATAGCATTCATTTTATGAAGGTACGTAAACTTGTCATATCATCCAAACCTTTCACATATCTCATGTTAAAGAATGGACACGCCCGTCCGAAAAGGCTAAGCCCAGTTCTTGACAAATTTGGATCCTGTCCCATACTAACAAGCCACTCACAGTTTTTATACGCCGGCACAAACTACATAGACATTCGCTGTCATCCAGAAATCTGCATCCCCGGCCAACCCTGCGCCTGCATTCCACCACCAACCCTCGTCCCACCCCTGGGCTCAACCTATCAATGCCGACCAATCCCCTCGAAACACTCCCCACCAATCGGACCCCGCCTAATGATGGATTTCTTCGAAGATCCAGACAGCCGTCGCCCCGGCTCAGATCTCGTTATGCAGCAGCTACCCAAGAAAATCGACACTGAGTTAACCTCTGACGGTATTGAGATCACAGAGGCATGGGGGATATTTTACCGGGAGGAGTGGAATTGGAGACGAATATGGGGGATTTTGGGACTTGCCTTCTTCCCGCCGAGTCTTCTTTTTGGTGTTCTGTGGGCGATCTTGAGGAAGGATATCCAAGGGGCGTTTGGGGTTGCGAGTTGGTGGATGACTGGGGCGACGATTCTACTTGGGGTCATTGGGAGTTATGTGCAATGAGATGAATATGATAGATTTTTATGATAGATAGTTTATTCAACAAGACCTAAGGTTATGATGCTGGCTAGAATGTAGGGTGTTAAAAAGTAGTGTCCATGTGAAGATTCGCCTGTCGTGCTGCTAATGATGAGCCGGATATTGCTCTACTTTCGATGAGAACAAAATGCGATTCAATAAATGAATCAATCCACTAGATTTAGGGTTCCTTTCTCAATAGACCAATAATAATTGGAAGCATGGCTCGCCTTGAAACAGAACAGTGAAAATTTCATGGGAAGGAACTCGCAGCGTAAACCATCTAGAAAAAGGAACAGGGATCAATCATCCACCCTCAGTATGAATCCTATTAAAAAGGACAATGTTGAACAACTGACAAGTGGAAAGCCCCTCTCCGTCTTTGTTTTGTTGTTGGGTTCATATTGCAAGAGCCTCTTCTTGCTTTCAGTCGTTTTCGGTCAACTCCATTTCCTCCTTTCCTCACTTCCACGTCATCAATGAAAATCTTCACTTTAGAAGCCAAGAAACCCGATGTTCACCATCATGATATTCTCTTTCTTGAACGCATGCTTCAGTCCATCCCAACCACTCACAAAGTCGGAGTTTCGACCTCGGAGGAGCGTGTCCCTCGTTCCATCAAAAGACTCAGTTCGTGTTTGCAGAGTAACTTCTCTGTTGCGGATGGAACGTTCCCTCTCATAGCAAGCAAGCTCCCTCTCTTGAGGAGAAATTCCCTTTCGTCGAAGATGGATGTAATGCGGTCCAGCATACGTGGATAGTGCCCCTGTGTATATCTTGCAGGCGATATATTTATTTATTAACATCTCCTCGTTCACTAAGTGAATCTGGGACCTCGATTCGGACAGCATCAACATCTCGGCCAGGGAGCTGCGCAGCCATGGCCTCCCCCATGAGCCGATCGATTCCTCATCATCCAGATTTACGTCCTCGAAAAGCTCCTCTGGGATATCCCGAACCTCCTTGACGGCATAACAGTCGCGTTCATGGAAATGGTGAGCCTGCTGGCAGTATTTATGAAGATTATCGATGACATGGAATAACTTGCGAGAAAAGCCGAAATCAGAGCGAGGCCGCTAGTGATATCGATTGGGAATGAAGCGATTAAGTAGGATTCCTCTCCATTAATGTGTAAGAGAGAATTTTAGCAAAAAGACTTGGTGTTGGGCATTTGTTCGTAACGTGCTTATTGGGAGAATATTTTTTAGAACAAGAAAAGTGCTTTTCAAAAGTGGATTTCGAATATAGCATGCAATATGATTTCAAGGATGATTCCATATCTTTCTTGCCGTGAGGTGGGGATATTGTTCCCGGAATCATTACTGTACGATCTTTTGACCTACTTCTTCTAGGATAATTCACGGAATTTATCTTCTCGCTATATATGTTGCCTCAATTATTTCTTCTACTAAAAAGAAGGCACACAATCAATCAACTTCCCCCTCAACCGCCACATATTCACAGAAATAGCTCTAATTGTCGGGACAGGGTGCCATATCACATGGCGCATCATCCTTTCCACCCCCTTCTCAACGGCCCCACTCCGTTCCTGGAATCACGACCACAGTCCGGGGATCATGGTAGGGGTTTGTTACAGGGTCCTGGTTGGACAATGCAGCCGCAGAACAACATTGACTGTCAATGCTGCTGCCCCCGCCATCGTACAAACACCCGTCCGCACCAAAGTAAATGTCGCCATAGCCGCTTGGCCAAACGGCATTGAGTTGACAGCCAGCTTTTTGCTGCTTATCGGTGTAATCCTTCTTGTTGAATCCAGCGAGAATCACCGCGCTACTGGTAGACTTGGTCGGATCGGATCCGATATCTAGAAATCGTTAGTGGAAATGTCTTTCATAATACGGTAATTGGTAGAGTGCCCCCAAAGGAAACGTACTGTAGACACCGGAATAGACTTTGGTGATAGTGCCTTCGTTTCCGGCGCATCGTGGGGAATCATCTACAAGGACACATCCACCGTTGATGTGCTATAGATGTCAAAGTTAGCGCATCTGATACTAGATAGCTATGACGACTCGGCAAACATACCAAGTTGGTTCCAGCCGGATTCGGATTCGTGGTCGGTGCGGATTGCGCGGTGCTAGTGGTGCTGGTGGTAGTCGTAGATACTGGAGTCTGGTAATAGGGGTTGCGGACTGTAGTAGTAGCCTTTGCTGTGCAGCATTGATCAAAGATTTTACTACTGCCCGAATCGTAGAGACAGTTGTCACTTCCGAAGTACACGTCGCCATACGAGCTGGGAAATTTCGCTCGCAATTCACAGCCAGGCCGAACATATTCGTCTTTTGAGTCAGAGCCATCGAACTGAGCGTAGATAGTCGCGGAGGAGTTGTAAGTTTGTTGATATGCGACGTCTATGGAATTGATTAGCAGCTTATTGGAAATTCAAGATGAATGACCAGTACTTACTGTAGGCTGCGTTGCCCGCGCAACGTGGACTGTCGTTGACCGAAATGCATCCACGATTCACATTCTGATAGAAATCAGTTTCAAGTAGCGCAGTGGAGCTGAAAGACTACTTACCACATTGGTACCATGCGTGTTGGAGGTTGGTTGGTAAGATGCGGATGATTTTGTTGAGGAAGAGGTGGAACTCTCGGAGTGACCGGTTGTGGTTGAATGGATAGACTTGGTTGATGTCGTTGTCACCAAGGTTGTGGTCTTCTGTGCTGTTGAAGTCTCACTGGCTCCAGTCTGTTTGGTCTCAGTTGAATGAGTAGACTTGGTTGAAGATGTTGATGTCTTGCTGACTTCGGTTTGTTTAGTCTCCGTTGAATGTGTTGACTTAGTTAGTTCTCCAGATATTGTTGAGGCCTTGCTCGTATCAGTTGGTCCACTCGCGGTTGATGACGAGTGACTATCAGAGGTGACCGATGCCGTCTGCGTAGAAGATGACGTCGAGGTAACCGACCTTGTGCAAACCTATGTATCTCAGTTAGTCCCTCGTCGAGAAGTTTTCTTGTGTCTCTTACCATTTCATATTCCTTCGTGAATGCAATCGTTGATAACGTGAAGCCTGCATCTCTCTTGACACGACGTGCGTTTTGGGATGATCCCTGTTGGAACTCGCATGATGAACCCTGGATCTCGGCTTGGACAGCCACAAGCTCTCCATTATTCGCAATCAACGGTCCACCGCTAGTATACCGTTGACCTTGAGAGATCAAATATTTCTTCACATTTTGCGCAACCTGCCCAAGGCCACCCTGTTGCAGTCTCTCTTGCAAGTCAGATCTCCCGAGGAAGTACGCCACCAAACCTGCAACCTGGGCTGTAGCTTCTGAGGTGCCACTTGCAATAGACCAGCCATTGTCTGATCTATAGTCGGCGGCGATGATATCCTCACCATTAGTATAAATGGTAATCGCCCCCTCCTTGTCTTTGTTGGTGAATGGACTGATGACTCCCTTGGAGTTAACCGATCCGACCACGATCAGGGCGGGATAATATCCCGGCTGAGCTAGTCCAGCAGGTGCTCGTTGGCTGATATCCACCCCGTATTTGCCTTGATTTCCTGCTGCGACAAGAACTGTGATTCCAAGTTTGAAACTCTCATCAAGTAAGGTGTTGAAAATGGTGTACTTTAGACGTTGCTCCTCCTCCTCTGCCGACAAAAAGACACCATTGGCGTACATCACGTAGGAGTCCCAGCCTGTTTACCTGTCAGTCGCAGTCCAAGCAATATAATGTCGCATCTTAGGTCTTACCGCTGGAAAGACTAATTACCGCCTTGCCTTGTCTTTTATTACCCTCCACATCCGACAGTATCGCGGCCCAGGCCGAGTATATCCTTGACCTCAATTCCACTGGGTTCCCTATGTCTGAGGAACCAAACTTGACATTCACAACTTTAGCGTTTTTAGCGACACCAGCCCAGGCACCACCGACGAGATCGGCCATCCGAGTTCCATGACCTTCTGTGTCTTTCGGATCATAGCCAGTTGCCACATTTTCGACAGGATTTTGTTGAAAGTCCTAGATATCACTTATCAGTAAATCATCATGCAAGGCATGCTCCATCGATTTTCAAGCTCACCTCATGTGACCGACGGACACCCGTGTCCAAAACATAGACATATGTACCCTTTCCTAGAGAAGATTGGAAAGTGTAATCCAGAACATCCTTGTCTTTGCTGGTGCCTTTGCTGGGATCGGATAACATCTTCAGGTGAACTGGCGAGTCAACCTGGCTAAACAAGTGAGCGGCCTGAGGTGCGGCAGTCGCGACGAAACCAGGAGTCTCTGTCAAGGTCACTGTTTCAGCTCTCTTTTCCACTGCCTGGTCTCTTGTCTTAAGCACCTCCCTCTTTGCATTTCCGTTGTAGGGTGAAGCTTTCTCAAAGTCACTAGACTCGTTGACACTGTTCTCCTCGACGGATCTCACCATGCTTTCCTCGCTGAGCGATTGTGCGGTAGTGGAATTCAACGAAACAATAAAAAGATCAAAATTCGGGAAGGATATGAATGTACCCGAGTCGTAATTCTCTACCTTCTCCTTGAGAAGGTTTTTGAACAAGAAATTCGACGTGCCGGATTTTGATTGGACAATCCATGGTGTTGCCGATGCAGTTGGCGCGCTACTGCTGGTGCTTGTCGAAGTGCTTGAGGTCGACGAAGTAGACTTTGTTGTTTTGCTTGTGTGAGAGTCATCTGTCGCAGTCGGGCTTGCTTTATAGTCGATAGCTTGACCCAGGACAATTCCAGCAAGTGAAGGAAAGTGGAAGGCTTCAACCAGGCCTCCCAGCCCAAGATCCGCAAGAAATCCTGAAGGCGTATCGTTAGCAACAGATTAGCTGCAATTCTCACAGGGTGAACAAACCGCCAAAGATTCCTACACCTTCGCCTACAGCTCCACCTACCGCTCCCGCAACACCAGCGGCTTCAGCGCCAAGTGCAGCAGCAGGAACGAAGATAAAGGGTACGACATGACCATCTGTAGCTGTTGTTGTTGTCAAGAAGGCGGTTGTGGCAGTGTTGGTCGCGTCAACAGGCTGGACAGAGTACTGCGTCGTAGCTAAAATAGTTGTTATAGTGGATAGATGCGTCGTACTAGTGGTACTGGAGATGGAGATGGACGTGCTAGTGTCACTAGAAATGGACGTGCTGGTGGTACCCGAAATGGTCGTACTAGTTTCACTAGAGATGGACCTAGTCTTGGTGCTAGTAAGTCCAGTACTTCCAGGATGGGCGCTAGATCCATAGGTGGTTCTTGGTTTGGTTGCGGCTGTCGATATATCTCCTGGTGTCAATGTTGGTGTCACCGCCAAAGCGGCGGGAACCAACAAAGAGAAGGCCGAACTTGATAGGAGCCTCATCGTTCAAGCACAGGGGTGTGGCTTTTCCCCTGCAGAAAAGCTTCCCTAACGCTTTTATAGACATAGCGAGGATCAACATCAGCTCTACATATTTAATTTCTTTCTAAGAACTTGGCTTAATTTGGCAGGATCATAGATTAATATCCCTTAACTGCTGAGAGCTATTTATTCTCTGCATCTTGTGGAGAAATTGCTTAGATAAATCTCCGAATAGCATGTCTAAGTGGCAGGATACAGTTTCTGAAACACTGGGGCTTACATATGCTGAGTTTTAATAAATTCAGATCGGCATCAGCTTACCACTAATATGTCAGCATTGATGTTCCTCACTGTTACGTTTTCGAATATTTTCAAGTACAACGACCATTCCATTAAGAAATCGAATCTGGGAAAGAGCGAGAACGGGAGGTGCCGATTGAGGTGCTTCCTTAGTATCAGCAACCCCAAGCGTACCACTAAATACTGATTTGATTTGAGACAAAGATTGATATAGAAGTGGATTGAAATGGAATAGAATAAGATTAGTATACCTGTAAGCCATTTAAGAATGACACAGTGGTCTATCAGCCTTTTTCCCAGGTTTGCACTCAGCGCTAGGAAGCTTGGTATGCGTGTTAACTTTCTTTTCCGTGATCAGACATGCTGGAGAACTTACCTGTTAACTCTTGGGGCTTGAGTGCCACTGAAGATCATCGGGGCATAGCTCATCACAACCGCCGCAGGGCTCAGTGGGTGTGCTTTTATTTCTCCACATTCTATCTCGGGCCTAGTCTACGGTTAGCACGCAAAGCTGAACAACCTGAGTGATTATTAACTAACTATATGTAGTATTTGTTTTCTAACTTATTCTCGGGGGCACTTCTTTAGAGCGGAGATTAAACGGCTAAAAATAAACGGGAATCGGTGTTACCTACTTAGTGGATGGTCATACATACACGCTTTCGATATTCTGGCTTTCTAGCTAATATGAGCCACCCGCAAGCCACTCACTCAGACTTCCATGGGAATAGGGACTTTCCCTAGCTGTCCGTCCTAAATTCAAGGATGCATTCGTCTGGTTGATATTTCTCTCTATGATCATCAATTTCATTACCTAGGGGTCAGTCGGGTGGGAGTTCACAGGCATAGAAACACATCCAGATGGGGCAGCTCTCGATGGTCTTCTTTTGTATCCTTACCTTTGGAAAACGATAACCAAGATTCTCGGGATTCGCTACGTGCACAGTTAGCTTTGTGCTAGTATCAAAGAGGCACGAATAATAATCAGACAATCTCATATTCATACAAAATAATTTTACAAAGGTAGAATCCCGAAGCATTGGGTAGTTCCCAGGACGCACCCAGGATCATGCCCAAGACAGCGAAGATTCCACCAAAATGCTCGCCCACCGTCCTGTCAACCGCGCCATGACCATAAGCCGATTATCACAGCAGACGGCTTCGGGACGGTGGGCAGTGGTTTCCAAAGAGTACTCGTACATCACAAATTTCACACAAAGACATCGACACTCAAACAAACGAGGACATCTCAGCGGCCGTCCTCAAGAACTACAGCAAGTTCTCGGCTTCACGGAGCCGGTGCTCCACCTCCCGCTCCAGATCTTGCAGCCAGGCTAGTTCTTTCTTCCACGCGGCTTCGAGGATATCTACCTCCACCTCATCCTTGCACATTTTAAGCAGGAAGAGGATGACCCTCTTCACGGCTAAGCCGAGCGCATCATCCTCGTCAATCCAGCGCACGTTGCCCAAGAACACTGGACTCGCCCGGGTCAGGAAGGGATTTGGGTCATTGAAGTATGCATGAAGCGAGCGAATTTGACCAGACTCATCGTCGGGGGCCTGGTCATGGCGAATGTCGGGTTCCGCGACTTTGAGGACAAGGCACATCGCTGTGAGATAATGAGAGTTAGTTCAGGAACAAGAGATATTGTTAAATAGATAATGAGGCATCTGAAAGGGAGACCTGGTGAGAGATGATGGTATTGATTGGAACTCACTCTTCATCACTCTCAGGAAGGACGCGTGGGGGCTGAGAACAGCCAACCCATCCAGGATTGCCTTCAGGCTTGCCAATGGATCCAAAATAGGAACGTCCTTCAGTTCGATGGGTGCCAAGCGGGAGTTTTTCAGTGGCTCCAGATTGGCATTTGGTCGCTGTGAAGCCTCGGGGCGTTGAGGTTCGACGTTCTCTTTGTTCTGGCCGTTGGTCTCGGCTTTCGCAGGCGGAAGAGGGCGGAAGCTGCCCCGACGAGAAGCCCTTGACTCTCGTCCCCACGATGCCCGGCCTTGTGAAGGCTGAGGGGAAGGCGGCTGGGGAGGAGGGTTCTTAGGCTTCTTCGGGGATTTGCCCGGCTTCTTCTGAGCTACAGGCTGTGCCGGTCTCGCTGCCTTTGCTGGCTTGGCCGCTTGCTTCCCGACCCTGCCTCCAGATAGGCCAGAAACCTTACCGGCAGGATGGGTTTCCTGCTTCTGCAATCGGCCCTTGAGGGCATCAACAGCGGTTTCCAAAGATGTAGCATTCTTGGGTTCCGCGGGATAGGGTCGTAGCGATTCAACAGCATTCAGAAGTAGTCGAGTTCTGTGACGGATGGCCTCTTCGCTTGGGGGTGTCACTGGCTTCTTCTTGGCCTTTGGTAGTATCAACAAAGGCGAGCTTGCAGGCAGAACATCCCCAACGTCCATTTGATCCGTCACGAGCAGCTGATGCAAGGCATGGTGAGCAACGGAAATCTGCGCCAGGCTCGCACTGTCAAATCCCTTGAAGCTACGGAAATACACTCCGCCCACGACAACTTCACAATGCCATTGGTTCCCCAAGACCGATGCATTGTATATAGGTCTAGGCCAGTTGGCCTCGCCACAGAACGCTTCAATCAAAATCCCGTTAGCCTTCATCCACCAGAGATATTATCAGAATGAGCAAGGGTTGTCAAGGTCTTACCTTCAAGCAAATCGACCCAATCCCAATACACCTGAGGGGAATCATTAAGTGGCAACGGAGGAATGTGCCATTCTGGATGGTATTTGCGCAGTTTGTACAAGGCCCGGCTACAGGCCACCACCCGGGCCATGTAAGCCGAGTCCGAGGTCGCCGCGACCAAAACAGTGTGCCCATACATGATAAGCCGTCCGCCAATCTGTCGTCCGTTCATTCCACCGTATTTGAAAACGAATTGGGGCGACAAATGAGCCGTGATGCAGAGAACTCCAAAGTAGAAAAGGACATCCGATGGGGACAGACCCTCCAACGTGAGCGAGCCTATCGTCATCTTTAAAATCCATAGTCAGTAATAGTTCCTCGAGCAGGATTTCTGCAAAACACACCGGTCCATCAATGAAATGACTGCTCTGAGGCAGGGCAGATGACACATTTCCGGGCAGACCGCGTCCTTGTCCTTGCATGGGAGGCCCCGAAACCCAACGCAAAGGAGAAGATCCAACGGTTCCAGACGAGACAAAACCAGTGGACGACGTCACTGTTGGGACTGAAACGCCCAGACCAATACCTTGATGAGACGAGACTGACTTGGAGGGCTCGCCATGCAGCACCAGTTTAGTCTCGAGGCTCCGAGGAAGTGTAGCTGCAATACGTGAGCTTTCAGCTGAGCTCATCTTAGCCGGGCTGGCCTTCGGTCCCAAAACACGAGATGAAACAGCCTGAGCACCGAAGCCACCGAAAGACGAGCCAGACGAAGCAAACGAGGAGCCAACAGTCGAGCCACCACCTGGTGGCAGTCGAACACGAGGACGAACAGGAGACTTCTTCGAGCCTTCACCCTGCTCGGGATTCAGCACCGCGGCCATCGACTCCAAGAACTCCGCTACCTCTGTCTCGGCCCGAGTAACAGGAGTGCTGCTCTCCACAATCATCGGGGTGCCCTTGGCAGGACGCCCCTCCGTGGACGAGCTCTCCGTTGGAGAGAGGGCAGTGGAGGTCGAGGGGGCTGTGATGAGAATATCATGATTAGTATCATCTCTCAGTGGCAGTGAAAAATCTCAGTGACAGAAAAATTTCAAGGGCAGTGAGGGGAGCATCCATACCGTTCATGTGCTGCTCGGTCATAGGCGAGGTTCCAGTCATAGACGAGGTTCCAGTGCTCATGGCAGGGTCAGCAGTCAAAGAAGCTTGGGTGCCTGGGCCAGGCAGGACACCCGGAGGCGGGGGGTCACCAGTCATCTCGGCGTCAGCCTCAGACATGGTGTCGATTTTCTTGATACTGAGGAAACGCGGTTCGAAGATCAGAGAGTAGAAGCAGAAGCTACTACAGAAGAGCAGTAGGCAATAGAGCGAAGCAAAGATCTTTCGACCGAGAAGGATGGATGGATGGAAGTGCGGGAGAGCGGGGGACGAAAGACGGAGACGAAAGAAGGAAGAAGAAAGAAGACGAAAACAGGAGGAGACGCGAGTGGATGTAAAGGCACGATCACGGTAGCGCGGAAAAAGAGACGCGCTTTCTGGATTTGGAAAGAAGGTCCAATGGGGGTAGCAAACAATCTGGAGACACGCTACGGTTCGGTTTATGGTTACGGTGGACGATGCCTGATATGGCAAACGACAAACAAGATTCGAGTTAGGCGAAATACGTGATATACTGGTTATCAATCTTATACAAACAATTCCGGGGTCTTCTGATATTCCCTTTCTGGGTATGACTGTAGAATCAACTGCTCAAGTACGATATCACAGGCTGTGTTTAGAGCTCCAGTAGCCTCTTCATGTCCATTATGAGCTACCTAACCTAATAATATGTTCAAGTCCCCCAAGTCGTCCCAGTCCTCCTTCCATAAGACCATAAGAATAATCCAGTGTATCAGTCCTCTTCACCTACAGCTCGGTGCTGGTGCTGGTGCTGGAACTGCCGACACTTTCATTCTCCTTCTGTGCCTGGTCATTCTCCTTCTCCTTCTCTTTCTCCTTATCTCCTTCCTTCCGGCTCTTCACATTGGCGCTGGGGCTAGCTCCAATCTTGGTTGGAGAACCCTTCTCTGCCGGGATGCTGACAGAGTCAGAAACATCACGGCTGCTAGCCTGAGAACGCTCACGAAGGCCCAAAGTACGCCCAGCACCCGGAGTCTGGCTGCTTGCCTTGCGGATGGTTGCCGGAGTATCATTGGCAGTGGGCATCAGGGTGGCCATAGCAGCAGCGGCGCTCGAAGGGGGGGGCGAATAATGGGAGGCTTTGTGGGAGTCAAGGCTTCGAGTAGCATGTTGTAATGCTCCTCATCCATGGGGGCAGACATGCTGGACTGCTTGCTGAGTTCGTAGCTCATTTCGGTCATGCTGGAAATGGCCCGGCTGCTGTTGGAGCTGTAGTCTGGCATGGGGACGTCATCGCGGGATGAGCGAGCACCGCGGTGTCGCCAGGTCGGGTCATTGATGAAAGGGTCCACGGATGGATCGATGAAGGCCTCTTGGTAGCGACCCTGTTGGCCTGTCCACCGGGGATTCTGGGCCTGGCTTTGCGCATGCCACTGGGAAGTCGGGAGGGGAAAGGCCCGGCCCGCAGCCCAAGCGTTGTTGGACACGATGGGTGCTTGGGTAGTGCTGAACTGACCGGTTGATGCCACTAATGCCATCGAGGTCATGGGCGCACAAGTCTCACGCTTTCGGGGCGAATGCGCATGAATATCATCTGGCTCCTTCGGGTCAAGACTTCCCTGGACGCCGTTGTAGAGAGGCCGGGGTATATCCTGACCCCACATGGAAGGGTTTGGCCATGCGATTTGGGAAAACTCCAAAATTTCTGTTGGTAAAATTAGCAAATCACCGAACTTGAGAGCCGTTCCCCATGGTATGTATACATACGCTCAGGAGCATGCTGGAAAGAGAAGATGATAGCATCTTTGACTCTTTCAAACGGCGGCGAGCGATTCGGACGAGAAAAGCCTTCCGAAAGCATAATCTTGATTCGGCCCATTGCATCGCCGGCATCCCAGTGTCGCTGTTCGAGGATCTCAGAGTGGAACTGGGGAAAGCGGAGATAGTCCTGGTTTCCATCGCGGTCGATACCTAGTCAAGGTCAGAAAACACTGAGTCCATCAACTGCCGCGGTGTGAGCTGATACACACGAGAACTCAGATCTTAAGAAGAAAAAGCATTAGTCCAGATGATCAAAAAGCACAAACAAAGTATAGATCTCAAGATTCAGACACTCACCGATCACATACGGCCACGCCGCTCTCTGCCCGAAGACACCGGCACTATAGCGAAGCGGTCAGTATCGAGCCCTAAGTAGATGATGACGCGCAATGAGAAACTTACGCAACACATTCACCATCAATGAAGACCCGGGCCTCATACAACAGCACATCATCTGGCTGCATCATGCTCTCGATCAACCGGCTGGGCTTAGGCTTGTCCCAGTTGTGAATTGAGATGCGAAATGCAGCTCCGCGGACCAGACTGGGGATGAAAGAGGTCAAAACGGGGATCCGCCCAACACTGGCCTGAGAACGGTAGAAAGCAATTGGACCGAGAATCTCCGGACTCTGGAGATAAGGGGATTCAAGGTCCCTGGTCACGAAGCATTGAGTTTTGAACTCCTGGATTGGGACCCTGGAGCTCGCCGGGAAAAGCAGGACATCCCAGGTCTCGTAGCGCATCGTGTGCCACGTGTGTTGGATGAAGAGGTGTGTAGATGGATGAGAGAGATGAGATGCGATAAGATTGAAAAGGTGAAAGTGCGGCTATCGTGTTAAAGCGCCGTGGCAATGGGAAGGGGCTTGAATGGGGACGCTTGAATGAGCAAGCTGGGAAGGTGCGCGACACGGAAGGAAGCGACGGCGAGGTAAAATGGTCACGGGGGAAACAGAAAACGGGGGAGGAGGAGAAGGGTGGGAGGAGGTTATGGAAGGAGCAATCGACGGCTGGCAGTGCTACTCTCGAGTCTTTACAGGATAGGATAATCCTCTCATGTTCTAATTCCCAACCAATATCATTCAATCTAATGTTTTCTGTCTTTCAGTAAACTCCAACATGATAAACAACATCAATCAATGTCATCCAAACAAGACATTCACATTGCAATGCCTCTCCAATCATTCAAAGAAAGTGAAAACGAGTAGAAGCGACAAGGGGAATCATCCAAGCCAGGCGCAAAACAAACGCCAGCACGAATCTCAAGCACAATATGCCGGCGCGGTGATATCAAGTATGAAGAACAAAAGGCCATCCTTGCGTTCGGACCAAAACACCCACATAGAAAGAGAGACGAAGACTGTCAGACTTGAATAAAACAGTCCAAGCAAAAATCCCGTCAAGCATGCATTGAGGCCGACGCCGCGATCATCCAACCAAGAACGAGATCAAGAAGGACATGGTAACTCTGCAAGCTACAAACGACGACGACGTTCATGTCTCTGCCAGAAATCATACAGCCAGCCAAGCGCAAATAAAAAGGACGGCAGCAGCAGGTATCAAGAACAAAACCTAAGCAATCACGATGACCAAAAGGAGCGCGTGAAAAACATATCAGTACCTCAGCAAGCGCAAGCAGAAACACTAAGCCAAGCGTGTTATACAAGTCGGTATCAGTCTAACGAGAATAACCAAAAAGTCCAACCCAAGAAGATAAGAAAGAAAAGAACCAGCAGAACGCAAACCGTTCGAAGCGAAGCATAATTCAATTTGGCTGATCGATCGACAGAGAGAAAGAAACAGACAAAGGAAACTAATAGCGGGAGAAAGACTTGCGAAGGACTTGGAAATATGGTGGAACTTTTCGCAGAAGGCCTGCCCATGGAGTATAGAGTAAAAAAGAAACGCATGGAAGAATACGGACTTTCGTTACACGCGAACGGGAACCCCAGGGCCGGGGGATAGGGGGAAAGATATGATAGCAGGATAACCATAAAAAATAAATTTGAGACGGGCATCGAGCATCGAGCGTGGGTGAGAACAAGGGGAAAGTACGAATTTGGGGGAGAAAAAGTTGGGGATACAGAAGGAAAAAAAAATGGGGGACATAAAAATGGGATCGTTAGATCCGACTGGGGGTGAGAAAACAGAAAAAAGGGAAGAAAAGGGTAAGAAGAAAACGGCTCAGATCTTGCTAAGATAAAAGCGCTCAACGAAATATGCGTAGCACATGGGGAGAAGAAGGCTCATCAAGAGCTATAGAGCGTTAAAGGCCTCTGGGGACTGGGCAGTGTTGTGAAACCAGAGAGAGAGGAGGGTAGGGAAAAAGGGCAAATTTGTTAGGAAACAAAAAAGGAAGAGGTGAGGGCCCATCATTGGAAATAACGCAAAACAACTCCTGCTGGTGCTTTCAATCAAAGAAGAACGCGCTTACTGGAAGAGAAGAGAAGTAGTCAGCCGACCGAGCCTGAATAAACTCAAGAGTGTTCGGGGGCCGGGCTGCCGGGGTGACTGCTAACCTTCATTGGGGCAAACCCGCCATACTGGTGAGCCGGGGGCATGCCCATGGAGGGGTACATGGGAGGGGGAGGGGGAGCCGGGCGGTAGGGGCTGCCAGCAGGGCCGGAGTTGTTCTGAGAACGTCCCCAGGACAGACGGACACGGGAGTTGCCGATGGGGTAGCCCTGCATCTGGTTGATGGCCATCTCAGCAGCGTGGCGCTGGACGAACTGGACGAAACCGCAGCCCTTGCCAGGGGGGATCTTGACGTAGGTGATTTCTCCGAATCCCTGGAAGAAAGAGCGGAGCTCATCCTCAGTCACGTAGCCGGAAAGACCACCAACGAAGACAGTGGTGTTGTTGGGGTCGGTGAACTGGTTCATGGGCTGGGGAGTGCCGTAGAAGCCCATGGGGGGACCACCCATAGGGGGGTACATGCCGGCGGGGCCGGGCATACCGCCCATGTTGGCAGCGCCCACGCCGGGGCCCTTGTTCTTGGGAGTAGCGGTGGAGATGCGCATGGGGCGGTTGCCGCAGTAGACACCCTGCATCTCGGTGAGAGCACGCTGCTGGTCGTTCTCATCGGAGAAGCGGACGAAACCGTAGCCACGGGACATGCCGGAGATGGGGTCGGTCATGATCTTGGCGGACTTGCAAGAGGGGAAGCGGCTCTGGAAGAGGGAGACAAGAACGTATTCGTTAACCTCGGGGCCGAGATCACCAACGAAGATGGAGTACTCGGGGCCACGGTCATCACGGCTAAAAGAAAGTTAGCTTGCATGATCCTGAAAAACACTGATGATCAGGGGTTAAAGTGGGGATGGAGGGCGAATGCTCACCTGCGGTCAGCGAGGCCACCGCCAGTAGCCCAGTTGAGCTTGAAGACACGGTTGGTGTTGGGCATGGGAGTGCCGTTCAGGGAGAGGGCCTTGGCGGCAGCGGCGGCGGAAGCAAAGTCCACGAAGCAGTAACCAGCGTTGCTCCTACTACCAACATTAGAATCTTTTGAAAGTTCTATCAAAGCGGAAGAAAGAGGGGAGTCATGGTCTTACCCAGAGAACTTGTCGCGGATCATCTTGACGTTGACCTGCTCACCCATCTGGAACCACAGGTTGCGGATGAAGTTCTCATCAATCCAGGGCTCAAGCTCGCCCATCCTAAAACAAAGAGTCAGTAAATTGGTCTCTTTTGTAATTGAAATTTCAAGTCGGAGTGTTATCGATAAGAACATACCAGAGGGTGGTCTTGCCATCAGCGCCCTGCTGAGGACCGGGAGCGGCAGCGGCATCACCAGCAGCACCCTGGAAGGGAGCACCGGCGGGGTCGGCCTGGCCAGTCATGTTGGTGTCGGCCTGAGCGGGAGCACCAGCAGCGGCGGCGGCGTCCTGGTTGGGGTAGGAATCGAAGTTCTGGAAAGACATGGTTGCTTGCAAAGATCAAACTTTTCTGAAAGTCGATGTAGGAATAGAAAGCAGCCTGAAGAACTTCGTGGAGTCGTTAAGGAGAGACCGTAAGATGTAACGAGCACAACTTCGTAAACCCAGGAACTAAGAGATGGGCGTTAGGCTTCCTGGAATTGCCGAAGCAGGAGGTGTTAGCAGAATGTTCGCTTCGTCTGATGCCGCTTTTCCCACGGAGGGCTTGCGATCAGAGCAGGATGATGTGAGGAACAAAGTAGTGAGGCGAAGGCAGTGAAAGAAGAAGAGAAGGCGGAGAAGGGAACTGATATGAGTTCTCGTGAAATGCAGTGAGGGTGGAGAAAAGAGAAGGTCGGGTCGAAGAGGTGTAAAGAGTTGAGAGAAGAATCGAGGGTATATTGGCGCAGTAATCCTCAAGGGCGCAGGCTCCGCTAGGCTGCGATCGCAGAGAAGACACCGGAATTCGCCAAGACCGTATTTTCTTCTCAAGCCGCGCACAATCGCAAGAGACCGGACCAGGAAGCGCAGGGAACCGAGTTGGATGCGCCAGTAGATGAACGAGAAGCAAGCTGTCGTGGATGCTCAGCGAGGACCCGCTTGCGGCCGTTTCCGTCCAATTCTCTCCATCGCCGCGGCGATTGCGACCATCCACCACCACAACGCCCCACTAGCAGTCTCTCTCATCCATTCAGGTCGTGCAACCAGCTTGACTCTGTAATCGAGATTGCGACCATAGCGACAGCGATGTATGATGGTGGGCGGTGAGCGGCCGGCGAGGGTGGCGGAATCGGGCGGCGCGATGCGGTTCCCGTAGCAAAAACTGGTCCGTTTTCCAGGCCACCATGCGATGATAGAGCCTTGCGACCGAGAGAATAACAAGCGCAACCCATTGATAATTGATCTGATTGATTGCGAATTGTCGGGATCAAAGGCAGGTGTTGAGTAGTTCGTGGGTATAGTAGCGGGGATAGAGGGGATATTGGGATGGATGATGAAAGAGGCTTTTCGCGAAGGAAAAACTGAAACGAAATGTACTCACCAAGGGGAATCTGGAAAGACCTCGAGAAAGCTCAAAACGAAGCGACGAAAAGAAGTGCGAGAGAGAAGACCTAGAAAAAGCACAACTCCCGAAACGGCGCGCAAGACAGAACGAAGCAGGGATGGAAACAATAGGAAAGAGGAGGGAGGGGAAGAAAGTTGGAGGAGGGGAAAAGAAGACGATGAAGAATTGGAAATCTCAGATTTGATTGAGACCGAAGGCCCGGTTTTTCGCTGGAAAGGGCGAAACGAGTGGACAGAGAGGGGAAATGAGAGAAAAAATTGGGTGAGATCAGAGAGGCTGAAATGGAGAATACCTGACGAAACGGGGTATTGGTATGTATCGGAATTGGCGTGGGTGTGGTAATGAAAAATTACTGTAATTTTGTTGGAGAGTACATCTCGAGCCCCTGGGTCCAACAGTATACTGTAGACTACTGTATGTCTATAGGGGAATAATTAATTGTATACTTGAAAAGAAGTATCATAAGACATCAAATAACCCTCAAATAACCTCCTAACTTTCTCATGAAGGAGTGTTCCAATTATTCAGCTCGATCGTATGCCATACATATTCCCGACTCTCTGGGCTTGCATGCGCAGTTCCCGTAGCCTGTACGAGACCCCGGACCTTGACCCAAAGTCAAAAGCGTGGTGATATCAGATATGCGGGGGACCTGCGAGTGGTCTCACCATGTTCCGGGATCTCGGGAAAAGATCCAATATCCAGTAGACAGTAGTACATATTAACGAACTACAGGCTTAGGGTACAGAACTCGCTTGTAGCCACTTGTTATATCCTTGTAAAGGATTGGGCCGATCTTTCCAGCTGACAGAGCAGAGCACGCAGATGACAGGATACACTTCCGCTCTCATCCGAAAGTCTTATTCCAAGTTGTCGATGTAGCTTGTGTTAAGTTCTTTGTCCGTCTAGCTTTCTCAAGTCTAGCTACGTATACAAAGGACTTCACACCATGATCAACACCGTCGTGTACTCCGCATACGCGGGGGAGAAAAAACCGAGTCAGCAGGGCAAGGGCAAGGGAAATAAGAAACAAACTCCAATTAATGCATGAAATCTGCAAGGACCGAGCTGTCGTCCTTGCAATGTGACTTGTCGCAAAACGCCCTAATTCAAAAGCAAATTCAAATCTAACACAGGGCCTGCCCGTGGGTATTCTCGGCGATGGAAATAGAATAATTAGATCATCGCTTAGCTACTGTACTAATACTACAGAATGTACGGAGTTATATCCATCCTAAAGAAAGTGGTTTATGTTCAGCTGGCCATTGTACGCGCGGGTTACTACTAAAATACTAAAACCAGACGCCAATTCCCTCGGCCTGTCGGGTTCTGGTAACTTGTAAGAATCTGAGCTGAGCTGACCAAAGCCCCCAAACCGGCAGCGAACAAACGGCACAAAGCTCCACTGAACGCCACGGAACCGTGGAATGGTACATAAACACTGGCTGTATTGTAATTAATCTGTGGTTGTGGTATTGCCGCTATCACCGCTTTCCTTTTATAACCAGCTTTACTTAATGCCTTGTATTTTAGGCTGTCAATTGGGCATCGTGTCGAATTTATTGCTTACAGCTCCAAGTCTGCAAAGGATAAATGATTAGTCTATCTACGTATTAGCTTCTAAGGTACGAACACTCGCTAACTTCGAAAGGCAAATTAAATCACCAAAGCTTCTATTGATAAAAGACAAAGAACCCATTTAACCAATCATCTCATCTCTCTACTCCCCAAAGCCCAAGAAGCACAAGTACTCCGTACATATCTGGCCTTCTCGAAGCAAGGTTCTCAGATCCATGTCTGTCCAGCAAACAAAGCAAGGACATCCCGCAAAACGATACGTCACTCGCGTACAGCATCGAGCTGAACCAAACCCACGGGCCGGAGTTGTTAGTCTGTGCGACATCTCATTGGTTTGGAGTGAGTGGGTCATGGTAATCTCTGTAAGGGCCCAGTTTTTTTGGCTTTTTTTTTTCTTTACTTTACATTGAATTGAATACTGTACACACATTCAAGACTGTATATTGTTGGTTCAGTTTTACAGTCGCTTAGTATTGTTGTTATCTGTGACTTAATATCTCGTAGTTTCCATTCCATGTGTTCTATCAAGATAGCAGAGCAGAGTTTTATCAAGTCCTATCAATCTAAGCTCGGCACGAGCGCGTCAAGGTTGTACTGTAGCTCGCATTCTCCATTCTCTTTCCTCCCCGGCTTTCCACGGGACGCGACGCGTTCATTGTGGCCCTTGAATCCTTTCTTTGTTTTCGTCCCAACCAGATATTAGTACTGAGTCATAAAAGGTTTTGTCAAACTGATACCACACCATCAATTACCGGGCGGAATAATCTTCCTGGTATGAGTAAGGGATTGCTGATCCATTGAGACTGGCGCGGCAGGGCAGGACAGGGCAGGACATAGGGCAGCGAGTTGATGCCCGAGGAGAGTCCAGTCCGTCTAGTAAAAACCCGAGCCCTTGCATGTGTTTCAATCGTTGAGATAGACTACGCGATCGCGCTTAATTTATGTGCGATGATGGACTGGACTGTGGAAGCGACCCGACCCCTGCAGCATAGCATTGCCCAGGTGAATACCGGCATGTTGATATGATATTACAGTATATAGGTTCGCTGGAGATTTGGAAAGAAACTCGTAATTAGGGTAATGAGCTCCATAGTCATGAATCATGATTCTGATAAGCATCAATATCGAGAGGACTCCGTGCGTGGCACTACTCCTATTAGGATTTAGGACTCTTTCTCCGGGATCTTGAGTCTACAGTATATCCTTCGCACCCTGCAGAATAACTTCATTCTTCAATTGTAAAGAACACGCGACTCTCGTAAAACGCGTACTTCCCAACAAGGGCATATTAATAATTGCCCCCGGGAACCATGGAACACAGCTTCAACCACCCAACCATCGAAACAAAGAATTAGGGCAAAAACCGAGCTCGATTGCCGAGAGTAAAAGTCTCAATACAAGTCTCCTTTCTCCCACAAATAGGTAATCAAATCTCAATATCCAACCTCTTTAGGTAACTCCATACAAAGTCATCAAATATCCTCCGAACAGGAATATGCAAGCAATGACCTGACCTGCTGCCCAGTGCCCACTACATTCAGTAAATGTCCAGCCAGGCCGTGGCTCAGACCCGAGGCTGAGCAGCCCCCAAGACCCAAGCGGCTCCACTTTCAGGGCTCGCATCCACATTAGTTCGCGACACTTCTATCCAAAGAGAAGCCCGGGTCTCGCTTCTCTTGATACGGCGTGGTATGGGGGCCGTATTCCACATACGAGACGCACAGTGGGCAACCAGGATGACAGGACGGAACGGGTCACGGGATGAGGGTTTGAATATTACATACAATTATACATTACTCGGTACATGATGTAACTAGTCTTTTTCTCTTGGGTCGATGGGGCATGGACCATGCCAGAGCTCTTCTTTGGGAGCTACAGTAACGTAACTGGGTCCGGATGGTTGGGACGTGATATGTAATATTATATACGTGGACATACTATACATACATAATTAGTTACGTCTTTTGAGTACAGAGGAAGCGCACACAACTCCACTCGTTTCTTTTTCGGGGGCCGGTCATTGTTTGTGGGTGGGGTATTTGGATGTTTTCGAGAAGGTTCGCGTCTTGTTTGATTTTTTTATTAAAAGGCGTAAGAGGCTCTGTGGAGTGGGACTGGTCTGTGTGTTTGGATGGTTAATCATGTAGCAAGAAAATTAGGGCATATGTATTCAAGATAATGTAGATGTAGATTAGCCAGATACAGTTGACAAGTCTATTATTGCAGTGTTCAGCTTCTTCTTCTTATTGATGTAGTATCCGTTCAATGTGTATGCTCTGGGCTTTTCTTAGTCGATGTAATGCCCTGCTATAGCTTAACCACTGGCACATTCTAAACTTGAGACTGTTCGTAGACTACAAGTATATCTCATACACTCGCGCCAGCTTAGAGCTCGCCATCTCCTACTGAAGGTTCGCCAGAAAAGAAAAGATCCGGGTTCAATGGGTGCAAGATACATAAAACCATCTACAATAATAACTCCACAGGAGGGTCAAACTCCCTCCACACCAAATAAATCCCAGCACAAACTCCCACAACCAACAAAAAGTCACCACCACACTCTCCTTACTCAAACTCCTCAAACCCCCCCGTCTCATTAGGATCTCCCTGATCGCCCAGAAGCATCAAAACACGCTCATAAACACGCGTCGCCTGCATCATCCACGGCGGCATCTCCGGCTCCTCCCAGTCATCATAACCCTCATAACCGCCCTCATCCTCCGGAGGCTCAGGAATCATACCGAAAAGGTTGCTGCGGGTAGTCTCGGCGATGCTGCGAATCCGCACTCTCTGCGTCTGTGTGACGAAGGGGTGGTCCGGGTTTGCGCCGGGTAGAGGGGTGTGTGAGAGTGGGTGTTCACCCTGCATCAGTGCGACGAAGAAGTAGTCTAATTTGTTGAGGATTGTTAGGGTTGGTTCTGGGTCGAAGGGGTATGTTGCTAGGGATCGTTCTAGGATGCCGGCTAGAGTGATTAGGCCTTCGACTTGGATTGAGGCTGGGCAAACTTGTTAGTGAATGAGCTGGATACTGAACTTTATAGGTAAGAAACTTACGAGTCGCTGATTCCCACAGCATATCAGCCGTTCCCTCGATATCATCTGCCAGTTGCTGGATGCAGGTGTACCGGGTTTGACCTGGCTGGGTAATTGTCGTGTCCATGCCCATCTGGGCTTTCATTTGGCGGAAATTGATTCGGTCGATTGCCGTGCTAAGACGGCCGCGGAGTTGGAGCTCTCCATTCGAGCCCGAGGCCAAGGGTGTCTCACGCTGAGGCGGGATGCGGAGTAGGGGGACCCATGGCATATTGGTAGATACGGGGCCGGCATGTTCTGATGGCAGATCTGAGCCATTTGTAGAGAATGCTTGAGGCTGAGCTTGTTGGAAGGGCACGTCCTCGAACTCGACATCCTCGTCGGAGTCGTGCTCGTTTGGAGGAGGTGGGTTAGCCATGTTAGGCGGGTTAGCCATGTTAGGCGGGTTGGTGCGGGTGTTTGAAGTGGGGAGATTCGGGGTTTTGTAGGATGAGCACAGAAACAAAGAAAGTGAGACAAAGAAAGTGATTGGGTAGTTGATGGAAGCTGGAAGTTCCTTTAAAGAGCAGGGTCTTGCTTGAATGAGTTGTCGTGGACTGGAATCTTCTTCGCCAGCGCCTTATATAGCTTTGAGTCCACGTTACGTCCACGTTACCACCCAACTCGATGTACGGGATTCTGCCGTGGAATAGATGTGGTAATGCCCTCGTGTAAGGTTCCCCAATTTAAACAGTAAAATAGAGATCAGAGTCTTGTGTAACAACCCGATAGAGCTACCAACGTGGGCTGGGAACGTGAGATGTCATGCCAAGCCTTGGTCTGTGCGGGGCTCGACACGATGTAGATACACGTTAAAGAAGGCACTACAATCTCGAACAGATGTGGGACTTGACTATACCTATGGTGGTACAGTGACCTCTGGCTTGTCTCCAATTATGTTGTCTGGATCGGGATGGCCATAGTTCACGATTCTCCTTGCAGACCTAGTTAGGCTTTGCTTATGTGACCGGCCATATACATTCCAACGTAGGCCAGTGGTATATGCTTTCAATCCTCACTCTACACGACCCGAAACTAAGAGCCTGATATACGCAATCGTCATTGGTACTTGGATGACATAAATGGAATAAAACAGAGATAGAAGAAGTTTAAAATGAACAAGATGTATAATGTAAGTAAGGTTACACTGTACCAGGAACTTAGCAGTGGATAGAAATAGAAATTCTTAATGTCCCCAGTCCAAGCCCAAGTCCGGCTGGAACTCCCAAAACGCCATGCTTTTATGCTATACATCTCCTCATTCGGGCTGCAAAGAAAAAAAGTTAGTAACCACTTCCCTAAACAAGAAACAATCATACTCATGTTTTTGTGGCATGATGAAAAACTCACCCGAATCTTCCCCCTCCGCATCTTAATATCCGCCAACTTGCGCCTATCCTCATCAAACCGTCTAAGCAAAAGCTGCTGCCTCTCCTTCCTCTTCTCGCGACTCTGGAACCGATAAAAGTCCTCAAGCCCCTCCTCCTTCTTCTTCTGCCGCTCAACCAACTCCCGCATCTCCTCCTCCCGCGCGACAGAATTAAGTTTCGGCCCATTAACAACAGTAACGAAGCCATCTTCATCCGGTACACCAGCTTTCTTCGACTCCTCCTTCTTCCGTGCCTCGGATACCTGCTCGAACACGGTCATGAAATCGTTCACGGAGCGTAGTAGCGCTGACCGCTCGGGATAGCGTCTCCGTTCGTGGGAGATGTATCGCTGCACGCCTAGTGGCGGGATTCGGTCGAGTGGGATGCCATCGCCCCAGATTAGATTGGTGTTCTTCCGGGCAGCCTTAGCGGCGGCTTTGAGGCTAGATTCCATGCTGGGTTTATCGGCGAAAACGACGATAGCATGGGCGCCTGATTTGTGGAGTGCACGGTCCCATGTTGACGGGGGTGTGATTTCGTCGAGGGTTGATTGGAGGTCATCTGCTGTGATGCGCTTGCGTTTCTTGTTGGCGCGGTGGGAGAGATTCGGCTCTGTTGCGGTTGCGAGGCCGGGTTTTTTCACGGGGACGTCTTCGAAGGTTATGCGTTCCACGCGGCCGGCGGAGAGTTGGGTGCTGAAGAGGTGGCGGAGGTGGACTTCTGTTGTGTCGATGGGGGTGTTGACGATGAAGAGAGAGCGGGTCGAGTCTGGGTCTGGGATGCGTGGCTCGTGGGGGCGGATGTAGAGGTAGTGGGTTGCTGGTGTTGGGTATATGGATGTTGGTGGGAGTTGGAGGGGGAGGGTTGTGTAACCCGCCACTTCGATGGTGGCCGCTTTCTTCATGATTGGGGTTGGTGGTGGGATTGCTGGGTTGTAGATTTGCGGCTTGGATCTTTTTTTGAAGTTTTACGTTTAGCGTGTGATTTTGCCTGGTTTATAGTAGGGCGGTGGGGTGGGCGGTGGTCCGCGATATAAGAATAGCCCTAAGATGGAGGGACATGGTAGGATCGGCTGTGTAAAATATAAGGTGGTTTAGTATTTCTGCTGAACCTGATAATGGATATATGCTAAACATACATAGTGTTGCTATCATATTTTGGCCATTTTGGCCGCAATCCTCCGAAGACCCCTCGACATCTGTCAATATCCTCGTTTCATCAGCCACTCACACCTTGTCGGGATCATTGATGCCACCGTTGGTGATCACATAAGTCGCCTCGCGCTCAGGACAATCTATACCAGAAATCAGTATTTAACGATTCATATACTTTGACCATGAACAAAACATACCCGGCGAATCCTGGATCTTCGCCACCCGCTCATCACCCCGGCCCTTGCGCAGAAGTACCCGAGTTGTCGACGCATGAGCGAGGACATGTCCACCAACCGGCTTGCGACCATCCGCGCCAGCAAAAAGTGCACTTGCACCAGGGTCGCTCTGGACTTGGTTTGTCTGGAACAAGATCAGAGGCCAGGCCACAAAAATCAGTCCAACATCAAAGGGTCAACTCACCATCAAGACGCAGACATTGAACTCTGCAACGAGAAAACGAATCAGCTCAAGTTCCATCTCTCAACCAAAACCCCAAAACCAATGAACAAAATCATCAATTCCAATTAACATCATGCCATGCCATGCAAACCTCACCTTCAGCCATATGAGCAACCTTCATCAAAAACTGCCCCAACTTCTGCTGCCTCTCCGCCAGCTCGCCCCGTCCACAATAATCCACCCGAAAACAATTCATAATACTATCAATTACAAGCAACCGATACTGACCCGCCGCAAACTCGCGACTAAGCGTGTTCAGTAACTCAAGCTGATGCTCCGAATTGAGAGCACGCGCATACGCAATATTCTCCTGCGCAGTGTCGGGGTCCATCCCGAATCGTTCGGCGATTTGCATAATGCGCTCGGGTCGGAATGTTCCTTCTGTGTCGATGTAGGCAACTTTGCCGTCGGCGCCGCCGTGGGAGCGTGGGAGTTGGGCGATTACAGACATTGTGTGGGAGAGTTGGGTTTTGCCGCAGCGGAATTCGCCGAAGACTTCGCTTATGCTCATGCTTTGGAAGCCGCTGGAGGATATAGGGGTGTGTTGTTAGTTGATAGTTGGGGGTTTGGGATGGGAAGGGGAGATGAAGGGGATGGGAATTGGGATGGTGATGTTTTGTTTTTGCCTGGACTTACCCGCCAAGGATAGAGTCGAATTGCTTGCTACCCGTTGAGATGCGGACGACTTTCTTGCGTTGGTGGTGGAGTTCCATTGCGGTTACGAAGCCAGAGGCGGAGGGCTGTATCGCACAGACAAGGATAATCAGAACATGTTCACTCCAGAACATCCAAGGGAATGAACAAACCAAGCATTTCTGGATAGCTTCCTTGATCTTCTCGACCTTGATCTCACTGAAGCCCTTGATCTTCAGGAGTGTTCTGCGGGTGGCACCGTGGACGGACTGGATGGAATATTGTCAGCTCTGATGTCAATTGCAATTTTGCGAGGGGGTTGGTGTGTGAGTCTTACTGCCACAGTGTAGAAGCCATTTGCTTTCAGCTTGGTGATATCAGCTGCACCGATGCCGTGGGCTTGGATACCGTCGATGTCCACAATGAAGTCCTACAATGTACAACCGGATCAGTCATCCGCTGAGAGAGTTCTTGAAAAAGGATTCATACATCATCATTGAAGTCGTCGCCAGGGTCTGAAGCAGGCATTTTGATGGATGAGATGGAGTCGAAATGGGATGGGGTGGGATTGGGAAAGTGAAGCGTTGATGAAATGAGGTCAAGCGAGTCGAGAGTCACAATCCCAGCACATGACACGACACGACACGACTACCAAGCAACAACACCTCCAGTCACAGTTTACACCGTCTACAACTTACAGTACAATACAGCCCATAGCCTACATCTCAAAAAGAATTGAAAAAAGAATTGCGTTTTCACAGTCTCAGCACCGAGGACTCCTTGCCCTTGGAAGGCTCTATTCCAACAACACATCGAAGCCAACATAAATCTCTTCTTCCTCCTTCTCCTTATCACCCCTGCAGTAAGGTACACCACAACCACAACCACGCATCACATCACAAGACACCAATACATCGTCCTCACCACCTGCGCATCTCTCATCTCTCATCTCTACCTCCTCCTCGGCCCACAACAGGTAAAACCGCAATCAGAGTTCAAGATTCACTCGCCATCGAGAAACATTCGTGCTCATCCGTGAGAGAAACAAATAGACAAGACGCCAATCATGAGGGCTTCCCCTAGTCTAACATGGGAGCAAGAGAAAGCCAACCTAAGCCAAGCCACAAGCTATATTGCTCAGTGCCCATGATAGTAGGGGAAGTTGGGGTAGGGGAGGTAAGGGATTCATTCATCAAGATCAGAAGGGTAAAAGAAAAAAGAAAACACTTTTCCAGTTTTGATCGTCGTATACATGATATAAAAATCAAACCGCAAAAGGGGATAGAGATAGAAAAGCCGGATACCGATACCGACACCGATTGGAAATAAAAGAAAGAAAACTCACACGAGAAGATCGGAAGAGGGTAGTAGGTAGTAGTGGTTTCAAAGTTTTGGAGGGGGAGGATATTGGAGAGCCCAAATTGGAATTTTGGAATTGGAGCAGAGCAGGTCATGTTGTGGTTTCAATATATGCAAAGAGAAGAAATGGTGCCGAGACTCCTTGAAAAATATGAAGTAAAAAAAAAAAAAAAACGACCGTAATACAGAATTGGGGAAGAAATTGGAGAGATCGCGAGATTGAGACTATCAATCTCAGTCTCGCGTCGGTTCACACATCAAGAAAAGTTTCGCAAGCTTTCTCTCCACTTATGCGACGGCGGTAGTCGGAGCCGCAGTCGCAACGGGAGCGGCCTCGGTGCTAGCCTCGACAACACCGACAGTAGCGGCGGGGGCAACAGGAGCATCAGCAGCAGTGACGGCAGCATCAACGGCGGGGACGGGGGCAGAGGCAGCCTCGGCGTTGGTAGGGCAGTCGCGGGAGATGTGGCCAGCCTGGGCACACTTGTAGCAGACCTTACCGGCGGAGCTGAGGGGGCCGCCGTTGGGGGCGGTGCAGTCGCGCGAGATGTGGCCGAGCTTGCCGCAGGCGTAGCACTTCATGGCTTGAGCCTGGCAGTCACGGGCGAAGTGGTTGGGGCCACCGCACTTGTAGCAGGTCGCGGCACGGGGGTAGCCCTGGAAGCCACCGCGGAAACCGCCCTGGAAACCACCGCGGGGACCGGTGGGACGGCCAGCGCCGGGAGCGGCGGGGTTGGTGCAGTTGCGCTGGTCAGGGAGGTTAGTTGGGATGATTTAGTCGTAGAGCTGGGATGGGCAGAGTGTCTTACGGCGAGGTGACCGGGCTGGCTGCAGTTGTAGCAGCGGCCGTTGGCACCACCGTTCAGGCGGAGGGTGGGGCAGTCAGCCTGGACGTGACCGAGGCCCTGGCAGTTGTAGCACTGCTTGGCTAGAGGCGAGTCAGTATCACCCGTGGATGTAATGGCAAGATTGGAGGGTCCTTACTCTCGGTGGTACGGGGCCGAGGGCAAGCGCTAGACTCGTGGCCTGTTTTGTTTCTGAATGAGACGAGTTTGTTGGTGGGGATGGTTACACGAAGGACATACCAGGCTGCTTGCCTACGATTCAGTGTAATGTTAGTATCAGATTGAACAGACAATGCGATGAAAAGAGAGAGATTAGGGGTTGTCAACATACAGTTATAGCAGAGACGCTCCGAGGAAGAGCAGACCTCTATATGATGATAGCTTCGTCAGTCCGGGACAACGCTAACCAGCAACAAGCAACAAGATTGCCCAAACTAACCGGCATAGTGGCCAATGTTGCCACACTTGTAGCACGCACGACGAGACAACATCATCTTCGATATTCTAATCCGATGTCAGTCGATCATGATCCCAGCTCCGAAGCTTCGAGCACCCCCGCGTTATGGTCGTGTGCCACCCCTCTAATTCCCAAGTACCGAGTCTGAGGTCGCAATGGAAACAAATAGCTAGGTTGTCAAGCTCGAAGCTAGTTCCGAAAAGCACCGCCAGTCGATAATTGCCGTCGAGCGCGTCCGTACCATGCGTCATCGAGAAAGAGGGGGGGGTGACCGTCGATCCGCGGGGGAAAAACACCCCCAAAAATCCAAGCAAGGACCTCGAAGCGCATCCATCACTCGAATATAAAAGACTCCGACTCACCCTTCCAAATAACACTTCAAATCCTAATCAATCGAATCTGTCAACAAGCTTCCTGTTAGCACGAATGAACCTCGTCCAAGACCGTTAAAAAAACGACCCGAGGGTCACTTAAAAAAAGCACCACGTTCTTGACATTGACAGCCCACCAAAAAAACCCCAGCGAAGAAAAAAAAGTGGGCACCTGGCCACACACAGAAACAATTCCAAATTCCCAAACGGAAGCTTAAGCAAGAATGAAATGAAATGAGGATCACTTACCCACGACGTACACACCGTACTTCTCGAACACACAAAAAAGAAAACAAGGTGGAGGGGAATGGGACCGAAAAGACGAGACTGTTAGAGGTGCTGAAAGTGGGTGGTGAGTTGCAAACTCGTCAAAAGTTTAGCTCCCGGGCTTTTCCGTATTGCGTAAGGTTGGCTGCTGCTGCGGATTCACCGCGTTGCTATTGGGTTTAGAGATCTATGAGGGGAATGTAAATGTAAAAAGATAGAAAGGAGAATTATTCTAGTCTGATAATGTGACATGATAGAATAAGAAAAATTAGAATGAATTGATTGATGCCGAGATAATGTAAGTAGCCGCGTTAAGCATTAGTTTCAATTGCACAAATATGTGTACTCGGTTCCTAAGTATTCAACATAGTTCAACCTCGAGTGCCCAAGCATAATTACATACTGAGAGGAACAATGTACAGAATAAACTACTTAACCCGCTATTGTTAATTTGTTAGGGTTGCTGCACCCCCTACATTCCTGCATCCCGTCCTGCCAGAGGCCCAATTATGGTCGATGCAACCAGCAGCTCATTCCCTGTCGATCAAGGTCAAATTAAGAGACTATGCAGAACAAACCTCCCACATGGTAGGAAAAACTCTTTACATATTACATAGGTTACTGGTGAATTCAATACGGAGATTTATGCAGCGAGACAGCGAGACAGCGATTATGCGATTCATTTCTTCGTGCCAAGATCCGGGACAGCAATATAACCTTCCTTAAGCTCCTGCAAGTCGAGCATCAAGCGTCGAAGCTTGCTTCCAGCAACAGCAATTTTAATCTAAATTATGATTGACTACTTTCATATCCTTTACTCCTCCTTTTCCAGGAGCGCGGGGGCCTTGATTTCCCGGCCCTTGAGGAACTCCAGGTTCTCGCCGCCCTACAAACAACCACAGGTTAGCATTTATACATATTCCAGTCCAGACATTTCAAGAGAGTTGACTTACGTAGCTGATCCAAGGAGACACCTCAACACCAAACTTATCATCCTCGGTGATCACAATGCCGCCTGCGGCCTCGATCCACCGCTGACCCTGCTTCATGATATCGGCACGGCTGGTATCGGGATCATCCTGGCCGGTACCGGCGGCGTTCTTCAGGGGTGAAAACTCGTCCTCACGACGCACCTCGATGGAGGCGAACTTATCCAGCGGTGTCATGGGGAAGACATCAAAGACGAACTGCTCCAGCTTGACACCATTGGGGCTGGTAGGCTTGACGAGCTCACCGTTCTCGGTGTTGATGAAGGGGATCTTCTTGCGGGCAACGTGGTGGGGCAGCTTGTGCATCCAGTTCTCGATCGACTCGAAGAAGTTGAACGAGTAGTAGTGGTTGACAATGTTGGCTGCGCGGAACTTGAGTAGCTTGGAATCCTGGGGGTCCAGGGCTTCGGCCGTCGCCTGGTCAATCTCGGAGTACTCGACAACATCGGGCTTGCCGTTCTTCTGGACGATCAGACCGACGGACTCGGCGGCGTCACGCTTGCGCACCACCTTGGTCGCGATGTCGACGTTCTTGGAGGCGGAGAATCCGATGAAGACGGGGTCGGCGACCTTGACGAGACAGTTGTCCACGCAGTAGGCGTGGATGTGCTTGATACCGCGCTTGCGCATGTCCTCGCGGACGCCGGAGGTGACGATGGCCTGGTAGATACCACCGTTGCCGTCAGGAGCCACGGCGACCTAGAAGATACGAGCATGATTGTTAGCAATGTGTCTCCGATCAATTGTGTCTGGGATGAAGCAATGCTAGAAGCAGTGGTTTACAACCACCACCACAGGGATCATACCTTGCTCTTGCTCTCCATAATAATCTTGCCATCATTCGAAATACAAGGCAAAACACCCTGCTCAAAGATGAAAATATTCTCCTCCTTCAGACCAAAGTACTTGTTCTTGGCAAAGAACTCCTCGGTAGGCTTACGAGTCGGCCCACTGGTCATCACATACCAGGGGATAGTAGCCGAGTCGATACCGTTCGCCTTATTAGCCAGCTGCTGCAGCTTAGCGATCCGCTCCGCCTGAAGCTGGAAGAGCGACTTCTCGCTCAACAGACCAATATCGAAGCAACCCTTAGGGGCAGAGCTGCCAAGACGAGTACCCTGGCCACCGGCCATCAGCACCACGGCCACATTGTTCTCGGCGACCTGCTTCAAGCCGGCATCGTACCAGGCCTTGAGGTCGGCGGGGTCGGAGTCGATGATGGAGGCGGTTGCCGAGGAGGGCAGGGGCTCGAGGGTTGCGGGGGTTTCGTCGGTTTTGGGAGGGTTGAGGGCCTTGTCGGCAAGCTCGTTGATGCGGGTTACGTCGAAGGTGGACAGTTGGTGGAATAGGCGGGATTTGTCGGCGGTTTGGAGCTCGTCGATGAAAGCGAAGACTTGGCCTTGGCCGGCGTCGGTGTATTTCTTTTGCAGAGCCTGGAATTCCTCGGTGGAGGGCTCGCGGGGAGCTTCCTCGGCCGAGCCGGCGATCTTGTTAATGAGGTTGGAGACGGTTTCCTTGATTGCAGCCATTGTGAGATGTGAAGAGGTGAATTAGGAAGGGATTGAGATGGGAAGTAATTGAAGAGATTGGACAAGGAGGGTGAAGATGGGAGGAAGAGGAGGAAAGGGGAGAGTGGCGAGGAAAAAAAGTAAATAAATGAAAGCGCGGGGTGAAGCTGAAGCTTTCAGGTGATTTTGCACACCGTAACTACGGACTACAAGGAACAGTACGAATACTAAATGGTACATAAGTACTCCGTACGGGGGGCTTGGAATGCACTAGCATCAGCCAGCAACCTTGGAACTAAAACTACCGAACACTAAAGAGGATTATTTTTAGCGCAATACTATTGTACCAGATTCCACCTAAAAATAATACTGTAGTCTGTACGGAGTACTCCGTACAGTGTACAGTAATAATAGTGACCAAGTTATTATTATTATTACCAGCTCGTCACTGCGGGCCGAGCTGGAGTCCCAGTCTTGCCCGCAGCGTGAGACCTGACCAGTCAATATCGCGGAATGCGTAGTGTGCCCCGCCAGTGGGGAAAATCCAAGAGTTTCAAGACGATCCAGGGGAGGCAACTGTTATATATATCCAAAAATTGAATCAATTGACTCTCGAGTCACATATTTTATACACTGGATGTTTTGGATATGCTTGGATATTGCCAATACTAATACAAATTCCCTCCTCATCGTCGCCGCTCATACCGATCATCTCGACGACCGCGATCCCGACCCCGATCTCCACGGTCATCCCGATAGCGCCCACGATCCCCACGATCTCGATCCCGCCGCTCAAAGTCTCGTCGTCCAGGACTCCTGCTGGCTTCCCGCTGTCGGTGACGGTCCTTATGTGAGTCTCGGCCTCGGGGACTGCGACTGCTACGTCGATCCCGATATGAATCTCGTGGAGGGCTGCGATCGGACCGGCCGTCGCGGCGAGGGGCGGATGTAGCTGGCGCTGTTGGTTGAGCTTTGCGTGAGCGATCAAAAACCATGTTGTATGCCCTGTCGTCGTCCTCTGCGCGAGAGTCGTCTGATACTCGGTACTGTCGCTTCAGTTCGAGATCTGCGACACCGCCGAAACCGCCGCGCTGTTGCCGCTTGCTGACTGTGGCGTTGCGCCAGCTTTCGGATAGTTTGGAGACCTAAGCCACGTGTTAGCAGGATGCTGGGTAGACAGATACAATTGCGCATGCTGGTGTAGGGAGTAAGTAGACTCCAGCGGGGTAGGACGTACACTCTGCGAGAAGTCAACGTGGATGCGGTGGTCGTCAATCAACACGCCCTGCATCTTGAAGTAGGCCTGTTCGCAGTCCTTCTGATTTTCAAACTCGATAAACGCATACTGCAGGCTGTCACCTGTGCGCTTGTCCCGAATCACCTCGCAAGACAGGATGGTTCCAAACCGACTGAAGATCAACTGAAGGTCCTCATCTGTATTAAGTTGTAGTTAGTCACTGCCACAAGACACAATGATTTGAGATCAACCTACCTTGCGTGACGGGATTCAATTTGCAGACGAACAGCACATTCTCGGGAGGCTTGACATCGGCAAAGGGCAGATCACCCACCATCTCCAAAGTCAGCGCCTGAGCACGTGCTTCACGCTCCCGGCGCAACTTCTCCATGGCAGCCTCATCCATCTCCTCATCCAAATCCTCATCATCAGCAATCCTCACGGTAGCCAATTGCGCTTTCGTCGGTACAGGACTCTCAGGCGGCTCGACCAACCCAGCAGGGTCATCGAACGGATCATCCAAAACAACAGTATGGCGAATACGAATATCCTTCAACGGCCGACCTCGATCATCAATAAACGACTCATTAATTTTCTCCAAAACATCAAAGCCCTCAACCACCTTGCCAAAGATAGCCGCCTTGCCATCCAAATAATCCAAGTTCTCTCCCAGTGTAATCAAAAACTGACTACCAGCCACGCGCTGGTCTGGATCATTGGCTGCAGGCACCGTCGCCATGCTGACCGTCCCGCGCTCAAGATGCTTCATTTTCGGCGGTAGATCGATCGGAAACGTGCGCTTCGCGGGGGCCACCGAGGACGCCCCAGATCGAGGAGCCGCCATCGCTGTCGGGCGCGTCGGGGCCGAGCGGGTCGCCGGTTTGGAAGCTGAAATCCTTCTGGACGCTGTGCACGGGCGCAAAATTGTAGTACTTGATTTTGCACAGCTTCAGGAAGCTATGAGGGGAGACAGGGAAGAGCTTAGTAGGCGGGTTCAGCACGATGCGGAAGGGTGGAGGGAGAGGGACGTGGGAAGGGCGCTTACTTTTCACAGGCTTTGGGCGACTCGTCGACCAACAGGTCGATCACGATGTCGCCCAGGGAGGTTTCAAGTAGCGCGCTCATGGAGAGTTTGCTGGCGCTTCTTTGGTCAGCTGGTAGTGTTTGGCAGAAGGTCAAGCAGTCTCAAGGCAAAAATGACAAAAGTCGAGGTCGGAGGATCGACGAAGCTCGGGCCAATCAGCATCTGCTTGGCCGGGGAACTGACCCTCATGCAGCTGGTGAGCTTTCGTGAACTGTTCACCTTTGCCTTTTTCTTCTTTTTTCTTCTTTTTACTTACTCATTTCTTAATTCATATTGTCTAATTTCTTACTTTTTCTTTACTCGCGCAGATTAGCCTGCGGTTCTGGTTGTACAGCAACCGCTGGGAGACTTTTCGATCAACCACTGCTGGCGCGGATGATCGACCCTTGTGCCTGTACGACGCTTCTTATCAATCGAACGGCATATCCCTCCGAGGCTCCCCGTTGGATATGCGCGCTACTGGGAAATTGGGCCAGTGAACAACTGGCGGAGAATGCGATGCATTTTATCCAGGAGGAGGCTTAATTAGTCACCTGTTTGTTGCAGCTTCTCGACCTTCCTGCCTTCTTCACCGGGCTTCGGTGAATGGCGCTTGATGCAAGCCACTAGTCCCGGCTGAAAGCGCAAAGTACAGGACTTTACGGACTACTGTACTGTCTGTCGACTTCAATATGGAGGTGAAGGGATCAGGCGCTCAGGCATGACCCCCCCGGACTGACTGAAAGGGGGCCGGGGTCAACCTGGGGAGTGAAGCTGGGGGTGATTCATGTCCTCCTGGCCTCTTCTTCTTCCAGCCACTATCTTCCCCAGAACTGAGTCAGGATGACACCATATCTCCCTCCTCGGTCGTGTACACAGGGCACAGAACGACGGGTTGCTCTCCCGCGCAATGGCCTTCAATCTACAACTCTGACTTCCGGTGACCTGTTCCACGGCAGCGAGAAAACGGCGGGGGAAAACGGGCGGCGACCTGCAGCAGGATCCAGCGGAAGCATCATGAGCGACAGCTGTCTGTCGAGCTTTGCAAAACGAGGCAGAGGCCGACCGACACATGGATCATGAAGATTTCGCTGTTGAGCGAGTCCGACTCTTATCTTCCCAGGCTGCCCTGGCCAGCCGAAGACGCTGGTGAACAGGGGCGACACCACCAACGCAGCTGAAATTACTCTCTTTTGTAGCGCAAGATGAAGGACCAGTCTCAATCCGAATGAGCGTTCCTGGCGCCTCTATGAGGAAGTCAGTTGACTAGAGTCTGAATTAGGGACCGGATGCTGGAAACTCTCCTGACTCCTATCAAGACACTTCTCCTCTCCCACACCCATGTCGTGCATTGTCCGACCTTGAGGCTGCGTGGCAGGAGGAACTCGACCACTGAGCAGGTCCTTCCTAATCTGCTCCTCTCCTCCCCACGGACCTCGTGTATTTGAGACTAGCTCAGAAAGAGGAGGCTGAGTCTCATACTTTCCCACCACATGTTGCCTGAAAGTACCCATGAGTACTCACACATGCGCATGATTGACACAATCATCACGACATTGCTGATTGCTGAGTACGATCCTCATCGGGTGACAGACAGAAATTTTACCAGGGTAGACATTCAGCCAGCATTGGGTCTTGGCATGTCAATCGGAGGGCAAAAGTACCTGCCCTCTACAGTCTGTTGCAGGGAAGCTTGTCAGTATCCCGGAACTTCATGCATCATCGGCGCGATTCCTTCTCCGATCCTATCTTTCTTAGATCCAAGCAAGATGAAATCTTATTCAATTGAAGCTTCCTCTGCCAACGAGTTTCCAGGTCCACCTGGGCACCACTGGCTTCCAGAGAATCTCATTTATGGTCCGCAATCATTGCTTTTTCTGGTTGCCCCTTCTATCGAGCTGCGGGGCACGCAGGCGCGCCAAAACCTGAGTCCAAACGAACGGATCCACCGCCTCTGTATCCATGTCGTCGATCATGGGCAACTTTAGTTGAGCCCTGCGGGCCTGTCCGGGGAGTTTGCCCGTTTCTGCTTTCTCTAGAGCGCGCTTTGCTGGGCCTGCGAAGCCCACCTGAAGATGCCATTGCGTGCGCCGGGACGATCCAACGATCCAAGTGACAGGTGTCAAAAGTGTCAACCTTCGCTCATTTTTCCTTTTTCGCTTTTGGTACATGTTGAGACACTTGCAGCGCCAATAAATCAGGTCTTAGACAGGGAAATTTCTAACCAGAGCAGAAACCAAATCCCGAAAAGAAGATCCGGGCGCTCGATCACTAATAGCTAATTACACTTTTATACTGTCCTTGAATAAATGTTTTGACTCCCCTGATGGAAGAAGCCTAGGCCCTACACAATTTTTCTTCCTTTACCTTCCACGAGAAGGTTCTTCTCTAACGTCTCGGGCCGAATTCTGACTGCTTAACGCCCTGTTTGATACATTTCGACATGGCGCCCCCAAGAGGCAAAATACATGCAGCAGCCACACCAATCAGCGTTTGGACTGGACTGATCGAAGGGGTGCAAACAATCCATCTAGTGGATCTTCATCTCGATCACTGCGGCGGAAGTGATCCCGGCAGTCGCAGCGATCCGGGATCGACACAAGGAATATGTTTCCGCAAACGTCTTCAAGCAGTCTTCCTTGGTATATGGGAAAGCTGGATAGACCGCTCGATGAGGCAATGGGTGAGTGGGGAGTATTTTTGTCAATTTATTTGTCCCCCCGTTTATGGACACTCACATTCAAGCTAATAAAGATGAATCACTGAGACTCTACCAAGACATGATCAGACAGCTGTCTAAAGAGAGAGAAACAACCGCCACCGCGTGATTGGCTATACGGGCAGCAGGCTCTTACCTGCTTGGCTGGACTTGTTCTCATCATGGCTATCATGATGGTCATGTCTCGTGTGACGTTACTTTGTGAAACCTCGTCTCCTATACTAAAACGCCGATGCACAGTCTTGCCTTGCACGCCTCTCCAGATGGCGAGAGTGGGGAAAGAATCTGGCTTGGGCATAGTACGGATAAGTGCATATTGCATATCATTTCCCCTGGGTACAACAAGCGCAAAGAAGAAGGAAAAAGAAAGTAGAGTAAAGAAACAAAGAAAAAGAGAAGAACAAAAAAGAAAATTAAACGTTGGTCCCCTAGGAAGACACCATTCCTAGAAAAGTGCCAGCCAGCACTTCTGTCAACATGACGGTGTACGGAGGCCCTAGGCCCTGGCCCCCTCCTTCGTACTCTTGCACACCCTCAGGATCTAAGCTCATAGACTTATCGTGGCTAGTAAATAATAGTAATAATAATTCAACCCAAGAAAGGCAACAGCATTGAAGAAGCTATACCGGAAATCGAATGTCAAAAAAGAAAACAAGTCCCCACCGAACCAGGGCCTCCTAGAAGATATGCTCCATGACCATAGGCAATATAAGTAGAAAGTGGAAAAGAAATTAGAAAAAAAAACACCAGCAATCATCTTGATTGTTACCAAAACATGGCTTAAATTCAGGTTCTAAAAGCCCTACTCTTCTGCAATCACCCCCAAAGAACGACTTTCTCTTTGACTTCTTCAAACTTCTTCCCTCTTAAGTTCCTTCTCTTCCCTTTAGACATGGTCATTCACATTTAGGAACGGAACTGAAGAAGGTTGAGTTCTATTGCTGGATTGATCTACACTGGTTTATTGCAGTGTACTAGCTCTGGTTGAATCTGGCTGTGGAAATTCGATACCACCAGCAGTAAGTCCTAAGCAGCTCTGAGAAAGCCTCACCGTCTGTCAACTGTCCACCTACTAACCATTCTTAGGAATGGAATCTTATTACACAGACAAAACAACTGCTTTTGAGCAGTCTCAGCATGATGGCTCGCTCTCCATGTCCCGCTCAATGCGGAGCTTGAATCATCAGGAGCTTAGCCCGGCTGCTGAGATGGATAGCAAGATGCGGAATCCTCAGCGTCGCCGAGTGCCAGTTGCTGTAAGGCATTTTCATCCTTGAAATCTTCTAATATCACATTCTCGGGTCTAACTGAATGCCAGTGTGGTCGATGCCGACGGCGAAAGATCAAATGCAGCGGAGATGCTGGCGATGGCCAGGGCTGCTCAAACTGTTGCAGTGCTGGCAACACAGACTGCCAGTTCCTACGAGTAAGTCTCTATCCATGACTAGACTTGATGAGACTCAGCAATATTACATTCAAGTGACTGACTTATCTGTGACTAGGTCAACTCCAACTCCTTGAAGCTGACCCCTACGGCTAACGGCTGGCCGTATCCTAATCCAGGAGCGGCGGCTGTACCTTCTCCTCGACTGGGCATGTATACAACTACCACAGCAGGCAAGCCCACACTGCTCTCTATGGGGTTACCTCAAGTTCGTATCCCTGCCTTCCAGCGACCATCCGACTATGACCTTGGCCCCGCCGATGGATCGGTCTTCCCTGAGCGCGCAGCCGTGACCGTTGAGTCTATGCATTACGAGGACGGCCATTCTGCAGGCTACAGCCAATCCCCCGCATACATGCATCCCAACGCCCCAGCTGGAGCTCTCTTTGACTATGGAGGATCTCCCTGGAGCCCTAAGATCTGGGACTCAGTGCTGGGTATGAGTAGGCCCACCAATGGGTCACTCTACCCCGATCCAGGGGCCAACAACTCTATAGCCCAATCCCCCTTCTCCTACATGCTTCCAAGCCAGGGTCTATCATCTACAGAAGATCCACAATCAACAACAGTGGCAATGGCGAGTATCTCATCGGGCGATATCCCAGGCTCGGATCGAACTCTTCCAACACCAACCTGCCGCAGCACATTAGCAGGACTAGTCTTCGCGCCGACAGAACCAGCATCTAGCTTGTCCCTTCCAATGGAATCCAGGCCAGGTTTTTGGAGTCCCCGTTTCGGGCCATCCCAAGATAATCGCAGCCCTGCCCATGCATTTCCCACCACTGTCCTCTTCAGCAACAGTCCTCCACCAACAACAAGATGCCCAACAACAGGCACAAACCCAGACCTACTCTTCTCCAGTCTAGCGATGCCCATAACAACAGAAGAAATCATCTCATCAACCCTCTCCCCAACAACAGCACCTCCCACCATAACCCCCAGTACTACATCCTACTCCATCGAACCTCTCGACACAACCACAGACTCCCGCCCAAACACAACCACAACTCAAATCCCAGCATCCACTTCCACAGACCGCTCTATATGCCGTGGGATCTACCACGACCGAACCACCGCTGGCCAGCGTCTCGTCGCGCTAACAGCCGACTGCACACCGGACATCTACAACTATGCCAGCAGTGAAAAGAGTAAGCGCGCCGATGATGGTCGCTCGAGTACACTGATGAACGGTGGATTGGAGTATACACCTGTTCGGCACACACATACTCCAAACCCGGCGTTCTCGTTTGGTTTGCTTCATGATGAATTACCTGAGTTTCATCGTCCGGTTGTGGAGGGTGTGCATCGGGCGCCAGTTTCGCCGTTGGGGAATCAGGGTAGTTATTAGATACCCGCTTGCTGTCTATGTTTCTGGTTTTTGGAGTTGGTTTGGTCTACATTGATTCGTTCGTTTCTTTTTGGATTGATATTTGGATTCTGGGATCTGGAATATGATCTATCGTTGTCCAAGACCATTCTGTTGAACCCAATTGCCCACCATCTCATTTCACATTTGCATCAACCCCCACCTGATCAGGTACAGGTGCAATATCATTCTGCAGACCGGGATGACACTACCGAGGACGCCGCGGAACAGACATCCCTTTTCCCCTGTTGAACCATTGCGGGGAAGCCGGGTCGACAAGCCTCGAGGCAGGTCCCCGTGAACACTGCGAATGCGAGTGCCAACGGGCATGGAACTTTAATTCGTCTGCATTGCGGTTTATTTTGATATTCTTTTTCAATTTTACGTCTTTTCTCATGTTGGCTTATGTCTAGTTTACCCTTTTTTAGCTTTTATCTTTGTGATCTCTTACCCTTTCTGTTCATGGGGTTTGGGGGATTAGCTTTTTACAATCCTCAATTTTGCCCTACTTGGTTTGGTACCTTCCAAATTTTGTTGTTGGCTTTTTCTTTCATTTATTTTGGTTTGCACTTCTTACGCTCTTCATTGCATGTGCGTGGCGGATCATTTCCTGAGAGAAGGTTCCTCGAGCTGCCCTGTTTACCTACCTTTCTCATATCAACCTTTGATCTTCTATTATCCGTCCGTTGGTTGGTTCTAGTGTATTGATGGATATATGCAAAGTGGAGGTTACTCTCTTTTCTTTCCACTTCTCCATTTTTATCTCTCCCATCTTTTGTCATATCTGTGTTGGGAAATTCCCGGCCCCTTAATACCCACGGAAAGCATGTGAGACATGTTGCACGGTGGATCTTGTAATAATGAATATCTAATTTGATCTCACCTTGTATTTGGGTTGTATCTTTTCTATACTGCTCTACTCTTGATCTACTGATCTATCTACTGATACTTCATTCCTCGTTCCTCCCCGAATACGTAATATCTCATTATAGATTTGGATATTCGTTTGACTTTGACTACGCCGCCAATCTCCCTGTTTCCAGTCACTTATTACCTACCAAAATTTGACGCTACATTTATTCACGCTAATTCAATACATCATATCATACTAGGTTATAAGTTTCGTGGAGTCACAAAGAAAAATCTTGCACGAAGGATACAACCTAACAGATTAGCTTTCCTCGTTATCACCCAGATCTGGCCACGAAGGTAACACACAACGGCCAGGAACATGTACGGTATCCATCGCTGATTTAAATCGCCGCTGGATCAGGAAGTGGGGTATGTAGTACATTCAATCTCATATTTGAGGGGTTGTTATGAAGTCACAGCTGTGTACATAGAATATACACTCATATGAAAAAAAATGAAGTATCTGTATAAGGTACCGCGGTATAAAACCTATTCAGCAGAGGGGGTGTGTAGAAAATTTGACAATCGGCCCGAATCCCGAATACCGTCCCGGAAGTAAATACGGTGGCTTATTTATGCTTATGTCTACCTGATAGGATATGCGTATAAACCATGACTTTGGCAGGGTGCATCATTGCATGTGGAAGGCTAGGTACAATACTTACCAAGTCCCACACTCTCTATGGGATAGAATGCAATGCAATGTACAGTCCCCAATCAAAGAACGTGAAGTAGACGCCATATCTCTAGTCTGTGTAATCTCATCCCCGGCCCTTCACGCTGCACAACCTCCACTTTATGCTATGATTTGCCAGCATGCTTTGTAGCCGAGTCCCTTGAATGGAAGGAGGGTGAATGATAATGATTCCCCGTGCTCATGTCCTGGATCACTGCAGGAGACAACTGCCGAGGCATGAGATAATAAGATGCCCATGCAGGTCCGGAAAGTCTATGGGGTGGAGTGGATGTTTATCTTCCGATTGGTATCCCTGCGGCCATGACCCGGTATACTTTAAGTCTTTATAACTCTATTTTGGTAAATGTGTCGATTATTATCGTAGTTAGTGGTTATTGGTTACTTTGCTCTTCAATCCATAAAATATCACTCTCGTACTTACCGAATATGAACCAGTGTACTGCACAAGCGATGCCAGCCTATATCAATGCTAGCCAGTGACTCGCACGCGCTGATCTCCATGTGTACTCAAGACATTGAGTTTTGGGGGAAACGATCCGGGGATGCCGTACGACTGATTTTTGTGTAGCTGGGCATAAAGTATGGATATAGCCATTGCGTCCTGCATCATCTCGGCAGTGGGAAGTAATCCAGGGGGTGGTGCATTGCCGCAAGGAGTGTTGGGAATTAAATTGGATGCAGCATATAGCTACTAAATCTTCTTTAGAGAGGGTGTGATACGAATGACGTCGAGATTATGGATGGTGTCCTCGGCGATGGACTTCTCATTAAGCTTAGAGGCTAGGTATACTTTGTCATTGTTCCTGAATTTCTGAGTAAACTTATAATTCTTGTGGTTGATAGTGGTACTCAATACTTGCTGTGTTCCAAAGGTCATTATGCACGTTGCTAGAAGATAGAGAAACATGCAAAATTTAGGAGGGTTGGTAGACACGGACAAAATCACTCGAAGGGATGGATATGTGTCGCAGATAGGAGAGAGAGAAGGAACTACTGAGCAGATTGTCTAGAAATAAATCAGAGTAATATGTTATAACAAGTGAGATCGGGTTTAGCAGAGTAATTGGGCTTCAGATGCGATGGAAGAATATTATCGGTGCAGCGGCGAGGTCATCACAAGCCTCAAGGATACGATAACCCCAGGTTTTCGATATCGGGTGGGGACGCTTGAGGTTCGAGTGGAGACCAAAGAAAAACCATATCGGATCAAAAGTTGATGATACTACATCGGGACAAGACTCTAATAGATAAAGACGCAGATACTACGAAGACAGAGCAGGCTGTCAACTACGAGGCAGTCCCTCCATGATGAACAGAAACAGAAAATATTGTAATTTCATTCCGAGGCAACAGCCGAAGCCCGGTTCTCATGTCCCCTCGCTGTTTTTGATTCGAAAATGGATGATCCATACCATATGGAAAAGAAACAACACTGACGCCTTTAAGGGAGATCATCAGGTTTGCCGGCTACCATGGAAAAGATAACCGACCAACAGGGGAATAAGTCATCCACATTGAGGAAGAGATAACCACCATGTTGATATCATTTTTGAAAATTTTGGAGTGATAACATCCATGCTGGCCAGGTATAATCCCATTCCCCATTCCATCTCTCTCATACACTGCACCACAGCCTGTTTCCAGCACATGCAGATGCAAGACCAAAAACAGGCCGCGACCACCAGGCCACTAACCGCCGCATCCAACCATGATTTATGGGGAGCGAGACGCTTAGTCCTTGTTCTTCTTGGGGCCCTTGGTCTTGGCGGTACCGCGGAACTTCTTGGAGCGGTTCTTGCGTTGCTTGCCTGTGGGGACAGGGTCAGTTTCATGGGATCAATATAGAGGATCCAGGTGCCTGAGCGCTCCTTTTTTGAGGAAAAAGGAGGCTCTACCCCGTCGGTGTCACGGGGGGCGTGGTAAAAAGGGGAGGAGAAATATTTCTACGAAGGGTGGAAACGTACGCTGCTGGCGGGAGGGCTTCTCGACCTTGGTGGCGGCACCAATGCGGACCAGACGGTAGGCGGGCTCGAACTTCTTCAGGGCCTCGGCGGAGTCGTAGACCAGAGCGAAGCCGGTGGACTTGCCACCACCGTACTGGGTGCGGAAACCGAAGACGGAGACCTGGTCCTTGTTGGACTTGTACAGGTCGGCCAACTTCTCGCGGAGCTCATCCTTGGAGACGTTGGGGCGGTTGGGGTGGAGGACGTCACTGGAAACGAAGAAGATGATATGTCAGTCGGGCGGTTCTGCGAGTTTTTCCCTTGTGTTGTCCAATTTCGACGTCGGAAGGATTTTTGCGCATTCTCTTTGAATATCACTTTCTCGTCTTCGTTGAAAAAGATGTCGCAGTTGTATCGCAGAGATGATCGAGATGATTGTGCGCGGTGTTCTTGACTCTGGGATGTCCTCAAATTGAATCCTTCGCGACGTCGAAAATTCCTCCTCATTCTGTCGGGATAACGGGGAGCAGGAAAAAGGAATGCTTACACGACCATCTGCTTGCGGGCAAGCAGAGGGTTGCGGATGAACTTGCGAGTCCGGATGGTAACGGGAGCGTCGGCCATTTTGGTGGTGTCGTGATGATGCAGAGAGTCGAGTGTGTGGATGTTCACGACTTTCAATTTTCGTGCGGTCTGCTCGGCTAAAACTTGGCGCTAACCCGCTTGGGAAGGGTTTGCTTAGGTCAGCAAGCTTGCGGTGGATCATCACATGATTTATCTACTTATCTGCTTATCGATAAGAGCCGCGAGAGATTTGACTGGAGCTACCCAATATCAATTATCAATTTGTCAAAGTTGATTCCCTTTCGAGTATACCATCATGGCGGATGAGGTGCGCAAGCTTGTAGCGCAGTATTTTCAGCTCGTGGATCCACCACAGTTGGATATCCCGCCAGGGAATGTTCTACTACGCCCCACCGTGCAAGAAACTCTGTACGAGCGCATGTTCGACGAGTCCCTCACCCCACTCCCACCAGCTGCCTATCGAACACGAGTACTCAAGCTCGTAATTGCGAGAATTGAAGAATCAATCACAGATCCTGAAGTAGATGTATGTTTCTCATTGCATTTCCCTCGTTTTTTAATCAAACAATGTTCTGGATCATCTGTCCGATCATTTCCACCTCTATTTCCTCCCATGTTACCATCAACCTTGCTAATCATATACAGGAACTAAATGACAACCTTATGGATGCCTTGGGCATGCTTGTAGCCCAGCCCAAGGCAAACTCCTTGGAACTGGCCCAGAAACTCTCCCATGTCAAATACACCGCCCCTTTGCAGTCCTCCTCTACCAAGAATCGGGAGGTGACAACAATTGAATCGCGCGGTCTCATCCTCTCCGGCGGTACGACCGGGAAGCGCACATGGGAAGCTGCCTTACATCTAGGCTCATTCCTTGCTTCTTCAGCAGGTGAGGCACTGGTGCGTGGGAAACGGGTGATTGAGCTCGGCGCGGGAACAGGGTTTCTATCGCTATTCTGTGCACATCATCTAGGCGTGCAAAGCGTTGTGTCTAGTGATCGTGAGCCTGTTCTGATTGAGAATATGCGCGAGTGCGTACGGTTTAATCACCGAGGCGACGGACCTTTCCCATTCTATCCGGCCTTTTGGGACTGGGGAACGCCATTGGAGAAGACGCAGGAGTTGGAGTCTTTTGTGGACGAAGATGACTTGAGGTTTGATGTTGCGCTGGGTGCGGATCTGGTGCGTACTGCTGCTTGATATGGAGGAAAACTTCTATCTCCAGGACTCGGAATTCTACTGATAAAGCTGACTGTTACTCGCATCTAGACCTACGATACGGACATCATTCCTCCCCTTTTATCGACTGTTCGCGATCTCTTCGAGAATTATCATGTCGAGGAGTTCATTATCTCGGTGACTCTGCGCAGCGAGAAAACATTTCAGACCTTCTTAGATGGATGTGGTAAGTACAATATGCAGACTGTATATTTAACATCAAACATCTAACCCTCGAACAGAAAGCAATTCCTTCAACATCGAGCTTCTTCCCTTCGAGTCCACACCCTCGGAAGAGCAAACCGGCTTCTTCCACTCAACAAGCATTCCCATCAAAACATACCGAATCTTGAAGGCGGCATGAAAGTGGATGTTGTACGTGATGCATGAAAATTAATGAAGTCATGAGTAAGGGAGGTTTGCTTATAGAAATGGATTTTGTATCATATCTTTGCGGTATTTTATTGATAGACCCTTGCTATAACTCCAAGATAGTAATTTATTCACACCCGGCCCTGAACTATCGACCTTGAGGAATTTTTTTATGAGCGTACCAATCGCTGAATATGCCCGGACGGGCATTTTTTTCGCCCGAATAAACATTCTTCCCAGTCGAACTATCAAATCTTCAATCAAACTCTCACGCTCTTGACTCAAACTCTCTAGCCTCCGAGGGACCCGAGACTTTTGCTTGTGCATTTTCTGTAATCTCGACCGGTTCACTGGTCAACGGCTCTATCCACGGATCTTCCAATGCAGCCTTCGCCGCAAAGAACCAAAACCCATACTTAGGAAACTGTTTAATCACCAGCTCGCTTAACTCAGTTGGTAGAGTGCGTGACTAGTAATCACGAAGTCGCTAGTTCAAATCTGGCAGTGAGCATTTTTTGGCCTTTTTGTTTGTATTTTTTTATTGTGGCGGACCCTCTATCGTTTGGTTCTCCAATTGGAACCAATTGGCGGCTTGTTTTTGCATTTCTGTTGTGGTGGGTGGGATCCACAAAGGCGGCACCAAGTTGACTGACACCGACGTCGTAGAGCTTGTCTACTGGAAATTCCTGCGGGCCGTTGTACTCGGCAAGCGATCCAGGACCGACGAAAACGGGGGTTTTAAGTGAAAATCTCGAAGGCAATCCCGCCAAACCCATATATCAGCTGCGCAAGGGCTACCTTTCTCAACGAATTCCCAGAGCTCGGGCGCCATATATCGGTGTACGCTTCATGGCAGTCGAGCCTCGCCGGCATGGAGAACGAATCAAGTATATATAGGCTTACATAGAGATATAATTTAAGTATTTTACTTGCTCTCCATGCGTTCTACCTAGTAAAGGTATAGCGTACGGTTCTGGACATGGAAACATGTACCTGTCAGACTAGGAAAGAAGAGTCGATGTAATTCGCAGTTTATAGAATCCTCTAGCCCGACGAATGATACGAACCATTCGTTTCCCTTCTCATCAACGTGCAAATCATCATATAGACAAAAGGAAAATTTCGAACGAATGACTTCATCGGGGTATCACGAGTAGCAACCAGCGCCATCCATCCAGCCCAGTCGCGAGCACGAGCTCGGATGGGACCAGGAAAAAACCAGAAAAACCAAACCGAAACGAAACCAAAAACCCCAGATATGGCAACGACCGATCAATGCAAAAACCAAAGAAATAATCAAATGAAGTCCGATTGCGATGCAGGTGAAGAATTTATAGAGACTGTGGAGGGGGAACAAGAAAAAAACGAGCAGGAGGTTGTATGTAAATTAGGAATATGACTAGGTCAGTAGCCAGCCATATGATTAGGGAATAGAGGGAGGGAAGAGAAACTATTCGGCCCCCTCAGCAAGACTCTCCCTCAGAAGCACTTCGTCGATTTGTTGTGGCCGAATATTCACTGGAGCCGGTGGTGGAAGACGAAGGCCCATAATAGGACCCTTCTGATTCACGCCTGTGAATCTAAAGCGTATTTGCGGTGGCATTGGTTCAGGAGGCGCAGCCTTGGGCTGAACTGTGGATGTCAAGGTCGGAGCCTCAGTTTCAGTTTCTGATTCAACTGCCTCATCTGGAACAGGAGCCATGCCCCATCGGCCGAGTACCCAGCCGCCCATACGCCGGCCTAAGGTGGACGATTTGCGGGATCCTGGCGTCGCGGTGGAGCTTGTGCTGTTGCTATCTGCGGAGACGACGGACGCTGATTCAGATGGGAGATTGTTGCCTGCAGCGACAGATTCGAGGAGAGAGCGGGAAGATTGACCGGGTGCTCTGGCACGGTCTGCAATTATCATTGGCGCTGAAAGAACCGGCGGAGTCGAGACTAGCTCAATGCTGGGCGAGACAATGCGCTGTGGAATACGCATGCCTGGGTGCCAGTCGCCCATGCGGGAGAGACGGTCGTTTGGCGTGTGGATATCCATGCCGGCTACTGAGAGCAAGCTATCATGCGAGGTTGATTTGCGCAAGGGTGGGAACTGCATGGCAAACAATTCTTCTGCGCTAGTTGGTGCAGGGTCGGGTGCCATAGGCTCGAAGTAGGATTTCGACGGAGATGGCTCTGATTCTTCTGGGATGGATGGGTGTGTTGCAAGGCCATCAGCGTACACACCGATAGACTCGCGCCGCTCGTACTGGTCTTTCTTGAAGTAATCGGATGAATCATGATCAGCGGAATCAAGATCATCAAGCGCTGCTAGTGGGCGGAATGGCATATCGAAGCCCTTGTTATTACGTGCCCCGATAATTGGTGAGGAAAAGACGGTGCTCTCAGGGCTGGTAGGTTGGGAGAAATCGTATCCGCGATCAACACGGTCGAAGATTGAAGATGTGCGGAAGGCAGATCGGGGAGAGCTTGCTAGGGAGTCAGCTGCTGGGGACTGCAGCGACCAGCGGCGGGCGGATGATGTGAGAGGTATCGACACGGATGTTTGAGAAAGGATGGTGTTCATTGATGAGCCGGAGGATTGCGAGCGATGGATAGAACGACGAGGGGAGTGAGTGCCCATGGCGGAATGAAGAGGAACGGGGCTTCCAAGAGCAGGCCGTCGCTTCTTGACGCGACGATTGAGCGAGCCCTTGTCTTTCTTGGAGGATATTGGCGTATGGAAATGATGATGAATGTGGAATTCCTGCGAGACCCGACGTTCCTTCGATTCGAGCTCTTCGCTGAGGGTGGTGGATGGAAGTGGCTCCGTGTGCTCATCCCCGTCAATGCCGGCCAGCGGTTGGTGGGTGTGGATCTGTTCACGTAGATTTTGCACCTCTTGGTTAGAGCTCTCCAGCATCTCGCGCAGCTCCATGATCCCCACTTGCAGGTTCGCGTTATCCTGCAAGATGTCCTTGACGAAGCGTGAGACAACATGCGTACCAGGATTGCGACTAAGCTCGGACGCAGCGGCCGCGCCCTTAAGGCGCCCGGCTGCATTATCAAGCTCGCGTTCGACGGCTCGTTTGCGCTCGAGCCGCTGAATGAGTTCCTGGTGTTGCTCACGCTCCTCTCGCGCTTCAGCTTCAATGCGCTCAACCTGATCATGGAGATCGCGCAGCGTAATCTCGGCACTCTTCCATCGCTGCACGGCGGATCTCTCATCTTCCTGTACTGAGGATATCTTATCCTCCAGCCTTGACTGTTCCGTCTCCATAAGCACCAGTTGAGCCTCGAGGTCAGCAGCACGCGCCGCAGCGACAGTCACACGGCGCAGTTCCGCCTGCGTGCTTTCTAGTGTCCTGGTGAGTGACAGCACATGCTCATCGGCTTCGGAGACAGCCTTATTCAGACCCTCGAGCTGTTCCAGTAGGGCGCGATTTTCCTCGACGATTCGCGTATTCTCCTCCTGGACCCGGTACTTTTCGCGCTCCAACGCATCCACGCTCGCTTCAAGCCGTTGGCGATCCTCTTCCGCCTCGGCTATATAGCTTTCATGACGGTGAAGTAGAGCCTGTAGAGCAAATGTCAGTGACGATGAGCCGGGACATGACGTATCTGCCGGAGCAGAATCATCGCAGAGAGTGAGAGTGGCCATAACGGACGCCAACGCAGTGCGATAAAACGGGTGACCTCAATCTGAGGGTATCCATTGAACAAGGTAATGCAAAGCAGAGCGAGCAAGATCAGGACGATGACACTCGATCATCGTGGGATCAGATCGAGGAGAGGGGTGGAAAGCAAAAAGCCTAAACGTAATACGCCTGCTTATCGCTGAGGAATGATGGAAAACGATGTATTAAACGATGCAATCCTCAGCCAGCCAGCCCCAGGAATATAGGGACGCCCGCCCGATCGTGTCACTAACGATGCGATCCACCTCTCCACGAAATCGATGTCCACAAAAAGCAAAAATAAAGCAAATCTCTCACGTACCTGGCCTAGTCTAGCGGCCGTTTCAAGGTCCTTCTCCAGCCCCTCGAGCGCGACATGATTATGCTCGAGCAGCGCGCAGTCCTCGCGACCACAACAGCAGCGCAGGGAGACCGGGGCACGGAAGTGCGTTGGAATGCTAGGAAAGGGTACCTGAAGCGCCGGGTCGGGGCTCCCGGTATGCGGGTGCAGATGGGAATCCATGGGTGGTACGGGAATGTGACCCTTTCGGAGCGCCGGGGGAAGCAGGGCTGTTCATCCGTGGATGAGAGCTGCCTTCCAGAGACCGGCGCCGAGGTGTGAGTCCTGAGAAGGGGATTCGCAGGATGAGGCAAAGGTGAAGAGTACAAGAGCCAGCGAGAAACCGAGCACAAAGCTCTCGTATCACAAGACTGCCAGGCACACGAAAAGCGGAGAACTGACGAACTGATGGGGGGCTGATCAGCTGACGGCTGATGTAATTGGTGCCTGAGTTTGCTTAGGTAAGCGTACACAGTATGCCCAAAAGGGTTATATTGATTTTTGACAAACCGGGAAATCTTATTTATGGACTTAATGGACTGATCTTGCAGCTAGTATCACTGTATAATTATGTGATCTGATCTAGGGTCTCGAGTGTATATTTCACAGTCACTGGATATTCTAGCCATGCTAACTCGGTTCGTTCACGGCCTCTACATTGAATCAACGATTGACTTGAAGATATACTTTCGATGCGCAAAGGTTACCGTAAGTGCCATTTATATTGTAACTTTAATACATGTGACCCAAGCCATTGTTGGCCGTTATTCTTTAAAAGAAATCCGGGTGGGAATAGCAGATGCTATGGCGTCACTTACTAGGTTTGCTATGCTGTTCTAGCCGAGTAGGTACTTGGAGTCATCGACAGGGTTAGTCAAGCTGGGCCCATGCACTAGGACATAATGCCGCCCTGGACGCAATGGTGCTATGCTTTGTGGTAAATTACTACTTCCTTTTCCTTGACATTCGCTGAAGCGATGACCTTGATCGATAGCGACCCTAATCTTGATCCATATGGAAACGCTACAAAGATCTGTGGTAATCTCCAGTGTTGTATGATGCCTTCTGTATAATAAGGCCGCAACCTGCCTGAGTCATTATTGCAAATGGTAGGCGATGGGGCTATGAGTCTATGAGGCTAAGCTAGTGCGCATTGGCCATGCCTCAGCCTCATGTCTTAGCATGTTAGCGCTTACCGTTCACACCCAATTTCTTTCATTTAAACCCCACTACTCCCACTATTTGCTCACATCGAAGAGATAAGTTCATACATAAAACCATGTCTCTATCAGGATCCGACAGCGGCGACACTATCTTGGTTCGTGCAGAAGACGTCCGGGATTTCAACCCTGGCAACATACTCCCACTACCAGCAAAAGATCTCGCCGACATCACAAAATGGCTCCAGCCAACTCCATACGACTTCGAAAGAAGCGAATACTCTAGACATCGTGCATCACGTCTACTCGGGACTGGTGCTTTGCTCACATCAACCCAAGTCTATCAGCAGTGGCACTCCGGTGATGATGGATTACTGTGAATCAAAGGCATACCCGGGTCTGGCAAGTCCGTCATGGCTGCTTGTATAATTAAGGACCTGCAGGAAACGGACGTCCCGGTGATCTACTTCTTCTTCCGACAGGTCATCGAAGCCAACCACAAGCCTCTCGTTGCTTTACGAGACTGGTTGTGTCAAGTTCTGGACCACAGCCCTCCATTACAAGTCAAAACTTCAGAAATATCTCCAAGAACGTTGATTCGTGTCGGATTTACGGGGTCGGCATAAATCCTTCGGCGTGCACAAGCAAGCGAGTGTGCACGGTTGGTCAAATCAGTATACGATTGGCGAAGAATCGTATAAGTCAGGTCGTCGTACGATTCGGCTCAGAATCGGAAGTTAACTTATAATAGAAGAATGCTCCAACTTCATCACAATGATTAAACTTGATTCAACTTGATGGCGATCTATCGCCACTACGCAAGGAAGCAGGAGAGAGAGGAACAATCTAGTTCGAATACATGGAGAACTACTATCTCTGCAGAAGAAAGGAAACAAAGGAAGGGAAGGCCTATATAGGCCGAAGCAATCAACCTGGCCCTGGAATCAACCTCCAGGAGAATCCCGACCGGGGATTCCCTCGAGGGAGATCCCTATCGGATCTCCATCATTAATGTTGGAACAGAAGCTAAGAGAGCTCCTTTTGGTCGATCCATGGCAGCCTTCCCATATTTAGCAGTCCAGGAAGGTCTTCAATGCAAACAATGCGGCTATATCGTCTGCTCCAAAGCGTGGATGTAACAACATATCCAAAGCCACAGTTCGGCCAAACGTCCGCGTGGTCGACCTCGCAAAACAGCGGAGAGTCTAAAGGGCTCCGAGGATGCGAGCCAAGCACCATGGGCGAGGGTTAATTGCCAGCGCTTCTTTGTCTCGGGCCCCCAGAGTCGATTCTTTCTAGTGGTTCTGCCTCAGGATCCTACAACTAATCCGGTTGAGCTTATTCGCGCCTAAGTCGAGGAGCAGATCCGGCGGTGCGAGCAGAAGGAGAAAGAGCACAACCAAGTCATCACGACGGATCGTGACTACAGTGAATACAGACCTTGGCTAGAAAGACTCGATAGCGTGACTACATTCACGGCTATACTTTCACAGAACTCGCTTCTCTCACATATATGCCTAATGTAGAGCACGAACCGATCTTGCAGCTGTAGATAGGAAGCCTAGACACCGTTGTCGACAGGGCCCTTCAGTCCGTGTCCGACCACGGGATTAATATGTTTGACCAGGCCCGGATCAATAGTTTGGTGGATGACGCCTACCGGTGACCTAGCCATCGACTCGTCTTCTATCATCTTACACCGTATACAAACCAGCGATATCGACGAATCTGGAAGCGCCTTCTCGGCTTTGTATACCGCACCGCCCAGCCGAGTCTAGCTATTCAACTAGCCCACATCTTGACTGAGGACCCGAGGGATCTTTTGCGGCAAATGGTAAAAGTAAGTGAAAAGCCGCGTCAACTTGCAACTTCCGCCGTCGCCGATGCCACTACTATCAACCACACTGAATTGGTAACTAAATAGAGTTAATGAAACTATAATATACCATGCACCTTTCTACGGATTAAAAAAGGTCTAGGAGGCGTTGAACGTACTATGTCATTTAGGGGACGAACTAAGGTAAGGAGAGCTTAACCAATAACACACTCTTATTGTGTTAAAGGGGTTTTACGCGTCACCAGCTTCTCAAAGGCTAAGACCAAGTTACATTAAAATAAAGTAAGCCTGTTGATCAGAGTTGAACTATCTTCTGAACCCATTTCAGGTGGAGCATTAACCACGATTTCGACCACAAGCAATTTTAACAACATCCTTGGAACCAACAAGGCCAACAATACCAAACGGTACCTGTGATGTGGCAGTGTTAGAAGAGCTCGACGAGCCAATTCCTTGCCTCCTCAGTTTCCATTTCGTTGAGCTTGGATAATTCGAATCTCTTGAGATTCAAGTAGTGCCGGATTACTTTGCTCTCCATAAACCTTTCAACGGCCTCGATTCCCTTCTCCTCATCCCCCTCATCGAGCTGATTCAAAGCTGCTTCAAGACTATGAGGGAGAGATGTGCCGCCAACTTGCGCGCCCGTTGCACTATCCCCCAAGCACATTGGCTCGCTGTTGGCGCAGCTCAACAGGCCGGCACTCAAGGTGGCAGCCAGTGCCAGATACATGTTGGCTGTCGCATCGACACAGCGTATTTCCCAATGGCCTGGTTTGACCTTCCTGATGGGCACGCGACGATCTTCCGTGCCCCATGCGACAAATGGGCTGCCGGCTTGTCCAGGCTTAAGCCTCTCATAGGACAATTCATATGGTAGGCATAAGGCCGACAAGCTCGGCAAGTTCCGTAAGATGCCGGCAAGAAACGACTCTTCCAGTTCAGGATTGCTAATCGAAACATGAGTATGCTGGCCGATCGACTGCGTCCGTAGTGCTGTGGGGCGAGGGAACATGGTGGCCACCAGCCCATGAAGGGTAAATACCCTCTTTAACGTATCATGCACGAGGATTAGTTCATCCACCGCTTCGATGGGCGGTCTAGGCGCGAGACAAAACTCGTATTGTCCTCGTAGCCCTTCGGTGTGGATGGCCTCCAGTCCTACGCCAGCTTCTAAAAGGACTTTCATCACCTCTTCCACATATCTGTAACATGGGTCGCAAAGACCGGAGCATGCTCCCATGCCTAAGCCTCGGCTGTGAGGCACCAATTTCCCTACAGGGTTACACTCGAAGATCTCAAATTCCACTTCAAATCCGACCAGAAATTCTATCTTGAACTGTTGAGACGCCTTATTCAAGACGGTCGTCAAGGCACGTCGAGGACAGTGGTCATCGCTCGGTTCACGCTCATGGGTTCCCGGGCCCTGATTCCTAGAAATTCTGCACATGACAGTAGCGTAGAGCGGGTCGAGGAGCTGTCTTGTTCGCAACGAACTCCAATCTGGGAACCCTGTATCGCCTCCAAGTAAACTTCCGGCTGGTAACACGCTGTTTTCCACGGCCAGGTTGAGCGAACAGGGGCTTAGACGTATGGTTTTCTTCCCCATCGCTATTAACCGACCCTGTTCCACTGGCACCACCCGGGCACGCAAAAGACCAGATAGATCTTGCCATTGGAGTCGAATGAAACGGACAGAAGGATATCGGTCAAGGAACTTGGCAAGGACAGAGTATGACACTGCGTCAGCAGTATGGCAAGATTTGTTCTTCGCGTCGTGCATATCCTTCATAGCGGACGACAGGAAAGTACGCAAGTTGCGGGTTGGGGGGAAGGCGTAAGAGTTTGGAGATGATAGGAGCAGGAATGACATAAAGTACGAACACCTGGTTTTAGACAGATGTTAGACAGATGTTGAGAGATAGTGCGAGAAAAGGCATGTAAAAACCTAGGAGGTGCAAAAGAGTAGCAAATTAGGCGGGGTACGCTGTCATGAGGGCCAAGTCGAATATTTGCATGGGGGGAAGGGGGCCTGGCCATGAGGGGTCTCGAGACGATATTGTGACGCGAGAAGCACAAAGCGCAGAAGTTGCAGGTATCCCGCATGGAGAAACTCCAGTGATGCTGTTGACACTCCCTGGCCTGCATATAGCATGACCCACTTGGAAATCCCTCGTAAGGGCGGTACTATCAACACACTGATCTGGCTGTATCAAAGAATCGGCCAATCATAGCCCTCGCCTAAGGCGGGAGGAAAGTGAAGATACCATTCTTTCGTAGGAGCGCTAAGTGGGTCATGCAATATGCAGGCCAGGAAGTGTAGACGCCATGTGTTGCTCCGCCTGCTCTGTAAGAATATACTCTACAAGTCAGGGTAGAGGCCTGTCAATCAGGTAGGAGAAACGGAGCCAAGTCAATTGTGTGAGATAGTCAAAGACTTGTCCTTGAGGAGCGTAAGACCTCTTCAACATGGATCGGTTTTTATTTACAATCTCATCGTTCAAAACAGGAAGGAGATGCATCCTTGGTAGGAGAATAGGAGCGGGGTAAACACAAGGCTTGTGTAGCCTCTACCAAGGGTGTTCCCTGCGGTAGTCCGTACACGTGTTGACGGTGAAGCCCCAGCGAACCTCCACCGAAAGCTTGCCGGCTTGCCAGGGTCCTAGTAGCCTGAGGCACCAACGTTTGTGAATAACCTCATGTCAGGTGTATCGTAACAAAATCCGACAGAAGGTCATCAAGTCTGGCCTTACAACCTCACAATCTTGCAGTCTGATTCTTCTAACTAGGAAACATGATGATCTTTATAACATGACAGGGAAGATAATGTTGGGATTCTCTTTGCTTCTTCGTCTGAAAGAGGATATTCAATGCGATCGTTGAGGATCAACATGTAGCTCAATCGTATAGATCAGATTACCCCGCATTGGGCAACCACGCATGCATATATAGTTAGTGGGTCCACATACACATATGCTGACAATTCCTTTTTTCGGAGATCCGAGATCTCAACGAGGTGGTGTAAATCGTTTTATTATTAAGGGATTATATCGCCGGATCTTGCCTATTTTGATAACGAACGAAGATAGTATTTTTTAGCATAATAAGTTAATAACGGCCTAATATATACCGCATATATTATTCGAGAGGCTCTTGCTGAGGTGAATATCGAGGTTATAGAATGGCCTTCCTATTGGCCTGATTTAAACCTAATTGAGAATCTCTAGGCGTTATTAAAGGCTAAGATATACGAAATTCGACTTGATCTTAACTTAACAACGACGAAACAAAGGAGATTTTAATGGATACTGCGCAGCAAGCATGGGACCAACTAGAATTAAGGCATCTATAGCACCTATCGGAAACGATGCCCAATCGTATAGAGGCTATTAATGAGTCTTAAAGCTAGTATACCCCTTATTAGCTATATTGAATCAACTTTATGGAGGTTTTGGATCGGCAGAATATTAGATAATCTAGGTGGTGTGGGGCAAGGAACTGCAAAAACCATATGTCGCGGCACTGTGTATATGCGTTGTACGTGAGACTTTTTCGAGATGCTGCTCCTTCCGTCTGCAACTGCTGTAATATACGTGAACAAGGTAGTATGTAAAATAAAATGCAGCTTATGATCCACTGACCATCAAACCTTCAACCGGACTTTGATAATGCAATACGCAAGCTCATCACTCAAATCCTGTAATGCCTCCGTTGCTGATCAGGCTGTTCCTCGGCAGGCGAATAATTACCCCTCACTTGGAAGGCTATAAAAGCCGTATTCAAGACTCTAAGATATAAGCGCTCGATCAATCCTTTTCGCTAATGATTTCTTGATCGATGTCAAGATCCTTGCGAGACTGATTCAGTGATAAAATTTGAATTGCTGACCTATATATCTATCCTGTATCCTCAACTCCACAGTCTGCTCTTCTATCCTGCCTATCATGGCCGTTCCGCAAAGCTGCACTGTGCTGGTCATTGGAGGAGGCCCCGCTGGTTCATATGCAGCAGCCGCTTTGGCTCGCGAGGGGATCGAGACTGTATTACTGGAGGCAGATAAATTCCCTCGGTTAGTGATCTCAATGGGCTTTCTGAAGTCTTAGTCTTACACTAGCTTGCCGTCTGTTGGGCTCACTTCACGTGTGGTAGGTATCATATCGGCGAAAGCACTCTTCCCTCCCTGCGCCACTTCTTTAAGTTCATAGACTTTTACGATACCTTCGATGCCCATGGATTCTACCACAAGGTACCTGACTGATCTTGTGTTTCCTCTTGAATTGCAAATTAATCAGCTAACACCACCCATAGAACGGTGCAGTTTTCCGACTCGCTCAAGCTCAGCCCGATGCCTGTAAGTCTATTCCCGCTCCTCCTTCCCCATTGTTCACACCTCTCACGCATGTATATTTCCCTAAATAAACTAATATCTGTCAAGACACCGACTTTCTTGAGGCAGGCGGTCCTAATGCATATGCCTGGAACTTGATCCGATCCGAATCCGACGACCTGCTCTTCAGACACGCCGGGACTTGTGGCGCTCACATTTTTGACGAAACCAAGGTCGACGCAATCCAATTTGAGTCAGACACCAATGAAACAAGCCCAGACGGGGTATTGAATCCGGGTCGACCTGTGTCTGTCACGTGGGTCCGGAAAGACGGCTCTTCTGGATCCACCAGCTTGAAGTACCTTGTGGATGCTAGCGGCAGGCATGGCATACTGAGCACGAAATACCTGAAGAACCGGAAGTTCAATGAGAATTTCAAGAATGTTGCTAACTGGGCTTACTGGAAGAGTGACAATGTTTATGGTCCTGGGACGCACATGGAAGGTTCGCCGTACTTTGAGGCATTGGACGGTGAGTTCATGAAAGAACCCATTTCAATTTCTATCCTTAGATGTCGGCCTATTTTACTAAGGAACAAAACAGACGCCAGCGGCTGGGCTTGGTTCATGCCACTACACGATGGCACTCGCTCCGTGGGAATTGTTCAAGACCAGAAACTTGCGACTGAAAAGAAGCGAGAGCTGGGACGTCCCTCAACCCTAGACTTCTACAAGAAATGCCTCGGAATGGCACCCAGGACTAAGGAACTCCTCTCGGAGGCAGAAGTAGTCACCGACGTCAAATCGGCCTCGGACTGGTCCTATACCGCGTCAGCTTATCACTTACCAAATGCACGCATCTGCGGAGACGCCGGCAGTTTCATTGACCCCTTGTTCTCCTCGGGTGTCCATCTCGCCGTGACAGGCGGTCTCTCAGCGGCAGCTACTATTGCAGCCTCGATCAGGGGCGACTGTGATGAGCAGACTGCGGGCTCGTGGCACTCCAAGAAGACGGTTGAAAGCTATACTCGATTCTTCTTGGCGGTGAGCAGTGCTACAAAGCAGATTCGTGAACAGTATGAGCCTATTATCCAGGACATGGACGAGGAAGGGTTCCAAAGAGCCTTTGATCTTTTCAGACCTAGTACGAACTTTTCGAACCACCATACCCCAGACCCAGTTCCAGTTCCAGTTCTTGATCTAACCAGATTTTTGTTATTTTAGTCATTCAAGGTACCGTTGATGCCGATACCACAAGCAAAATGTCCCAATCCGAAATTTCCAAGGCACTCGAATTCTGCTTCAGGGCATTCACATATGTCCCGCCGGAACTGAAAGACGCACTGCTCGAGAAACTCAAGAAACTTGGCGCCAAATCCGGACAAAACGACGCGACAGCGGCAAAGGAACTTGACGATATACAAAAACATCTTACGGCGGACGAGCTGCAGGTTCTAGAGATACTACGAAGTAGGCGTATGATTCGTGAAGACCCCTTCGAGATGGATAGCTTCACGCTCGACACTATCGACGGACTGGCGCCGAACTTAGTACATGGTAAACTGGGGCTTGTTAAATCTGAGCAGGCCAAAATTGATAGAGCTCACTTTTATTCGCCGAAATTTTTGGATGGTAAGGGTCCGGAGATTAGGGAGGGAAGCGTTTATCTGCCCACGTCGAAGGTTCAACTTGCTTGATTAATCAGTCAAATAAACGGTGGCTGCAATCTAACTCAGAAAAATCTGCACTCCAGTTTCAAGCAGTTATAATTCAACATTGAAGTACAAGACACTTGCCTATTCTATTTCGGTGTACTGTTCCCAAACATGGAATGTTCAAGTTTGCGCCTTTCGGTCTAAATTGACAGTGTCCATCTATATACCTACTATGGACAAAGCCGTCTAACATACAACACAAATAAATTTCATACACTTTGTGAACTATCCAAGGTTCTGTTTGAACAAAATATCTTATACCCTAGTACATAATCAGATCAGCCCTCGTCCGAATTACTCGTCCCCTGATTGGCCGACCTGCCTGCCTTGTGCGTGCTCCCGTCCCCATGAGGTGCGTGTCCGTAAGTCCCCCGCGCGAATTTTATTCGACGGTGTATGTATATGTCCGTGACACTGCATCATAATTGCTTCTTTTCATCGCCCATGTAGGAATAGTAGTGGTGACGCCCTTTAGCACGACGCGTCCGTTTCACTTCCCATGTTCCCCCGGTGCAATTCACTGATTCACCTTTCTAATTCGGTCCACGCGAGGCTCAGGCGGTTTAGTATCTTAAGATGGATCTCTTCATATACAACGCGTCGTACCAGGTCTGGATCTGCATTGAATGTCGTTACGCCGTCTCGCCCCGTCAATTCGACACTCATCTCTGCAGTCATCACCGACATCATCCAGCCGCCAGAACCGCGGAGCTTCGTCAGGCTGCGCTGGCCGAGATGTTAAAATGGCCCTGGCTACAGCCTACACGGGAGCCGTGCAGATTGCATCCACCCGACTCTGCGCCCATCCCCGGTCTTCCTGTCTATCCTGACTTTCGCTGCCCCCGCTGTACCTACATGTCGCGAGCGTTAGCGACAATACGTAGCCATCTAGCACATATACACCCGGAGACCCAACGACTGCGTGGCCGTGCTTCCAAAGCCAAGTCTGATATAGCTGCCGCTGCAGAACACGTGAGCTGTCAGCGATTCTTTGTATCTGGCTCGGGGAGCGGCTTCTTCAGTATGATCGCACCGTCTCCGATCAGGCAAGAACGGCTAGCTAGTACAGTGTCCGAGGCCGAGTTCATTCAGGCCCAGGTCCGCCGGGATCTCCAGGAGAGCTTGGCGGACGAGGCAGGACAAGCGATGCAAATCACCGCCCAGAAGCATGCTACCGAAGTCTCGCCATAGCTAGAGCTCACCCAGTAGCCGAAATACCTTCAAGGACGCAGCTTTTCTGCAGTAGCAAGTCTAGGCATACTCCCTGATTCGCCTTGCGAGCCACTGCTTGCCATGTTCGGGGGGAGTGTAGACCGATTAATCAAGCGTGCATATCACACTATCCAGGACCAGCGGATTAACGAGTTTGACTAAATCCGAATCAACAGCTTTGTCTCACGCCCGGGTATTCAGGAACGACCGATTCTAGTAGATCTGAAACCATCCACTACACCCGGTACCAGTAGGTATAGCAGCGCCTAACCCATGGGACGCAGCGCATCCCAGTAGGTGAGTCAGCATTAGGGTTAAATTAATGTCAACCCCAATGGGTTGCTACTCGTACCAAAACAAGGATGAACATCACGTCAATTGATTTCTAGATGGTGCAACACTTTTATATGGCGAATCTCAGTCACTTATGTTGTCATTAGGCACCAGGATATTCAATCTCCGTGGACCTCCGTTATACTGTAAGTTCATGGGTATTTCAACCCACATGAGCACCCTCATGTCATGTACTCAATCAATCATATACTCAATTTCTTCCCTTTTGATTCCGTTGCCCTGATTGGCCTATCTCCAAGTACTCCGTAGCTGTCACATAGTTGATAATTAAGTATAAGAGGCCCGGTGCACATACCAGTTGGCGTTCGTTCCAGATCCCAGTAGGCATTTTGAAGTAGTATAAAGCTCAAATTAACATCAGTTATAAAACAGTGGTTCCTATATAGTTTGTCAAACTTTGAAGCTTGTTACTCAACGTTCGAGGGTACAGTCCCCTTCAAGAAGTTTGCATACACCCCTGCCACCGCTTTAGTCTACCGCCTACCAATCTTAGCTACCTTTCTAGCACCGTGCCAACCATCAAAACGATCATCATAATAAACATCTAAACAACCAATGAAATTTAACCCCCTATTAGGTATTTCCCCTTGTTCAACTACTGATTTAACTACTACTCTAATCAAAATAGGCACTGGAGCAGAATTATCACCCTCTACACGATAGCTTTATTCCAAGCAGTAAATAATTTGCAGCAAGCAGACTGCGCTGAAAATTGCCGCTGATGTCTCCCGCCCATCAACGGCAGAGGCGGACATCGTACCCAACCCGGTCGAGATCGACCGGGATCCCCGCATCAACCTTGTGGAGCCGGGCTAATAACAAGCCCTCTATTGCCGATAAAGCGCCAATCAGCAGTACCTCACCCCACAAGAGGAGCACGCGCCGGTAGAATATGTGTTGCAGTTGGCGAAGAACGGCTATCCGCTCCCAGTCAAGTTTCTATGATCGCTCGCCGTGGTCATCGTGCGCTAACGATCCTCGATTTTCCAGATCATGGATCCCGGCCTCGAGATTCGGCCCCCGGGAAAGAACTGGCCGCAGGGTATTTACCTGCGCCACCCGCAGTTGAAAGGGCGACGGCTACGAGCGATCGATTGGAAACGAGATGATCGGCAGATCGAAGAGAAAGTCCGACACTGGTTTGCCACTATTGGCCGTGAACTAGCTGATCCTGCCCTTCTCCCGAGAATATGTATAATATGGACGAGGCGGGAGTTCTTCTTGGCGTTCTCAACTCCCTCAAGGTGCTCGTCGGCAAAGACGATTTAAGAAACCATCGAGGAGCTATGGTGAAGCGGACGCTAGTCACAGCGGTTGCATGCATTTCCGCCGATGGTCGCTCTCTTCATCCTCTCATTATCTGGCCGGCCTCCACTCACCGTAGTTCGTGGACTACTCACGCTACCCCCGGATGGCATTTTGCCTGCTCCAGAACAGGCTATACGAATACAGAAATCAGTCTGTACTGGGTAGAACATGTGTTTGACCCGTAGACCCGAGATCGAGCAGGATTATCGCCCATGACTTTTAATCCGTGATGGTTTTGACACCCATGACTCACTAGAGATCATGAAATTTTGCTAACCGCAATATTCTGTGTCGCCTCCCTTCTCATACGTCTCACAAATTGTAGCCGTGCGATGATGGCATCTGTAGTCCTCTTAAAACGGCATACCGGGCACAGGTTGAGCAAGCATGTCGGGCTGGTGTACGTACCATAGGCAAGCCACACTTCACCTACCTCGCCCGAAAGGAGGCACTCACACCCCGCAATATAAGATCCGCCTGGTCAAAAAGCGACATCTTTCCATTCGACTCGTCTCGCGTCCTCCGAGACTTTCAAGCGCCCTGACCCGAGATACTGACCAAGGTCCCTGTGCACCATCCGACCGTGCCCTCAAGTCTCTGCTTAATAATCTGTAGAATGCCAATTATAATAGCAATTGTTTTACCAGTACTAGCCCTAGACTGAATGATAACATCATGACCGGTGCAGATTGCAGGAATGCATTTTGACTGTGCAGTAGATAGTGTTTCGAGGCCATAGTCAGAAATACCACCGAGGAGACCCGGCTTCAAATGCATGTCGGGAAATGATACAACAACGTATTCTTCTGGTTGTGTGGTTGGGGCACTAGAAGATTTATTGGCTTTGTTTACCATCATAAATACTGGTGAAGCGCGCTTCGCACGCTGTGGCTCTGAAATGAGAGGGATAGCAAGCTAATTACAGGGTTTGTACGGAGTAAGTTTTGGCGGCCTTCGGTTGTCCTCCGTGAAATAGAGACAAGAACCCAAGCACGTGAGCGAAGCGCACGCGAGATGGCAAAAATGTCAGCAGGCATGAGTCTGTGTAACTATTGAATGGAAGTAACTAAGTTACCACGCTAACATTATTATTGAGGTCGACCTTCGAAAAGCAAATGGCGGAATCCCTTTGCAAAAATCTCGGTGGTGGGAGTTGCATTTCGAAAATACTGGTGCAGTCATATCCCGTTTCAGGCATAGTCAGATGTGGCACATGACGACGGAGTAACTATTTACACAGTACTCCGTAGATTAGGCACCAAATTTGGATAGATGGGCCCACTTTTCTGTTTTGAGGGGGAAAAGGCCCAAGGCCACACCTGTCCTCTGGCCATTGCCGTCAACCAGCAGCTGGCCGCATGGGAAAATGGGAAAGTGGGAATGAGACAGAGCGACAAGGCCTTTGATTCTTGACACATAGGCTGAATTCTACTCCATAGAAAGGTTCCTGATCACGAGCTTAGCTCCACCCAAGATTGCGGATCGTCACATTTCTCATACGAGGAATCCATTCCCGCATCTACGCTCGTATTCGGAGGATACTAGTGAGTTTTTTGGTTTGATTTCCTATGGCGCCTTTGCGGACCGTGACATAATAGGAGAGAGCCGCAACGAGAGTGAGTGTATTCCGTTGTATTTTGGATTTAACTCAACACAGGTAGATTGTGTTTCTCCATATGCCCCCTCGTTGGCTTTCGTCCTCGTGAGTTGACGGCTGCGACCTTCGGTTTGATCAAAGGTATATAAAAGGAGAACGTTTTCTTTGGTCAGGCGATACTCTCGCTCCGCACAGCAAGCAGTCTAGCTAAACTCCTGCCTCTTTCTCTAGTTCTTATTGTGACCTCCACTTCTCCAACTATTTGCGTTTTACCCTCTTGGGTGGCCAATTTAGCGCTATAATCATCATTATGGGTGGAAAAAAAGTAACGCCCGTGGAGAGAGAGCAAGAGAATCGCCAATACCCTCGCAGTTGGGACTGGATGGTCGTGTCTGGAAACTGCCATTATACGAAAGACCGTGCCTCATTCATGACTTACCGTCCTATTCAGAAGATGATCAGGACTAGAATGATCTTCTCTGGCCTTAGAGACACTTACGTGGCTGGGGTTGGAATTGTGAAGCTGAAAGTGTGCACCAGCAGTGACGAAGGGTCACAAAATGGCGTCCTGGTACTGGAGAATGTTCTGCATGTTCCTAGTGCTATCTGTCATGGCTTCAATTCCAGAAGCTATCATGATAGGAATGGTGGAGAGGTGGCTGCTCATGAAGGGAATTGGAGAGGGTTCGATAAGAACGGTAAACCTCTCTGGTACGGTGTGCCTTTCTTTGGGTTTCAAAAACTCGCCCTAGTTGGAAATCAGCAAGAAGATCCAACTTTTGGATCGATTGGGTTATTCTACCCCGGCTGGGATCTAGAGATTAGTGATAAGGATCTCAAAAGTATCCTTTGCGAAGACTGACTTTGCGAACGCAAAGATAGGGAATTTGATTGAGAGGACTGATATATGATTATGCTGGTCCTTAAGGCCGCTAGATGGGACAGGACGGCTCATGAACTGGTCACACCATAATAGCATCACGATCAGATGAGATCATGGCTGAAATATCCTTCTCCGTCAGTTTAGGCTCTCTGGCCAGCCTCCCGTCATTTTTTAATGAACGATTTGTTGACGAAGTTTCTGTATCTTAATACTACAGGCCCAGAAAAGAACTGACAGCCCCACAACACTAGTTATTGTCAAACTAATTATGTCACCAACACGTAATGGGGTTAAAAGGGTAAGCTTTCTCTGGTCACTGACTTCGACATTATGAACACCGAGAGAGCGCACGGACTGCGCGTTACATTGTAGGAAGCCCTCTATGAAGGGCAGCTTCATATAAATTGAGCACAATGCTAGCTCACGTATGTTGAGACTTACGCGACACAATAATGCCAAAGGCAAGGCACTTTCGACTATATGGCAGGGCCATATAGTAAGAAGCGGGCGGGTCTAACCCGTGACAGTCTTGTGGTCAAAATCTCTATTAGTTATGAAATACCAGTGCCATTTTTGCTACTTCGAGCTGTGATACTTCAGAAAACTAATGGTAAGAAAACCTAAACTGACACTCGCCGGCTTCATCCCGAGTTTCAACGAGCTCTGGATAGGAATCATGGGACATGAGATAGGCCGGAGGCTGAAGTGTGGATAATAACTGGCCCGCCGCCAATGAGGAAGAAAGCTTCAAGCCAAGAGGAGGTAGAAGCTTATCTCCACAGGTGATCTCGGCGTTTCGTGATGACGAACTAGTGTCGGAAAAAGCGCCCCTGTATGTCCAGTGGTTCCCCCACTATATTAATGCGCGTCTCAGGCGGGTGAAACGGCCTACTCCCAGCCGTTCGTTTATACTCCAGTTGCAGCACGTCATCCAGGTTACTCTGCAAAATATCAAGATCAGGATGACCTTTAGGTGCTAACCGGACTGCCTGGCGAGCGAGGCGGATCGCTTCTTCGAGGCTATCTGTATCCCCTGTCTGTTTGTACCGTAGTTGAAGCAGTTGCTGTAGGCCGTCCAGCCATCTGGGATATTCCGGATGGTTTTCTGATATGGCTTTGAGTGACTGGCGAGAGTCCTCGATCGCCTCATCGATGTCGTCCATCTTCTGTGTGCGTCTACACAACAGACCAAAGAGGTTTGCCTCGTTGTTGAGCCTCCCCTCCAAATTAAGATGGTCTCTAGGCGTGAGTTGAACGGATTCACGAAAGATTCGGATGGCTTCTTTGAGTTCGTCTATCTTCTTCGTTCGTTCATACAGCACGTGGTATGCCACTCCTAGATTGTTGAGTCTCAGTTGATGATCAGGGTGGTCATTAGGTGTAAGTTGGACCGCCTGGCGACAAATTTGGATCCCCTCTTGGAGGTCCTCCGTCTTCCTTGTGAGTTCACTGCTCGCTAAAAGCATACTTCCTAGGTCGTTGAGCCTCCCTATAAAATCGGGATGGTCTTTGGGGTGAGCTGGACTGCCCGGCGTTGCATCTGGACCGATTCTTCAAGATCCTTTATCTCCCTTGTGCGTTGATACCGAATTCGAAGCACCTCCGCTAGTTCGTAGAGCCGCCCTGCAAATTCAAGGTGGTCTTCAGGCGTGAGCTGGACTGCCCGGCGACGGCTCTGGATTGACTCATCAAGGTCATCCATCATGAGGGTTGATATTGCAGTTGAAACCTGTTCTCAGGTGGTAGACCTGCTTGGATGTCCCGAGTCTTGCAGGATTCAAATTTGCCCTCCAGAACAGAGCCCCAAGAACCACTGAAAGGACCGGGGGGGTATGGAATGAAGTGCTGTCACTGAGTTTTGGGGCGTGGGAGCGGGGCAAGATGGATTCCCAGCGCCCCACTCGAATTGTGCGAGGCTGAATTTGTGTAGATAAATTCCCCTCTGTATGCCAAGGTAAAAGTGTGGGCCTGAAAATTACGGGAATTTCCATTTTGACTAGTCCCAAATGGGACTAACGGGGCGTCGTTATCGATGGTGGATCAAAGTGTTGTCGGGTTACAGGCAAGAATGAAAAGATTGGCTAGCCCAGAGACCTTCTCCACATCAAGCGTAGATCCGTGCATTTCCTGTTACCGTACTCCGTACAGTACTTTGGAAGCCCCCGGTCTCGACCTGAAATTACTGGGGACACGCGGGAAACCCTGAAACGATATAAAACCCACAGAAGATGTTCTGCCATGTTCCTGAATGCCAAGAGAGAACCATTTCTTCGCTTCTCCACATCGCCTTCGCCTTCATCAACAGCCAAGTTATTGACTGCTCTGCTTTCATCATGTTTGACCAGCTCCCTGATGAACTAGTCATCCAAATTGCAAAATCACTTAATCGCCATGATCTGAATTCATTAATACGAACCATCCATCGGTTTGCGCGGATCCTGAATCCATTGCTTGATGCCTTTGTTAATCACACTTTCAAAGACAGAAGGACACCACTGCAATGGGCGGCGTTTAAAGGATCTGCAGCTTTAACTCAATCTTTACTCGGCCGAGGCGCAGATATAGCTCTGCAGGATTGGCATGGGGAGACTGCATTGCACTTTGCGGCTCGAGGTGGAAATGTGGATTCTGTGAAAGTGCTTCTTCAAAACGGAGCAAATATTGCACAAACAAACTTTTATTACTCAACGGCGTTGCATCATGCGTCATTGTGTAACCACGCTGATGTGGTGAGCCTTCTTCTAGACTCTGGCGCTGATGTCTCAAGGCCTCTCTATAGAACGGTATTGCACCGTGCTGTTAGAGGGGGACATGAAAATCTTGCCCGGTTCCTTCTTCAGGCCGGTGCAGATGTTTCCGCGGAAGGACCTGTGGAGGGCATGCGCATAGAGGCTCACGACATACCGGAGGCTCACCATCATTTCTGTGACCCAAATGCTGAGGGCGCTATTGACATTATACCAGGGAGGCTGGTCGATGGCCCAAGCCCAGTCACATCATTATACTATGCAGTCCTAGAAGGCCACGAAAGTATTACACAGCTGTTGATTGAGTACGGTATCAGAATCTCGCCAAGAGACCACAATTTGAAGACGGCACTCCAATTCGCAATACGTCGGGGTTCATCACGCCACCTTATGGTTTCCCGGATGCTTATCGTGACTCGCCCTGATGTCTTTGTTGAGATACCAGGAAAGTGGGGACTGACGTCGATACACTGGGCGGCATCAAGGGGATATGTGGATCTTGTTAGGCTGCTCCTTCGGCGAGACTCAAGAACGATTAACGGCTCCGAAACAGATGGATCTGGACATGTCCCGCTTATTGAGGCAACCAAAAATGGCCATGGCGCCGTTGTAAAGCTATTCCTTGAAGCAGGAGCTGATCCATCAACGGAAGATGGCAAGGGGCAATCCGCACTTTTATGGGCTACTAAATACGGGCGCTTAAGTGTAGTGAAGCTTCTTCTTGACGCCGGTGCTGATCACAAAGCAGAAAGAAATTTTTCTGAGATACCACTTTTTGTGGCCGCTAAGGAAGGCCACATCGAACTGGTCCGATTTCTTCTTCAAGTCGATTCTAATATCAACCTTTCTCAGATGACCAGCAGTGGGCAATCAATCATACATCAACCAGCCAATCGTGGCTATGACCATATTGTGCAGCTGTTCTTAAATGCAGGTGTTGATGCTTCCATAAATAACGGCTACGGTTCCCCACTTCATAAGGCTGCTACTGGACGCAAAACCGTGACCACAATACGGCTGCTTCTGGACGCTGGTTCGGATATTTCTATAAAAGACGAGAATGGCAATACTCCGCTAGAGGCAGCCATATTGGCAGGAAACGAGTCTGTATTTACGACCCTTCTTGAGGCTAGCTCTGGCATATGCATACACACAGGTTATCGGAAGCCTCTGTTGCACACTGCAGCTGCGGCAGGCCGCGACACCATGGTGAACTTACTCTTGAACATAGGAGGAGATGTTCACTTGAGGGACGAATTCGGTACGCCTTTACACTGGGCGGCAAGACGTGGTGACGCGAAGTCGATAAAGCTTCTTGTCGAAGCTGGAGCTGATAGCACTGCAAAGGATTCTGCCGGAAAGACAGCCTTGTATTGGGCTGCACACCGTGGAGTTGCTGCTTCAGTCCTGCTGCTCTTGCAAGAAGGGGTGAAACAGCGGGGGCGCGTCGAATGGGAATGAGCTGGTAGCGACGCTGCTTGAAAGGGCCTATCATTTACCGTCCTCGAATGGCGACAGAACACAAAAGGTTTCAAAATCGCGCGTTGCGAGGCCAGCCTCGCAGCAGGCACGGCGATAAGGCCATGACAGGCCTTGACGGGACTCTAAGCATTTTATTAGCGACTGAATGTATCATATCACGGTAGGGTGTAATAAGAGTCCTATTTTTAGAAAGTATCCCCTTGCCCGGCAGCGCTAGTCGGCATTAGCGGTAATTTTGAATTAAGCAGCTTTATTGGCCAGATAGCTTCTACCGCCTTATTACGAATTAGGAATAGCCTTATCTCCTCAAATTCCCACGCACTGTTATTCTCTATAAGCTAGAACGCGCTCTATTGCATACAGTGGTGTTTCATAAGTCTTCGTCCACCTGGTGATGACATAATATTATGCCGGTCAAATAATTTCTCCATTTCCTACCTCACCCGCTCATAATTTATGTTTTCAAGCAGGTAGATGGATTCTCATGCCCAAATTGAATGGAAGATATCTTGAAATAATATGAAGTCTCTCCTATGGTCGATTAGAGACCAGTAGAGCTCGGACTGAGAGCGGAAGACTAGGCGGTAGAGTGAGGGTGGACGAAGACTTATGGAACACCACTGTACACGCGTTTCTATATATCCATCATAGATTTATAGGGTCTCCCTTTGGAGAGGGTAAAGAGCCTCTATTGCATAGCTCCTCTATCGCTCTATCTAGCCCTTCTCTATCTCCTCCTCCTTCTCCTAAGAAGGAAGAAACGAAGCGAAACCTAGCGCAGCTACTTCGTGAGATACCCTATTATAAAGATCTGCATACAACCCTAGAGCCGTGGCGGGTGGATAATTGTGCTAGCCACTTAGACACATATATGCGGTAAACGGCGGACCTGCGAATTATTACATCCTCTTAGTTTTACCGTTCCCAGCTTAGCGCCCCGATACGCTGTTCTGTAGCCTCTCCCTCCGTCGACTTGACATAAAAGGCCTCGACCTCGCCCTTTCGACCTCTCTTCTTCTTCTTCCCCTCCGTTCCACTCCTCTATCTTGCATTTATCGCTGCCCTCTTTCTTTCACTCTGGCCCCCACCGACCACTGCGCCTTAGCTATCAGCCCGACGGACTGCCCCTTTCATTTTACCGGAGATACCGATCGATCCGACGCTATCTCGTTCCTGCCCCTCGGGCTATAATAGCGGTCGCCTAGAAGCGGAATCACTAGGATGATCTAGTCCATAGCTATATAGTGTGATTTCGTGTTAATGCTCTTACTCCCTAACCCTTGGAAGGTTTCAAGATGAGCTTCAAGCTTCGTGTTTATTCAGATTATAAGGTTTGCTAATTCAGGATACGAGGATACGTGGCTAAGCGGGGAACATAGCCTCTCCGGTTAGACATTTAATCGCGCTGGTTCCAGTAAATTCTTCCCTTCTTTTAACTATCGTGACTAGAACCGGGCTTATGCCACAACTATCTCAGAAACAAAATTGATTTCACGCCTCACGGAGACTATGGATGACACCCAGATCACCAAGAAGGCCCGGTTCCTCAGATCGCTCGTGTATTATGAATTTGTTAATATCTGGTTCTACCTCTATATCTCCCCTTTGGTTATTCTAGCGGGCTTGTTGTGCGAGTTCCGAATAAAGGTTTATAATGCACCGCGTGTTCTTCAACCTCCATACAGTCCATGGATCAGAGCTGGGACGAACACACCTTTTATACCAGTACGTATTTCTGTTTGGGCAGACCTTATTTCAATCCCTCGTTTTATATAATATTTGGATACTTATGATTTCGTCTGAAAGGTAGGTATAGCTCTCGGATGGATACTCTTCACATGGATACCTCACCACTGGTACTGGCGAACTAAACGGCCCTGGTGGTTTATAGTCGCGGTTGCCAAATCTATTATCGCAGCGACTTTTATTCCTCCCGTCTACTTTGAATCCAGGTATTTGCCTCGGCCCCTGAATTCTTGCCAGAATGACGAGCTCTGGCAGGACTCGGTCAATGTGCCGTATGGTTCACCATCGATGTTCTTATTGATTCAGGGTTCATACGGTGCACTTGGGGACCCCAAAAAGTACGTGAGCTCTTGCGAGAAGTTATTATCCCTATGGAGGTTTCAGATTGCCATGAGGTATGTCTCTGAGTATTTCTCTGCTTGGAAACACTAGTCACTAAAGATGCGTACTCCAGTGTCCTTATCGCAGTTTCGGCTATATCAGCAATGGTAATATTTGTATTCTTCAATAGGCTTGATTTTAGGGATGAAGTCGCAGAGAAATGGTCATGCTGCGCTTAAATTTCGAGGACTTTACATATAGTCAACTCCCGCTTTGATACCTGATCTACGCCATTAGTATTAAAACTAGCCGTGAATATCTGTCAGGGGAGGTTCGTGCAGGTGGTCTATTCTGATATAATGGGCTAGTTGGCTTTGGTGGTCTCGAAGATTATTCTAGGTAGTTGCAGGGATCCGCTTGGTAATGCGGTGTCCGTTTTTGCACCGTAGATAGTCTCTCAGCGCATATTAGCATGTTCAGGGCTTTAAGTTAGCAAGAGACCAGTTAGGCTCAAAAACTTCGTAAATGTATGTATGCTATCACCAGAACAAAAAAAGCATCGGGATTTAGTCATGAACGTTCGATGATATTGAAGACTATGTACGCTACTCCCCATCTTGGCTATTGCCTTGTGTGGTTGGTTCATCGCTACTCCTTTCTCCCCTTTGGAGTGCCATCTCTTTCTCACTTTTCTAGTAAAGCTGCAGGTTAAAGTCAGAAAGCCGAAGTCGAAGACAGATTTCCATTTTCCTCTCACAGTGTATCCCAAACGCATCATTCAACAAGCTTTGCAACAATATCAGAGGCCATTTCCACATGGCCATCAAAATATGCCGAAATCGAGTATTCTCAACCAGTGTTCGCGCCTCACATGAGATATAGAGAATGACCAACATTCTAAGGAAACAACATCCACCCCCGCTCTTGCCTACCTGTCAGCTCATAGGTAGATTCTAGCAGGTCAAGGATGTGGGCTATACTTTGCCCGTTAAGAGAAAAGATGCAACGGTCGCGATGAAGTGACTTGCAGAATAGGGGGCAGTACAGGGCGGCGGGTGGACTAGCAGTATTTTAGCCTCTAAGGAACTGTATAAGTTGCCCGGGTCCGGGGCGGTCTTCGGCAGGATATCGTAACGCGTTCGATAGGTGTTAGGTTAGTAAACGGTGATAAAACAGGCGAATATATAAGGATAAGGGAGGCGAGGAGGAGAGGAAGAAGAAGGGAGGAAGGGAAAAGAAGTAGGGGATAAGGTTAGGGATATCTATAAATAAACGCGCTTTCTTTGTTTACCTATCGACTAGGCAGCCCTCGCTTTGTTTACTATTCCCCTTTTAGGTAGAAACCCTTCTGCCTTATTCTGTTTGCTTTCTCCTATATTTATACTGCTTGTTTTCGCTTAGGGGCAAGCGATCCCTAGAGGGGGGATAATTTGATATAATATACCTTAATATAAGGTTATTCACACATTGGTGCCTAAGGCGCCGGGCCTGGCAGATCGAATTGCACTGTATAACACTGCACTACTAGTGAAGGAGAACGCCGATCTACGCGCAACGAATGAAAAGAAACCTCAAAAGCGCACTCGATCGACTAGACGGATTACACACGAAGGGGGCCTATCAATCGAAGAGGGCCTACAGCTAGCTCAGCAGCTAATTCAGCCAGTAGAAGCTGATGAGGTAGTATCGCATGAGGAGGTCGATCTGCCTAATCAGACGATTCAACCGGCCAGGAGGGCTCCGCCTACCTGCAGTGGATGTGGAAAAACTGGCCACAGGATTACTTCATGTAAAAATCGTGTTATCTAGTTAGATTAATTGGTGTTGGTTGCGATTATCGATTTTGAAAATTTCTAATGGGGGTGGGTTATCGGGTTAACCGGGTTATCAGGTAAGCCGGGAACTACGTTAACTATTTGAAGATAGTTTGACTAAGCTCATGACGCATGACCATCAATTTGGAAGAATATGTTATACAAGAGAGCATCTGACAATGTAACTAGCTAGGACGACAAACAAACAGACATGATACGAACGATCGAACGTCTGTTTTGTCGCCGAACGGACCAAGAAGATGATCAAGTGATACTGAAGTTAACGAGGTATTTAAAGATGATATTCCCATTGCACAAGCACTCTGTAGAGACAGATCTCTAAGCCATTTCTCACTTCCTAGATAGCAAACTCAAATGCATACGCCGTTACCTTGTCTGTCTGATAAACAGGGAAGTTAACAGTATCCCCCGAATAAGCATGACCGTACCAACCCAAATCAGTCGGCGCATCCACCTCTCCATAGTGCACATCTGATGCCACCGGGAATCCCCAGGTATGTACATTCAGCGTCCCGCTTGTCGGCAATCCAAGAGACGATAGCGAGTTCAACTTCAACTCCCAGGTACCAGTTGCAATTCGAACACCAACTAGCACGCGAGCGTAATCTGTGCCAACAGTTGAGTACGCTTCAAGCTTCAGGTCCGAAGAAGGCAGCGTTCCGACCCGGTGGCCAGTCATGTTCTGGTAGTAATACTTGTACACCTGATAGTCGCCGTTGGGGTAGTAGGTTGATCCAGATTTGCCTAGGAGAGAGGCCATGTAGTCGCGAAGATTGGTGCCGCTGAGCCAGTTCCCGCGCAGACCGTGTGCATTGATGCGTTCTAACTGGCCGATCCACCAGGCAGAACCGGCGGGGACTTGTTCGTTGTACACGGCGTATTCGTTGATGTTGATCGTCTTCGAGGGGAGATTGTATGTCGCGAGCCAGTGATCGAGTCCTGCGTTAGCTGAAAGAAGGTCTCCGCCTCCTCCTTCCATGTGCCAAGCATACTGGTCTGGAACGGACTGGTTGCTGGCGACGAAGGATGCCCATGCTTTCCACCAGGTATTGGTGGACAGTGGTTCACCGGCGCTGGCTGGGCCGGAGAGTGCTACAGCAGTACCGAACTCAGCCCTGAGAGAAGTTAGTTGAGTTCTCAATATTGAGCTCAAAGGAAAATACAGAAGCGATCTTACCTGAACTTGTGCCATGTTCTGCCCCACATTTGCAGATACTGGCTTTGATCGCGATTCCAGAACACCGTGAGGTCAGGCTCATTCCAGATATCAATGACAAGCCCACTAGTCATGCTATTGGCCTTGATGTCGGAGAAGAGCTGAGTGAGATATGCATCCCAACTAGACCAGTCTCCGTTATCACCGGGGTACGGAGCAGTGGAATTCTGGGATCCATCGGCGCCCCACAGATCGTGAATAAGGAAAATGAAGGTTGCACCATATTCACGAGCAGTCTTGTAATTTGAAAGAGCTGACTGGAAACGCTTCTGAAGAGGGAGTTAGTGTTACCCTAGTGGAGAATAGCCTTGATCTTACTTTATACTCAGTCAAACCCCAGATCCAGCCACGGCCGGGGGCAGCGACTTGTGCGCCTCCTGCACGTTCATAGTTATACCCGATATTCTGGTAGAAATGCGACTGCAAAAGAATCAGAATAAAGATTCAATAATATGGTTGAACGAATATCCTACCGGAATCTGGTTCAGAGTATCGGGGACACCATACAAGAGTCCCGATGCCAGATGTTGCGGAGTACCGGTATTATTGTTAAAGTTCACCTGAGCCGTAACAGTATCTCTTTTCTCAACAGGACCTGCAGAGGCCAACTGTATGAGAGCAAGAGCCTGTATCAAGTCCCAACGCATCTTGGTGATTATATGAGAAAATTTCTCAAAGTAGGAATCTGAAGCTGAGAGTGTAAATTGTTTCTGTTTCGGTCCAGATTTTGTGGGGTTTATCGGGCTTTTTTATATTGCATCCCCCTTGCCTGCAGGCTGCGGGCATAGCTCCTGACATTCCATGCGGAGTACCTTAATTGAAATCTGCAATTCTGCATGAATTCTTCAGGAATCCAACGTGGGGCGGAAAATCCGGGGAAGCCTTAACCGAGACAATCTCCGCGCGGGGTAGTCAATTGGTTCTTACTCCTAATCAAAAGTCCCGGCTGAGGATCTGCAGGTCACCCATTCGGACCGGAGTCAGTCTGTCTCCTCCGGAGTTTGTACTGTTCTCCCCCGCAATTCACTCCTGACGGGCTCCTTCATCGGCCTGCGGGGCTCGGGTTAGGTTCCGGAAATCTACCTCTTTAGGGCACCCCAAACTCCGTAGTTCCGTGCAGAATATCATCATCAAAAAGTGCCTTTGAAGCTGGTGTTTAGGCTTTTGCTTGTATCTCGAGAACTCCGAACTCACGAAATGAACTGATATTAAGCCTATATTACTACTTGAAGCTCAATTGGTGATACTCTTCTCTTGGTGTCAAATGCCGCCCCATCTACACCCGCGACCAATTTATTGATTCGAGATATAACTGGAACTTATTTGACGGATACTGATTGTACTAATTCAATTCTTTATAATTGTACATGCTGTAATATCTTAGCCAGTCCTGTCGGGACTGTTCCAGTTCTTTACTGCTGCTCCCGGAGTTCGGAGGGCTCGGGCTAGGCTATCAACTAAGGTATATAGCTGCCTCCTTACTCATTTTCGAGTCACTAGTTGTATTTTATTTTCTCAGATTATCTTCTCTGTATCACTGAAACCACGTGGTCCTTGCCTAAAGCAGCTTTATCTAAGGTGGGGACTGTCGGAGTGAAGTTTAAGACAACGACGAGAGTACTGATTCTACGAAGAGATTGTTCATTGTCTCTTCGCATTAAACTAGTGTTGGTAGTTGTACCAAGGCTTGAAATCTTGTCTTTCAATACATAGAGATAGCCCTTCGAACTCGACACATGTAACTGATCTTTAGCGTATACTCACTCAATCGTCCGAGCCAGCACCGGTACGGTCAGATTAGACAACCGAGAACTGATCTATGTGGAAATTCTTCATCTCAGCAAACTCAACCCACAAAATTAATCGATGTGACAAGTGAAAGTAGAGCCATGCGGGTGAAACTAGAGCTATCAATAAGTCTAAACTTCAACTCGAGTTAAATACTGTCCTACTCTTTACTTTCTAATTAATTTGCTTGGCTCTGTGTATCCAAAGTATAAGGTCACTGTATACGCTACTGCCCATATTGACCACAAGCATTGAGAAACTCTTTCATTCCATTATATAAATTAACACAGGAGTAAATTAAAACACTTAGTACCACCCTCCTAACCAAATACATCTCCGCGCTTCCTCAGAGATCCTCCACATGGGTAGTAGACTGCACACCAGCCTCCGCTTCTTTGGGAACATATTCTTGCTGAGAAAATTCTATACACTCGCATGTTAGAGCTTCTTTTTGCAACGTAAAGGCAACGACGGAGTAAATACTTACGTTCGACTCTGGTAGTCCTGAACTTGCGTGCGGGCACGTTATTAGCGAAGAGAAGATCGATTTCACCAAAGGTGCGGTCCTTGGTCTCTGGGAGACGGAACCAACACCAGAGGTTGCAGAGGAGATTGGTGCCGGCGTAGAAGAGCGCGGTTTTGGCGCCCCAGTTCCATGCTTGATAGAAGAAATTTTGGATCAGCATTCATTTCGAGAGGAGATGTCGCCGCACCGAAACAGAAGAAAAAGGAAAGAAACTTACAGGTGGACGAAATCATGTGAGGGGTCACAGAGTTCTGGAAGATTCCAGTGAGGTTGTAGACGAATCTGCCGATGGTAATAGTCTTGTAGCGCAAGCGTCCGGATGGTGTCTCAGCGACGATGGGATAGCAGACGGGCCCGATGGTAATCATGTTGACAAGTGTAGAGATGACCAGCAAAATGCCAACCGCGAGCTGGGATTTAGTGCCGCTCGCCCAGCCAAGACCACCGATGGCAATAAGACAGAAGAACATTAACGTGAGACCCGTCATGTAAATTGTGGCACGGCCAAAGTGCGGGAAAAGGAACCAACAGATAATACCGCCGATGATGTAGCATGATGAGAGCGCGATGTTCACGTCAAAGGCCTGGATTGAGGTGAAGCCGGCGGCCTCGAGGAATGTAACGGAGTAACCGAGAATGGCATTACCGCAGAGGATTTGCGCGGCCCAGACGACACAGTTCTATAAGGTAGAAAGCTCATAAGTCAGTTTTACTGCAGCATCCTCAGAATAATTTTTGAAGGAATCGAAAAGAAAACAACTCACGATCTCAGTTCGGCGCAGATTTGCACCCTTGAAGCAATCCCAGATCGAAGCTCCATCCGTCTCTGCCTTCTCCAGCTCAGTAGTGTACCGGATATACGCCAAGGTAGCGTCCACATCGCGCTCCTTGTTAGGGGTGTCCTGACGCAATCGCAAGAGCGCTTCCCTCGCCTCACTGATTTGGCCTCGTCGGACTGCGTTCCAGGGAGATTCGGGAGCGAGATAAGCACCGATCAGGAGCGGGATAGGCCAGACCCATTGAATCGCAAAGGGAAGTCGCCAGCCAATATCTCCTTCAAGACTGGCCACAGCTCGGACAACTCCAGAGGAGAGGAGAATACCCGCCCCCCAGCACATGCAGACATAGGCTGTGACGTAAGGTCTAAGAACGGTGGGGACAACTTCACAGGCGTAGCTAGTGGAAAGAGTCTGGAAAAAGATTGAGATTGTTAGTTTGAATACGGCTGGTCTTCTATCAAAGACGAATGAAGGGGAAATGGACATACCTGGAATACACCCCAGGAGACACCACACATGGCCTCTCCAAATGCCAGGACCGGCAGCGACGGCGCGAAAACAGGGATGAAGATCGTTACAGTCATCCATGCCATGAAGAACATCATAGTGGGACGACAGCCAAAGTGGTCCTGGGCATACATGTTGACAACAAGACCGGCAAGCTGCCCGACGACGGAAGAGTTGGACAGGCCAGATTGCCATGCAGCAGGGATGAGGTTATGTTCAGTGGCCGGGTCATACACTCCAAATCGCTCTTGGAACTGGGTTTGGCCGTAGAAGGAGGTTATCTAGAGATTGGCCATTAGAGAAGCTCTCAAGAAGCCGCAAGGACCTGTATCGGCAAAGGATCCGACTTACAATAACCAAATCGTAACCCTCCATGATCAAACTGGTAGACAAGAACATGGCCCAGAAAACAGCTTTCTTGTACTTGCTCAAGGCGGCACGGATCGTCAACAGTCTGTCCGCTGCATCACTCTCCTGCGCCTGGTTGACCAGGTCAAGAGTCTCCGCACCACCAAGCTGCAAGCGCTCCAACTCCCGCTCGGTCAGAACAACAGTATCCACAGCCATGATGTATAGGACGGGCACACAATCCGCAAGATTGATCTGGGTGTGGAATCAGATACACCGGATCGGCAGCCGATCAGGAAGAATATCTTGGTATGCGGGGGAGCATTTCCAAAAATCTGGAGACAGATTCCCCCACATATATAGCTTCGTTGTCAGAGTGAGCTCTTGTCCTCCGCCGGGGCTTGCAGCAACTTGTGCGTTAAACGACCAGTCGAAGATCAGATGTTCAATGGGCTACCAGGCCACACGATTGGTCGAGGTAAAAGGATGATCACCTACAGATTCAAGGTCAGTCAGTGGATCTCCGAACGAGAGAGTCCAAAAGTCCGGGAGTCCGGGGACGCTCCACCCCCGCCGGGAAATTGAACTTCGGCATCTCCACCCCCGCTCCGAAGAGCTTCATTCCTTAGCCCTACAAGGAGGAGCTTTAGTATAAAGAAGCAGAGAGTACAGAGATGTGGGGGTGAAGATGCTGCGGTGAAAATCATTCATTATCTCTCAACAGCAGGAACTGCTCGGATCAAAAGATCTCCGGATATTTTACTAATTGCCAATACAAACCGGAGCCCGGAAATCGATGTTGGCCTGTAAAGTTGGGCAGAAAAGTTACTTATTCAATTTTCCCCTATGCCAATAATGAATCTAGATCTAGATCAGGGCTCCACATAATAAGGATTGATCATCATGGTATATACTACATATCTCTTCATATCTCCCTAGTCTATGGTTGCCTCAGGCCAACCAACATAGAAGAGTGAGGGGAGTCGACCACGTGGGCGATCTCACAAACCTTAACCACAACCACTCCCAGCTGAATCTCTTAAACCCCTCCCAAGATCTCCCCTTGGCATCTAACCACAATCTATCACTCTTGCCAAGACTGTCCCCTAACTCCCTAAATATCATACATCCACCCACCATGCCCCGAAAGAAGGCCCTCCTGATTGGAATCAACTACACCGGCTCCAACCACCAGTTAAACGGCTGCATCAATGACGCCATGAACGTTCGCGAATACCTGGTTCGCGACTGTGGTTATTCTCCGGATCAGCGGGATATGGTCATCTTGACTGATGCACCGGAGAATCAGGGTACCCCGTTTTATCCCACCGGTGCTAATATGCTGGCTGCGTTTAATTGGTTGGTTTCCGGGAATAATCAGGGGGATTCGTTGTGGTTGTCGTATTCTGGTCATGGGAGTATGTTTTTTTTTCTTCTGAGGAGTGAAGTATATTGGGAATTTTTCTGACGAGGAATTCTAAAAAAAGGTCAAGTCAAGGATCCTGATGGAGATCGTGATTCTGGGTATGTATTTCATTCTGATCTTATCTTGTTTTCCTGATGGAACCATTTGATTACAAGAACATATGTCGATCCCGTACTGACAATGCTTAGCTTCGATGACACGATATGCCCCGTGGATTTCGAACGGAATGGACAAATTACCAGCGACACGGTACGTCAAAATACCTAATGGCCTCATCCATACATCCCCTCAAAACCATACACGTACTAAACTATAACAAAGCTCCACAAAGTCATCGTCTCCCCCATGAATCCCCGATGCAGATTAACCATCCTCTTCGACTGCTGCCACTCTGGCTCCGCGGTAGAACTACCCTACGTATTCCGGCCCGACGCCGACGGCAGAGTGAACCTAGTCAACAACGTCAAAGAGGGCATTTCGCTCGCGAAAGAGGCATCAGTCCTGTTACACGGCGGATTCTCCATTGAGAAAATGCACGATGTACAGTCCTTAATTGGTCGTGGAACCTCTCTGCTGCATAGATTCACTCACCCCGAGACACCTTCGGATGAAACTGGACTTGCCGATGAGAATTTCGTGGAGGATTGGCGGAATGAGGGGAAGGATGTTTGGATGTTTAGTGGTTGTGCTGATGATCAGACGTCGGCTGATACGAGTATGCAAGGGCTTGCGACAGGTGAGTAGTATCTGGAATTTTCTTGGCTTGGTGTGTTTATGTTTGGATGTGTCTTTAACGGGAATCTAGGCGCGATGTCATGGGCTTTCATCAATACTATGAGGAACAATCCACGTCAGAGTTACATTCAGGTCTGAATACCCCGGGAGATTATTGTAAAGATATACTAACCCATCTTGTACCGCTTATAGGTCCTGCAAACCACGAGAGGTATGCTACAGGATAAATACTCGCAAATTCCTCAATTGTCTGTGGGTGGGAAATACGACTTGAACCAGCCTGTATATGTCTGAAGCAAAGTCTATATAGCACTACAATGATTCCAGCCATTCAAATCTCTGTCAAATTAAGAATCCACTCTGTGTAATGTCTCCATTCAGGGCTCAATGTCCTATTAATCGCAAGCACACGCTGTTCTCAAGATAAAATCCACCAAAAGTCATTACGGACAGGCCTTATACAACAACGGCTCGAAATTCTTAAGAAGTTTTGAGAAGAAGAAATAAAAATTCTTGGGGGGCAAAGATAGTGCACTAGATTGATTATGTTCGATTATGATAAAAAATAATATCTTATTCTCTGTTGCGGATAAGTAACTTTGCGGGTATCTGATATCTGATTCTGCGTGGAACAAGTAGAACCACCAGTTCCAAGGCTAAGATCAACCTCGGAAGTCCTAAAGATACGTGTCCCTCGCGAGAACTGGATCATCCCTCCAGGGCCATCTAATAGCAATAAAAAAAGACAAACTATGATCCAGCCCGGGTATCAATGCGAGATAATTCTGAACCAAGCTCTTCTACTTGGGACCGCAGACTCCGTATGCCATGAAACGATTCACGCATGTTGAGAATTCACAGCTCTCATCCTCCAAGTCTATCTCCGATACCACATTCGTGTGATGTTAGTTCTGTGGATCTTCTTCTGAATGAGGAAAACTCCATAGATGAGTGCTTCGGCAGTCGGGGGACCTTCCAAGAAATGGTTAGACCTGCAAGCACAATAGCCTGGTAGTCAACTTACATCCAGGAACGTAAACATCAATAGGCACGATCCGATCACAACCTCGAACGACGGAGTAGCTATAGTGATAATAGCCCCCACCATTCGCACAGCTCCCCATACTAATCACATACCGCGGCTCGGGCATCTGGTCATAGACCTGGCCAAGAGCAGGTGCCATTTTGTTCGAGAGGGTACCTGCGACAATTATGACATCTGACTGGCGAGGCGAGGCGCGAAACATCAGACCCAAGCGATCATATCGTACTGCGGGCACATGACGTGCATCATTTCCACGGCGCAGCAGGCAAGTCCGAAGGTCATTGGGTATAAGGAGCCATGTCGGGCCCAGTTCGCAATTTGGTCGAGTGTTGTCCTAAAGAGGTCAAAGTTAGCTCTTGCAGAAAGTCTATCATACCCGAGGATATATACAGCGCATATTGAGCCATGTTAGACGGGACCTCCTGAGATGGCAAAGCGACCTCCTTCCGGATCTTCCCACTAGCAGTGAGCAAATGCGGCGGGACTTTGATCGGCCCTTGTCTCCACATAGCTGGCATTTGTGAGAACAACCGTTGGCCTAGTTGAATTCATGACTCTATCATTTTTCCTCTCGGTAATCCTTTTGTGAGTATCAACTTGCCTTTCGGGGCAATAGTCATCATCGCCCTAGCCCGAGCCGCGAAGATTGATAGGAATGGCATTTTGAGAAGATGGGTGTGTATCGGGTGTGTGATGTGTACCGAATCAAATGCGAACCTCGGAATTGAACCTGATGACCGGTGTGAGCAAACAGGGACACGTAGGGTCTGGAGAAAGGTGAGCACGCGCAAGAGGGTGAGAGGTGCAAGGAATGTGCCACGAGATACGGAAAGGGGACACAACCTTGAGTGTGTGAGTAACGCAAAAAGCTAAGCCCCACGAGAGACGAGGAACTCACGGGGTTGAAGGTGCGCTGAAGATGCGTAAGAGCCAACTTTGATGAGAATCGGGGGCTTTCAAGAGCTTAAGAGAGAGGTAAGATGTCAGGTTCCACGAGAAGCAGAAGCCCAGGTAGGACTCAGGAGGAAAGAGCCATCCTCTACAAAAACGGGCATCTCATCCACCTACACAACACAACACAATCATCTGATCTGATCCAGTCTAATTCCGGGTGCCTGGGCCGCAGGATCGCTATACGAAGGTCGCTGTATGGCTTAGGTTAAGAATTACTATACAAGATTTACTCCCGTGGTTTTGACGAGGGTAATTTAGGTTGCGGAGTGGCTGCGAAAAGCTCGCTGTTTGTACGACTTTTTCTAGATTTTACTAGATACTCTGACTGATATCGATAGGAACTAGCATTTCTAAGGTATGCAGGGACCTCTACACCCACTTCCATCTCAGACTCAAACAACCCCAAGGAGTAGACACGGACATAAAATATAGAAATCACTTAGCAGAGAGAGTCTATCTATACCAAGAAACAAAAAAAATGAGAATCCAAAAAAGATAGGCCTCAAGTTCCGTTACATAACAAGACCCACGATCAAATGATGCGGATCACGCATTCTGAAATTCTGGCTAGCACGTAATAAAGGGACATGATGATGATCCCATCCATTCCTTCATCCATCCATTAAGCCGGATCAGCTCGGGTTTGACCTGATTAGATCCGATCAAATCAAACCAAATCAAGTCAAGCCAGAGGAGAGTAGAGCAGAGCAGAGCAGATCAGGTCCGAAACCAGGCATCAGACAGCGCCTCGCAAAACACGCCTAACTAGCATTAAAGATGGGGGTCATATCACAGCAGAAACTAGAACCAGACCATGGACTAGAAGATCAGAAAAGAAAAAGAGTAGAGTAGAGTAGAGTAGTAATCGCAGATCGAACCCCAAATGATTCAACAAGAAAAAAAGAAAAGAAGAGAAGAGAAGAGAAGAAGTGAGATAAAATAAAATAAACTAAACTCCTCGTTAAAAACCCCACACCTAGAAAACCCAGAAACTAAGAACCTGTGCGAAAGATCGAGACGATGTAGAGGAAGTGGAAGATAGAGAAGAGAAAAGAAAACCCCCGACGCTCGCCGACGCTAGTGGGAGGAAAAACAAAGATCAAAGGTCAAAATCAAAGCAAAACGTCATTCCGAACATTGATGAACGCCCCGGCGCCGCCGTCTTCGCTGATTTCATTGACGAGAGCTTCTGTTTGTTGGTATAGTCGTTCCAGGGCTGCGGAGGAGGATTTTCCGAGGGAGACTTGTACACGGATTAGCATGAATACTAACAAAGAGATGCAACAAAAAGTCTGGAAAGCAATGAAAGAAGAAAGAACCAGAACCGTGTACATACCCAAAATAGCCGAATTCAATTCCTCCGCCACAGCAACCCTCCCCGCAGGATCAAGATAATGCCCATGCACCGAATTCAGCGGATCCGGATACGCAACCAACGAAAAGATATCCTCAAGCATCTTCCTATCACCCCCATTCTCATCAGAAGGATAATCCATGCAAAGCTGCTGCCCATACTGCACCGCCTCGGTGAGCACCTCATTAAACGGGGCCGCAGACGTTGGTTCCTGATCCTCCGTATCCATCCCATCGCCGCCGTCCCAGGTCCCATCGTCCAACTCCATTTCCTGGTCAAATACGGCATGCTCGTCGGCGATGCCGAGACCGGGTGAGTCTGGGCGACGGCGTTTGGGGTTCGATGATGTACCCGGGGTGAGTTCGGTGGAGCGGCGCATCATTTCGAGGAATTTGCGGCAGCGGAGTTTGAAGTGGATTTGGGGGTTTGATTCGAGGACGTTGGCGTAGTAGGCTTTTGTGTGTTTGAGGGCTTTGTCGATGTCGCCGTCTAGAATTGCGGCACGGATTTCTGAACAGAGTGTTAGAGTTGTAATTGAAAATGTATTGAAAGATGTGAAAAAGGAGAAATGGGGACAAGGGGGGCCATTACTGTTCCGGTTGATGGCTTCGCGGTCTTCTTCGACTTCGTATTTCTTCAGTGGCTCTCGTTGACCACTTTGTAATGCCGCTGTCTCCGTGGCGACTTCTTCGGCAAAGGCTCGAGCTGTCTCGACGTAGCCATCATGTGCCAGGAATTGGGCTACCAGTTCTTGGAGCAATGCTGACTCGTTGAGCGGGGGCTGCAGACTATCAGTGCTTGTTGCATTGATCTCCGACTGAATCGAAGCTCGCTCTGCCTATTACGGTTGTCAGTTCGATCTGTAGGGAATTCTAACCAAGACACATGGCGGTACGCACCTTGACCATCCCATCAATATCAAACATGAACGGCTCCTGTCCAAAGTTCGCTTTGAGATGGACGGGTGGTTGCTTCTTCATCCCAACGGAAGGATAAAGCTTGACGTTACGCAATTCATGAAAGGCATTTCCTGTTCGTTCTCTTTTAGCAGTCTGTCACTCTCACTCCCCTCATCCCGGATGTGTCCTCTTCCATACCTAGAAAATTCCCATTCTTGGTGAAGAATGCTGACCCCGTGGAGAAATTTACCCCACAACCCACAGTATCTCCAACCCCAAATGTCGGTCCATACGGTCGCCCTTGACCCTGGCTCTCGCCGAAGAATGACTTTCCATCATCACCGTGGTAGGCCCATGATTCCTGTTCCCAGCCAGGGAGCCGCTCGACCGAAGCTTTGGGACTCGAGAATCCAATACCGATCATCCTATAGGAACCAACCGAGGATTAGCTTGATTCTTTCAACACTGTACATCCTCCCCTCCGGAAAACAACACTGCCAACCTACCCTTCCTTCGGTTTGGACTCGATCTTAATCTCAAAGTAGTATATGCCGCACTGTGGCGGCATAGGATGATCCGCCCGCAAAGCCGCCGCCTCATGATCATGTTTATGCACCGGCCCCGTGTATCGCACATCCAATCCATCATTCGAGAGTTCCAGCCCGGCATATTTGTCCGAAGAACTCCACTGCGTGGGGAGCGGACTGACCTGATCACTCGTCACAGCGGGGGGCTCTTTCTCGCTAACCTCATATGCCACACCTCGATGATGAGACGGGGCCAAGCGGGGGAGATGCACATGGCTCGAGGATGCAGAGAGGGCCGGACCGGAGGCAGACGTAGATGAAGAGACATCACGCTGTTGAGCAGCGAGCTTGGCTCGATGAGCGGCGTCGAGGCGGGAGATGTAGTGGGAGTCGCGGAGGTAGGACGGGGTAAAGAACGAGGGGCCATCGAGAAGACCCAGGCCATGCGGAAACTCGGATGGGCGCAGATAGCCAGCATACTTGCGCGAGTATGCTGGCAGGGAATCTGGGGACCCGGAGGTCCGCCAGGCGGAGTTCAAGTGCATGTCTGCGGCATCCAGGCCGGACAAGGCCCGGGGGAGACGACCGTCGGGCTGGGAGGGGGGATACGACGAGACTGGATTCGTATTGAAGATATGAGGGAATGAGCTGGTGATTGGAGTTGGAGGTGAGAATGCAGTGCCTGAGACGACGGAGGCGTAGGAAGAGCGGCGGGGACCGGAGGAGATGCCGTATGTTGGAGCTCGAGAAGCTCCACCAGGGAAGGGAAGGTCGGTCATGGCGGGCGGGTCAAGGTTTCTATCCACCAACAACCAACAACGGGGGGCAGTAGATGACGGCAACCCAACTGAATGTGCACGGCTAAAGGCCCGCCCCTTTCTTGCTTGTTTTTTTTTTTTTTTTTGGTTTTTCCACGTTTTCAGTTTCCAGTTATCGGAGAGTGGTGGTATGTATTGCTGACGTTGCGTGATAAGCGGGTCATCTGGTGACCGAAAGCAGCAAAGCAGCAGCAGCAGCAGCAACAACGAGGCCCGCACTAGAGAGACAAGCCGCCGAAACAATCAAATGTTGTTTCACGGACAAGAGAGGGTTTCGGGCAGCCCGCGGTGGTGGCCCTCGGTCGCCCACGTTTCCACCCCACCGTGAAAAGAGGTTTACAGCAACCCAAGGTCAGAAATAAAGATGGGAGTTGATGACCGAGGGATCTGTTTCTTGTCGTGAAACTGCGGGGAAGATTCTTATAGTTAGGCAAAAAAGGAGGGGGAAAGAAGGAAGAGTTGCAGCAAAGAGCACGGTGCTTTGTCACGAGGGCCCCTCCCCGTTCAGGCCCAGCACAAGCAGATAAGCAGATGGGAATGTTGATAGTAAATTATTAGGATAATGGAACTGCTACCTAGTAGAGAAATACTTGAAGACTTGTTATGCTATTATTATGGAATACTGCGCTGGTTTAAGCAACAAGCTCTCTCCCAACGTGCCCTAACCGGCAGACTCGAAGTTTATACTACAGAAAAGAACCACGTTGGATTTAGCCAGAAACAAATGAACATTTTTTGAAGGAGCTGCACACGCTATGGGTTCAGCCACAGAATAGAAAGAAAATCCTCCAGGTCAGTGAAATAAACAGACAAAACATGCAAGTAGAAAAGAACCAGCAGACACCCGATCCCAAAGACTCGGAGCAAAAAGAAGCCTCGAGAAACTATGATACAAAATGATTTCCAGGTACCCCAGTAGAACAGCAGACTGGACAGCCACCACCAGGTGCTGCCAGAGAAAACATATGAAAACCCCATCAGTCCTTGGGACAGACCATTTCCCTTTCCACAAAACGCCAGAATCCAAGCCCAAAATAACCGGAACCAGAGATGATTGCGCAAAAGACAAAGATGAGAGCAAGAGAAAACAAGAAGGAACACGAAACCAAAAAGTAATGAACGATCTAATGTACAGCCCCAGCTCAAGCAGCCGAGGCAATAGCCGGCGACGAGGGCTCAACCAGGTTCGATGGTGCAGGTGTGACTTCCCCATCACCAGTACTCTTTTCACTCGAGACAGCACTACTGCCATTAACGGTGTCGGTACCAGGGGCATTCAGCATCTTGGTGTCACTGTCCCCGTTCTCCAGACCGGCAGCCACTTTGTCCCCGTCGGACTCGAGCTTAGCGATCTTGTAGCTGCCCCAGGCGGGTAGCTGCCACATGACACCAGTAAAGCTGCGCAGCTTGAGAGGTTGGCGTTCCCACTTGCGGCATGGGGCGCCGCTGCGATCTAGAGCGCGGAGGTGTGCATTGATAGCGCCGGTGTTGGCCTTGGGTCCCAGTCGAGGTGCAACAGACACCTTGCCAGGTTCGCCGCCTTCGTCACTGTAAGAGTATAGCAGGTTAGCTTGTCTTCTTCTTCTTTATCATAGATACAGTCGGGGTGTTCTTGTCGAGGGTTGCTTCGGGGATAAACCTACAGACGAGCTTTCTTCTTCGGACCGGGTCGACCGCGTACTCGCGCGACGGGCTCCATCTGCCCGTTGGCGCGTTTAGTACCAGGCTTAGGACCCGGGATTCCCTTCCGTCGCGGCGTGTCGCCCGGGGTCGCCCCCGTGGCGGGTGTTGAGTTCGCGTCGGCATTTGATTCTGCGTCCGCCGAGGATGGACGAGCGGCTGGGGCTTCGGTCGAGGAGGCCGGTGAGGACTGCTCCGTGGGCTTGTCGGGATTGGATGTAGGTTCGGGGGTCTTGGTCTCGGGGGATTCGGGAACTTCGTCCAAGAACTGTCGCAAGGCCTTGGGAGCCAGCTTAAGAGTCACGAGTAGCGTTGTGGGAGCATTCTTGGCCGCCCCGGCTCGATTGGAGCGACCGTTGGGGGTAGAGCCGGCCGGCATGGTGGATGTGAAGAAAGTGACGAGGGACGAGGGAACGAGGGCGTGGATTCGTGATGCGGTCGTGGTATGGTCCTGGGAAAGAGGGATTGAAGGGATGACGACCGGTATCCGAATGAGTGGGCGGGTTGATCGTGACGTGGTTGTTTTAAATTGTTAGGTTCACGAGATTGGCAGGCTGAGGCCAAAGTGGTGGTTGGATTTGTAGTAGGGCAGCGAGGTTATGGGATCATAGTATGGAGGAGTGGATGGGAAGAAGAGGAGGGAGGAATGGGAGGAGGGGGGAGATGAAAGAAGGGGAGCAGGGGGGAAAGGTCGAAGTGGATTTCATCTCGTCTCTGACGATTGGAAAAAGGTTCTTTCGTGAGCGACTTTGTGGTACGGCCCTTCCACTTTGTATTGGGGACTACTCGCTCCGACTAGTTTTAACTAAGGGGACTCTAAGGGGAGGTGAGGCTTCGCGTTCTTGTAATGGTATTACCGATAAGCCAAGCCTGGGATTGCAGGCAGAATGTATGGTGGCTATGCCGGGATTGGGGCTGTCTTGGACTCTGTGACAATACCGATACCCGCCCCGATCTTCCCATGCAAACGAAGCAGATCCTCTCTTCGCCAGACTCCAATGCACGTCCCTCGCCTTTGATTTGATGTCTGCGTAGGCATCCAGAAACGGGGAAATAATTTCTTTTGTGATGCTATCCTAGCAGCACTTGAGTAGAATTCTACAATCAAGTCTAGGATCAAGTAAATAACTAACGCTATATTCAAATGCTACCATCTCAATACAATCCATTCTTATCATTCAACTCTCCTAATACATTCCGAGCGAGATCGCCAACACCAGCCCTAACTCCCGCCTTTTGTAAAAAAATTCTCAGTATAGGCTAACTAATCATCCTCCCTTTCCGACGGATCTCATTCCTGGCACCCAGCTCCGCAGCATCCCGAAAATGGCTCACTCGGTGGTCTATGCTGGCCCATAGATTGACAACAGTATTGCTGTTTACTGTACGAAAACACAAACCCTCTGTATGCACTGATCCTCAGCTCGTCACCTCTTTGTCTCGACCACTGGATACATACCCAAGACACCAAATTCACAACGCCATGGCCTGATCCCTCCGATCACGGGTATGGGCATCCATCACGGGGCGACCACCGCCCCCCTCGGCCTTTATGACCTCTCCAGAAAACAATTGTGATCATGCACGCCACCCCGAGGAAATCCATCTCCCTGTGCCCACTATTGCTTTTCCTCCCCGTCTTGGTTATCGCTGGGGGCGAACGACCTGAACCTTTCCGGAAACTCCGCCACGGTGTGAATGAAGCCACGGCTGGATTTTATTCGAGCGGAGGTTGAAGCTAATGGTTTTCCTCGAGGTCACAGGATGTTTTATTTCAAGGATATCTCGTTCAAGGAAATATTTCGTTTGAATCAGGATTTCATTATTCAGGGTTCCTTCAAAGAGCTTCTATTTTGGGCGAGGATTGGGCTTTGTTAGTATACGAGAAAATCGCCTCCTTTAGGTTTGCTTTGCTTTGCATGAAAGGGTAAGTCACGCTTACTGTAGACTTCAACCCTCCCAGTCTCTAATTCAATATCACGAGGATCTTAAGCAGGTTTCTGCTGTTTTCTCTCAACAGCATCCATCCATCTACATATCTGACCTTCATGCGCCACACATTGTTCCACCCAAAAGATTGAAATTGAACGCCAATCCCAATGTTATTTATCTTATCATGTACAACGAATCAAGTCTACAATGTATCCCTCCTTCATCCCCATCTAATCAACCTTATCCTCCTTCTCCCCCTTCCTCCTCTCCACAACCTGTGCAACAGCCCGTTGCACCTCCGGACTAGCCCGCACTCCCCCAAGAATCAACCCCTCCTTCATCCCCCGTCGCAACGCAGACACACTCTCCCGATCACCCCGGAACGGCGCGAGTCCAAGCTGCAGCAGGCGCGTAGCTTCAAAATCCGTCGCCCGCGCCGACTGCACGAGCTGGCTCATGCGCTGCATCGTTTGCGGGGATAGTCTCTCGCCGTTGTTGCTGGAGGTGGCGGTGGGCGGGGCCATTTGCGAGATGAAGATGTGGAGGGTGATGGAGGCGCGGCGGGCGAGGGTGAGGATTTGGAAGGGGAGGAGGTAGAAGGATTGTTCTTCGGGTATCCAGGCGCGGATTATGGAGGGGAGGTAGGAGGTTGGCATGAAGACGGCTTGGGGGTGGGTGATTAGGGCGAGTTCGAGGGTGAGCATGCCGGCGAAGGTGAAGAAGCGCCACTGGAATTGGGATTGTATTAGTATATTGCATTTTATGATCCCTGGTGTACCAGTGTTGGGAGGAACTTACGTAGCGACCCCAATTAGCCCACCATAGCCAGTTCAGCACAATCATCGTCGCAAAGCCTCCGATATACTGTGGAATGACCGCGCGGGAGAGCGATGCAGTCACGAAATCGCGCATGGTCTTCTGTTCGCCCCAGTTCAACATATCAGGCCCGAATCGGTCATATGCGAACCGTTTCACAGGATCAGCCAGCGTCTCCTGGGCCCGCCGCAGGAAGATGAACTGTGCTTCGGCTCCATTGTCGAGCCCGACCTTATCTGGATGGAACTGGGCTGCGACCTTGCGGAATCGGGATTTAATCGTGCGCTCATCAGCGAATGGTGATACTCCAAGCACTTTGTAGTAGTCGCCCGCGACTTGGACTTGGTGGAAGGTCTCGTAGAGAGTGTAGAAGAGGTAGCTGATGATCACGAGGATGAAGATGCGGCGGCGATCGCGCTCGAAGCGTGGTGTCTGCGGCATAGGGCGAGGGTCGCCTGCTCGAATCGTAATACCATAGTAGACATTCTGGAGGAAGGATGTGGCATACTGCGAGGGGGGTTAGCATTAGTTATCACTCTGGTCTTATGTTTACAAGGCGGCGTGTGATCTCTCGGCATTGAGGTGTTCCACATACATTGGGAAGAAATGACCACCCAATAAATGGTAGAATAGACGCCATATCTCGCACAAAAGACTGGAAATGAACCACCAATCCCAAAAATCAGAGACAATCACTTTCAAATCTCCCTCAGGCCAGGCTGGCGACTTGATGATACTCGGCCCCAAAGCCCAAACTCCGGGCGGTAAACTGACCCCGTCACCGCCCAGCCCCTCCACCGCCTTCTCCAAGCGCAGAATGAAAAAAAAAAGTTGTCGATCTCGAAAAGGCCGAGAAGAACCACCAATTAATCCCAACCCATCAATTACACCCGGCTCCGCGGAGCGCTCAATTGCGTCAAGAATGGCCCTCGACGCAATGGACCTCGATACCTCCCCCGCGCCCACAGACGTGGAGCGCAAACGCAAGCACAAGAACAAGGATGCCTCGCCGTCCAAGAAGCGCAAGCAAGTCGACCAAACCGCCGACAAAACCAAGTCCAAGTCCAGTTCCAAAAAGGACAAATCAAGCACAAGCTCGACTGGCGCTGGCGCTGGCGCTACGACTGCCGGAACCCCCGGGTCTCCCTTCTCCCTCACCACGGCCACACTATACCTGCCGCTGGCGCCGATTTCCATCTCGTCAAACGTTGCGCTACAATCGCTGCTCACCGAGCATATTTCCCCGCTGCTTCTCACTTATTACCCCCCGTTGAAGGGTATCGTTCTGGCCTACAGTCATGCCTCGATCTCCGCTACGCCTCCTTCCTCTACACCCCGCAATTCCTCCGCCGATCCAAACCCCAAGCCGCTCACTATGGCTCGCAGTGCCGACGAGTACGGTGTGCTTTACGTCTATCTGACAGCTACTTTCCTGGTGTTCCGCCCGCAGCGCGGCCAGACCCTGGAAGGCTGGGTCAATGTTCAATCGGAGGGCTTTTTGGGGAGCTGTTTTGCTGAATTTGTTCTCCGTCGGTATCGAGCGCAAGCGTCTCCCCACATCGTGGACGTGGGTTCCTCCCGGCGAAGACTGTGAAACGTCCGAGGGTGCCGTAAAAGATTTGACTACGGATGATGAGTCCGGTGTCAATGCTGTGCCACCAAGCTTCGACGCCGAGAAGGAGCTGTTCCAGCCCGCTGCGCTGGCAGCTGACGAGCTCGATATCGATGGCGAGGCGGAAGAGGAGGAGGCAGCCAGTGGACATTTCCAGTCTATCTCTGGTCACAAGGTGCGCGGGAATATCAAATTCCGCGTTGTTGATATCGACGTGATTCCTGGCTCGGAACGGGATCGTGGCTTTTTGAGTATTGAGGGGACGATGTTGACGGCGGAAGAGGAGGAGGCACTTTTGGCGGCGGAGAGACAGGGCCAGGCACTGCCTCCTTCGTTCTTGGGCTCACCCAGGAGGAAGAATGGCAGGATTGTGCCGATTTCAAGCTCGCCGGCCGCGGATGCGGTGGTTGATGTTTCTGTTGTGGAGATCGAGGAGCCTACTGGTGAGAGTGTGAGTGTGTCCGAGCCCGTGGAGAAGAAGAAGGAGAAGAAAGAAAAGAAGGAGAAAAAGGACAAGTCCAAGTCTAAGAAGGAGAAGAAGGAGAAGAGCAATAAATGAGTTGGTCTGGCAGTGGAGGTCTAGCATTGGCACCTCTGAATTTGACCAGGCTTTTTTCACTGGACGGGAAATCGGTAGCCCTCTGCTGAGACTGCCGATATGTTTTGATATTCGCCATTTATATTGGACTTTACATTCGCGGTGGGCGTTCCGGTTTAAAAGATTCATGCCACATGTGTATATGTCACTTGCAGAGCAATTCATACTATGCTATACTACTGAGTACGATCTGTCTTCTTTGATTAAACTACAGGACTTAGTAGAAATATCTCAAGTAAAAGTCTTGTCTAGAAGATAATGCTGATACAAGCTTGAAGTGGGCTTCCATCTGATACCCAAATAATTACAGCCTGAACTGTAGTTGTCTAGACTCCTAGACCCTTCCCAGTCGAACCGGAGAACAGGGAATGGTGACCAATCCAGCCCGCTGATTGGTCAATTCCCCACAGTCACGGTGATGTCACTGGTCCCTTATACTTCACCATCCTCCCGATCTCCATTCTTGATGATTGTCCTCCGTATTCTGGATGAATCCGGTCATGTCAAAGTACCGAATAGAATATCCAACTTAAATAGCAGCTCCCATCAATCTTGATAAATCCAACCCACCTAGTCTTACCACCCATTCCGCCAATCCAACTATTCCATCTCCGATCTCGATCCCTTTCCCTCCTCCATCATCCCCCACCAAATCGCCGATGGTCTCATCGCTCAAACCCCTCTTCTCTCTCAATCGACTCCCCCGCTCGGGTCTGCGTCACCGCTACTCACCAATCACCTCCCTTGGTACACAATCACGATTTGCCCATAGGTGTCGGTGTCGGTGTGGTTGTCAATCGTCCGCCAATAGTACTTACTACTGTGTCTGTTCCTGTTGTGCCCATTCTCCCTTTTCCACCTCCGCCCGCAATTTAATTCCTACCCAAGCTCCATCTCCAGCTCCATCTCCAGCTCCAGCTTCAGCTTCAGCTTTGAAATACTCTACTACATCTATTCGTACTATATCCCAAAAATATCCATCCTCATCACACCTACATCATTCTCTGTCTATACGGGCATTCTCTACTTGGAATCTAACACGACCACTACTACCAACTTTAAAACCAACCACCCGCTCTTATTCCCGAGCTCGCCCCTTCGCCACCATGGCCCAGGAATACAAGCTCATCGGTCTGGCATCCCTGGCCGATGTCAAATCCTTCGATAAAATCGAATGCGAGGTCGATGGTGTACAGGATGGCAAGGTCCTCGTCGTGAAATACGATGGCCAGGTCCATGCGCTCAGCCCGCGGTGCACGCACTACGGAGCGCCGCTGAAGCTTGGCGTTGTGGTGCCGGATGGCCGGATTACTTGTCCATGGCATGGTGGTATGTGAAATTCGTTTTTGTAATCGAATTGCATTGTAATTGGGGGGATATAACCAGAAGAGGGGAGATGGATGGGAGGATGTGATTGGAGTGCTATGCTGATTTATCTTACCCGTCTAGCTTGCTTTAATATCAGTACCGGCGATGTCGAAGATGCGCCTGCTTTGAATGCGCTGCAGAAATTCGACATCTTCGAGCGCGATAATGCCGTTTACATCCGTGGCACGGAGGCAGATATCAAATTTGGCCAGCGGAATCCAGTTACCAAATGCTCCGTTTCCAATGCTGAAGAGAAGGTCGTCATTGTTGGCGGGTAAGTCAATTCCCATCATACAATGTCCTTCCCTCCATATTCTTATAATCACATACTAACATCCGACAGAGGAAGCGGCACAATCGGCGCCGTCCAAGCTCTCCGTGAACTCAAATACCCCGGCAGCATCACAATCATCTCCAAAGAACCCGAAATCGTCATCGACCGCACCAAGCTCTCCAAAGCCCTAATCGCCGATCCAGCCAAGATCCTCTGGCGACCCCGCGAATGGTTCACCGAAGCCGGCATCGACATCGTCAACGACGAAGTCACATCCGTCGACTTCGCCGGTAAATCCGTCAAAACAGCATCCGGCTCGACAATCCCCTATTCCAACCTCGTCCTCGCCACGGGCGGCTTACCACGTACCCTGCCTCTGCCCGGCTTCCGTAACAACGAGCTCGGCAATATTTTCACGCTCCGCTATGTATCAGACGTCCAGGCCATCCTGGCCGCAGCAGATGGCTCGAAGAAGAATATCGTCGTTATCGGCTCGTCTTTCATCGGAATGGAAGTTGGCAACGCGCTAGCAGGAAAGGATCACGCCGTTACTATCGTGGGAATGGAATCCGCACCCATGGAGCGCGTCCTAGGCGCACAAGTCGGTTCTGCTTTACAAACAAACCTCGAAAAGAACGGTGTCTCGTTCAAACTCTCCGCCGGCGTCGAGAAAGCTACCTCCTCCGATTCAAACCCATCTACTGTCGGCGCAGTCCATCTCAAAGACGGCACCGTCCTCCCAGCAGACCTCGTCGTGCTAGGCGTCGGCGTCCGCCCCGCAACAGATTACCTCCGCGATAACTCCGCGATCACACTGCTAAAGGACGGCTCACTCGAAACAGACGTCCACTTCGCCGTCCCCGGTCTCGACGGTGTCTTTGCCATCGGCGATATAGCCACATATCCGTACAACGGACCCGGCGGCGACGGCAAGCCTGTCCGCATCGAGCACTGGAACGTTGCGCAGAATATGGGTCGTGGTGTTGCCCGTGCGATCGTCCATGCTAGACGGTCCCCGCTGGCGTCGTTACCTGCTAAATCATTCATCCCCGTTTTCTGGTCGGCCGTTGGTGCGCAGATGCGGTATTGTGGAAATACGATTCATGGGTTTGATGACCTTGTTATTAAGGGGCAGCTTGGAGAAGCTAAGTTTGTGGGGTATTATACTAAGGGGGAGACTGTTGTTGCTGTCGTTACTATGGGCATGGATCCGGTTATGGCTAAGGCTGCGGAGTTGATGAGGAGGGGTCACATGCCGGGGAAGAAGGCAATTATGGATGGGATTGATTTGTTGGCTGTGAATGTTTGAGGGGGGTGGTGGCTTTGATAGAGAGGGCTTACAACATTCCTTTGTAGTCAGGTTTTCTGGTATTTATACTTTTCTTTGAAGTTTTTGGTAGCTGGGGCTGGTAGAGACCTTGTCATGGAGTAGTTGTAGTATAGTATCGCCCTTCTCTACTCATTTCACTGCCCTGTGGCATTATTCCTCATCATAATGGTATATTGTAAATTTATTCCCTTTCAAAATATTTTATACCCTCCGCCATGCCAGTATCACGCTTCTAACAACTTGGAGCCTTATAACAAGGACAGCTAGATCTGGATATTCGGAGACACGTCGGCTCGCGAATCGACCGGTCTCTTCGTATATTCTGTTGAAAAGAGAGTAAGGCAGATGGATGAGTGCCCCCAGAATCTCTGAACATATGTTGGAACCCGAGAAGCAGGCCAAAAATTTACTGGATGTCAGTAAGAAATGGAAATAGAAAGCAATCACGGCAGAAAGAAGGGTCGTGACTAAGGATCGATCTGGAACTAGGTGGCATGCCAAACAATGAAGGTGAAAACACTATATATCGAGCTCTCATCTTTCCATCTTCATCTCTTTCTTCACCTTTTCGCTACGTTCCTCGTCACACATTTACTCCATATTCACCACCATCACACCCTTCATCATGAGTACCGTCCTCACGAAAACTATCACCGAACACCTCTACCACCCTCTCTACACCCTCTGGCTGCCATGTCAACCCGGAAATCTTCTCAGCCTGGCCTCACCTGAAAGTTACGAGCAAGCCGACAAGATCCTACAAGAGACTCCCTCCTTCCAGGCCTACCTCCACCATATTGAGACCAACACAACGAATCCCTCGTCACTACTCTCAGTCTTCGCAATCCCCCGCCTTTCTCAGCTGAATATCCTGAGACCAGAGAAATACCTCGATCGGAAAGCTAGTACCTCGGTCATTTTCCAGGACCAGCGCCTGTATTACCCAGAAATGAGTGGTCTGATTCCCGGTTCAACAAAGGATGAAGAGTTGGTTCATCTTGCGTTGAGTCGGTTCCTGGAGACTCTCGGTTCTCTCGTGTTGGGTGATATGCTCAAATGGCAGGATGAGAAGTATCCTTTCAAGCCGACTATGTTTGGTCATGGAGTGATGGAGGCCCGGATTGACGGTTCTTTGGTCAACTGTTTGACAAATGAGGCCTTCGCTATCCTCGATGCTAGGACCGTTTACCGGAGTAGAGAGGAGAGGAAGCTCTACTGGGAGGAAACTGCTAAGATGGTATCTTGGATACAGCATGATCTGAGGAAGGGTCGTCAAAGCCCGCCACCACGGTGAGTACCCATTCCATGCGTTCTTCGTTCATCTGTATTTGCTGTTTTGAATACTGATTTTGGCAGATACCTTATCATCTCCCAATGCTTGGAGCAGATTTACCTAGTTGTCGCCAATTTCGACAAGGACTACGAAGAATACATCAAGATCCTTGAGGCGCCCGTCCTGTCCGATAATCCCAGAATCTCGTGTGAGATGATGGAGATGACAGAGTATGGCCCTTTCAACACTGATGATGCGGCACACATGAAGGAATTTTCAAAGCATGTTCTGGCCTATTACTGTGAAATTCAGAAGACGGCTTTTGCCGAGGTTCCGAATTAGTTTCGGATCTCAGTGAGTGGGGGCATGGTGCTTAAATTCATACATATCTTATGTGTCTAGAGTTAGTGAATTTTTGTGCTTGCTTTGATACGGCGGATCTACCGTAGACCATTCATTGTCATCAAAAATTTCTAGTCATTTCTAATTTATACAATCCACCTAAACAAATATCAATATAGGGAAGTACATAAAGGGAACAATGAAGAAAAAAATAGGTCTATCTAACTGGTAACACATCCATTAAGATATAACGGAAAATGGCACACCATTCTATACAATCTCAACTTTCCTTTATCCTCTGCATCACAGCAGAACATCAAGAAGAAGCATCAATGATACGCTGCGCCGTCCGCACATCCGGCGACAAGCCCTTCAACGCCGCAGCAAGCTCATCAGCAGCTTCCAAAAGACCCTCATTAGAGAGCGGCTTCAACGCATCCAAAATAAAAAGCACCCTGGTAGTCTCATCCGTCAACGCCGTCCTTGGACCCTGCCTCCAATTCCATCTCCGACAAGTAACACCACTCTCATCACACCAAACCGGCTCTCCAGGCGCCGCATTTTCCACCAGCGGCTCTCCACCTGAAAACGTCTGAAACGACTCCGTCCCCGTCGCACGAATCAAAAACGGCGCCCCATCATACTTATCCAAATCCTCGCCTCCGAGTGGAATCTGATGTTTCACCGAAATCGCATTGTAGATGTCGGTTAACTGGTTCACGCGTGGCAGACCACCTTCTGCGCGGCGTGTTAGGGCTTCCAGGCTGTTTCGGGTTTTCTGCGGCTTGGCGCCGAAGCCTTTGTATGCTTCTCTCCAGGCGGCGATGTGGGGAAATGAGGTTATGGGGGATTTGGTGAGGAGGGTTTTGATGTGGTGTTCGGCTTCTTGGAGCATGGTTTCGCTGGTTGTGTTGCTGGGTCCTGGGGGATTCCTTCGACTACCATTAAGAGGGCGCGGTAGTCTGGGCGGAGGGTGAAGATTTCCGGGGCAACGCGTGCTGCTTGGAGGATTTCTTGGGCGGTGCGTTTTGTGGCCATTGTTGGTGGTTAATGGTGGTGATTGGAGGGGATGGTTCTTTCAAGTAAAGTCTGGTTGTAAAACGAGGAACAACAAAGGAGGTGAATTGAAGCTGTAGACTGCTAGTATGAATGAATGCAGGAACGGCGCTTTATATGTCCCTTCTGTGGCGTAGGGCTGACTTTATATGCTCTTGTAAACACTTGAATTTTCTTCATTTTCGGAATCTTTCCAGAAAATTCTTTCAGTATGACTTGAAATAGTATTGCATTTGAGTGTTTGATGTAAATGGCTATTAAATTGAGGTAGGAATTTCCCCACTCCTCTCAGTTTCCTAAGACGGGTAACACGAGGTCGTCCGTTGTCAATGGAAAGGCGTGATGGTGGCAAGGTAGGGCTTGGTTGAGTATGCGCTAAACCATATAGGGCAGTTGATGGTAGTGGGTCTCTATCAGCGATCTGCCCAAGCTTGGGTAAATAACCGATCGGTACCTATGTCTACGTCTAGGTATTGTCGGTTCAACAGCGTGGAGACAATTATCAGTCCTATGAACTACTTCACATGATGTATGACCATTCATTAATCTGTAGACGCTTGTCAGAATAATACTTGGTCATCATCTTCTATGTAGCCTAGCCGAATCTGGTTAGTCACTCTGGCCGGCCCACATGAATTCATGCCTACCAATAAAACAGCTTGAAATCTCTACTCTCCGGTCTCTCCGCCATAATGTATTTTTCGTTCCAATCCTCCATCACCGAACACACTTGGCCTGCTGGTTAACGTGCTTGGATCCGGCCGGCTGGCCCAATGGCAAGGCGCTTGACTACGAATCAAGAGATTGCAGGTTCGACCCCTGCGTCGGTCAGATTTTTGCTTTATTGTGTGTCCTTGAACTGGTTTTTTGGCATCTAGTTAGGTGTGGAAGACGTCTGTGGGTGATCTAAACATTTTTTGGTCGCAATTCTGGTCGGATGGTACGTGAAATTAAGTTTTTAAGAACAAAGGAAATTCAAATCAAGACCAAGACAGGATTGCACATAATGAGCAATTAGGAGCACGCCGGAAGTAATCCATTGACTGAAGCGTAGAGAGGGAATTCCAGTACATAAAATGTCAAGGCTAGAGAGGACAATATTAAGCATTACCCTCATCCCTTTTCATCCTATTAACTTCACCTTATAGCAGGCAAGGGTGGCTAGTCATGTCGGTACAGCGATACTAGGGAAAGCACTTATAGTTATAACAATGGATATGTTAATGTAATTAGTAGGGAGGGTTATTTGAGCCACTGTTGGGTCCTAGCATTGTAATTATGGTGCATGATTTGCTTAATTCTACTGCTCTTTACCAGCATGAATTCCGCGTTGAGTCGGCACTAGCCTGAGTAGCTTTCCTGCCATGTTCTGACCAATATATATGTTTCCGTACATCAAGACTCAGATCGAAAACGTAAATAGTGAAATTGCTTGCTCTCTACATTGCTGATCCACAAAGGAATACCCGACTAAAAATAAGAATTCCACACCAACGAAAAACCACTTAAATCACGAAAAGAGAAGAAGAAGGGAGATCACGAGAGACATAAAGAGAGGCAATAGGGCATTCGATGCCTGCAGGATAAGGCACTAATAAGGCATTGACATTTGAACCCCCTCTCAAGATGAAAAAAATTAAAACGGGCATTTAGCAACCGCCAAACCCTGTATTCAACCTGAAATACCTCTAGTAAGATATCTTTGAGCCCGTGGGAAGCAATGCATCACACAATTTGTAAATGAATCCTGTCACTGACTAGTAAAATGAAGATTCTTTCATCTCATGAATGCCATTGGCTCATGTAGCATATTTTGGCCGTTTTTCTTCAACAAGACAGTTTGGCCGAGTGGTCTAAGGCGCTTGACTAGAATCGGATTCAATTCTGAGGTTATCAAGTCTCTTCGGAGGCGGCGGTTCAAATCCGCCAGCTGTCGTTTTTTGGGCTCTTTAGAGTATTCGGAACTCTTTTTTTTTTTTTTTGGTTGATGGGATTTGTTGGTGGCGGGTAAGCGAGTGGGGTTGTGGAGGGGTCTTGAGTGGCTGGAAGTTGGGTGTGGTGGAGTGGCATGTTGATAGTGACGATAGAATAATACAGAACCAGACAGTATGACAGGAGCGTGAGAAAGTACGGTACGAATCAATAGAAATAAATGGGTCAGAGTTTCATAGAAAAGTGATGGTATCTACTCAAGAACATGGTTATGGACTTACAGTGTCGATACGATGGTTCAACCTACTCTACGATGATACACTCTACGCTGAATTACGCACACAAATTAATGCACCAAATTAATCCAGTGGTCATATCTCATTATTTCGTAGCGCATCTCAAGAATAAGACCTGAACCAACGCTTGAACTCACTCATCCAGCCCCAGGGAAAAAGGGGAAATGAATGAGCGAGTCAAGACATCCACGGATGCTGTTTGGTGCCGAGATGCAAAGATGCACTGATGCAAATTCAATGGGGGAATCAATGCAATTGTACTCGCGAGGCTGTGAGACCTGAGACCTGCTGGAAGTACCAGGAAGTCACAGAGCGAATATTTTATTTCTTTCTTATGGCTTGCAGATGAGGTTCTTTGTTGCAAGATAAGCTTATCTGGGTCGTCCACGTTCCTGGGACTGGAGGCTTATCTGATGAGATCTGATGAGATCAGATCAAATGAGATCTTGACGTGAGGGGTCCAGTTCTGGAAGGACGCTTGTCAGGGGCATCGGGGGTGCGTTCATCGATGTCTTCTTTGTTTGTTCTGCTCTCCTCCTCTTCCTCCTTCTCTACTCCACAACAACATCTTCCCTCCTCTCTTCAGCAACATCATTATCGTCCCCGCCCTGCCGCGGCGTGAAACCGGCCCACCCGCGGCGGAGGGCTGTTTTTGTGTTTTTTGATTATCGTTTCTTCACAACTTGGCGAAAAGCAAGGCATTCAAAATGGAAGCGATGACCGAGTTCAGGGTCCCGGGATACCTCGATCCAGGCGGATGCATGAAGCACCGCATTGACAGGCAGAGACAGAGACTAGAATCCAGCTTTCAAGGGAAAACAAAAAGCCGAATCTAGTTACTGAAACTCGTCTGCAATCTACCTGCGGACAACGATACCCTGGCGGCGGACACCACTGCGGGCACGGCGGTACTCCTCATCACTGTCCTCGGACTCGGAGCAGCTAGCCTCGCTGGACTCGGTGACGTAACCGCAGCGAGAACCGCCGCAGTCCAACTTGACGCGGTCGCCCTTGCGGGTGATACCGTAGCGTTCACAGCGGCACTGGAGTGGGGGATCACTCATGGAGGACAGGGACGAGGGCGAGGTCGAGCCCGACGAGCGGGATGACAGCGAGGAACCAGCCGAGGAGGGTGGGCTGTTAGAGTACGAGTACTCATCAGACAGACGAGAGCCGGCAAAACGGCGGGTCAAGTCGTCGACGGTGGGGGTGTACTCGGCCTCGCGGAGCTGGCGGGAGGCGTAGGGCTTGCTTGGCTTTGGGTGCTGGATCTTGGAAGGCGAGAGAGCGCGGCCAGTGGCGACGGTCGAGCTGCGGCGGGCCTTGGGTGCACTGCGGGCACCGCTGCTGGACTTGCCTCCGGGAACATCGAGGATGTTCAGCTTGCGGCCGGTGGTGGGCTCGACGGTGTACTCGACAGCTGGGTCGTGGGAGACGTGGTAACCGTCCATGATGTAGTAGTACCAGTAACGACCACCGAGTTGCAGCATGGAGGTCTGGAAGCGGAACTTGCCGACCCAGGCACCGGGCTTGTCTTCGCCGGACAGGGGCAATTGGCGCGAGTAGTTGTCCCAGGAGCCGACCAGGTGGACGGTCTTGACGTTGGACGAGGTCCGGAGGGAGAACTTGAGTTGAACGGCGGCCATGATGAATAATGTAAATCAGATAAAAATGAAGTATAAAAATAGTCGTAAAACGTTGTCGTAGAGAATTATCGGCGCAAAAGAAGAGTTCCTGGAAACTCTGGTTTTGTTCTGTTCGAGGTGGAACCGGCCCACGACAACAATAGGAATTATAAAAGATTCCGAGCGAGATTAAATTAACAGTGAGTTTGTTGATAGAGCTGAAACAGCAAGGCAACACGATCGACCGGCGAAAGGTTGCAATAAGGCGGAATGCACTTGCTGTTGGTGATAAAAAAAGAAGATTCGAGATTGAAATCCGAAGCACAAGGCAGAATAGATCGATCTGGTGATGGGTAAAAACAGCACAAAGAGCACAGCTCGTTTGTGTTGATAGGGGGATAGAATTAGAATAGAAGTATAAAGTGGGTAGAAACAAAAAACAAACACCTGGCAGCCAGTGCTAGGATTTTGACTCGAAAATGGGCAGCTCTAAACAACAAACGCTCGCTGAAGAGAAGAAAGAAAGCGAGTCTGCCTGGGCGGCAGGGGGATCTTTTAAGGGAATCGAATGGATCAGCGGCACACAGCAAAAGGTGCAGGGCAAAGACAACAATGCCCGCGAATTCTTGTTGGCTGGACTTGTCCGTTGAACTTTGGCTGACCTGGCTATGGTGTTGAGCGGGTAGTTTAGTGATGTGATTGGTGAGTTGATACCGTGCATCGTGATGGACACTCGACCTACTGTCCAACCAATCACGTGGCTGGATTTGACGCTGGCCTCGATCAACTTACATCAACTCCACCCCCCTCTTCACGGGCTTTCACAGACTTGGTCTACACTAGTATCGACTTGGCTAGTCACATATCTTCCCCCTCCTCGAATCAGCCGCAAGGATCCCCTCATTGTCCGTATCCTGGTGGATTATCGCATGCGAAAGACCGACTTCCATGCCCTGATCCTCCTGCCCTCGTCAGCATCCATGCAGGAAAGATACCACCACCCGGGATGTGCCCGGACGTCATGCTTCTGCAGGAATACGCCTCGACGGATGACCATGACCTAATAAGTCCGTCCGGTATGTCGTGCTGACCATCTTCGCATGGTATCAACCTCGTTGCAAAACACCCAGAGCACAGTGTTGTTATCAATGTGATAGATATAAGTAAGCACCGGACTTCTTGCCTTAACGTTGACCGACCGGCACTTTACTAGAAAGTGTCACGGTCGGAGATCATGCCGGGACACAAAAAGGACTTGACTATATGTCCTATCACCTATGACAAGGCCCTTGCGCCCAGCCTGCGCACAGTCCACAATCCAGACGGGCGGGCTCCCTCGTAACCGGGACAAATTCGCCGACTTGCAGTCGTACCTCTATTAGAGCGTGAAGATGTATCTGTGCCCTCCATGATATTGCGGCCCACCCACCGCTTCCGCTTATGGGTGCGCCCTAAATCCCCGTCACCCCTAAATCCCCGTCACATTTTTACCATGCGTCTAAAAAAACCATCAAATTAGATAACTAGCCTAAATAAAAAAGATCTCCTCGCTCCAGGGCTACTCTAGCCGATTCGGTAGACCTATCAATATCCTCCTGGGGCCTCTTTGGCATATCCAAACCAGTAGCCTGCTTATACTGCTTCGCAAGCTTCCTCTCCTCCGCAGCAGCCTCTTTCTCCTTTCTAGTCTTGATTGACCGATTCGCATCGCGAACGCTTAGTATACCAGTTTGGCTAAGCGGTTTAACCTGGCGCTTGGTAATTAGGCGCCTCAAGGGCTCCTGAGCGGCCCTAATTCGCGAAACAGTCGCTTCCGCCATCATAAGCCGCTCGTAGATTATCCTGTGGTGATTGTGAAGCATTGCAATATCTCGCTGAACCTTCGGGTCAAAGGTAGCCACCTTCTTTGATATCTTCTTCTGATTCTTCTCTAGCGCTTCAATTGACTTCGGAGGGGTATTCTCCACGCTTGATGATAGTAAATTTGTAGGCTCCGGTGATAGAGTTCGGGGTTCTCCATAAGCGCGAAGATCAGGTGCGTGAAGAGGAGTAAATTCTAGCTGGCTAGCTAGTTTATCCACTATATTTTGGCCGTTGACTGGCCAAATACCACGATCTTTGAAGGATTACCGAATAATTCGTTGGTTAAATGCCTTCGCTCGTACAGGCCCAATTACCCGTAGAAAATCCGGTTTACCACATAGCTGACCACCCCAGAAAGATAGCTCATTATTCATAAGCCGAAATTGCTGCTTATAGCTCAAAAATGGCTTACCATCAAGTGGCTGACAGAGATGTGTTGAATGAGGTATAAAGCCGAATAGTATAATATCAGCTAACTCGCATATCTCAAGGAATTCGAGGGTAAGATGTGCTCCGTGGCCATCAAAGAGTAGGAAGCGCTTTTCACCCTTTTTTAGACGGTCGGGTGTAGCAGTAGCTGAAATAAAATGATATAGCCATTCAGAAGCAATTTCATCAGAAATCCAGCCATTCGGTGAGGTAGCAGTAAGTGTGTTTAGAGGTAAATCCTCACTATTATGGAACCAGCTCTCCATAAAGACCCCGCCGCTTTTAAAGATAAATAGCGGATCCATTTGCCAGCCGTCAGCAGCAATACATTCGAGTGCAGTGATAGTTTCGCCTCGCTCAGCTTCAGCAAGGTCAGGGCAGTGCAATCTACCATTAATAACCTTACGAGACTGGCCCTGGCCAGGTTGGAAACCACACTCATCGAAGTTATAGACTAGCCTTGCAGGGATATCCTTTAGCAGGGTTGCAAGCTGATCATACCAGAAAGAGAGAGCCCCTGCATCTTCGGCTTGAATGCGCTTTGATTCCTTTAGATTCTGCTTCACTGGAGCGAGGGATAGGTGCTTTGGAAGGCGTGATATAAAGTAGTATGCCCAATTCTTGCCAACCGGCTGCCGACCCGCATCAGCGCGCGTAAGGGCCTGATTTGCCCACGCTTCTATAAGCTTTGCAGTAGGCGGTAGGTTCCAATCGCACATTTTGACTATCCAAGCAGTCAAAGCCTTCTCCTGATGTGATGTAAGCGCATTCTTGCGCGATTCAGTGGTAGAAAAGGGCGATCGGGCCTTCTTGACGCGATCGGCAAGGGTAGTTCGAGACACGCTAAATTCACGCGCAGTTTTAGCGATATTCGGCTTTTTTTGGTGTAGAACGGCTTTACAGGCCTTCTGCAGGCGATCCTCGTCAAAATTGGAGTATTTAGGCATATTGGGTGGTTGGGAAAGGGAGTTGAAATCGAATGGTAAAAATGTGACGGGGATTTAGGGGTGACGGGGATTTAGGGCGCACCCATAAGCGGAAGCGGTGGGTGGGCCGCAATATCATGGAGGGCACAGATATGTGCTCTCCTACAGTAGTACACCTGGTCCTCTAGTCTTGGCCCGAGTATCAGTTCCCGTTCTGCTCATATTATCACAAATCATTTCTATTCCCGTCTGACGGCACCAGTGCGAGACATGCGTGCATATTTCTCCACATACACGGGAAAGAATGTCAATGCCGGGGATTACCAGCCAGTCCATCCCGGTCTAATCTGATTCCTCATCCATTCTCGATTGTAGGTGCAGAACTAACTGAGCTTGGCTCAAGTCCACGAGGCCCTGCCATCGTGCAGAGTGCCCCGCATTTTGCAGAACTCAACGGTCGCTCGACTCGCGCGAGGCTCTCGTCTCATTATATCCTACTTTGTTCCTACCGGCCCGTGTTTCCCGTCTGTGGGACTCGACCGGAGGTATGTCGCATATGTAGTGGTGAACTTGCTACCATGCTCCACGAGCGGGACGGTAAAGACAGGCTATTTATCCCGCATCGTGTCGCGTGTTGATTGACATGGCTTATGTGCGGAATCCCGGGTGGATTATCGGAATGAATAAAAAATCGTGATTCGAATTATGGCTTCATGAGGCTGGTGGTCCGACAGAGGCAGTACCCCCTTCTGTCGGCCCTTGTAAAGAGTGGCGCTGCCACTACTGAACCATACAGGTAGAAATTAAGATCTGGTCTACTCGGGCCAGATTGAAATCAACTAACTCAAGAGCCTCTCGGATTCCCATGGTACATACTCGGTCAAAAACGCATTGCAGGCGGTTTCACAGGACTGGGTTTGGGGTCTTGCAGGCGAGCTCGGCGTGGGGGTGAATTAAAATAGCGCTGGCTTTCACTGGAATATATTTCGACAATTTCCTCCATGAACTTCTCGTCTATTATGTATTTCTTAAAGTACAGGACCAAGACTGGATTTTCTATACAGATCTCGTCTCATTAACTTCACTAAGCTTACCATTTTATCTTTTCCCAGGTCAGAAGTCGCAGAGAGCGTATGCTCTCTCCACTTAGGTAAGAGAGTTCCTTTCATCGTCTCCTACTCGCATGCAGGCAGACACATCGACTAAAGATCTATCTTTGTGTAATATCGACTCAATGGGAGTGCAGTACATTCATTCAAAGGCTTATACCAGTATCTATCTACAAGCCTTTACCGACTACTTTTCATTCATAAGGTTCTCGTGGCCATTGTTGAGATCTACTTGCCATGTTTGAGTGCACAGCCTTCTGTACCGTTCATAATGTCAATCTGAGCAGACTCAAAAGAAGCAGCCAATCAGCGATCCAACCGCCTATGGCTCATAGCATCATTGGTCTAGTGGTAGAATTCGTCGTTGCCATCGACGAGGCCCGTGTTCGATTCACGGATGATGCATAGCTCTTTCTTTTTGATCTTTACAGTTCTATCCACCGCTTCTACTGATAATGTCAAAAAGGGATCAGGAAATATCAACAGCCAATCAGCGTATTCAACGCCCATCGGTTCCAGCATCATTGGTCTAGTGGTAGAATTCGTCGTTGCCATCGACGAGGCCCGTGTTCGATTCACGGATGATGCACAGTTCTTTCTTTTTGCTCTTTGCCATTTCGTTGGAAGCAGTCCTTCATAATGTAAATATGGGAGCGTTGAATATAAGCAGCCAATAAGCGTGTCCAACACCCTTGGTTCCTAGCATCATTGGTCTAGTGGTAGAATTCGTCGTTGCCATCGACGAGGCCCGTGTTCGATTCACGGATGATGCACAGCCCTTCTTTTTGTGTTTTTGCATTGTCAATACCTTTTTATCTTGAGGAGACTACTTGAATTCTTCGTCGTGAAACTTGTTACTATTCCTGTGGCGTCGCATGACTATTGGGGCTGCCCTGTTCGAGCTGGACCTTTTTGAGATTATGATCAATTAAAGACGAAAATTCATTGATAACTGATCATAATTTGTCTCATGTTTTGAGGACTGCTTTTAAATAACAGGCCAGCTATCATGATTCCATGATATGAATATCGATTTTCGCACGTGTGTGACTGGAAGAAAAAGCTTATTTTGTTTTAAGCGAAATGCGGCATGTGGACGCATGGCCGGGCTCGTGCCGAAGAGTCACTATTGTCAACTACATCATGAGTGATTAAATAGGATATTTTCAGCTATAAGAAAGTATGCTCCCTTGTCTATCTTACAGTAAACGATAGAAATGATTGGAGCTAGGCGAAATTACGGGGGTTGTCTTTGACTTTTTGACTGTGGATCCTTTTTATGTGGAACTACAGTACTCCGTACAATACGACCTTTAAAGGTCCAATGATATACTGTAGTATTTATGTTCAAGCAGTAGTTTTAATCCGATTTGTTTCCGTCTTTTCTAATTAATGTCCCTCATAAGACTTTGATTTGTAACAGATTTCGTTTTCGCCTCCAATGTCTTAATAATTATGCTTCTTACATGCGAATCAATTGAATCTGGGGTAACTCCTTGGATCGCTTGAATGATTAGCCATTAGCCCATCGCCTCTGTAAGCGACCGACAAGCCAATCCTATCATGGTATCCTCACGCGAAACACTGTACCTCCTACGAGTCGGAAGCGGCTGCCCGCCTTATACCCGCCCAAATAGGTTTAGCGTTTGCGGGGAAACCTCGTTTCCCAAAAGGACACGGAGACAAGGCAAGTTCAGACAAGCTAGTGTCTGGGAACCGTCATCCGCCATGCAGGGATGGAATCAATGTGATTTGCAGGACGTGCTATTGGCGCCACCGCCAAGGAATTCTGTGTAAAAAGGATACAGATTCTCCTTGCTCTTTTCTTCACAAATTGCTACTGTTTGCGATTTACAATGGGCCTGGAACGTTCCGGATACGTATCCATGGGTCCATAGAATACACGGACCGAACAAAGTTAAAGCCTCCGGGGCCGAGAGGCCCGAGAGACAACCTCGGGCGGTGTGCCTCGTACTAATTCACTCTCTGTTCACGACGAACTGCATCTAGCCGGGCACCCCTCATTCTCTGGAGTCCGGGGTAGACCTGTATCTCATCCTGGTGGATCGCATGTAATCTATCTTTGATCTATCCCACTATCTTATCCTAATTCCTCTGTTCTTTTGACATCTTTGGTGACCAACCTCCCGCCTCGGCCATCATGTTTCTCACGTTTGAGTCATCTCAAAAGAGCGAGAAAACTCCTCGCAACCCAAAACATTCAAAGAGAACTGCACGCGCAAGTCGTCGAGGCTCTCAACCGCGAGCTTGTGGCTCCTGCCGTCACCGCAAGATCAAGTGTGATGGCGAGAAACCCTGCGAAGCTTGTCGATGGTACAGGAAGCCTGAGCTGTGTACCTATCCAGAGCGTCATGATTCTCAAAGTTCACCAAGGTAAAACAGCAGAACTCCATGCAGAAAAGCAAGATACCCGACTCAATTCTCCTTTTTCTAATCGGATCCAATAGCAACTCGCACACTCATTCAGAGAAACCAACAATGGCCCCGACCGACTACCGGAGCACATTGGCAAGGCTGTTTCCTGATACTGCTCCCGAGAGTATCGCCCATCTATCAAGGGAGGAACTCTTGGCTTTGATGACCCTTGATGGATCACAATATGCGCCGCTCCAAGATTCACCAGCCAATGTCCCTTCAGTTGGGACAAAGGCCTCCACGTTGTCGATGGAAAGACCTGACCTGGAGTCTTTGCATTCAATACCAGGAGAACAGCTCGAAGAAAATCAGAGTTCCGGAACTTCGGAATCAATCGGACACATCTCAGACGACGTGAATGCACTGTCCCTAACGAACCGTCATCCTACATCATATCTAGGAGTATCATCCATTCAAGCCGCGCTCAAGGTGATTGCATGGCTCCATCCGGAATTCGAAGCCTACTTTTCTCTGGCTTTAACCAAGGAGCAAACCGGTCAGCAAAATAGTGTGTCACCTCAGTCCTTGGTCCCTCCCATCTCATGCCCGCCACCCACCGAAATGGAGATGGTGGATGCGTACTTTACCAACTTTCATCCATTCGCACCACTTTTGGATGAAGATAACTTTCGAAAGACTTATGCCGATGGCCAACGGAGGGATAATCGATGGCTGTCATTGGTGAATATTGTTCTCGCATTGGGGAACATCGCAGCATCAGGATCAGGTGCAGATAACCAGACACATTATGCATATTTCCAGCGTGCATTGAATCAGTTGAATTTGAGTTCCCTCGGGACACCGAGTCTGGAAGTGACTCAATCACTGGGTCTCATGGGTGGCTGGTACTGTCATTATATCAGCCAGCCAAATCTGGGGTATTCTCTCATGGGTGCTGCTCTGCGAATGGCAATCACGTTGGGTCTGCAACGAGAGCCCTACGATAGTCATCTATCTGTGAATCCATCAAGGTCCATCGCCCAAGAATCAAAACGACGCGTTTGGTGGTCGCTTTGTTGCTTGGAGATTTGGGGTCTTGAAACACTGGGCAGACCGAGTATGGATTGCTTTGGTCCTGGTATCACAGTCAATCTTCCCAGTCTACTTGACAAGGTGAGTTATCGAAAAATTGATTTCCTAAATAAAGAGCGATATCTAACTTCTCAACCCAATATTGACAGGAAAACTATACAAAAATTCTGGCTTTAACCGAAAACGTCCAATTTGTGCGAATTGCAACGAAGATCCACGGATTACTCGCCTCCCTCCCAACAATTAAATACGCAGAAATGTTCGACATCGACTCGCAACTCGTCCAGTGGTGGAACAATCTCCCGTCAATATTAAAGGACTACGAACCATGCCCAGAGTCTATATACGCAGTGCGAACCGTTATGCGCTGGCGATTCTACAATCAGCGCATGCTACTATATCGACCCACGCTTCTCAACTACGCTATACGAAGAATCCCATTCATGGCCGTCCGAGCCGAAGAGCGCGCCGCAATAGAAAAGTGCCGCGATATCGCAAAGTCCCTGATCCAAGATATCGCCATCACCGCACCGTTGAATAACATAATTGGCTGGAACGCTGTCTGGTTGTTGTTCCAGGCTACAATGGTTCCGCTCGTCTGTCTATCTCTCGGCTCAACGCATGATGTTTCTTCTGGATTGTCGGATGACTGCAAGGCGCAGGTTGATACTGCTATATTGACCCTTGACCGGTTGAAACCTTACGGACACACCGCGGAACGCTCCCGGGAAGTCATTTCGCGCATCCTTGAAGCTAATATGCAGAGTCCTCATGGGGAGCCTTTTGATGCCAGTGCGAGTCAAATTGGTGGGCAGGATTTCCCGTTCATGAACGTCTTGACCAGTTCGCAAGGTGTTGTTGGTCAGGATCAATTGGCGGATCGGATGACTGCTGGGTTTGGGAACGGCTGGTCCGAGTCCATGTGGGAGTATTTGAGTTGGGAGTCTAGTGATCTCTGGCCGGAGATTTCTAAGCTGAACGTGCAGAACGACGTGATGCCGTTTTTGGACTCTGTCGACACTGAGATGTGAAGCTTGCTCTTTATATTGTATAATATTTTCTTTTCAAGGTTGATGCTCCAGTATGCTCGGTATGCACTATTGGTACTTTTCAAAAGATTCACCAGCTCAAACGAAGACACATGTAGCTCGTTTCTCATGGAAAAGCGGCAAGGAAGCCCTGGGTTAAAACAACCTAGGAAATTTCATATCCACTGACAAGTCTATTTTCTGCGCAAATAATAGAGGAATGCAAACTCTGCCACCCTCGAACAGCAATGGATGAGGATTCCTAATCAAACAGGATCTCCGAACAGCGAGTTGACTGGTAGGAGGACCATCGGCAAAAAGACCTCATTACTGTGAATAAAATGGTCCACCTAAATGAGAAAGGGCTCAGATAATCTCCTCGTCCTTTGCCAGTGTAACTTGATTTGTTCTATCGGAGACAACGATCTTCCGTGATTCCGTACTGGCTTTCCGGGGGTTCGCCGCCCCGAAGATCTCTGAGAGCTGCTCAAGGGTTTGCTTGTTCGTCTCAACAGCGAAGAAATAAATGAACAGAGCCTGCACAATATTCCAGCCAGCCAAGATGATATAAGTGTGCCAGCCGATAACATTGATTGCGTTACCAATTCCAAACTGGTTCACCAGCAAGGCAATATTTGTCATGACGGAGTACGTGGCCATTCCTTTGGCGCGGGTTTCGTAAGACAGACACTCGACAGGGTACATGGCTTGAAGAGGTGTCCAGCCAAAACTGAAACAAAAACCGATAAAGAAGATGATCACAATAGAGGCTGTGGCAGCCCCCTGTTCTTGTGAACTCGTGTAAACTGCAGCTGTGGCAGAGAAACCAGCAAAGCATACCTTCGCAAGAATGTGTCAGCTAAGGAACGTGTGATTGAGCTGGGAGAATATACGTACACCACATGCAAGACAGGCACCAATCATCATCGGCCTGCGCCGGACCTTTGGGCCCAAGAAACTTCCTAGATAGGCCCCTGCGGCAGATAAAACGGTATTGCCAAGGTTGACGTCTAGTACTTTTGTGGTATCAGTTACTCCAGCTGTGGCCAAGAGACCGCCAATATAATAGGTCGTGACTCCAGCTTGAGACCACTGGCTGAAAAATGCGGCAATAGCCACACATAGGAGACGCCATCTTGCAGGTTTCGAATTGACCAGCTCCCTGAAATCCCAGGCCCGCTTGTCTGATCCTTCGAGATCAATTGCGTCCTCGTAGTCTCGAATCTGCATGATAACATAGGCATTGTCCCGGTTGCCCTCGCCATGATAGGCGGTTATGACATCCCACGCTTCCTCGTGCCGACCGTGACTGTATAACCAGCGAGGTGATTCAGGGAGGAACCAGACAAATAACACGACAATGCTGGATGAGATCAATTGACACCAAATTGGGATACGCCAAGCAAGAGAGCTAGGCAAACCGAGACATCCACGACAGGCACCTGCAGCAGCGATGGCTCCCACAAAGTACTGGCAATTATATAACCCTGTCAAAAGATCGCGGTATGCGGGGTGGCTGATTTCGACAACGTAGGCTGGTGCAGCGGAAGAGGCCATGGAATATCCCCAACCTAGAAGGTTTTGGATGAGAAATGCGTCTAAAAGTAGTATTGCCAGACTTACCGAGGAAGAATCGACTTGCGAGCAGTTGATCTATATGATTCGCGGTGCCTCCCAGAATAGTGCCAAGAATGACAGCAGCAGAGCCAATGAACATACCAAAGCGGCGGCCAAAATTGTCCAAGCAAGGACCAACGAATGGTAGCGCACTGACACCTCCAATTGTGTACATCCCTTGGATTAAAGAGGCTTGGGATCCGACGAGACCGGCGCCAAAGGTTTCCTGGAATTGTGGAATAGGGAGTAAAGCGCCCATGAGTGAGCCATCGTACCCTAAACCAACCAGTCAATTAGTATGAATTTCAATTGCCTGCTGAGTGAGTACTTTATCATACCGTTCAGGGCCGAGCAAAGGTAAGCCACAGTCAAAAAGAGATATAGCCTCCTCATCTGCCGACTCCATGGCTTGGGGGGATTGGTGCGCCTGGCTATATCCAACGCCACAGATCCTTGGACTATTTCAACCCTGACGCCTTCAGGGTCTTCTTGGTGTGATGATTCGACGGCACCATCTTCCTTGGAGAGCCGACCGGTGTTGATTGGCTCAGTCATTGTTTGAGAAACTCCTCGCCTTGTGATGGGAAGAAGTCAAACTCAAGTAGTAATTCGTTCTGGAAAAATTGAGTCTTATGAAGGGCGCATCGATTTTTAAGATCCTTTTATTCCAGTATCAGGCGTATTGATTTGACTGTTCGTGGTCAAGTAGTTATCAAGGATGACCTCAGCGAAATCGCATTGCCACCTCTTGCCAATTCTATGCAAGCAATGCCTAGACGAAATAGGATTATGTCTTTTATTGCAGTGCAAAGCAACCGAATTGGTCATAGTAGTCAGGCCATACAGGGTGCTTCATCATTGGGAATACTGCTTTGGTACATCTTAGGATGGCTTGACGTTGGTTTCCGCCAGAGAGATCCTCAAAATGGAAGAGGGACAGGGATACAGGCCGTTGAAATTCTCCGCCTATTCTTTGCCGAAAGAAGAAGTATCCCGCCTCAGTTTTCACGTGCTTAGAAAATGGCCCCGAAACACCCGCACTGAGACATTAAAATTTTTTTTTAGTTAACAGATTTTGTACTGTTGTCATTTTCAGAGTCGGCTTGACCAATACACACTAAATAATGAGTAACCTAACTCTTTCCTGGCCCTTCGCTAACGCCTTTGGTAGATCATTCATTGAGCGGCTCCGTTTAATTGAGGGCGGAGGAAAATGCGCTGCGTATGATACATTACCATGCGACGTAATATTACACAATATGAACAACCAAATGATCGTGGAAGTCCCCGGAAATCTATCGTGGACCCTGTGAATCGTGTGGAGAGGTCCACATGATGCCCAGTTTATGAACGATCTGTCCAGTAGCTTCGAATTTCCTTGTCAATATGTCTCTAAGCTCGTATGCAAGGTGGAACCATTACATACACATCATTGATACTAAGCGGCAAAAGCCTTATTCAATCCTGCATCTGTGCCAGTATGTCTCTGCTCGGTATCAATATAAACCGCAGCCACAACTTCTAGGTCCGTCCGTTGATGTGAGAACAACGCTCTACATTTTAGTTACCAATCCCATTTAGCTTGTCAATTCTTAGACCCTGAAAAAGTTAGAGCAAAGAAGTCATTGAAAAAGTTACCCAGCAGGTGCGCGATAATGGTTGGCCAAGACTTAGAGCTTCGGCAGGTCTATGAAGATCAAGATTCTGACTTGTTGGTCATCGATGATATGGAACTTGATATTTCTCACCATTTTGTCTCCGAGACCAGGAATTGAGCTGAAAAACACGAGAGCCGATACTGCAGCTTAGAAGATAATCAGTTGAAATCATCATTAAGAGAAGCCGCAGTAGTATTCCTCTTCTTCCCCCCGGCTAGTTCCCGCTTAGATGTGTTTCGCCTGATCCAGCTTGCCTTGTTCCTATATAGAATGTCAGGATTCCTGGGAGTGTTGAGAGTCGATGTGTGATCCGGTCCGGACGCTTTCTTCTTCCCAGCACCTACTGGTGCATCTGCTCCGCCTGATCTAGCTTGTTTTGGTTTGAATAGGAAGATAGACAACCTGTTTGCCTGCACGGGCCTACAAAAGCTCCCGCGTATAGTAAAAACCTAGACGACACGAGGAATACTAAACAGTCCAGCAGCAAAAAGTAACTAGCTCGTGCGACTCGTTTCCTGCTCGATAAAGACGAACGGTTGATTGAACTGATGGAAAAGTGAGGTCTTCCTTAGAATCGGATCGTGAAACATGTCCCAGGAAGGACGGGGGGTGCTCTTCAGGTTCGCTGTAGTACGAATCTCAAGGACCGAGGAAATGGGAGTCCTAGGTGAGGCCGGAGTGGGAAGGGTCATATATCCTGCAGCTGCGGCCGTGGCTTAACGCGGCTAAATTTCTATGTCTTTTGTCCCTCGGCAAGTCGAACTTCCAGAGGGTTCAGAGAGGTGACTTCGAGGCAGTCTTTTAACCGTTTGCGATCGAGATGTTGAGGCATAACAGTATTTGGATCCATACAACGAAGGTTGAGGAGTTCCAAAGGCTCTTCAATTTAGGAACTGGAGCGTAAGCAAAAGTTAAAATTCATTCCAGATAACTTACAACTACAATGTCCACGTTTCTAGTGAAAATTGAATTAGTAAGCGTCTTCACTAATTCATGGTTTCAAAGCAAGTGGTCAATCCTACGATCAACGGCATCCAACTCGTAATGGCCCTCAGTATTGTATCCCTGACATCAATTCCAAGAACACCTCCAATCGATCCCACACACGGCCCATCGACTCCAGGAACGTGCAAGCCGGCCGTGGGAGCTTTGTTGCTACTAGAACCTCAAGTACGGAGACAGGGACCGGAAAAGGAGCCAAGGGAGTATCAATTTTGTTGACAGAATATAATTCTTTGAACCATAGAAAATTACGGTTTGAGAACCAACGTCCCTCCTCAATTTTTGATACAAGACTCCCATTTCAATATAATCCTTGGGTTTCTCTTCCATTTTGCCCTTGATATGCCGATAGAGCGCGCAGCCGCAACACCCCTCGATTTATACTCCCTTTCCTTGGCTAGACCGGCACTCAATACGATACGTAGATACAAAATTCATTCAGCAATATACTATCGAGTACGGGGTAGGGTAGACAGAAGATTCCAAGTCCCTAGTTAATTGCCCTAGGTTTCACTACCACTTATTAAATAAATAAAACAATGTAAAGCACAACTTCCGCAACATAAGCAATCCTGATATTACCACCTATAATGATTATTCCAAGAATTCTCAAATCATTGGAGGCTCATCTGGCGGAGCAACTATTGGGCCGCGGCCCGTGTGCGGACACGATGTAATCACGGGTAGATCAAATAAGCATGATAGCTCATCAGAAATCCACGTAACCGCCTCGCCGGACCCAAAGGCTAAAAAGTCAGCGTACCAGGAAGATCCCCGAAATACAGGCCACCTCCCCCAGGCTTCGACACTGGGATGTCAAGAGGGTTTGCATGGGGAGGCTAGTAGAAGCATTCCTTCGCAATCATTAGCGCTCGTGTGAACTCCTGATATCTTACTGTGAGCAGAAGCTCCCAGGAAGCCTCCGTCGCGGATCTCTCGCACCCTCATAACTTTTTAGATTTGTATATATACTTACTCTATTGCCACCCTTTTCCTTTTCGAAGTCGACCTCAACCCTAACCACCCCTCTGCCATCCCCATAACAGCCATGGCGCCCAAACAGCAGCTGGAATTTCCCATCGAGCCCAACCTGGGTGCCGGCCTCCGCCTCTTTTTCCACTCGCAGCTATTCGTCACCCCGCCCTCCCCACAGCACTCATTTGCTGGACAAACCGTCATCGTCACCGGCTCCAACACTGGACTTGGGCTGGAGGCGGCACGTCATTTCTATCGCCTGAACTGCGCTCGGCTGATTCTCGCCGTCCGCACGGTCACCAAGGGCCAGAAGGCCAAGGAGGAGCTCGTAAAAAGTGTCCCGACTCGGTCAGACCCTGATGCGATCGAAGTGTGGGCGCTGGATCAGTCGAGCACTGCTTCGACACTTGCGTTCACCGACCGGGTGAAAACAGAACTGACACGGGTCGATGTGGTCGTCGAAAACGCTGGCATCAACTCGGGCGACTGGAAGTTGCATGAGGGTTTCGAACAGGCGGTCCAGGTCAATGTGCTCAACACCTTTCTCCTCGCTCTCGCCCTGATCCCCAAACTCAACGAGACGAAGAGCAACTACCCGGATTCACAGCCGCATCTGGTGATTGTGAGCTCCGAGGCGCACCGATTGACCAAATTCCAGGAGATCAATGCCCCAGATCTGTACGCCCAGTTGAACGAGAAGAAGGACTTTAGTCAACAACCTAGGTGAGCTTCTTTACGCCTCCATGTTGATCTGAAAACTGATAAAACGGAAAGATACCAGGCCACTAAGCTGATCGAGGTGCTTTTCATCCGCGAACTCGTCGCCCGGCTCGAGGGCAAGAAAGAAACCACGAATCCACCAGTGATCATCAACCTGGTGAATCCAGGTCTTTGCAGCTCTAACCTCGACCGCAGTGGTCAGAAACCGGCGGCGATCGTCCGCTTCATCCGCTGGATCTTGGATCGGACGACCGAAGTCGGCGGGCGGACGTTTGTGCTGGCCGCTGCGGCCCCCGTCAGTTCGCATGGCGAATTCCAGAGCGATGGCACGAACCAAAATGTTGAGTCATGGATCTATACCGATGTCGGACGCCGGGTGCAGACCAAGGTCTTCGAGCAGACGATCAAGATTCTCGAAACTCGCCAACCAGGCATTTCCGACGCCGCGGGTCTGTGAGACACAGCAGGTACCTGGGTTGAGCGAAGGGCGTGAGTGAATGGACAGTGGCTAAGTTTTGTTTTGGGGCGATTTCACACCGCGGAACCGATCTAGACTAGCCTTATCCTCGGGTAGACTGTGTCTAGGTAGGTCGGAAAATTAATCAACAAGATTGCTTTCTCGTCAGCGTGACTTCTCTCGTCCATCTCTATCCCCATCATCTCAATCTATGGTCAGAGAGATTATTTAGGCATTACAGTGGGAATCTGATGCCCCCTTACATCGCCCAAATGCCCTTGCCGGTGCCAATGTCTAGGATGTGCTGTAGCCTGTGCGCTTGGTCAGTCAGGCCGTATACAGGCTATTCCATGACCAATAGGCTTCTGTAGGTACCGTACCGTTGGGGAGTCACCTATTGGCGAGAGAAACGCCGGAGTCTTCTGATCATAGTCCATGGCAAGAGCAGCAAGGTGCCTAGAAGCGGTAGTCAACTCAAAGATGATTTGAGAGCTTCAATGAGATAATTCTCATCAACGAGAGGAAATCTTCCCACCGTGGAGTAGAGCCATAGGAAGGCCAGCCGTACCAACTGGAGGGCCGTATACTGCATACCAGAGTGAAATATTATTCACACTTGCATGCGCCTCATAGTTTGATGGGGGGAATCGCGGTGTGGATGGCAGAGTGAGCCAAGGGGGTACGAAGGTTATTGTATAGGTCGCAGCCACCATAAGTGTGTGACGGTAAAACTGCCGCCTCGGGAAGTGAGGTGATCGGAGCACAAGGAGAGTTCCCGACCATGAGCAGCTCCCTAAGCAACCTGATCACTCACCCTAGTACTTAGGCCACTATACGTAACATTTTTCCTATGCCGGGTGGGGCTTTCCTATTTTAGCTGCCGCCGCTTTTATGAGGACGCTCAGAGGCAGACTCACTGAGCTATCACTGACTACTCAGATGTTCACCATAGGTAACGTAATCCACGGCCGAACCGTACACACGGTCGAGCCTTACACCTGACCCCATTAGAAATTTTCAAAATTGATTATCTCAACCAATACCCTTTAATTTAACTAGATAATACGATTTTACAAGAAGTAATCCTGTGGCCAATTCGTCCACATCCACTGCAGGTAGGCGGAGCCCTCCTAGCCGGTTGAATCAGCTGATTAGACAGATCTACCTATTCATGCGATACTATCATTTCAGCTTCTACTAGGCCATTATCATTGGGAAGAGGGACACTATTCTTATTATTTTTTATCATCCTCGTTATCCAGTTGAATAAGTGTCCCATGATTAGTAGAAGGCGTTGTTGCTTCCTTCCTTAGCCTTTTACTAAGGGCACGCTCGCTAGGTTGCGGTGGATGCTGGGATCTCGTATCTAGAGGATCACCTTCGCCGTTACTCATGAGATCAAATTCGTTCTTCTCCTTCTGAGAATCCTTCTCTTATCTTGCTGTATGAATCTCTTTGTAGAGGTAAAAGCCATCTAGCAGAGTATGAAGATCGTGGATCAATTTGTACCAGTCCACGAGAGTATCAAGAGTGAAGAAGGAAAGAGGGAGAAGAAGGAAAGCAGGAATCTAAATACATGCTGGCTCTTTCTTCTTCAAACCCCTCAACAATGCATCTAAGGATATCTCCTTCTTTCTTCACGCGTTGTTACGTGATCTTTCAGGTCCATCATAGTCTCGAACGTCACAACGGAGAGGAATACACTCTGAATCTGAACACCAATACACCCCCTTCAGTTGCCTCTAGTGCTGAGTCTTCTTTCCTACCCTATCTCTAACTTGGTAGAGGATGATTGGGATCGGCGCGATACGGGTGCTGCAGCCGTCGTGAAGTATTGTGACGCCCCTGGAGGAGGCCCGTGAAGGGGCCGGCCCAAGCGGAAGGCCTCCGAATCCGCAACGTCGGCTGGCCCCGTAAACCAGCCGCAGGATACAAGCCAGACCCAATATGTTGCCAACTCAGCCGAGGCGCCTGTTTCTGTGGGTGCTAAGCCGTCGCGTGCGACTAACCACATCCAATGACCTTTTCCCATCCCACCCAAAACACAGCATCTATTCGCAAGAGTGCGAACTTGATAATGTCCAGACTCTTCGAATGTAAGCGTAACACTGTCCTTGCTTTGTCTAACAGCGCCCTGCATTCCACATAATCAGGATTTCCATTTAAGTCCGCTCTTTCACTGGGGATCTGCGCATCCTTGAATGAAGTGACAGCAAGGAGAAAGCAAAGATGGGTAATGTGTGCAAAGCTTGTTTTATACCCTAGATCCTCGAGTCAGTCGCTTCCACAAATTGAGTCCGTACATGAGCACTTCTGCAGGATAAAGGGGGCTACGACATACATGGAGCCCAAAAGGACTGATAGTCCATAGCTTCCAATCCAGATATGCGATTCAAAGTTGCGTCGATCTCTGCTCGTGCGGCTTGACGAATGTGAGTCCTGGCTGCTTCCCATTCAACCATTTCTTCGGGGGAAGCTTGACAACCCGCATGATTAAATGGGCGAAGAAGAGCACGAAATATGAGAATCTTTAACGAATGATAGGCAATGTCCAATGAAGCGCATTCCTTCTGGCCTTCCGTTCCATCCTGGGAAACTGCACCCGGGGCGTGTTCAGCCCATAATCTTAGATCATCAAGTAGAGGGCGGGCCGTTTCGAGCGTCAAACGGAAGTCGCAGACTAGAGTGTAAGACGAACGGAGGGAGCTTGATAAACTGGTCAGCATGTGGCGGCTCCTTTTAGGGTATGACTGCACATACTATAGATCAACCAATACTCTATCAAGGATGGTAGTTAGTTTAGCAAAATGGAACGGAAAGCTTGGTATTCTTTCTTCCAAGACAAAGTCAGACTTGCTGATGTTAGTCACAAGCCAATCGTGACTTGTAATGTGACTTGGCCTCCCCAAACTGAATGCTAGCCACTTATCAACAGTATATACCAACCAAGACAGCCTTCGACGTAGAATAGCTTCTGGTTCGGGTAAATTCCAAACCCGAGCGTCGAACTGGAGCCCGAGAGTTTGTGCCATTGAGACAGTTATACCCAACAGATTCCACTTCCATGCACTATCGAGTAGTAGAGGGTTCGTGGGTAATATCAACAAGAGAATGAGAGCCGTCTGAACGGAAGAAATCGTTGGCTGTGAAAGTGATTGACTCAAGGTTCGCCATGCCATGGTCAGTAGGGTCGGCGCTGATGGTGGTGTGTAGACCAACTCTATACACAGATAATCGTCAAACATTGCAAAGGGCTGAGCGATACAGTAGATTGCGGCCAGAAGATGAGTTGGTGTAAGAGCTGGACTCGTTGGAGTGCTTTCAGACAAGATAGGGAATTTGGGTTGAATGAATCGAAAGAATCTGAGACATTGTTAGCATTTGGAAATCAAATCATCAATAATATCTAGCGGGTCACATGCAGCTTTATCAAGCGTTCTCCAATGGCTGGAGGAACAACGTCATCCATCTTATCCATCATTGTCGGGTATAAGCCTGATCCGACTTGTGACTCAGGGTTGGACTCTGGCTTTGAAAGCAAAAATTGCACTGGCAATTCAATCTTCTGTACTTGGCGTATAGTCAATTTGGAAAAAGCAAACTCTGAGTTGGCATTATACTGATAGTGCTGTAGGACATAGGGGTCCATGTCCCCTGTGAGGCCACACAATTGTGCTGTGAGATCTGGCAAATTGTCCAAAGACTGAGGTATATCACTCGAACCTTGCGAGAGCTCTTGTGGTCGACTGGAGCTATACCAATCAAGAATAAGGTCATCAAAATTCTCGTGGTTAGATCGTGGAGGTTCATGATTTGGAACTTCCTCGATTAAGCCGGGGAATGTGAAGTCCATGCTATGGTCAGCATTGAGATCGGCCAACGGACTTCGAATAGCAAAAGCATTATCTGGAAATTGAACCTCAGCCAAAGGATACGGATTGGTGTACGGATGAGACCGACTCCTCTCGCTATGAGAGGGAGATGCAAAATGCGGATGCGGAGGTGTGCTGGCCTGGCCGGGTTCGGTTCGAGGGGACTTTCTCCGTCGTATTCGAGAAGTGAATTCACATGGTTGGCCATGGGCTAAGCATAGTCGACAAGGGGGAGCAGCATCGATTTGACAAGCAGATTTGCGCGCTCGACATCCGTCACAGGCACGCTGCGCCTTACTCATATACCTCCGACGACCATTGCCGGGGCCTAAGCCTAAGCTTTGGTTTGTAGGTGCTAGGTCTTGCATGGGCAGGTAAACTTAAACAGAAGAGATTAAATTGAAACCCAGAAATGGGGACTTTAGAATGATTTCATGATCAAAGGTTCACGGTGTTGAGATAACCTGGTTCATGGACGGGCGGGAATCGTTTTATGAAATGTGGAGAACCATGTGACACGTGATCGAGTGCATTGTATTATTGATAAGCTAAAAGTTTCATGTTCCCACTCAAAACACTTGGATGATCTATCAGTGCAAAGCTGCAAAAATGGGTTCTGCGATCACAGTGTACTCTTTATTGGCAGAGAATCAAGAATGTCCCGTACCAAGCTGACTGCATCCTGCGCCATGCCCATACCCGCCTGATATCCGGTTCCCCCAGCGCCGTAATTATGCACCACCGTTTGGCCGGCACGAAGGTCTTCGCGCTCAACACGCGCGCCATCCTGCCGGGATGGTCGGAAGCCCACAGCAACCTTCAGTATTTTTGTCTCGCCATTCCTCAGCACAGGCAGCAGATCCCCAGTTCTTTGCAGAATTGATTGAGTTTCGTGCTCCCTAACGTTACTGTCCCAGTCCCCCTTTTGAAGATATCCTCCTAGGATGACCGTTGAATCAGAATCTGGTCGAGGGATGATATATGTCTCGTAGTTTTTGCCGTGGCGCATGATGTTCTCCCTCACAGAGGGGGCCTGGGCTAGGACAATCTGGCCTCTCGTCGGGTAGCACGTGGGGTCCTGCACGCCAGGAACAGTGATGGCCGCATTTCCAATGCAGTTGAAGACAACTTTTGTTCTGGGTGATATGAATGCATCTTCTAAGGACTGTAGTTCATGTCGGACGAACTTAACCGAACCATACTGCTCCTGCGAGAGAAGGGACTTGAGATGCAGGCAATGGGCCGGGGCATTAAACGTAATGGTGGTGAATCGAAGACCAAACGTAGCGTTTGGCGGCAGTTCCGCTTGTGAAATATATTGAACCTGTGATCAAATGGATGAGTTCGTCGCTCATACGGAACTGGACCAGTAAGTGTGTCTTACATCACGTAGGTATTCAGTCACACTTCTTATCTTTTCAGGTGACGGTCGCTCATCCCAGTATTCTGTCGATTGCATTTTCGAAAGGTACTTTGCTTCTTCAGCGCCGTCATCAATGAGCTGCATCAACGACAGGTATCCGGCCTTGTCCCAGCGCAACGCATTCAGATTTGCTCCCGATATGCCCGAGAAATTGGCTCCTGCCCTATGTATTTTATTGGGATGAGACCTCGCTTCGACCGACCGAGGGAGTAGCCAACTCACCAGGGCGACGTATAGTCCACATGAATGTCTCCTGGAAGGTGCTTGGCGATGACAGTTGTTTGGCGTCCATATCCCTGCTTCGACAGCTCCATGGCCACATTCAGCCCAATAATCCCCGCACTGTGACACTGTTAGTGGGTCACTGCTTCGCCTGCTGAAAATGTGTCTTACCCCAGAATCACGATGCTATCACGTGCCATCGTTGCTTTTAGCTTATCTCGAGTTTCCTCCTCTGCAATGGAAGGAGAGACCTGGACAGCCTCTTTAATTCGCGTTTATAAGCAAACTTTGTTGAATCATACCACACGAAGCCGGACAGGGATTTAGTACAGTTGCCGATATCGCCCCCTCCGATTGGCGGCATTCGAGCGGCCACCACGCGGAAGTGGGGCGGCATTGACTGCTAACGATCTGGATCGGTTCACTATCAAGTACCTCGAGCCGGTTTGACGATACGATGATAATACTGCTCCGGACTGTTTCCATTCTCGATTATCCTCGCTTTCGGATACACTCCTACTTCCCGAAATCACAGCTCAGATAGTCACGTTCTCTTCCTAGGAATCATACCTGTCTATTGGACTGTTCTTCAAGTGGTCTGTCAGACTATATATCATTTCGCTACCGTTATAGTAACAAGAATAGTGACTGTTATTACTTTCAGTCTGTAGAATACATAGATAATATCAACCCTAATTCATCACTCTGTTATTACCAGGTATGCCGCTTTCTTTTTGGGTCCTGTCCATTCAAATTGATTCAACGACCCTGCGCGTACCGGCGTTATTTCTAGAACTACCCCGAAGTCCAAAAGAACCTAGCCACGGCCCTCGGGCAGTACCGCGTAAGAGAGCCAGCAGAGTCAGTGATTACCCACCTGTCTAATACCTACAAAACTGCACCTGTTTTCCCTCAATAAATCGCTTGAGCGGAATCCATTTATCCAAACATTATCCTATCCAAGGACATGAAACATAGAACAGTCTTGCCGAGCTGGACATCATGTAATCTGTTCCCGCAACAAAGTGGCTCTTCCGGGGCCGACAAAAGGGTCCTTGAAGGTAAAAGGTTCAATATTCGTCACTACTAGTTGCTTCGGCCCGGAACTCCTCGTTCATTGGAATGTCTGTCCCGAGATCCATGAATTTGATAGGCAAAAAGGCTGTACTTTGATATTTAAGTTATCCCAGGGGCAGTGAAGAATACAATATCATAGATCGTGTAGACTACAAGGATACATTATGCGGAATTTGTACACTCTAGACCCTAACCTCACCTGGATCAATGGCCTCAACCGTTTCCAAAAGGATCGGCTGATCAAAAGCGCGCCCAAATAACACATAAAACAAAATACCGGCAACGAGTCCGACAATACCCAGTGAGCCGTACATCCACACAAGGTACGGATCTTGGGAGACCGGTGCCAGTGCGATACAGATGGCGGCGGCAATACCAATAGTGAGCCAAAACAAGGCCGAGACGAGAGACCGAAGGCTGTAGACGACGGGGTCAGCTCAAGATACCCCTCAACCGGGAAATAAAGACCACTCACCTCTCTGGGGCTTTGGTGTAGGCAAGCTCCAGACCGGTAATAATCACAAACGCTTCAGAGAATCCGACGAGAGCGTAAGCGGGAGCTTGGATCCAAACATGGATGGAGTTTGGCGGTGATTTGTAGATGTAATACTGAAGAACGCAGGCGTAGACCATGGAAAGTGAGACCAGGATGAATCCAGCGGTGACCTTCAACTCTGGTCGGAAGTTTATGTTATGACGACGGAGCAAAGGGTACACCACAACTAAAAAAGCGTCAGGATGGGTTCAATCGGTTGTCATTGGGCGTTGACTTACAGTCCAAGAGAGGAATGAAAATGATCAGAGCAATAGGATCGAGGTTTTGAAGGAGGTCGTTCGGTGTCCCGTGCAAGGCCATTTGCCCAGCTTGAGAGATGAGGTTATTCCAGATCTGGATCCAACAAATAAAATAAAAAGGGAAGAGGAGGAAGAGCTAGGCCTCATTAGCGTGTTTCTCAAGGGTCATCTGCGAAGTGAAAGTTACCTTGCAGGCCGTGATTCCCGTCCGTACCTTCTCGACGCTATAGTCAGTAAAACCTGGTCGAGTTGCAAACGGATACCGCTCTAGTCGCCCTTGTTCTTGGAGGAGACTGGGTTTTGCGTTCTCGAAGCCCTGTTCTGCAATAGCGATGGAGACCGTCCGTGCCGCGTCGACGATCGGAGAACCATGCGGTCTCGTTTTGAGGAACAGCTTGCTACTGCCGAGAAACACTATTGCGACGATAACAATGACACTGTTCAACTTATCAGATGGTTGGTCATAACGACTTAGCAAAGAAAAGCTCACATAAGAGGAATGAGAAAAGCGAGCCAAAAAGAAGCCTTGGCTTCAACATTGACGGTAATCAAGGGCGAGAGAGCACCAAGATTCACAGCCCAGTAAAACCTGAGAATGAGTTAGAAAGAGATCTTGGAAGATACAGTGATCAACATACCACATGAACATCCGCTCCACAGTCAAATCGGGATCCACGATTACACGCTCCCCCGACTTGAGGGTCTTCACATATGCATGAACTTTTTGATATTGCTCCGCGCAGAACGGCGTGACATTTGCCTTGATTCCTCCGGTCCCGAGGCCTAGGATCACCATGGACGCTACAAGTCCGCCAAATGCAGAACCTCCCTGGATGGAGGCTGGCGTGGCCGTGGTCACCAACACGGTGAGGCCAACAATGTAGATTGCGCAGGCTACCAGGATTGCCTTGAACTTGCCCAGAAATTGATCTAATGAGAGTAGATTAGCGTTGAAGAAGACATGTGTAGGTGCTGGAACAGTACCTGCGACTATAGCGCCGATGACAGTGGACGCGTAGGCCCAGAACTTGAAAAAATTCCCAAGGGCTGTGGCAACCGCTTGACCTTTGCCCAGTGCACCTGGTAGCTCTGCACCAGGGTCATATGGATTTCTATTACGTGATGGGTTAGTACTTCAGTGTTTAAAGAGGCGGTAGTCAAGATATAACCCACTTGATGTAATTTTGCAGTGGCCCACTAAGTCCAAAGTAGGTGAACCGTTCTCCCAGCTCGACGATGATTACGAGCAAGACAACCCATGGAATGCGGTCTGGAACTCTTCGAAGCCCAACTTCGTCTGCGGGTATCGGGGTCACCGAAGGATGGCTGTCAAGCTTGGAGTCTATGGGCTGTGAGTCATTGGGTGACGCGAGATTCGGTTCTTTAGAATCTGTCGACATGATTGTGATGTGAAGAATTGATCAAAAAGGTATCCCAGAAGTTGGAGTTGAGAAACAAATACTTGATCGTTGGATCAAGGCAAGAACATATACTTGTTGATGAGTTTGAGTATTGAAACCTGACCCCGCGTTCTGTTAACACCAACAGCCGACGATTTGGGGTTGCTCAGGATCCGATAAAAAAGATAAGCTATCGATTTGTGCGGGGTACTACCAATCACCGTAGTTCTTTGGCCGATCTCGAAGCCCTGAGACGCCTATCTAAAGTTGGCCTGATTCCGGGCGGATGCCGCCAATGAAACGCGATGCCGGGACCCACTCTTGGCATAGCTTTGGAATCGCAAGATGCCGATGGGACCTACGGGGCATACGTGGGGAAGAAGTACGGAAAATCGGAAAGGAAGGCGTGGAATAGCGCCGGGAGCAACAATATTTAGGTAGGTATTCCAGGATTTTCTTGGTTACAAATTCAGTCCCGCATCCTTGACCATGTCTACTATCACCGAAATAACGAATTATCGTTCTCAACGCTTGAAAGGCCCTACCGATCAAAATGCGATTCCAGAGAAATACCTGCTTGGGTTAGATCCGGAGTGGCGTCAAATGTGGCTGGAGCATGGACAGGATATCTCTGAAGCGCACTTGGTCACCATTGAGGAGTTTCACAAATGTCCAAAGAAATATAGCTTCACTTACCCTACCTGGACAGGTATGTCTTTGACACTTCCTAAGTGATTTCGCCAGCATGGCAGACAATTGACCGTGTGTTAGGCCCCGAGGTACACCAAGTCCAGGACATTCAAATTCCTGTATCAGACCCAGCAGGATCTATCACCTGTCGAGTATACACACCTGCTGGACCAGGACCATTTCCAGTACACCTCAACTTTCACGGCGGCGGCTGGGTCCTCGGCGGACTCGCATCCGAAGCCGCTTGGTGCCGAAGCATCTGCAACGAGTCTAAAATCGCCATGGTTGATGTAGACTACCGCTTGGCCCCAAAATATCCCTTCCCAACCGCCTTATATGATTGTTGGTCTGCTCTTCAATGGGTAATCGCCAATGCCAAATCATTCAACATTAGACCTGACTCGATCTCCATTGGTGGTCTGTCATCAGGCGGATTGATCACAGCTGTTTTGGCTCACTTCGCCAGAGACAACAATCCCCCAATCGATCTGAAGCTCCAGCTGATGATTGTTCCTGCTACCGATATGCGATATGTCCCCTTGTCAATCACTGATGCGCCTCCCCTAACCGAGAAGACCTGCCCTTATCCGAGCGCCATCTTCAACTCTGATCTTCCATGGTCACCTCTCGCCAGAGAATCGTGGTTTCTCAATTATTATATTGGAACAGACTCAGTGAAAAGGGAACAGATTCTGTCGGACTGGAGGATGACGCCAGTATTGGCCCCTTCGTTCAAGAACTTGGCCCCTGCACATATTATTACGGCTGAATTTGACGTTGAGCGGGACGAGGGAGAGTATTACGCAAAACTTCTGAGCGATGCAGGAAATGCTGTGACGATGAAGCGATACGCAGGTGTCCCTCATGCATTTGCTCATTACAACCACCCGGAAAAGGGCTTGAGTAAAAGCCGAGAATTTATCAAAGACTCGGCAGGGTTGTTGCGGAAGGCTCATTACCGAGACTCTGTGATTTGATCGGTCAAGAATATTACTTCCGTTGGTTGGAAGATTTCAATAGATATCTTGTTTGGGGGCTTATTTACTCTTGACGGCTCATATTATGGCTGGTGCTGTCATTTGAGCATATGAAAGCAGCTTCGCAAAAATCATCGAAAAGTCTAGGTATACTGTACTCTGATTCTTGAATCTTAGACAAGATTGGCTATCCAATTATCATTGAGCCCTGGGGCTAGGTCCATTGAAGACCCTCAATAGCGGGTTGAAAGCCCTGACGAGTACTCTTTAACTCGATGTGTGGCCGTCGTTAGATACAATTTACTTTCAATGAACGAATAATCCAAGCCGAAGGAAATCATCCTATTGACAGAAATTTCTAACTAGAAGTGCTTTCTAGAGAGGTGGCTAGCAAAATAGATACCACATCCATAAAGGCTGCGGTGAGTCAGGCAAAAGGAAACTAGAAAGCACGCAGATAGAGGAACTCGGTCCTAATTCCTTACGACGTTCGACTTCATCTCGACTGGAGAATAAGTCGAACGCAGCCCCATGCACTATGGGCAAATGGCTTCGACCTCGTCCTCCCATTTACTATCTACTATCAGAGGAGTACTACTGCACGGCATCATATAATATCTCTTAGACTAGCTCCTCTATAGGCCGTGGAAATCAGTAGGCAAGGGTTCCTAGGAGCACGCATGTGGTTTAATAGGTTGATCAACCATCATGCTTCACCGATGCGCAATGACTACCAAAAATGAAACATCAGGTTGTTGATGCCAATGCATTTAGATGGGACAGTGGGACCGGGCCAATCTAGAGAAAAAGAGCCTCACGTGGATAGGGCTAGCGTATTGCGTTTTATTAAGGTGCCCTTATGCTCAGGGTGTGCTCAGTGAGCTTACATAATGCTCACTGATCGGATCAGGGCGCTCAGAGGCGTGCTCTGTTCACTCAGTGAGCAAAAGCGGCGAGGGGCGAGCACTTGAACCGGAAAGGGAAAGCCAAGCCGTGGCATAGGAAATCCGGTACGTAGGCATTAATATACTAGTCCTATCAATACCCCTATTTTGTATATTACATCTTTCGCTACAACTCTTACTAACTCAAGCTTATGCCGTCACGATACTTCTCCTTAATATATCTTTTCTTAGGAAGATTACACTCTATTAATACACAGTCATCGCAGTATAAAAACTTTTTCTTCAATAGGCGGACGCCCTCACAAATAGCTCCGAACGCAATCGAACGAATAACAGGCTCTGATCCAAGTCTTTTCGCCAATTCTCATCCAAAGTTAGCCCTCACAGATGAATTATTAGTATACCGCCGAGTGCCATTTTAAACGCTTCAAGAGAGGCACCTCCCGCGCTATTACCTACCGCAACAACTCAGGTACCCTTTGCCAAAACACACCACAAAACACAGTCTCCAGTCATATATCCAGTCCGCTAAGCCGCTCACGACGGCGGAACGAGCCCCTTAAGGTAAAGACGCAGGATAATATAAGCATTACTATATAATCTGACACTCCTAGTAGTGCCTAAGACACACAGTACGTAAAAATGCTCAAAGATAAAAAAAGCCTTAACAGAAATAGGGTACCGTATTAAGGTTAGCGCGGCGAAGTAGGCTTTACTAGCAGGATCTCTCGCTATATATAGCACATTTCCGTCACTTCAAAAGTTTTGCTAGGCTAGGAAAGTCCTAAACAAGGACGAGGCAGACTAGATCGTGATAAATATTATATAAACCCACTTTTACTCGCTTTTGCCTGTATCTCCTCCATAGGTACAATCATAGCAATATACTTCTTAATACGAGTTCATAAAATCCGAAGCTACTACACATTACCTATCAATAAACTGTTATATAAGTAGATTAGCATTACAACTTAATAAAACTACCCCTCCTTAATAGAAGACGGCCAGTTATACTTAATACGGGTAGTAGGGTTGCTTACAACACTCATTAACATTTACGCGTCCCGTAACAGTCACTACTCAGTAACGTAAATTATCAACAAGATTATTACCGGTTATATTTTCTTACGTTATTATTGCCTTCGACTTGAAGTAAGAGGATAACGACAGAGGAATATAAGTAATGCGGAAGGGAAGTAGAAAAGGGTGAGAGCAACGGGTGGCAACTGCCTGAAAGGCAATGATATGCATAGTGTCTGCTCCTGCATCGCGAAATATTTCCCTTGATCAAAATGTACAAAAACACCATTTTACGGAGGGCTTCACCCCTCTGGGTGAAGAATATTCAAGTAGGTGAGCTGCCGCCTGAAGCCCTCCGAACCTGTCTGAAGGCCCACTGTCTACAGCGGTGAGCCGCCAAGCACCGAACGATGGGCGCTAGGTGAGCATCGCCATAGAATGGCTGTTGTATGTTTTTGGTTTTTGGTTGTATTTTGACTTCTCTACTCTTTAACTCCTTTGACCTCTTCACCTGATCGCCCTGAAGCTACTCTATTCTTCACCCAGATACCCTGAACACCCCTGAAGGGCTGACGTGGCCCCTCGGCTAAGCTTTCCCTGTCTCTCACGCTCCCCTTTTAGCCCATATCTAGAGCATTTGTAGGCATTTTTGGACAGAATGAGTAAAATCAGCTAACGCCGGAGAATAACATTTCACTATCGCGGAAACCAAGGACGCTGTCAGAACTCTGACGCCAGACGAGGACCAGAAGGAATCACTTGATACCACAAAAACAGCTTCAATGTACCTCCTAACGACCAATATGAGCTCCTCCACGAAAGAAAAGCGACTTGACATGACAGTAAACCTTTTAAATTTGTATTGGATCCCGTTTCAGAAACCGGCACAATCTCGACAGTAACGTAACTCACGGGCGAATTGTCCAGACGAGCGAGCGGACTAGCCAAGGAAACCACAAAACGGCAGAATATCAACACACTATTATCCAATAATCATTGAAATTGAACCATCTTAAGAAAACAAAAGATCATATACAAGTGCATTCAGGTTCATAAAATTCTTGTTGCAGGCCACTCGTTATCGTGTCCTAGTGCCGCCCGGTTTTGTCGTGGACGCCAGACGCCAGCTAGCAGCCAGCCGTCAGCGGGGTTCTGTTGCCGCTTGACCTCACGATCCATCCACGCCTCAGTTGTAACCCCAGTCTGTTTCTGGGATGTATATTTGCTGCTTAGCTAAATAGTGTATTCAAGGGCTCTCGATTTTGATAATAGCGTTTACGAAGCTTTCTATGTATATTTAAATCCGCGTATACACTGCGGATGGTCAACTGAGGATTTGGAAGAACATATCACCCTGAAGGACTTGGCCGGTTGTTGACTGGATTTGACTGACCTTTCGAGGTGACTCATTCCTAATCCCGAAATATGCATCAGGGACAAGATATTCCACTTTCCGGTTGGAAAAATTATAGTTCGCCGACTATGCTTAAGATGTTCAAGCATGGTATTTTATAAACCGTTCCCATATTCGATATAACAGGTCAATTAAGGTTTCTTCTCAACTGTCAACGTAAGATATTAAAGTTTCAACTTGACCTCTGCTCCGCAATTCTACTTTTCTAGTTGTGTCTGTGGTTGCGATACCAGTATGCGTACTCAAAGGCACTCCCCATTAGCATTTTCAGAAGGTTCTAGTGATCTATGCCTTGGATAATAATTTAATCTCCGTTACATACCCTCCCTACAGTACTATCCAGCTCAATAGTAAAGGGGATGGAATTTGTTAACGTTACAGTCCCATTCCCATTCCCTGGGCGGCATTCGACACTTGCTGCCTCGCCTTCTATGCTTTTCTTAGCCAGGATATTTAAAGGACAATTGCTCCCCAGTAGCGTAACCATCTTCGAGAAGTATTAAATCTCATTCAGAAGTTTGCACTGGCTACAACAGTCTACTTCCTATCTACCTCTGTTCTCAGAACTTGCAACATGCTTTTCTCTATCGCATTCATCGCTTCTGTTCTCGCAGCGTGTGACATCACCACCGCATTACGGACCAATGGTGACCCTGAACATCACGACAACGGCCTCAAGAAAATCTGCCCACATCTGAAGACACAGGATAAGGGCTGCATACGATACACTAGAGGCTACGATGTTACCGGCGTTCTCACCACAGTCACCCCAAATGTCAATGACGAATGTGCTTGTATCGAGGAATGTCTCAATGCTCCAGCCTCCTGCGACAGCTATGTGTGGAAGTACAACGATGATGGAACACGTCGTACTTGCACTTTATACTCGAATTTCAACCTCCCCCCAATGTCACGGTTGTTTACGACGAGCCACCTACACCTCCCAACCAAGGCTACGAGCCTATCGCAGAGGGCCCTACCCAGATCGGTGGCTTAGTACCTAAAGCTACAACGCCTAGTGGTGAGATCGATGAGCTTGCTGTTTCTGGTCCTGTCTGGCAACTTGAAGGAGGTGGGGCACTCTGCTAGTTAAGGGTAGAGTGCGATGTATCTACCTATATCGTTACCGGGATACTACGTAGGATCATACCGAAGAGAGAATACTTGTATGGTACCTATCCTATGTTCTTTGACCTATAATACAGAACTTATGATAATAATTTAGCAGTAATTATTATAAGTGATAATTTTCAATAAGATTAGTAGTATACAATGCTACATATGTTTAAGAATAGAATCAATTACACGTAGCTAAGGAACTATAATAATATATATTCGTGTCGCTATCCCTATCTTTCTTGGCGTTTGTGAAGGATACGCGGAACTAGCGATATTAGACTCTACGTAGTCTCCTTTTAATCTATTACTAGTTTACTATTATCCCTGACACGAGACGGCAATGTTTGTTTAGGCTTTTATCAAAATACGTGCACCAGATGTATATATATAAACGACCGATGAATGTGCCGAGCCCGAGAATAGACTCATAAGATTAAGTCTTTCTGTAGGCCTACCGAAATCTTTTCTTTTGGAAATGTAATATTTTTCATGATGGGCGGATAGATTGTCCGGGCTATCAGGGTATAATGTAAGGGGGTAAATACATACCTGGAGCAGTGGTTGGTGTCACTATTATTGCAAGGTTATCACAAATCATCCCTTTCGCAAATCTCACTATCCTGGCATTAAGGTTTAACGGCAATACCGGTTTGGCGCGCGTGAAAGTGAATGAAGATCCCGAACCAGCCGCTCTCGCAGATATGTGTCGCACGGACGGGACTTGTATTGTTGAACATTATGATCCACTACAGGCTAGACAATTCCAGGAACCCAGTTGCCATGTTCTGATTCAGAAATGGGCAATTGGTCCTTTTATAACAAAGAAAGCGGTTCCAATATCTGTTAAAGGGATACAGTAGATTCAATTGAAACATGTTCTCAAGACACGTTCGGATTATTCGTGATAACTCCATTGACTCCGAACACTTGTAGCAATAAATTGGAGTTACTGTGCTAAAGCGTTAGAGGCACAGGTGAATATGGACTTTTGATTTTAAGCGCTAGGAATTTCGTTCTGAATACTGAACTCAATAAGCATGTATGTACTCCGTAGATTGCCTGCCCAGGCTTCCTCAAGAATGCGACATGCCAGGTGGAGTAGTTACCACCTGTCAATTGCCTTTGGGTGGTCTGTGCGTTCAACAACATGTCTCGTGCACTGGGCATGAATTTTTTCCTGCTAGACTAAGCAAGTAAATTATAGCATTGTATGCGTAAATAGGTCTATTTGACCAAGGGAAATCGACTGCATCATGGCAAAGTTGATGATTTAAGAAAGATCTGAAGAGAGTGGTAATCAGCTGGCATATTAACAACCGATAATCGGATAACACGGAGCGGGGTTGTACCAAGAAAGGTACTTAGAGTGAAGTGGTCCAAGTGGCTGTATAAACTCAAGGTTACAAACTATCTATGCTCCTTTAATAAGAGGTCATGAAGACTGCCCAAATGCTAATCCAGTTTCCGGTACAGCTTGGACAAGGACGGATATCATTAATCGCCCCAGTCGGATACAGTAAGATCATCCGCTCAACTGTCCATCCCATGGAACCTTACCGGTTCATGACTCCATCAAGCTACTACTGTTTTTCTTTTCTACTAACATTATCCACCTAGTATGACCCCCTGGAAACCGATAGCAGGAAGTGGTGAGTATAGTGACCCTAAAAGCTAGCGTAAGGATCCTCGACGGCGATGGCTGTTTGTCTCTGGGCTCCCCGTTACTGTGGTAAGTTCTATAGAGCAACGGGCATTAATGTTTCTGGAGCCTGATTCAGAACAGGGCACGCTATGTGTTACGGCAATGATGTTTAATATCTGTGCGCTTTCAAGCGGGTGGGTTAATAGATGACCAGCACGTTTCCCTCTCAACGTGGTGAGTTTTCTTAATGTGAAGCAGTAGCAGGGAAATTGGATGATATTGAAGCTATGAGGAATCTAAGTTTGGATGAGCCCTGGGGCTCCTAAAGTAGTGTGGGGCTCCACCCCAATCTACGAAGAAGTTTGTCTAGACCTGGAAATATATGGGGGCAGCTCGATGCATATACTATAGGATGATCGTCTTACAAGCCGTATCGCTTAATATTGCGGTCTTCGGATATATCGCCTACCTGGTACTGATGCGGCGCTATGATGGACGAGCCGCTGTCTTCTGCATTAGCGTCCTGGGCTGGCTAATGGCTGCTGCACTCCTGTTTAGCATCATCGGTGTTGCCGTGGAGCGACACCGCTACCTCTAATCCCGGCTAGAATATACTTAGGCCTTGCCACTGCCGGGATTATTACGCTGGGCCTGATGGTTAGTACCGTGCTGTCATTCACCCGCGACATGCGTGACATGAATCTGCACCTACAGATGGCCCAGATGCGCGATCATTAGGGGAAGAGCGCGCCCTCCGAGGACCACGAGCTTCCTTTGCCCCGGGCCTCGTAGGTGCACGAGATGCACTATATCAAGTCCTGGTTCTGTAACGGTATATAATGGAAAGAGCTGATCTTCTTCCTGCTCGCCTGGCTGGTGCTTTGATTTCTCAGTGTAGTGGTGTTCCGTGCCTCCGAGCACTAGTAGGGCTGGTCCTACTTTCTCGCACTCTATTTTACCTATACCTCGTTTACTACTATCGGATACGGCGACTTATATCCTACTAGCAGTCTCGGTAAGGTCTTTTTTGTCTTTGGTCGCTGCTCGCTTCACCGATCCTCACTAACCTTGTAATAGCCATGGGCGAATTCATATATCACGTCCTGGTCTTCTCTTCTACCGCGCTTGGGAAATATACTGTTGTCGCCGCCTCTATAGTGTATAGACCCTAACTTCAATTCTCCTATAGGGAACAAGATTGCAATTCCCATTAGCTATATGTACAGAAAACCTACTCGATTCTATCGATGCCCCACCACGATATAACTAGAGAGTGCGGCTAGATTAATACTCCCCGCCTCCTAATTTGTCTAAGGCGAGAGGGTCCTGCAGAGCCTGCTCCACCTCCTGGTCGTTAAAGAGAGGGTAGAGTTAGCTTCCATGCTTTGCGATAGTCGGTGTACTAAAGATCTTAGGGTTACCTAGTCTCTAAATTTCCCGCTGCTGCATTCGGGCGAGCAGGATATTAGCCCTCTCGACCAGGCCTGGCTCATAACTTCGCTACTAGCGTCACATCAATATTATAAACAGATAATAAGAAGCTTCCTCGATTGCCAGTATTACGTGGAGGACAGAGCAACGGATGTTGTATAGATACTAACGTTTTGATCAATAAGCTACGTGCCGACTTAGAGACTGATGGACCTTAAGGAGAGCTGGAGGTATCCCTGGGATATTAATCTCGCAAGAAGGATATTGTGGATTTAGCTTGCCTAAGTAGCAATTATATTAATTATTAGTATAGTTTGTGAGAGAAACCTACTAAATAAAATTCGTTATCCACTATCTACTTTAATCGATCGAGATATTTATTTAGGGTTTTCTGTCACGTAGAAGAAACCCTACCTGATAGATGTATCGTGTGGCCTATCATAATTTGCCCCCTCTTCTTCCTTGAATCCAGGAACCTATCCTGTTTATCCACCATATCCGGCTCGATACCCAAAAATCACCACCTCTACAATCACTCGATTTCCGTTAGCATATTTGCCTTACCGATTAAGATTAGCGAAGACATCTTCAAACGGGTGCTTACCGTGCTTAACCCTTTATGTTTCCTAGGATCCAGAAACCCCAGTAGAGTTATCTTGCGAACAAGCCTCGTGCAAAAATTACGTTATTTTACCCTAGTAATAAATAACATTAAGGCTAAGGCTGTCCGATACGGCGTAAATCTTTTCAGGATCAAATATTAGGAAGTAGCAGGAGACCAAAGCAACAATCTAAAGCCATTTGTGAACAGGATTAGGGATATTAGTGCACGTTTCCTATCCCACTTACAATTCTTCTTTCCGGCCACAGATATAGAAGACGGTTAATATGGAAGATTAGGATCAAGGAAGAAGCCGCGCAAGTCTGTAGCTTCTTCAGAATAAACGCACCGGTCTATACACATTAAAAAAACGCTCGGTTACAATAAAAGCTCCAGCCGTTTGATTGCAGTGGGTAGGGAGCGTACTCGATAGATTCATAATATAATACGAGCTCAGAAGCATCGATTCTCTAAACATGTTATTACTAGGGTGTGCAGCGTATCTATTGCACTCTCAGTCAGACAACTCCTGGAAGATATTAGTTGGATTGTCTTGATCGGCGACATATAGATTGCCTGGCGCGGCTGAACTAACAAATGAGTGTCGGATTTCTGGCTAACAATAAACAATCAACAATCAACATGAGTAGATCAAATTCCCAAGTAGGCTATAGCCTGGAGGGACCGGCCCATCTTCTACGACCTCGTCACAAGATAAGCCCTAAAATCTCCCAATGCGTAGCCCCACGCCCTATATCGCACAACTTCCTCTCCTATAGTTGTTTGTATAGCTATTTCGCAACAAACGGCACTACAAGTCATATAGTCATAAATCGGTCCTTAAGCGGCATAACCTCACAAGCTTATTAAATTAACTCTTCTTGGGTTCCTACCTAGTTATATAATTCCCTAGTTTATCGTTTCGTGGATCGAGGGTCTTATGCTAGCATCTAGCATCCCGGCTAATAGTATACGTATATATAGGGGGTGCTATACAGTCTCTATATGCCGAGGCTAATAGGAATCGTGCTGTCTAAATGTCTCAAGTTCCTTAGGTAGGGCCCTCTACTGAGTTTTTTTTCCTCTGCCAGGTAGGGCTTTCCTTTCTGAGATGCCGCCGCTTTTATGAGGGCGCTTACAGTCAGACTCACTCTTAAGTAAAACAGGAAGTCACCAGGAAGCATGCTCAAGCTCTTCAAAGGCGGCTTTCAGCCTTGTATACTGCGATATTCACTTATTGCAAGGCTACACGTGGAGCGGGAAGGTTATTCTTTGGAAAGGTCGGTCCTTGATGGTGAAATGACACCTCTTGGCTCAACAATTTCCCCTATGGACTGAAGAACTATGTCTCATCAACTTGGGCAACGTTGCTATTTGAACGACGCACAATAATTCCTCAATAAGTCATATTAATATCATATAATGATCGAAAGAGAGACCCAAAAATGCTGCACTACTTTTTCAAGTTGGTATTGCAACTTTAGCAATAATAACTCCATCAATTACGGTATCTCCTGTAGGTCACCCTCAGTCAGGAGAATTCGTAAGTATAGTAAGTTCATAAAAGTCAACTAAGCACACTAATAGTCATTATGATGCTGAAAAAAACTTGTCCAGGAGTGACATGGACCATACGTTGTTGCGTTGTTGGAAATATGCGGATATGACTAGTTCAAACGCTTGACCCGCTCCCGCTCATAACTGGGCGTACCGTTACGATTCATCTCTCATTATCGTCAGACTTTTTTAAAAAAAAAATTTTTTCACTTCATTACACTTGATTATTCTGTACATTTGAAATCCTATAATCATACAACAATACAGCAATACAGTGTCAAACTATACTTTGATCCTGATCTATTTGTTCGGTATATGGCACGCGTCCCCACATGATTTTAAATCACATGGACCCTATTACAAAGTTAGACTTTTTTGGTCCGCGTGTGACCTTGTTGAGCTCAACAACATATGTATCATTGAGGACTGGTCTTCTTAATTTCTCCACATTTACCCTCCATATCCTTTGAAGGCAAACTATTGGTATGCCAGATATGTTGCCGAAGGACAATACTCGAAATCTCAAAATACTGCAAGAGATTGCAATTCATTAGCATTTTACTCACGGATTGTGTTCAGAAGAGGCGTAGTTATCATATGTTACAATAGCGCCAAAAGTCTTCAAATACCGAGGCGTAGGTTGATTGGATACGAACTGATCATTCCGATTAATGCCAACGCAATAATGTCCGAAACTAAGTTGCCGACATTTAACGTCAAAAATATACATCTAATTTCAAAATACCTTGTTTTGATGCCGATTGAAAGGCTTGATAAGCTTCCAAAATATTTGAAAATGGGTAATCTTAGTGGTCCCGTCAGTCGTCCGGCATGCTCGTGATGAAGTGAAAAGTGCAGCATCTACTTACGGTGCGTAACCAACGATGGCGAGAGACGACCAGATTGGAAAAGCTTCAAAAGAGTGGAAATGGTGACGGTGTCTACTAATCGAGTTTTTATATCTGGTGTAGATTGTTAGGTGGTCTCTTATGTTACCTCTGTATACATACTGATATTGCGATCCCAGAGTTTGTCAAGATCAAGGGTTGCCTGCTTGCCATGAACACCAATATTTGCCAGTGATCCCCCTGGGCCCACTAGTTTTTGACAAAGGTCAAAGGTATTCGATGCACCAACTGCTTCAATGACGGAATCAAATCCTCGGCCATCAACAACGGAATCCAGTTGCTCCATGGCATCGAAGGATTGCACGTTGATGATTTTGTCAGCACCAAACTTTTGAGCAAGCTCCAGTCGTTTTTCATCTTTATCAATCACAACAATCTGGTATGGGGAGTACAACTTTGCTGTGAGCATTGCAGCAATACCTACCGGGCCGGCCCCGACAATTGCGACAGAACTGCCCGGTTGAACATTGGCGTTGAGTGTTCCACACTCTAGTCCGGTTGGGAAAGAGTCGGACAGAACCACCATTTCTCCAGGATCGATGTTCCCTGGAATTTTATAGAGAGAGTTGTTTGCGTGAGGGATGCGTACATATTCTGCTTGGGTTCCGTCTATGACATTCCCAAGTATCCACCCCCCTCTTACACAATGAGAATTCATACCCCTTTTGCATGCACTGCACGTGCCACAGGAGGAAATGCAGGAGATCAGAACTGTCTCACCGACAAAGAAGGAGTCGACTGCGGACCCGAGTGATGTAATGGTTCCAACACCTTCATGGCCGAGTATCCTGCCTTGTTCAACCGTAGGAATATTACCCCTAAGGATGTGCAAGTCCGTCCCACATATGCTTGTATGATCCATTCGTAGAATTGCATCCGTTGGGGACTGAATTGCCGGCATTACACAGTCGCGGACCTCGCATTGATTGAGGCCAGAGTACACCAAACCTTTCATTTCCGTCTGGCTCTGTTAGATCAAAAATTCTCTCAATGGGAGGCAACTAAACCAAGTCTATATACGCTTACGTTGGTTGTATCTTTAGAAGAAAAACTTTCCGATCGCATCTGCTGACACCTCATGGTCAATGTAGTTGGTTGGGGTATATAGCGCGGAGCGGAATGTGATGTGGCAGATACTCTGCACCGCAAGAGTGATCGGATGAATGGTCTAGTGAGCATTGAGGCAAGTGGTGCGATCTTCGAAATATGTAGGTAAAGATATTTTTTAATAAATATATCTCGGCCTATTTTCTGCAAACCCGTTCCAGGATATTTAATAATACGACAGAGGAGACTATGGAAAGGATATGAGCCTAATCTGAAGAAAAGCTAGTCATCAAGTATGGTGTCTATACAGGGCCCAGACTCGGAGATCAACAAATTCAATCGCACAAAATATGACATCCATGTGAAATGGCTGGCTGAGCCATGATCCAGAAAATCCCAGAAAATAGAAAATAGAAAATGGGAGTCTTTTAGGTCCAGAATAAAGTACGACTGATTTTCCCTGTCACTGGGTACGGTAGCCGATAGGTGCCACCAAAGTGCAAGTGGCGTTAGACAATTATTTTAACAGCAAAGTCCCTTGCAAGCGACATTACTACATATAGTCCTGATTTGGCCAACCAGGGCTCACGGTTTTAATGGCCCATCTCTCATGCGATTTGAATTGTAAAACTACGATTTTAATGGTATGCGATTTGGATTATCTAGTTAACTAACGTAATTCCCAGCCGACAGGAACACCTCGTCGTGCGGAACACCCCGAAATCTCATATTAAATACGATATTTTTATAACTTCATAATTCAACACCCAAGGTTTGCTGAAGTAGTCTTAGAGTATCATAGTGTTGAATACATCATACTATACATTTTGACCAGGGCAAGAAATATTTTAGGGCGTAATAATGATGGTATATATATCTATGTCGCTCGCTTGGAGCGCAATTTTGGTAATGCAAGTCAATAATCATGTCCTGAATATATTAGCTATACAATACTGTTTCTAATGCTAAGAAATAATATTCAAGTAACAATCAAGCTAAACTAACATCTCGTTGAGCTATAGTCACTTAAATACATAGATATTATAGGCAAATTAAGCACATAATGAATTAGATATACCCTTGTAAGATAATTCATGGTGCTTGCTACAGGAGCCGTTTGTAATAATTCTATGATTACAAATCTACTATAGAAAAGTAATATTTTTAAAATATTTCTTAAATAATTTCAACTTGAAATAACCCATGATAGTATTACCTTTTCAATATCTAGAGTACCCGTACAGTATTGCGGAGATATACCTTCAGCTAAAGTGTGTGAATTTAGCCAAGTCCGTGGGACACCAAAAAAGGTGGTAGGTAGGCTTTTGGGTGCGACATTCGGGTCCGCATATTACTCGCCACCGGATATGAACTGGAAATTCATGACGCCGCTGAGGTATCTAGTCTCTGAGGTGACTTATTCTTCTGAGTGTTTAGTATGAATGCATTTCGCAGTATTATGAACGTTTCATTATTGCAACCTTGATCTTCCGAAGGACTGAAGGTAGGCAATGCGATTGCTTCGTTAGTGACGCGGATCGTTAAAAGGCCCAAGCCTTTGAACATGTGATCGTAATTATGGAACCACTCGGCCCCTAACTTGGCACCACTCTTGGTCTCCATTGGAGTTCCTTGGTGAATAAACTTTAACCCGAGGAACGCCCACGCTACTGACGCACACCATCCTCATGAAAAACTTTTTAAATAACCGTTCCGAATCCAATTCCCAAAAGCGAGCCACACGAAAGTAAACCTATCACCGGGCCTCAATGGATCGACAAATTTATAATGAGAACATAGCCTGTCTTTTGAAAAACCACAAATCTCGTTCATCCTCACCTTCAAGTATGAAGGCAGAGCCTAGCGAGTCTCATCGTGACCCAAATCACACACAAGCATGGCTGATTGGAGGTGGCATTGCGTCTCTCTCCGCAGCAGTCTACCTTGTCAGCGAAGCTCAAGTTCCGGGACCGAACATCCATCTTCTAGACCTCCATTCGGGTCCAGGCGGGGGAATGACACCCCGTGAAGATCCTCAGAGAGGGTGTTTTCTTCCGTTTGAATGCCACCCCATTTTCACGGCAGCTCTATGACAAAACTTCTTTCACTTGTTCCCAGCAAAACAAACTTAAAGGGAACCTTGCTGGACGACGTTCGGCGCTTCGAAACTATCGAGCGGCCTCAGCCTCAAACAGCCGCTCTTAGTCGAGCGCTCAAGCTTGGGCCCTCTGGTCCAGAAATAGTCGAAACCAAGAGTCTTTCGATTGGGGCTAAGAACCGGATGAATCTGGTGAAAATCATGCTGGAGCGTGAATCAACGCTGGGTTCAAAGTCTATCGAGGATATAATGGATGAAGACTTCTTTGGAACCACATTTTGGATGTTATGGACTACAGAGTGCGTCTTATCACCCTATGAAAGGACAAGTAGCCCTGCTTAACCTACACAATTAGATTCGAATTGCAGCCCTGGCATAGTGCTGTCGAGTTTCGAAGGCATCTTCGAAAATATTTAGAAAATATTCAGCAACTAAACAACGTTATAAAGTCGAACCGCACCGAGTTTAATCTTCACGAATCTCTCATTGAGCCTATAATGATCTACTTACGGGAAGGGGGTGTAGACTTCAATTTTAACACTGAAGTAACTAATCTAACGGTCTATCCAAAGGAAGACCCTGTCACGGTGACATCTATCGAGCTCCTTCGAGACGGAATAGAGCACACGGTCGATATCAACGCAATTGATATTGTTATTGTCACATTAGGATCAACTAGTGCGGGGGCATCGTTAGGCACGAACAGAAGCTCACCTCCAAACTTGTCCCTGACTTGGGAAACTGAGTTAACTCGCGATTGGAGACTTTGGCAAAGGCTTTCACAGGATTCCCCAAAATTCGGACAGCCTAACAACTTTCTATCGCAGTGCCTGAAATCCACCTTGGAGACATTTACGTCAACTTTTGAAGGCCCCGAATTTATGTTACTTTATGAGAAATTGACGCATGACCGGCCCGGTACCGGCGCCCGAATTTCCTTGACAGAGAGTAATTGGGGAATATCACTTTCTATTCCTCGTCAACCTCTCTTCTCAAGTCAGTCCAGAACGATGAATATCATATGTGGCATTGCCCTGAATCCAACCAGAGAGGGAAATTTCGTGAAGAAGGCCATGTACAAATGCAGTGGCGAAGAGATTCTCATCGAAATTCTCTCTCATCTACAATTCCCCATAGAGCCAATTCTTTCATCCTCAAAGACTGTTCCGTGCGGAATGCCTTTAGGAACCGCGCCACTTTTGTCACGGCATGAAAAGGATCGACCGCTTGTAATTCCGCAAAGCACAACAAACATTGCGTGCGTTGGCCAGTTCGTGGAGATACCTGGCGAAACTACTTTGTCAATGGACTATAGCGTACATAGTGCCCAGATTGCCGTGACTAGGTTGATGGGCCTGCCCGGAGAACCCGAGGAGATTAGGGAGAATCGTTTGTTACAAGTTTTGCATCTGATGTTTTAAGTTAAGTCTCTGATAGACTGGTAACCAAACCATGGGAAGCCGCCTGAAATCTTATTGTGGAATAAGGTCGCGTCTATAGTACTCTTTCAACAGCCCGCAAGAAGTCAATGAAATTTATGGATACATTCATGAGTTGGCCAGCGATATGTGCACTCTCACACTCCCTTAATTCACAAACGTCTCTTTTCCCTCGCCGGTCTAGAAATCCTTGTGATATCACGAATCTGACCATCTAAGCTATTCGCATTTACTAAGAAATCAATTTCCGCCGATTTATTTTCTCTACAGGATGCCTACGATCAATCGCACCGACCTAGCTGCCTTTCTTACCATGCTATTCCTATTTAATCTTCTGTTGTCACGAAGGAGACGTTCGGAGGTTGGAGAGCATCCAAAAGAGGAAGGCGGTGTGAGGCGACAGAATGCTCCACGCCCGAACAAAGGAAGCACGTCAGCATAAAACCTCAGAAAGCCCTACATGGAGCTCTCTCTTCGTCTTTTCCCTCTTTAGCTTTCGTTGCTTCGTTCAATGATACAGCTATCTCCATTGATTTGCTCACGATTTGCTCATGATCTTCTTCGTAACAATTGTAGCAACATTAAATACATAAAGTACCGTTCTGTCAGCAGCAAATAACACATCAACTTCAGGAGAGTATTAATGTTCTAACCCTGCTCTAACAATTAATCACCAATATTCATCTTCTTTTTGGTCTGCTTCTTAACCGATTTTGGAACCCCTATCGACAGAACACCGTTTTTCAGGTGCGCATGAGTGTGATCTTGGTCGATAGCAGTCGGGAAGTTGAATGTTCTCCAAAAATCTCCAACAGATCTTTCAGATGCTAACCACGAATCTTTCTCCGTTGTAGATTCGCGCTCACTATGCGCCTTGATTTTGAGGCAATTTTCATCTTCAATTTCAATTCCCAGCTCTTCTTCCTGGACACCAGGAAGATCACCATCGAGGTAATGGGGCTTCTCTGTCTCGCGAACATCAAATGACGGTGTGTAAGTTTTGAAGCTGGCCGAGATTCGAGAACATTTTTTTCATAGTTATTAAGTAGGCAGCTAACAGCTGAAAGCCCGCCGCGGTGGAACCGTGGGATCAGGGACATATTGAACGATCGGACTTGGTTATTGTGGTATGTTCGAGTACTGAGATAAATATGAAAATGAGGTTTATGATCATCACAAGCAAGTTACCAGTATAAGTACCTAAAGGCGGTTATCCGAAGCCAATATTTGTTGGTGGCAATCTTAATCTACGAGGTAACTTCTGTCAACAGCCGTCCCTTTTGGTGTGAGGTCATATGATAACCAAAATCTCGACGTGTCTAGACTCCATAGACCCAATGTTTTGATTTTTACAAGTTTGTTCGACGGCATCGTCTGTTAACAATAGCGGTCCGCTTTGGCGAGAGGTCGTACGATAACCAAAACCTTGGCCTCCCACGCCGTGCAAATAATTTCAAGGCAGGTTTTGGCATGTATCGAGCGGATGACTAATATTGGAAAATGTGGTGCTGTCGATTGTGCCAAGTTATGAGAGTGATAATTATTCATGGAGACCGCTCCTTGTCTTTCAGAATTGTGGTGACGGGCAAGGAAACAAGGGTGTCCAATCACGCCGTGGAAAATAACGATAGCAGTCGTACTTGGGGAATCACTCTCGCATTTCTTAGTCCCCCGTCTCCAAGAACGTGAACTGAAGACCACTTTATTATACTACAAATAGAATCGTGCTTGATGGGTTTTAGTTTCGTAGAGGATAAGATTCAAATTTGTGATATCGATACATACAGAGTGTAAGTACCGGAAAGCGGGAAGACCTAGGGTCCCAAATAAACCCCACAGCCCACTAGTTAGGCTGCAGCAGGTTAATAGAGTGTTGATTGATTGATTGATTGATTGATTGATTGATTGATTGATTGATTGATTGATTGATTGATTGATTGATTGATTGATTGATTGATTGATTGAACCCCACAGCAGGTTTTATACCGCGTTCACCGTATTTCAAATCCTGATGCGAAGCAATATTTGTAGTGATGGCAGGTGTAATATTTGGTCGGTCTCCAAAAACTACAGAAAGGCATAAACCGTGGAATTCTTAGTGGCAGTGTAAGAAAATCTTGGATAGTGATATTTAAATACCATAAAAGCTCTGCAAATATCTCTATCACCACTGTAGACGCATATAGGCTTCTGAATTGTTAGGCGATACTATACAGAGCGCATAAGTACTATAATAAGATAAAAAGGTCTCGAAGGGGCTTGCGTAAAAATCTCTGCCAATTTCTCCTGTCTCCCCCTCTATTCATTCCTGATCAGCATCCGCATACCATCCCAGTGCAATCGATTGAGGGGTTTAGTAGGCTATCGTAGGAAAGATGTGCTACGGCGGTCAATTAGGGGCTCAATTAGGGGGTCACAGACTTTAGTACGCCACTGTATAGATCATGCTTGATCTAAATACAATGAAATTACAGTTTGTGCTCTTGTGATATAAGTTAGTCTCGCACTACGCCTTCCTCTCAAAGCCTTATATACTGCGGAGAGTGTGATGTTCTTATCAGCCCTAGCGAGATTCGATTAGATGGAAATCTATAGATTGCCCGACCCTCCTTCAGCGTAATCATAGCATAATTTATCGATGTGCGATAGACCGGCAAAGAGGTATCCAAAATTGGCTAGGATGCCTAACTTATGTAGAAGCACTTTATATTTGCAAATAATACCACACTCGCGGTCTAATGGGATACACACCAAAGGAATGAGGCGCTAAATTTCTCTTAGTAGAATAAAATGTATAGAATTGTTTTTGTTGGAAACCTATAGGCCTATGATCACGACATGTTCAGCTCGGTCCGCCTTCACAACCCTCACGTCGCTACATGGAACTCATCGGTTATGGTTGAATATGCCAAGTAGAAATATTGTATTCAAATACAGATTTGATGGTATATCGGAAGGGACGAAGCACGGTAATCATGAATTCAGGAACATCATATCAACCCAAGTTTGTTCAATGCCACATGAAAGAAACCAAGACTAACCATAATGAATGTCTGCCAGAAGATGTACTCCGGTCTCTCTCGCTGCAATTTTCGGCCTCGCCTTGATCCTAATTACATGCTTACTGATCTTCATTGATCCTCTCAAACTTGGTCCTCAGGTCCTTCACTGACTCATCTAAAGCAGCCCTCTCTTCGTTATTCAACGGCATCTGAATTTTCTTGATGATTCCTGCTCTCCCGAGGACGACAGGCAAGCTGACACAGCAACCCCACTCGGGCTGGAAATGACTGATGGGACGAACGTTTCGTTTGTCGGACAGGATAGAAGAGCATATGCTATATATGATGAATCCAATTCCAAGAGGTGTTGAACCTTTCTCCTGGATTATTATCCGCGATCTATTTTTGCACTCACTGGAAAGCTCGTCGCGGTTGAAAGTGCTGAGCGGGAGCGATTCGTTGATTGGGATGCCTGCGATTGTCGCATCTGACCATGCCACAACCTGCGAGTCCCCATGTACGCCCACTACGTAGAGATCTATCGAATTGGCCGCGACCTAGCCTTAAATCAGCCTTCCCATAGCCAGAATAGACATACTGTGCACGCACCCCAGTTTTTTCCGCTAATAGATTACGAATTCGCACCGAATCGAGGAAGGTTCCTGAGCCCAAAACCTGGGAAGCTGGTAGATCGGAGAGCTCATGCGCGAGCGATGTGAGAAGGTCCACAGGGTTCGCCACGATGAGGAGAATGGTGTCTGATCTAAATGGCCTCATTTCATTGATGATGCTTCGAATAATCGAGACCTTTTGGTAAATGTGCTGAGTGCTGGTTTCGCCTACGTGGCTATTAGATCTTATGTGATTAAGATTGCGTCCGACGAGCCTTCTCCTATGTGATTTCTTACCTCTGGAATAATTTGACCCCGCGGTAATAACCACAATATCGCTGTGGCGGGCCTCCTGGTAGGTGGCCGCTCGCACACTTGTTTGGCTGTTGCAGCTGTAGCTCACATCGGACAGATCGTTGACCTGGCCGTTCCTTAAATGGGTTTTGATGTCAACTAAGAGCAGTTCACTGGCAAGTGAATGAAGAATAATCGCGTAAGCGGCAGCGGTGCCGACTTGGCCGACGCCGATAATCGCGATCCGAGAAATCGGCTTCCCGTGAGATGACATTTAGGCGACCTGTGATGATCTCTTACTTCGCAGGGAGTTACGTCGGTTATATTTATCAGCGGCGCATGTGTGGCGTAAATTCGTGTGATTCAAACGACTTTCTGGACTTTCTGCCGGTATGATGAAATAACCTAGTATTTCACTGTGTAGATTACCTCCGTACGGTTGAGCTCCATGGGGATGGCGCCAAGTGGCTGAAAAAGGCTTGTGTTCTCAAGATGTATGACGAGAAGACGTGCACTGACAATTTGTCCACATGGTCCAACAGCTAGTGGACCTAACGACAACTAGTGTCTAGACCCTTCTACACACTGACCTCGAAATCATACCACCGATCCTCATGATACTGTCATGACGTACCCGAGCTGGAAGCCGAGAGCGTCCGACTAAATCAAATTAATATTACTACCTACTTAACGGCTATTTACATAGAAATTAATTGCTTCCGATTTAGGGATCGTCGTTATTCTAGTTCCTATTTCCTATAATACCACACCCCCTGCAATTGATGGCGTACGATTCATTTCCAGGTTTGTTTGTCGTAATTGTTGAAAGTTCAGGGCCAAGTGCGCCTCGGAGCTTCTTGAAAGCACGATCCTGGTTTTATCAGTCAAGGAGCTCGTCACAGGTTAGAACACTCCTCTCTTTCAATTATTATACAGTTCTTTTGCATTCGCGTAATTATGTCGTTGTCAGTAGCGTCATCGCTGGCTGTGTTTGGTACCGCCTGCTTCAGGTGATCTCGGTCGAAAAGAGAAGCTAGCCGAGGCTTGGGAACAACGAAGCCTTTGTATTATCTTTGTAACCTTCCTTCTCTCAATTGCCGCTTTGCTCCACCTTATATTTGTGAAAAAATCGCAACAACTGCAATCACTCTTTATTTTCTCAACCGATCAAATACCCTTCCAAACCTTGGCTACTTCGCCATCGAGCTCGCGCGATGGACAAATTCCCCGTCACCAGACAGACCGATCCTCTCCCAGGTAACTGGTCCTATGTGCAACCCGTGAGCTAATTTTTATCGTTGCAGGATCGAGTTGTCGAAGCCGGAGACAAAACAAGGGTGATCCTCACACATCTCCACAATTAGGTCAAGGTGTGTACTAAGATACTTGACCCTCCCATATAACAGGCGATGTGCGTAAGGGGACAATGGTTCTACGGGAGAACAGGCTACCTATAGTCTCCAGGAAAAGGACCAGGAATAAAGCGTCACAGAACAGATCAACAGATCACCGTGGGCTCGTGGAAGTGAGGAGGTTGTGCCACTTTTGAAACATGTTCTTCGGATCGTACTGCTTCTTCAGCTTCTGTAGGCGCGGCAGATTGTCTCCAAACAGTTCGTGGGCATTTGCTTCGTGTCCTAGAGGCGTGTCAACAGGAAATTACCCCGGTGCATGTGTCTAAGGGCTTAATCGTACCAGCGTAGTTAGCATAGATGCCCACCCCGTGTCCTGCGATGCTGGCGACTCCGGTGCGCTCTCGGATCTTGCGCAGCAGTGCCCGCTCCAGGTTTGCCATCTTGGCGTCCAGTTCCGGGTCATGCCAACGGAGGATGGTCGCCACGTTATGGTATGGACCCCGGTTGGCATACGCCGTCGCGTCGAATGGCACTTGGCAGACGCGCGCGTACGGCAGCAACTCAAAGACCACCACGCTGCCTTCGACGCGTGGGTAGGATCGCATGATCCGGTCAAAATCTTCGTAGACCTCATGCACCATCTGGGGATCGAGTGGCAGCCTGACCGTTGTGCCGCTCAGGCGCTTGCGGGCCCCGCGGGCGGCCAGCGGCCCAATAATGGTGTTCATCCTCGGGTAGGGCATCTCGCACGTCTCGTTCTGGATCGGGCCCAGGGCCAGCAGTGGCGCAAAGAAGGCCTCGGCAGCGACACGCGGACCGTTGTAAAACACCAAAGCGACAATTACCGTTGACAGCAGGTCGGGCGGCCGCGTGGTGAAACCGAAAAATAAACCCTCGTCGCCCGTTGCCCGCTCATCGAACTGGTTCGCAAACTCGATCACGGCAGGCAGCCGGTCAGCGGGAAAGTAAAGCAGGCCGCCGAAGATGGGTGAGCGTTGGCGGTGCGCGAGCAGGACGAACTCAGTGGCCACACCAAAACTCTGGCCGGCGCCCCGTACCGCCCAGAAGAGGTCCGGATGCTCGCCCACGGATGCAGTCACGACGCGGCCGTCAGCCAGCACCATCTTAACACTGACTAGGTTGTCAATGACCAGACCGTGGCGCCCGGTGAGCCAGCCGAAGCCGCCGCCCAGCGTCGTGCCTCCGACCCCCGCAGCGCTCGTTGTGCAGCCGACAACGGCTAGCCCCTCGCGCTCGGCCGCCTGGTCGACCTCTTCCCAGGTTGCACCTCCCTGGACAGCTATCGTTGCCGATGCTGGATCGACCAAGACATTGTGCATCGCGGATAGGTTGATGACGATTCCCCCGTGGGTTGAGGACGCACCGCTTGTGCTGTAGCCGCCGCCCTGGACCACAATAGGGATGGAGTGGCGGCTCGCGAAGGCAACAACTAGCGCGACCTCGTGGGACGAGGTGACCATCACGATCGCGCCCTAGAGGATATTAGCAGAGCACAAGCAGGGCAGGTGGAAGTTTCTTAGGGGTAGGGTAGGGGAGAAACAGGAGTGGACTGCCGGCATACAGCTTCTTTCTCGCAGGTATCGCTCCACCGGCCGATAAGCTCAGGGAAATTTTCCTGATCGGGGGTAACGACCGTAGCACGTGTATCCTTGAGTTCATGTCGCAGCTGGACGGCGTGCCTGTAGGATAAGAAGGGCATGGTGAGTGACTGTTGAAGGAAATGTGAATACTTCGTATCACACAGGAGAGACCCTGCGCAGAGTATGGCAATCGAGTCTCCACCACCATAAGAGTTTTTGTTCTTTGCAGTCCTCCTGACGGCCGATCAGGAGATCCTCTTTCATTTATCGAACGTTGAGCCTAGCCATGGCCACCGTTTGGGTGGTCAGACGAACGTGCGTCGTGGCAAGAAAGCAACCAAACCTGTTCATTTGTCCAAAAATCGGTGATCTGCGTAGCGGATCGTTTGGTCCGGAAAGCCACGATCGAGTGAGTTGTCACAAGACTCCGGTCATGACGATACTGACCTTAAGTCACCTCAGCCCTATCGAGCCTCCCCAAGGAGGGCCGGATAGCACAAATACGGAAGACGATATTTCTCCGCTCTAGGATATGGTGTGAGTCTCTCAGCATCTGTAAAACTAGAGAAAGATCCAGAAATGCCCGCTACCCTCAACTTTGTTCATTGTCTGCTTATATAAAAGAGTGCCAGCTATACTAATGACCAGGCTGCTTGGCCGCCAGATTTCGCAACAGATAAACCTATATTGTTAACGAGAAACAGCAGATGCAAATCGAGGACAGTTCCGACTTTTCACTGATGCGCAGGCTCGTCTTGTCCATCCATATCATAACAACGGCTGAACATTTTCGAATTCTAATATCAACTCTCTCTCGCTATCCTATCTTGAATTTCCAAGAGCACGTCTTATATGTGTCATTTCGTACCTTGGTTCAGCCGGCTCTCGGTCGATAGAATTCCCATCCGACTGAATGTTCTGCTACTCCGACTTCTGATCAATGCAAAATGCTAAGAATAGGTGGTAGCGATGCGGTTATTCAAACCGCCAGTTCGGGCGACGTGGTTTAATGTATCAATCATGAATGTATACAAGAAAACGATGTCAGTCATCGGCTAGGGGGAGCAGATGGTGAAGAAAGAATCTTGAAATCGTCCAGCCCGAATTGTTTCAGTGGAAGCTATTCGCAGATTGGCGCCTACCAATTTTACTGTTGATCCAATGTATATTGTACCATGGTTCCTACAATCGGCGCGTCTCGCCCCACGTCGTCATATCATCCAAATTTTGCGTTTTCTATGATACAAGTATTAGTCATCCGGCTTGCCTCTCCGTCAGTCTCACTTGCGGTACAGCGGGAAATTGGAGCTCAACTTAATTTTCTCGACCCCTCATATCCTTGCTCACCCACTATCGCGCGCGGCGCGTGTCTTTCCCAATACAAATATATTGGGGGAATTGGGCGCACGATAAATACGCCTATCCCAAAAGGGTTTTAGTGGTATTTGACCACTGCTTCAGTTCGTCATGACTAGTTTCCATGCCTGCACGGTTCGATTAAAGCCTGGCTCACGGTTTGCTGTCACTTAAGTTCAGCCTGTTCGTCTCCTGAAGACGATTCCTATATTGCCTGTTAAACTCCGTAGCCAATATCAAAAGGCGCGCGTGATCTAATTGAACTGACTAACACAGCCTTAGTCATATATTTGTGACACTTCCGAACGCCTCCACAGCTTCCGAAAGTATATGAAGTGTCAAGGTTATAAATTATCAAACGCAAGGATGACAGGCATCATGAATTCACTACGGACAGTTTGCTATATTTTAACGGCTCCTTGGCAGAATTGGAAAGTCGCCATTCATCAAATTTTGCTGATGCCCGAGCATAGCACGGATCGAGTGACAATCATGAACCTTTGGCGGAAGAATAGGAAGACAGAGTACAGCACGGTGGCCATTGTTGTAAGTTTTACATCCCAAGCAAAGTAAATATCCCTACTAAATATTGGTCCTACAGGGAACCATTCTCGCGTCCGTGGCAATAACCTCCGTAAACGGGACAGAAGCGTCTGTGTCACACTGGACAGTTCTGGCATTCTGGCATGGCACATTGATATGCAGCATTTTTGCTGTTCTTATTGCGTTCTATCTCGGAGTTTTCATTGACATGTGCGAAACATGCATGGAGGGTGTGCCGAACCTCCTCCAGGCTATCAGGCATGAACGTGGACATGCAGTAAATTGGATTTATATGTTTGCACTGCAGTCACCAGTGATGATCATCTGCTATGGGATTGTGTCTTATATTATCGGTCTTTTCATATTCATAATAGCACCACTATGGAAGACAGAATGGGGGAACGAAGATAAGGTGAGAACAATTATTATAACCACATGTTGGTTTTCAATACTAAAAGTTCCTCTAGATCGCAATATTCTGCTTAGTGTATATTTGCTTCGCACTTTTCTCTTTCCTGACCGTCTGCATAACTCTCTATACCAAATTTCTGCCAAACGTGGCCGAAACTAATTCCCAATGTTGATAAATGCTTTGGTTACCAGAATGTCAGCATCAATATGACAAAACTGGATCGCCTACCGTGACTTTAGCAAATTCGGGCCCAAGTTTCTACCCGAGCAAAAGGTATGGAAAAGCTGGACAAAAGGCCCCTTTCATTGGCTGTGTATAATGGACTACGAACGCAGACAAAGCCAATTGCTTCTACACATCCATGTCTCTATTCAGAAGGCTAATAATATTGGGGTATGTTACGATATTTAGCTGCATATTGGACAATCTTGGGCCTTTTTGGACCCCGTATCGGAACCTCACTTGCTCTTTAGCACTCCTAAAGCTTCGATGTCTTCAATATCATCACAAGACGAGGCACTCTCAATACCCGAAATTGGAGGCGATTCTATTACGACTGGACATCCGAGCCCTTCTTACTGACTTTCAGCTCATCTGCCAATCAATCAATCAATCAATCAATCAACACTCTATTAACCTGTTGCAGCCTAACTAGTGGCGTAATGGCTATGCAGGCGCTTCCTCCGGCGGAAGCAAGAGTGATCCGAACGCCAGACCCGCGCATGAAACAGTAAATACATAGGAAAACGGCGTATTGCCATAGAAATCAGCCCAAAAACCAGCCCAAAAACAGTATCAAAACTCCCTCCAAGCCCTCAGTCCCACGATATATCTCTCAATTCGCCCTCACATTGGCCTGCCGCTTCCTGTGCACCTCTATCCCCGGTATCTCTCCTGCTTCGTTCTCAATTGGTGGCGTTCGTCGTCGACTGGCGTGTTGACTTGTTGGATGTATTCTTCCACGACCTCTCGGTAAGCCGTGGTTTTGGCGTTCCTCCTACCCAGCGTCTTCACCCCCTGTGCCGTCGCCAGATCATCCTGGCGGATCGTTTCCTTCGCCCTGCGGGGGCTCTGGCTCGATTTCGACGTGCCGGAACTGTCCCAGGAGGCCTGTTTGAAGCATGAATTCGGCCACGTAGCGGGTGGCCTGCGAGTGTGATACAATTGCATCATAATCCGTCGAATCCCCAAGATCGGTCATCCGGATCTTGTCAAGGAAGGTCTGCCTCAGATCAGCGTACAACGGGCACTGCATCAAGATGTGTCTCGGTGTTTGAGACCCCTCGCTGCAGTAACACTCATCTGATTCTACCGCCTTGATTTTGAACAGAAAGTGATTCAGTGCGATCCGCATCGATCGCATCTGAATCAACACGGAGGTGTAGGGCTTCGAAAGGGATTCGAACAGCCGAAGCACCTTCTTGTCTGGAGCTTTGACTAACCGTTGGTTCGGTTTGCCAGTTCGCTCCTTTGCCCACTCTTGTGCCCATCTCTCTTTGATGCGCCGCCGCACTCGACGCTTTGCGGTCGCTGCTAGAAGGACGCGACCCGCGGACCCCTCGGGGTGGGGTTGTTCCGCTCCGTTCTCCACACCTCCCGTCGCCGCCAACTTTGCTTCAACGTCAGCTGTCTCATTGCCAGGCACGCCCACGTGTGCGGGGATCCAACGGATCTCGATGGGAATCTGATCGAACGTGGGCGTTTGCTGCTGATGTGATTGTGCCGATCGGAGGGTTCGTACGTGGTTGTAAATAGAAGAAAGCACGAACTGGCCCGACGATCGCTTTGGGTTTTGCACCGCCTGGATGGCGGCCTGGCAATCGGAGAAAATCACTATCTTCGTGGGTCTTTGGTCTTCTGGTCGGTTGATGAAGTTGGCAACCGCCATTTCAATGCCGTTGAGCTCGGCAACGTACACTGTGGATTCCTCGGTGGTTCCAAGATATCGCTGTTGAAAGACGCCCTCACGCGGGGCGACAGCCGAAGCGCCGATATGTCCTTTATACCCACTTCCATCTGTGAAGAATAAGACCGCCGGGGCTCGGTCTAGTGCGGCTTCAATCTTATCATGCGAGGCCTGCGCAGCCTCCGCATCTTCAATAACGCATGGGATCCGTGCCTCCCATGGCGCAAGAACGAACGCTTTCCGGGACTCCCAAGTCCCTTGTTGATTCAGGATCCCCCTTTCTTCCATCTGAGGGCTTCGAGAGGGCTCCATCCCCCTTCCCTGGTTTCCTGTGGTGATCGCTGTCGACGTAGACACTCTGGCTGCGCCCAGATAGCGCCTGTTTGGATCCGGATTGCTGCTTCTTGAATGATCTGGTCTATGAGTAGGTGGATTGGTGTTAAAAAGAGCTCGACGTTAAGAGCTGCCGCACTGGTGGATTTGAAGGCACCGCTGATGAGGATTGCGGCGCGTCTTTGGATTTTCGTGAACTCGTTGATGGTGCGTCGTAGTTCACCGGCCGGCATGGCCCTCGCAGCAGGGCAATACCACACACATACTCCGTAGAGCATCTGTGGCACCACCACTGCCTGGTAGACCTTTCGCATTGCCGCCAGTGAGGCACCCCACACTGATCCTGTCATCGCCCGGAGGGCTTCGAGGCTGCCATTGGCCTTTGCGAGTAGTTTCTGGCGGTGTGTGTTAAAGTGAAGGTGCTTGTCGAGCCAGACACCCAGGTATTTAGCGGACTGTGTCGGTCGTATTGATAAATCGCTGATTCTGACGGGCATGTGGTCATCGCCCTGAGGGTGTGCGCGGTCGAAGTCGTATATGTCTACAGTGTTCTCCTGGTCGTTCTCCTG